CCAGAAGAACTAATGGTAGTAAGTGAAGGAGACTTTCGAGCATTTGCAGAAGATAATACACCAGCATCCTCGGCGCAAATATTGGAGGAAAGAACCATCCTAGCTTTGGCTACAACTTTTCCAACAGAGTCTTGGCTGTTACGAGGAAGGTTTAAAAGGGAACGAGCAACTTCTCTTCGCAAGGAAGCAGGTAAAGCACGTTTGAATATAGTGGCAGTTCTAATGTCATCTTCCCATTTAGCTGCACGACGGATTCGTTGGAAACGATCAGTAAAGGCTTCAATGGATTCATTTTGCTGCATTTTAAGTGATAAGAGTTTATCCATGTTATCAATTTCTTGTGCTACGTCTTGTGAAGCGTAAGTGTTAATTACAATTGATCGTACTTCTTTCCAGGTTAATGAGCGCCCCTTCAGAGTTTCGTTGAACCACGATCGCTGATCACGATTCATCCTAATTGGCATGAGACGACCCCAACTATGATCCAAGCTTAATCCATTAGAGTCAACCACAAGTGCAAATGTGTCCAGTAAGTCTTCAACTGATCCTTGGATATCAGAGTCCTTTTTCCATACGTTGCCTTGCCATTGCCAGAAAGGAAGGTCAGTTGGTATGAGATGAGAATCTCTTGGACTTGGAGTAATTTGGGTAGATGAAGGAATGAATGGTTTAGGGGAACAATAAATTTGAACCTCATCTAAGAATTTGATACATCCCGTTATACGATTTGCTTCGTCTTGTAAAGCAGCCAATTTTTCAGGAGCAATATTATTGGCGACACCGCGGGCAAGTTCTTGTGATAACTTTCTAAGAGTTTCCCGTAAGTGTTCTATAGCATCCTCGTTGGAACCAGAGTCATCTTGAATATTAGAGTTAGATGAGTCCTTCATCAAGATATCATCTTCATTCTTGTCATTGAAAGCAGCACCAGTAGAGTCTTGAATACTAATTGAGTTATCTTTTTCTTGAGAAGCAGACATGATAAGTGGATAGGTAGGTTTTGTATAAATAAAAAGTTTAAAAGGAATTCGTTGAAAAAAATGTGATATTTCTTTTAAAATATCAAATAAAAATATTAGAAAATAAAAATAATAATAAGACAAAAGAGTCAACGAGACCGAACAATAGTTCTAAAGTCAATTATTTTATTTATGAATTTAAACTGATGGGGTATTTATAAGAATTGTTAAAGAGGTCTGAGGATAGGATGTGAATCAGAAAAGTATTAGTTACGACCGAATTAGGTATATTGTTGACAACAAAGTGTTAGTGATTTTAATATTATTAGATGGAGCGGATCAAGAGAGAGTTAGGATAGAATTTCTTAAATGAATTTATGATCCGCATGTTTAATCATGAAACATGACATTATAAGTCAGCTCATGACAATGATATCAAACTTAATGTAGAAGAATTATGTAATCGTCTCAAGATTACCGATACTACCTTAAAGTTACGTTATTTTAAAAGAGCTTTACGTAAAGATATTCAATATGAACTTGACCGTCTGCCTCCTAAGGATACTTCTTGGCTAGGAATAACTGAAGAAGCTAAAAGATTAGAAAAGATTCATGAAAAACATGGTGTCATTAGCTATAACGGTATAATAAATAATAATCCGCGTAACACTAACTCTGTATCTTCTTTCAAACATAGTCAATCTAGTGTAGTATCTTCTGATAGTTCAAGTGAAATTAAATCTACATTAAAGGACCTTTGTACAGCTATGGAAAAATTAAACTTCTCTATTTCTGGGCAATCCACTTCAAGTAATTATAGTAATGTCTCTACCGGAAGAAGAAATAATTTTAATCAAGGATATCATAATGAAAACAATCAAAATATAAATAAATACAATAATAATATTAGGTGCTATATCTGTGGTATGATGGGTCACAAGGCTTTTGGCTGTCCTCAAAAACCTTTCAAGAATAATAATCAATCTCAAGAACAGGGAAAAGAATTGGGACAGCAGTAGGTGAACGTGCTACTGTTGTCCAATCTATAACAAATGACGTTCCTAATAATTGTAATCAAAACATTAATGAAGAAAACAAGAAAAACATCAATTCTCAACCTAAAGTTAATTATATTAATATTATTCCTGAAGACAAAAATAAAGAATATCCAATGCCTGTATACGCCGTAGAAAAGCACCCTATTTCTACAGCTGGTGAACCCTCTAACGAAAGAAGTAAAAGAAGAAGACAAAATATTCTTTCAAATTCTAATCCTGATCCTCTTACAAATAACAATGTGGAAAATCCTATTCAAGCTGCAACCTCTAATCCAATTCAAGACTTGGATAATGTTTCACATATTGCTGTATCTGGGGCTAAACCAAAGATAAAAAAATTGAGAGCACCTCCTAGGAAAATACCAATCTATCCTACAAGAAAAGGTGGAATATGGGAAGAGTTAGATCAGTTGAAATCTACTGTCTCAGTTAAGGATCGGGTACTGTATGACAAACAGGCTCAAAGGGATCTCCGTGATGGTCTACGTTTTATCATGGGTAGAAAACCTAAAAATAACAAGAATATAAGAAATAAGGGCAAAGAAAAAGAAATAATCAATTCTAATATAAATAATCAGAACAATCGTATGGAAATCAATGCTATTACACACTTAAATGAAGTTGAATCTGATACACAAGAATTATATGAAAGTGAATCTGAATCTGATGATTTTACATCTACGGTGTCCTCTACTTCTGATGGAGAAGGTGGTAATAGTGATACTAAATTATATTATGAATCCGATAGTGATGATACAATCTATAATTATCCTTATGATATTAACAGAATTAAAAGGTCTACGCCATTCAAAGGTTTAACTCTAATCAAAAATCGTCCCATCCCCAATACTGTGTTTGACTCTGGTGCAGCTGTTTCTCTTATCTCAAGAAAGTTAGCTCAAGAATTAAAGCTGTTACCTAATGGTGATTCTCTACCTATTGCAAGTATTGATTGTAAGAAGGATTCCAATCATTGTTGCAGCAATAATAAAAGATCTGATGTAACTATTAATGTCCCTGTTCGAGTTGCTGGAAAATTACGTCCCGAGCATATGGTCATTAGTGATGACTGTGAACCGGATACTTTTATCTTGGGTATGACATGGTTCCGTAACTATGGTATCAAGCAGGATCTGAAAGAAGGTATTATTGAAATTCCCACTAAAAATGGAAGATCAGTTTATCTACAAGGATCCAGTACTATTAATGATGAAACTCCTACTTGTGATATATACTCTGTGAGCATACGTGTATCAAACAAAGTTAATGTACCAGAAGATCAAATAGAAATATGCACCTTAAAGATAAATGATACGGGTCAAGAAATATCTAAAGTACCAGCTCAACTAACAAGTTATAGTGATGAAATACCAGGTATAAATGATGAAGTTGACAAGAATTATGAAAATTTACAAGTCGAAAAGAAGGAAAAAGAAGGAAATGAAATACCTGAACCTATCCGACTATTATTGGAAAAATATAGTCATTGTTTTGCTGAAAATTCTGGTCTAGGAAGGGTAGACTCCACTTATGCACATGTAATAGAACTTGAAGATCCCAATTTAACAATAAGAACAAAACCTTACAGATTTACTTGGGAAGAAGATGAACATTTACGTCAAGAATTGCAAGATATGTTAAATAATGGTTTAATAAGACCATCTAAAGGAAAATGGACAAGTCCAATATTTTTGTTCAAAAGAAAGATAAAGGTTTGCGTTTAGTAGTTGACTTCCGTAAACTGAATAAAAACACCAAAAAGACTGCATTTCCTCTACCTCACATCAATGAATTATTAGACTCTTTTGGAGGGGCTAAGGTATTTACTACTTTGGATGCGGCTTCTGGCTACTGGCAAGTACCCCTAGCAGAAGAATCAATTGAGAAGACTGGTTTTATAACAAAGATGGGAACTTATGAATTTTTGGTTATGCCTTTTGGTTTGGCTACTGCTACAGATACATATCAAAGAATGATGACTTCGTTATTAAATCCTTATATTGGTAAATTTGTCTTAGTTTTCGTTGATGACATTATTATATATTCTAGCAATGTACAAGAACATTTGGTACATCTCCAGAAGGTTTTTGAAGTATGTAACTCTGCCAATCTCAGACTTAAGCTCTCAAAATGTCATTTCTTGCAAGATAAGGTAGAATATTTAGGACATGAAGTTTCCGCTAAAGGTGTTGCTCCTTCTAATACGAATGTTTCTAAAATTTTGAAATTAAAATCTCCTTCTGATACTAGTGAAGTTCGATCCCTCTTAGGTACTACCAATTACTACAGAAGATATATTCCTAACTATGCAGACCTAATGGAACCAATTACTAAATTATTAAAGAAGAATTGTCAATTCAAGTGGGGGAGCGAACAAGAAGAAGCCTTAAATAAAGTGAAAATTATGTTAACAAATCCACCAATATTAGCTTATCCTGATAGAAATCAAATTCAAATATTAACTACTGATGCTTCTGGAATTGGTTTGGGTGCTATTCTTTCTCAATCTCCTGATGGTAGTGAAGAAGGTGAACAAGTCATAGCATATGCATCTAAGTGCTTAAGTCAATCTCAACGTAATTGGGATTCAGTACACGCTGAAGCCTATGCTGTCGTTTGGGGAATTCGTTATTTTCGACACTATTTGGCTGGTAACAACGATTTATACTATATACTGATAATTCTGCCGTCAGCTTCATACTAAACAATGATAAGGCTAATCCTAAGGTCAGTCGATGGGCAGCAGCTCTAATGGAATATAATTATACTATCAAGCATAAACCAGGAAAGAAGAATCCTGCAGATGCACTCTCTCGTCTCTGAAAAGGAAAATATAATAGTAGTCTCTCATCAAAAAAAAAAAATAGTTATTCTGATTCTATCAAAACAAAAAAATATATCAAGATCTGTTAAACTTACTTTTGAATACACAAGATACTCTCATGGAATATCCATTATACGTTGCAATTTATTTATATATCACTCGGGGAACATATCCTATAAACTCTGATACAGTTAACAAGAAAAGAATTTATAACAAGTCCAGAAAATATTTGGCTCATAAAGGGAAACTCTATAGAAAAATTCCTATTGATACTTCTAATGGTTCAACTGAATATACTATGGGTAGGGAAATTTTACATGAAGCAAACATTGAAGATATAATTTCAAAGGTGCATCGTGAAGGTCACTTTGGGATAAAGAATACTTGGGAACGCCTATCTGTATCATATGAAGGTAAAAATATGTATCAAAAGATAGTCGATATAGTTAGAGCTTGTGATGTTTGTCAAAAACGAAAGATTGTACCAAGAAAAAGAACTGTCAAAATGAAACCAATACCGACCCCGTCACGACCATTTTTCATGATTGGATTAGATGCCGTTGGACCAATGGATACTACTCCTACTGGCAATCGTTTTATGTTAGTTTGTATTGATTATTTAACACGTTGGCCTATTGCTGCTCCATGTAAGGACATTACTGCTAAAACTGCTGAAGAATTTCTTAATAATCATGTTTTCCAATTTCATGGTGTACCTACATATTTATTGACTGATCGTGGTTCTTCTTTCAAGGCGGATTATATTGATTTTATATTAAAGAAATTAGAATGTAGACATTTAACAACTACAGCTTATCGACCTCAATCAAATGGATTAGTGGAAAGATTGAATCAAACCTTAGTACAAACTATAGCAAAAATTAGAATGGATGATAAAATTAAGAAACCTTGGGATGCTTATGTTAATAATGCTTTATTCTGTTTACGCACTATGGTCAATGATTCGACAGGATATACTCCTTCAATGCTATTATATGGTTATGAAATAAGAACACCTAGTTTGTGGTCTCCTCCTAAATATGATTATGTAGAAGGTCAAATTCATGAAGAAATCAAACGTAGGTCATTAGAAATATCAAATGTTATGAAATTATTAAGAGAAGAAGCGGTTGCAAATTCAATGAAAAAGAAAGAAAAGATGAAAGCAAGATATGATAAAGAAATAACTGAAACTATGCAGTTCAAGGTGGGAGATAAGGTCTTATTGAAAAATCACGTCCCTCAGGATAAATTTGCTGAAAAATGGATTGGTCCTATGGTCGTAGTTAAGGTTAACAAAAATTCAACATATCATCTTATGGGTCCTAATTCTAGAAGATTAGATGGTGCTGTCAATGGAAATTATCTTTTACCCTATAGAGAACACTCAAGAATGGTACCTTGTGTAAGAGAAGCTAAGAAATATCAATTAGTCGAAGAATGGTTAGCAAGAAGCTGAAATTTTGATTAAGTGGGGGAGGTTTGTTACGTGTTGTGGTAGATTTAGTTATAATCTCAAAATTTCAGCCAATCAGAATATAGGAATTCTCTTAGATAAGCCAGGTATTACATAATATTTGCTTGGACGGACTTTAAATATCTATTTATCTTCGTGGGGTTATCCCTGTCTTAAAAATGAATATATAATGAAGAATATTTTGATAAAAAAAAAAAGAGACGACTTTTGAACAGCAATCAATTTTTTTTAAGAAAAAGAACTTTTGGAACAAGGATTAATATTTTAAATAAAAGAAAATAAAAACATAAAATAAAAATATTTTCTTGCAGACTAACAAAACACTTAAGGATTCGAACCTTCCTTAATTTTCCTTTCACATAAGTATTTACTTATCATTTGTGTCCAGTTCATTAGCAACGAAGTAGATACACAGCCAATAGAAGTGGAATATAATCTGCCGTTCAGAATAAATAGACTGAATAAGAGAAGATTTAAACCATCAGTAAAGGAGTCCGACGTGAGAAAGAAGAAGTCGAAGTTATGCATGATTTGTGAAGATAGAAAACGTCGGCATAATCAATTGACAACATGAGAAAATCAAGAAGACAACACTTATGCATCTTTACTACAATCACGATTTTCCCTGTTGTCATATAAACTTTATTTTGTAGCAAAATTAATATAAATATCGAAAAATAATTGATTTTAAATAAAGACAATCAATAAATATTATAAAAACTTAATTATATTCTTTGTTATTTTTTGTTTAATACCGTCTAAAGTTTTACTCTTTTGTATCTCAAGAAGTCAAGAAACGACATTTGATGAAAATTTTTATTTACCTCACATATAACATCATAAATAAAAGCAGTCACAACGGAAAAACTATTATCAGCTAAGATATACCTTTAATAGGTTATGTTTAAAATATAGGTAAAATTTTAAAGTTCATATATTTATTAATTTTTACTCTAAAATGTTCAAATAAAAAATATATTATACATTATACATTATATTATTTCAATTATAGATAAAAAGAAATACATGTTTACTGCAAATATTCATGTTTGTTGTGTATTTAATGATGTATTACATAATATCTGTCATGAGCTGACTTATAATGTCATGTTTCTTGATTAAACAAGCCGATCAAGGAATTCTATCAAGATTTCCTTGAATCTCTCTTGATCCACTTTATCAAATAATATTAAAACTTCTAACACTTCATTATATTTAACATATCTTATTCTGTCTTCTTTTTTTTATCTCTACCTTATCAACAACTCTCGACAATTAAATGGAAGTAGTAAGTTAATGCCATGGAGAATTTGTCTACGATCATATACGACAACATCACAAACGAAAGGGAAGCAATCCACCATTATTTTTTTTAACTGATTTGTTATCACTACAGAAATAATCAGTACTCATCAAAAGCTACGCTTTATTAGAAAAATTACTCACCTGACAAATTAGAGGACATTGGCATGATTTGTGCATAAACCGCTATAATCGATAATAACTAAACATATCTTTTGAGTAGAAGAGGATATAACATTAATCATATGTATACAAAAAATAATGAAATTGATACTTTTAAATTCACATGGAAATATACACATATAATACCTTGGGTGTTGTCATGAATATTTTATAATTTAGCTAATGCTTCAACGTTGCCTTTAACATCCCTTGAAGCGATATCGCTACTGGCTTCAGATGAATATGATACATAACATTGATCAGCTTTATATCTATCATATAAATTGTCCACCATCTTTTGAATATTTTTATCTCTATAATTTGCATGTCCAACAGACTTGCGAACATATCCAATCAAAAGAAAATCTTTTTTTCAAATTTTACAAATGCTGTTGATAGTTGGCCAATCTAGATATAACATTTTTTGCAATTATTTCCACAATACAACAAAACAAAACAAAAAGTAAGTGGATGCTCACAAAAAAAAAAAAAAAAAAAAAAAAAAAACAGTTTTAAGATTACCATGAAATTCAGGCTTTAAAACGTATCAATCTCTTTTACGCGCAGAGGCTCCTGATTGTTGTCTTTTTCTGGAAAAAGTTACTTATGTGTAATTTACTTTCGATTTGGTCCATTAAGTGAACTGAGTTTCTGTTTCAAATTTGTTGGTATATAACCTTACAATTTTAAATATATCTTCGACACAGACAGCTTTCAGTTCATAATTTTCATTGTTGGCCATATTGAGGTGATAAAAATTGCATTCACAAATTGTGAAAATTGTGAATCACTTCCTAAATTATAGATATTAAAAATGTTATGAACAAGTTTTTAATTTACTTACTTAGCAGTATATTGTTCTCGGCTTCATTGGTTTTTGAAGGAGCTGGTGAAATATATATATTTTTTTTTGTAGGTGAAGGGATCATAGCTGTCTAATTTGCTTCTTGCTTTTGTGACATTGTTGGGTGTAAATTCCAAACATAATGCGTAATCACGAGAAACATTCATTTTTAATTGAAAAGGAAATAGTTTACCTCCTTTTTTTTTTTTTTTTACAGGCTCACACCAGTTTACCTTTTTTTCAGACTTATCCTAGCTTACCTATTAATCTAATCCAGTTATAAGAGTATTTATATATTTTGTGTATAAGGATGATGATAAATTATATCTGATGGCGCAACCATGGAAGAGAATAACAGTTTAATTAGAAATATTCATGTCTTTTGTTTACTTTGAGTAAAATCAATTATTACGCGTATTTTTATTATTCTTAGTTTACCCCAGTTTAACTTATAAAGTTACTTTTATAAATTTATATTCAGCAGAACAATAATAGAAGAAGATATATTTTTTGTTGTAGGATTTTATGAATTATTTTTTTTCATGCAGAGGTAAATATACTTAATATCTATGTGATTAGAATTATCATAGAAATGCGCTATATTTATTATATTATGACTATTTATTTTATTAAATTAAGTCACAAACCTCACAACCATGATAGCTACATCGTTGAGTATTGCCAACCAGAATGACTGTGAATAGCATTTAGCAATCACATCATCATAGTACTGCCATGCTAATTTAAAACTATTGTGGTGAATTCTAGCAAAAAGAAATTACTAATGACTAAAACGAATGATATTTGAGGAATTTAACTATGTCAAATAGTATAGTACTCTGGAGTTTAATTAAGTAGAATCAAAGTCATATCTTAAATGTTTAATTTAAATTGTCTACTGCCATATCCTTTAGATTAAATATTCCTAATTTAAGATCAAGATATCAATAAAAGCTTCTAATCAAAAAAGAACTCTTGTAGTAATTCAATAAGAAATTTTTCGTGAAATATATTTCAGTAAGCATAAACAATAGATCTTATTAAAAAAAAAAGAATAACTTTCACATATAAAATATTCATTAAGATAGATAATAATAATAAAGAATTTTCATAGTAAAAATGATCAATATATGTTACTTAGGCTTTAGAACTCAAAGTTAAAATAGCTTCTTCAATACGCTGACCATATTCAAGATCTGCTCGCTTAAAATGACCAATTTGACGTTCTTGGATATGTTTTTTAGCATTCTTAAGATGGCCTGCAATATTATTAATCAAATCAGTTTTTTCTTCAGCCGACAAAAGACGATATAAATTGCCTGCCTGTACAAAGTCGTTGTCATTTAATTCGTATGTAAAACGGCCTGTTAAGCCTTGAACTTCTTCAGCAGTAAAAGTAGTAGCGGCAATATTAGTTTGGTATGGGCCACCAGAAGAATTAGGCTCATAGTTAGGAGCTGATCCGCCATTGCCTAACACAGACATAAAGCCATCACGTTGATGATTAGAGACACGTGAATGAGGCTGATTAATAGGGATTTGTGCGTAATTAACACCAAGACGATGGCGATGTGTATCTGGATAAGAGAAAAGACGACCTTGTAACATACGGTCGGGAGAAACATCAATACCAGGTACAATATGAGAAGGGGAGAAAGCAACTTGTTCTGTTTCAGCAAAGTAGTTTTCAGGATTTCGATTCAGCGTCAATTTACCAACAGGTTGAAGAGGATAATCCTAAAGAGATATATTTCATTTTTTTTATGATAAGTTTTTTTTTTTTTTTCATTTTTATATATAACATTAATATACCTTATGGGGCCAAACTTTAGTAACATCAAAAGGATTAAAACGATACGTTTTTGCATCTTCAGGATCCATAACCTGAATATATACAGACCATGAAGGGTATTCACCGCGCTCTATAGCATTAAATAGGTCACGAGTAGCATAATCAGGGTCAGAACCGGCTAGTTCACCAGCCTTTTTTGCCTTCAAATTCTTAATACCCTGATCTGTTTTGAAATGCCATTTGACGTACTTAAAGTTACCATTATCATCAACAAGTTTTAAGGTATGGGACGAATAACCATTAAGATGGCGGTAACCATCAGGTGTACCACGATTAGAAAAGAGAATTGTAACCTGATGAATGGATTCCGGTACAAGAGAAAGAAAATCCCAAAAAGCATCAGGATCAACGCAATTAGTTTGAGGATTTCTCTTTTGAGTGTGAATAAAGTCTACGAGTAAATATTGTTAATTTTTTTTTAGTTATTTTATACATGCTGTCAAATACCTGGAAATTTGGAGGGATCACGAATAAAAAAAACAGGAGTATTATTACCCACCATATCCCAGTTACCTAAATAAAATCATTATGCAATTATTATTTTTTCTTCTTCTTCTCTTTTACCCTATTTATTTACCTTCTTCAGTATAGAACTTGATAGCAAAACCACGAGGATCACGGGCAGTATCAGCACTACCTTTCTCTCCACCTACAGTAGAAAAGCGAAGAAATACAGGAGTCTTCTTACCAATATGACTTAAAAATTTGGCCTTTGTAAGATGTCTAACATCATGAGTAACCTCTATTTGGAATTAAAAACGATTGCATTAAAAAAAAAATCATAATCCGTATCTTTTATCATACCAAAGAAACCATGAGCACCAGCACCTTTAGCATGAACAACACGTTCAGGAATACGTTCCCTATCAAAATGAGCTAAAAATAAATGATAAATTGTTAACATACAATATACAAAATTCAGAAAGTAATTTGATAAAGCATCTATTTACCAAGTTTGTCAATTAAATGAAAGTCTTGAATAAGGCTATACATAATCAATGTTAAAAGTACAAATTAATAATTGGCTTAATACAAATACAATAAGTAGATTACATAGGGCCCCACTGACCAGCAGTTTGAGAAGTTTGATTATTTTCAACAGGATTACCGTTGGAAGTAGTTAAAATATTCTTTGACATAATGAAGAGAAGGGGATATTTTATTTTATTTTAAAGTAACTTTTTAAAAATTAAAGAAAAAAAGAGAATTTCTTTTGAAGAGTTTTGCTTTCGTCTATTTATTTGTTTTTAATAAGTGTGTGAAATGACTAGTTTTATTGTAACATTAGCCAGTCATTTACAAGTAAACTTTAATATGGTAGATGGGGTAAAGATATAAATATGATTCTAATTGCTCCAATCAAACTATATTCAATAGCTTAATCATCATCACAGTCACTGTGCTACATGTTTTCATAAATATACTAATAAACTTTACATACAACAGCATAATCATAAATATACTAAATTTATATGCAGTGGCAATAGTCTTGTTCTCATATGCTTATTAACATTACAAAGTTTTTTTTGTCTATGATAATAAGAAAATAGATACAAAAATAAATATTATTTATATCATTATCTTTTTTATTACAGATACTTTTAACCGACAAGCACTCTACTATTATTTACTAAATTAATAGTATAGTGCAAACACTTTCTTTTTTTTTAATACTTCCGAATTATATCATTGATCATTCTTTCTCTCTCCTTTGATTTTACTGTAGGCTAGCATCTGTCTGATTATTCTATTAAATACATCATCTAAAGTTTGAAATCATCAAGCATAGCATTGCTAATACATATTTTCGCACTTTTTTTTTTTTTTTTTTTTTGTTCGTTTAACACTAGAAACAAGACAATAAATAGATACAAATCTCTAGAATTATAAGCATGATTATCTGACTATTGCTAACTAGAATATGTATACATATAGTGTTATATTATAACCACTAAGGAAAATGGTTTTGTATAAAAGTAGCTACTGTATAGCAATTTTTTTTTTCTTTAAGAATAAAGGCAAAACTAATATATACGTATACATGTATATATATATATGTGTGTGTGTGCGTATAATAAACACTTATTGTCTATATCTATGGGTATTTATAGTTATTAATATTTAAAATAATGGGTTATTATTATTTTAATTTTTTATTGAATTAGATTTTGTATACGCTCTGTTATTGTATGAATACGATCTGGATTTGATTGGACCCAGTTTCGAAGTTTTGAAAGGCCTTTTTGCATATATTCAGCTGCGGATGAGGCTTTAGATAATACTTCAGTTTCATCTGTTGCTTTTAAACATGTAATATCAAATTTACTGTCATAAGTCTCGTATCGTACATTTACTAGGCCAATAACTTGTCCTTTGATATCTGGAATAGGATTGAAAGGAAGCTTAAGGTCTATTTGACAAATACCTTCACTTTCATCAGTGACAAGAAGGGTTTGGTGCCATAACTTTCGACCATTCAAGTGCTCTAATGTTGCTGTTCCAATTTCTATATAAATATGTATACATTTAGGAAGTAAATTATTAAATCCATACTATATATGTGTGTGTATAAATATATGTAAGCTTACGTAATATTAAAATAACAAGATCAAAATCAGAAATCGTATCTTGATGACGGATATCTTTACATTCAGTTAAAAATCTTGGTATATATGTATTTGTGATATTAATATTAGGAACTGGTTCCCATCGAGTCATACGTGTAGTCTTTAAATCGAGTCCTAAATATTTTTTATTTTTTGGTTGATATGGCATCACAAAGAAGATCTTGTATCGATTCCCTTCTACAATATCAAGATGATTTAATTCATTTGCATTTGACAATAATAAGGTTGCCCAATGTCGATTAGAGAGAGAATTAGAGTCACATATACGAATTTTAAAATAGCCTGAAACCCGTCGATCTTCAAAACTCCTTGGTTCACTTAAAGTCCTATCTAAATGGGGTGTATTGCTTGTCCTTTGATCAGTTCTAAAGTTTGGAATTGATATGCAACTACTTTGTCTATGAAGGCCACCATAGTGACCATATCCATGCGCCATACGCCGGACTTCTTCTTCTTCTTTTGCAGTTCGTGTTACAATTGTGCCATTAGGCAATGATTCGCTGTAAAGAATTGGCATTTTTCTACAGACAACTATATCAAGTGCAGGCACAAGACCACCATCATCGAATATCGTAGGAAGTGTTCTTATAATGAGCTTTTTCTTTTGATACCCTAATTTAGTATCCCATCGAGCAGGTAAGCAACCATTCGTAGTTATGGAAAGCATAGTACTATTATCTTTAATGCTTAACGGTGATTGAGCGACTCTATCGCCAATAATTTGTGCTCCACATATAGAAAGTTTATATCCAATCTTTAGTCTCTTTTTTTCAATAGCCTGTTCCATTCTCTTATCAATACAAGCTGGTACCTGATACCAGCCATCAGATAAAATTAATTGAAACTTATTTGCTATACAAAAATATTAATACGACTACCTAGCTATCTCTCTCCCTATTTCTTTTCTTTTTTTTTCAATTTCTTATTCTTACAAGTATTATAATAAGAAGAGGATTTTATCTCTATAATATCTGATATAAATAAAACCATATGTTTTACGGATATATCATCTTGCTCCAAAATTTTCTTCAAAACAGGTCGATGACCTAGATTAATTTCTCGTTCATATCTATACAGTAATTGATCTAATACTTTTTGTGAATTCCAATCATTTTTAAAGATATCAGGATAAGATCTAATCAAACATGCAATTTTCCAAACGATTAACCCATAATGATTTTCAACCCATGCAGATGATATACGATTAGATAAAGCGCCTGCATTTATCATACTCTTTTCTGCTTCTTTCCATCCCCAGTTCCCTTCAAACATATATTTTTTAGCATTGGAAGCTGACATGTAAATCACAGAAATAGGTCTACGAAAAAAAAAAGGAGAATAAGTAAACAATAATCGAATTAATACAAATAAAACAAAATTACATATTCTTAGCCAAAAGTTCTTCTTTACTATATTGTAAAGGCTTTCCTAAAGATGAAAGCAAAGACCTATTATTGGGGACTTGAATAAAAAAAAAAATCAATATAATTATCTTTACAATGTGATTATCATAATAAACCCTACTGTTTAAATCAAAAACTGGTAAGCTTTTTGTCTTGCTTGTACTTTTATTTTTAATAGCAGCTTTTGTTAGTTCTATATTTGAATGAATAATTGGTGATTTAAATGGCTTGTTCTGTTTCATCATTGTAGAAACACGTTTATTATATTTAGATACAGATGGTATATTTGTCTTATCACTAAGCTTCATTAGGGTATCATTGTTTCCTTTTTTTAAAGGTCTATTATCAGGTATAATTGGAGAGTTAGAAGTACTAGAAATAGGGTTTGATTTAATATCATTTTGTGAAAGCTGATCTGTTGTAGGAGAGGATGTTGCTGAGTCTTTCTCAAATATCGCAATTGCTTGTCTCTTTGCCATATTCGAAACTTCAACTCCTTTTCTATTATTGCCCATTTGAAAACCACCATACTGGTTTAAAATGTTTTCATATTTAGAATGTCTATCAAGAGGCTCATCAAGAGGTCTTTTTTTATGTGACATTTGTGTATTCTTTATTACTGAATCATTCACATCAGTTTCTTTAAATAGCTCAGTTGCAAGTTGTATGCCTCTTTCACTAAAGGTAGTCAGTGGTTCTTCAAGTTTGTTATCTGATTTAGTACTATCTTTAGTCTCTTCCTCGATTTCTTTAAATAAAGCAATAGCTTTTTGTTTAGATTTTTCTGATATGGGCTTTATAGCTTTTCCAGAAGCTGTTGTAAATCCAATTAATGGTGGACTAGCTTCTTTAGATTGAGTTTTATTTGCTGTTTCATCAGTATCTTGAAGAATAGCTAGTGCTCGTAATTTTGCTTCTTCAGAAATTGGCTTCAGTGGTTTTCCAGAAGCAGTTGAGAATCCACTAAAACTTGGCGCATCATTTGTCATTATATCTTCACTGTGATTATCCATCAAAATTTCTATTGCTTTCTGTTTTGCAGTTTCTGAAGGAGGTTTTATTGCTTTGTTAGAAGCAGTTTTAAACATAGGCATATTATTAGATTTATTATCATCTTGCTCTTGTTGTATACTAGAATCAAGACTGTTATTGTTGGTAGCTTCTTTTTCTATACTTGAAAATAGATTGATGTCAAAATCGCTCCACATATTATCATCTTGAGAATCATGAAAGTATCCTTTTTCTTCAACAGTTCTATTTTCACTGTTAGCATTATCTAAATTATTTAAATGAATATGACTAATTAATATATAAAAATAGGGTTATAATATATATGTATGTATATATATGTATTTATTAGTAATAATACAAACCTAATAATGATATTTTTTCATGATGTTCATTAGTTGAAATCTCATTTAGAGCAGCATTCTTACTTTTTTCGGTCTTCACTTTAAATGGTATTTCAAATAATTCATCGAGAAATACATCAAAGGCAGCTTTAGATGATGAAAAGCTAGTTAATATATCACTGTCTATCTCACTATTTGTCTGATAATCATCATCCTAAAGGTATTAAATCAAGTTATTATAAATAAATGTGTATAGTATAAGCTGATTATCTGATCAATTACATTGTGCCTCATTCTTGCATTATTTTCAGCATTTTCTAAATTTTCGAATAATATATCTTGAAGGCTTGGTGTAAAGTCATCCCATTCATCATCAAGGTCATCAGAGTTCAATTGAGACATCGAATTAACAAAAAACCATGAATAGAAATAAAGGCTGTCAGAAAAAGATAAATTAAAACAATGCTTAATTTTTACGTGAAGACTACGAATTGTGACTGTTAGATCCTGCAGTAAATTATGAAAATCTTTTTATTGGGAAAATTGACAGATGTGCATATTGCATTACAGTCCAAGAGAATAGCTTGGTCCAATAAAAAAAAATCATTTGTCGTTTTTAAAAAGAAGTGAGACGGTCATTTCCAAAATGGGACATTATGTGAAAACGAGACATTTTGAAAATGGGACACTAAGTATGAAGCAAGGTACTTAAAACACTCACTTAAAGCAGCACTTAATACATCAAACAAAAAGAAATAAAAGTGAACATCAAGCTTATACTTTGCCATTTAATAAGATTTTTATCCTTTTTTTTTTTTTTTACAAACATTTTTCACAGTTTAAGCATCTCTACCAGAATGATAGAGAATGTCGTATCCATTTCTCACAATATTCCTTACTGATATGTACTGACGCATTGCGGATACGCTCAGTGATTTTTTCATTCTTTCTGACTGAGGAAAGATCATTGTTTACTACCATTTTCAGCTTGGACCAGAATCCTTCGACTGGAATTAAGAAATCTATATCAAAAGTATCTTCCCTATATTATTCATAAATATAAACAAACGAGATCTCATTATTTGGTTTCAAGAGAAATAACCGAACCGGCTAGATCGAGCATGAATGATTTAACTTTTGTTAGAGTAAGTTAACTGAGATTAATTCTCAATCAGGGCAAAGACTAGGAGAGCTCAAACAAAATAACTTTAATCTTTTTATGGAAAATATTCTTCTTTCATTCTGTTCCTGTCGTGAAGTAACTCGTTCTCCACAAGATATAAAATAAGGATCCATTTTGTACTTCTTCTCTAATTCTCAATCAAATGCATTCTTATTTAATTTCTTCATTTTATAAAGTTTTCACAAATTTATTCTGTCTTCTTTTTTTATCTCCACCTTATCAACACCAAGCTATTTTCTTTGACTGTAATCAGTACCAAAAAAAAGACAACACTACTTTTATTCCATATCAGTAGCTGCTACTATTGTTTATATGTTGTCTCGCCTCTTTTGAGCACTATCAACTACTTCCCCTCTATGCTGACTACTGATATTGATCCACTCTAACTGTTTCTATTTCCTAATCATCATTTATATTTATACACACATATATGTATGTATATACATATATATATAAATAAATATATATATATATATATATATTTGGTTTTAGATGCTTCTTACCCTATATATTCGTACATATTATGATGAGCAGTTTTCTCTTTAGGGACGTCGCTTCAATATCTTTTTTTTTTAATCTACTGTTTACACTATTACTGTCTCTTGTGGTAAGTTGCACAACAAAAGAGTCAAAAAAAAGGAGACAGGAGGATATGATACTACCATCACATTCCTAAAGAATAAGAAGAAGACAAAAAAATTATTAAAAATTAGGAAATTCGTCAGATACCATCGTAGTCATGTAAACCGCCATCATACTTTTGGATATGGAGTTTATTAGAAAAATATCATCACCCTTAGAGTAGTTCGATTACACAGCCTCATTTAAGGTAAAATGTGCTGCGAATTCTGGAACGGTAAAAATTCCTATTATCGGCGTTTTAATGTTAGATGAATGATAATGAGTAGCGAAAAAAATTTTCTTTCTCCTATTAGCCAATCATATAGTTTAATTCTTGTGACTTGACAAATGTATGCCATAATTATTGAAATTATATTTTTTTATTTTTTAAAATTTGTTTGCATTACTTCAGTTTTCTAAATAAAATAGAATAGCTTTAAGGTGATGACAGATTATCCATCTTTATCAGTTTCTTCTTGTTTATTTTTTTTGCTGATTATTGCCGTTATAATGTTAAGAATAAAGACGTATTATAACAAATTATACCAAATATTTTATGCCGTAGTCAGTTAAATCTTAGAATGTAGTAACCTATATCTTGGATAAATTTGTTGCACCTTATACAAATTTATTATATCTGTTGGTCGAAGAAAGTTTGTTGATTCAAGAGAATGTAATTGTATGCTAAGCTATAAACAAAATCTAAGTAATCTTTGCCAACTAGAAAACCTGAATTATTTCAAAATTAAGAGGGAAACTAAGGTTTTTAAATCATTATACTTATTTTTTTTTTTTTTTTTTTTTTAATTATGTGACTTTTTAACAGTAAATCATGAAATAGAAATTACTGCTAACACTTTTCTCTCTTTCTCTCTCTCCTTTTTTTTTTTTCTTTTTATTAAAAAAAATATCACGCTTATTTTTGTATAAACGTTATACCTTATGAAACCTATATCAACTCGCTTAAGAAATAAAAATAAGAAATATTCAAGTGCATCACCCGTAAGAGAATTATCTCAAGGTAAAAGCTTATTCTTATAAAATTAACATTTGATCATTTAATACTAATGAACGTTTTTTTTATATAGATTCAACAAAAAGAGAAGATTTATCTTCAGAAATATCAACAAGTATATTTATATTTAAAAAGTGTTTTAATATTTAAAAAAAAAAAGAAATAACTCATCCCCTCCCCCTTTTTTTTTTTCTAATACTATATTCAGCAACTTATTCACTAGAAGATAATGTGTCATTCTCACCGAGATCGGATCCAGACATTTATTTAGATGAATTACGATCACCATTATCATTTATAAGAGGATCAGAAGAAGATAAAAATAACTTTTTAAAAGAGGAAAGCGATAGAATGGTCCAAAACTTTGGTAAAAGGTTCAAGTCAAATGCAAAATTATCCACTTTTTATAGCGCCCAGGTAGCTGCACCAGTTCCATCAAAACGTACTCGGCATCGTACAACTGACACTACCACTACAGCTACAGCTACAAAAACAATTTCAGCAAAGAGAGTCAAATTTATTCATACTAATAACCAACAAAGCGATGATGCAAACAAAAATACATCTAGAACGAAAAAGTCTAATAATTCAACTCTTGCTAGTCAAAGCGATGATAATGACGAAGCACTTGTACCTTTGCCATTAAGCAAAAAATTACCTAAAGAAGCTCAAATGTCAGCTAAGGAAAAGGAAAGAGAATATTGGAGACGACAACGTCGAGCATTTGTTTACAGTCGATTTTTGTCAAACGATGAAGGAGCAAAGGTAGCTGGAACAGTATATAGTAATATATACATTAGCTCTACAAATCGTATGGTTATTTCATTTCAAGGTAATCTCAGTAATTTTCGCACTAAATTAAGACGCACTATAACAAAGTTTAAATGGACATTTAATATCACTAAAGAGAGATTATTAAATGAAGAACAACGACTATCAGAGCAAGTATTAGAACAGGTAATTTAAATAAATAAATAAATAAAAATACATTATTAACATAAATACACACATATATAAAAGTTGAATCAAGATACAATAAATACAATTTGGGGGCATTGGATTGCTGAACCCTATGTAGATATAAAATCATTTTATGCCAACAAAGAATCAATCAAGTTACTAAAGGAGATCACTGTTAAGCTTGCAATTATTTTTTTCAAAGAGAAATTTCATATTTTAACACTAAATGAATCACGCGTAGAAATGAAAAAAATCGATTTATTATCCAGAACGCTTATATTACCAGATCCAAAAGAATTGGCTACTTAACAGGTATGGTATAGTTCTTATCAATAGAAATAGAATGGTGTGGTGGCGCTTTAACATTCATTTTTTGTAAAAAGCTTATTAAACGATACTCGAAGCGTCTAATCTATATGTACATATTAGCATGAATAAATAATTCTATAATCCATCCAACTTACCATTAAAGCCATTTTATTATCACCTTCTTCTGTAATTATCTTCTTTGTCCATATTGTTAAATTTCCATTGCAATTACCGTATACTATATCTGTCAGAATACGATCACCTACAAATGCTATTTGACTTGATGAAATGGGACTAAAATAGTTTGTTAAATATTGCCCACCAGATGGCTTCTTTTCTTTATGTCGTAAAACAGATACGCCTAATGATTTCTCCAAATGCTGGGCTTGTATTGACAATAGTAAAAAAAGGGGGGGAAAAGGACTGTTTATATCATCTCATTATGTACTCTAACTTTCTATTACTTATCTTTATAATCAATATCATCTTCTGTACCGGCTGAGTTAGATACAATTATCACATTTTCTTTTGAGAAAGTTTTTATACAATTATCCCAGGCATTCTTTTTTTTTTTTTATACATATTTGAGGTTTCAGAATAAAATGCAGACATTTTCATTTTTTTTTTATTACCTTAAAGGGCGGGTTAATGGTTGATACATAAGGTGCAGTTAAACAATTGTCTTTATCGAAACCAATGGCTTTTATATTGCCAATCTTTTTCAAATTTGAAAACTGAATGTGCCGAATGTCTAAATGTCAAGGAAAAGAAGAAGAAGAAGAAAAAAGGTAAGCATTACTATAACGTTTCAAATCATGTTATTTATCTATTACCGTCAACAATAATGTGAGGCATAGCTAAGCTTGGATTCCATAATAAGCGAAAAGCATTAACAATGCCTGATAAGTTCAAGCTTTGGACCATGCTTGTAGAGCAAGAAACAAAAACAAAAAAAAAAAGTGCGGGATTGAATTTAGTCTTTTTCTTTTTATTTTTAATTTATTTTATTTTATTTTTAATATTTTTTTTTGCTTTCACATTTATTATAAATGACTTTGTCTAATTGGACATCCGTCATTATTGCATCAAGTGTAATTATTACACTTACTATTATTAGTGATTATGTTTATAAGAAAATGACTCGTATACCTTTAAAACCTTCGGGAAAGCATTGCTTTATTACAGGTGGAAGTACAGGTTTAGGAAAAGCCTTAGCTATTGAACTTGTGAAAGAAGGTGCAGATGTTTGCATTGTTGCTAGAAGGGTACCTGAATTAGAGTCAGCAGTCGAAGAAATTAAGGTATTTTTTATTTATAAACTGTTATCAATTTTGATTATTTATAGTTGCATTTTTTTTTTTTGACTTGTTTTAGACTAATTGCATTACTGAAAATCAAAAAGTTATCTATGTAAGTGCTGATGTCACTAACCAAAAGGACGTTATTCGCGCATTTGATGAAGCCAAGATTAAGATGGGACGAGACCCTGAATTTGTTTGTGCCTGTGCTGGTAAGCCATAAAATTTCTATGTTGAATGATATTCAATTTATTTATGCAACAAACATAGGTGCTTCATATCCCAAATTTTTCCTTGATCATACTTTGGAGGATTTTGAAAAACTAACAAACTTGAATTATCTTGGTCAAGCTTATGTTGCACATGTAAGATTCTAATAGATTTGTAGTGAAAAAATTTTATTAAACACAAAAAAAAAAAAAAAAAAACTGATTATGATAGCAAGCTGCTCAACGTATGAGAGATTCAAATATCAAAGATGGCAAGATTGTATTTATTTCATCTATGTTGGGGATGCTTAGTTTTGCAGGATGGTCAACTTATTCACCTACAAAATATGCTATTCGTGGTTTAGCAGATACACTTCGCAATGAGTTAAAGAGATATAACATTGGTGTCCATATCTTCTTCCCCGGTGGTATCGAATCTCCTGGATTTGATGTTGAAAATCTGACAAAGCCAGAAGTCACGAAAATTATTGAGGGAGCAAATACACCTCAAACAAGTACTGAATGTGCCAAGTCTTTAATGAAAGGCTTACAGAAAGGAGAATATATGATTGTAACAGATATTCTAAGTGAAGTACTTCGATGCGTTGTGAGAGGCATTAGTCCTACAAATAATTTGGTACTTGATTATATCTTTGCAACAGTGGGTCAGGTAATTTAAAATATGTATAAATATACATGTATATATCTCTTTATTTAATTATACAATTTATAATGGTCACAATTACTGTTTTAGCCTATTGGTTCTGCGTATGCATTATATATGGATTATATTGTTAAAACCGCAAAATACAATTAAATCTCTTCACGTTGACGAGCTTACTTTAGATTCCATTTATTGGTTCATCTTTGTGTAAATCAGCAAATCCCAAGTTTTTCATGTCATCTTTATCCATTAATCCACTATAATAAAATCAAATTTTGTTATAAACAGGAATCAATAAATACTAAGAAAAAGAACTTTACTTGTCCATACGACATTGAAGATAGGCTTCCGAAAATTGTCTGCATAAACCATTATTATGCTTGTTTTCTTTCAGACATTTCATAAATTCCAACACAAAAAGTTTACATTCACCTTGCATAAAAAAAAATAAAATAAGAGTCAAAGCAAAAAAGTAAAACGTTTTATTGAAAAAGAAAATACCATCGTGATCTAAAGGAAAGCTTCCTCTCAATGGTGGTTTTCCTGGTGAAGATTCAACATTAGGGGTTCTTCCGAAACTCATTTTTTTTTAAAACAGCAAGGGGAAAAATATTGAGCTTTTTTTTTTTTTTTTTTTTAACATAACAAAAATTCATGTTCCGAAATACATTTCAATGAGCGAAAAAAATGTCAAAAATAAGGATCACCTCATTCTAAAGAAGAGACTTATTGCCGCAAATACGATTAAAGGAACTTGTTTATTCTTCTTTTTCTTTTTCTTAAAAAAAAATATAAAATAATAATAACTAATAAGCACATAATAGCAATTGAATTATACTCTATTGCTCTAGTCAGTTCCATGATAATAATAATAAAAAAAAAGTAATAGAGACTTCTTAGGTGTTAAGAGGGGAAAAAAAAAGGCAGAAGAAAAAAAGAAGACAATAGAAACAGTATAAGTGTACTAGTCTACTATGAAAACAGTCAATACGTAAGTTCAACACTAGGAGAAGAAAATGTTTGATGAAATAGACAGGTTGGGCCAACAAACTAACCAAGGAGAAGCTAATTGTAGCAAAGATTTTTTTTTTATAGAAAACTTTTAATACACATTATCATCTGTGTCCTATAACAGTTTAAAAGGTGTCTCAGATTGTCTAATAGAAGGTAAACATGACATTTTTTTTTTAATTCATCTAAAATACTTGAATTCAGAGTCTAAAAAAAGAAAAAAACTATATCATTAGAGAGAAACTCCTTCCGAAAAAGAAGTATTCAATAATAAGGTAGTTATTAATTTATTACTATAACAACAAATAATTCATTCCTAACGAATGTCTTTTGATTCTATTTTACGAACTATTTTTATATTGAATTCTTTTATAGTATCTTGTAATAATTTTTCAGTTATGCAGATATCTTGCCGACCATCCACTGTTTTACGATAACAAAGCAATTTTAGACTTAAAAGAGTATTGATGACATCATCTTCACTGATATATGTTTCTCGACATATCTCTTCAATAGTAATGTTACCACGACATTTTAATAGAACAGAGACAATAGTAGATGACCAATATGAATGATAACCTAAATAGCCTAGAGGAGATAAAGGTTTTTCTGGTGATCCAATTTTACCTTCGCGCTTCGATAATTCATAACCTAATAATATATATCCATGATGAACAAAAAAAAAAAAAAAAAAGCAGACTATTGCAATTCAATTTGATCCAACTTACTTAGTTCAATCAAAAGTCTTCCATAACCTCTTCGTTGATGTGAAGGTAAAGTCATGATACAAGCAAGATTATAGTTATCATAAGATATTTTTTCCTACAATAATCCCCATATTAATCATTATTTATATTAAACTCTCATTTCAAAAACTTACCTTTGAAAAATAGCCAATCATACTGTCTACACTTTTATATATCATGTTACGTTCAGTTAAGACATAGAATTTAAACCCATCTGTATCATAGTATAACGTCTTATTATCCAAGAATAATTTTGCTAATAAGCATAGATTTTGACAATAAAACTGTAGACAAAATAAGATCTCTTGTATTTTTTATATTATTTCTCTTTTGTGTTACCTTGTGTTCATGTCCATCTATTTCATACACCTTAACTTGATCGTTGGCATAAATAACTTTACCTGGTGGCTTCTTTGCTTTACATAGCGCCTATGTACAAGGAAACATATTTTAATCTTTATTACGTAATATACCCTTCATATATACATAAATATATATATATACCTTATGATTTGCTAAATGCACTTCCTTATTCATATATCTTAAACAGGTGTCGCATATATAAAGCCGCTCAATAAATTCGCCAAACTCAAAAGGATACGGTGAATAATACCAAGCCTGTATTTCAAAAGCCCCATAAATTACTTTACCAACATTAACTGAAGATATGATGGAAGGATCTATATTTGGAGGTGTTGTAGCTCTATATACTTTTTTAGTGTCTTCCTATTTTATAGATCTGTTAATAGATTCCTTTTTTTTTTTTTTTTTTTTTTTTTTTTTTTTTTTTAAAAAAGTGGCTTATTACATTCTTTTTCTGCGTTAGAGAAGTCAAATCAACTACAAAAAAAAAGGAAAAAAAAAAGATGTATCCATGATGGAAATTCACATTTAGATTCACATCCTTATAAACATTTATATTATATTATATTATATTATTTTTTTAAAAAAAATGGACAATTACTCGTTTTAGGTTTTTTTTTTAAAGTAGAATCGTCTTCTAAGAAGAATGGAACTTAATTACACGCAAAAAACACGCTTTTATTTTTTAAATTCTCATTTACTTTCAGATATTTGAGGTGTTGATCTTTTTCCTCTTTTCATTTGATTCCCCTTAATTGACTGAAATGTCTAAATAATTTAAAAAGATTTACATATAATTTATTTACTTATAAAGAAATGGGCAACATCTACATTATAATTAAGACATAAATATGGAAAAAAAAGGATACAAAAAAAAAACAAATAATTGAAACTCAGACACATTCTACTTCTTCACCACCCTCTTTTTTTTTTAATCTTCTTTCTTCATTGCAAGGCCATTTTTCTTATATTCCATTAATTCATCACCAATGGCTTCAACAACATGATGAAGATCTTTTCTAGCTTGTTCTTCACTTTCACCACGTAATTCAGAATAGTACTTAATTTTAGGTTCAGTGCCACTTATAAATGATGAATGTTACAATGGATGCCAATATATACTTGAAAAAAAAAGAAGAGGACTTACCTAGTACGAATAGTGAATACAGTATTATTATTTAAACGGAATGTAATCATTTCAGAAGAAGAAGAGACAGGAAGCGTAGGTTCATTATCTTTAGTAGCTGAATCGTAACCGATAGTTAAATCTCTTACGCCAATAACTTTATGACCACCAATAGTTTCAGGATAATGCAACTTATGACCATACTATATCCTACTTTTAATATGGTAGGGGAAAAATATATATATATTCTTATTATCTTACCTTTGACATAGCATCTTGCTCTTTCTCATCACCAAATCGAATACGGTCAAAGATTGTAGAGATCTTCTTTTTATCATCACAGATAAAGTATGAATTTTCACTTACAAAATAACCATATTTTTTATATAATTCTTCGAGATATTGATAAGCAGTAATACCACGCTTATAAAGTTGAACAGCCCATTCAGAAAAGAAAGCCAAAGCACTAACACCATCTTTATCTTTTACAATATTACCAATAGTAAAACCAATAGCTTCTTCATAAGAGAAGATTACATTTAATCCTTGACTTTCAAGGTTTATGGCTGTATTGCCAATCCATTTAAAACCAGTTAATGATTCTACAAACGTAAATCCTTCCACTTCAGCCATACGTGCTAAAAATTTCGATGAGACAGTACTAGCTACCATAGCCAATTGTTCTATTATTCATAGAGTTTAATACAGTCATACAAATTTAGTTTTTTTTTCTTGTTTTTACCTGGTTTATATCCAGATGCAATTGCTTTCTCAAAAGAGGCAGCACCTAAAATAGAGCCAATCTGATTGCCGCTAAAAATAATCCATTGGCCACTTTAACACCAAAAAAAAAAAAAAAAAATTAGAGGAAGAATTACTATAATTATTATATGCATAGATTCTTACTCTGATTGTTTCTCAGCAATCGCTAAACGATCAGCATCAGGATCATTAGCTAAAATAATACTGCCGCCTACTTGTTCTGCTGTTTGTATAGCTAATGTCAAAGCACCTTTACCTTCTTCTGGATTAGGGAAAGCAACAGTAGGGAAATCAGGATCAGGCAAAATTTGTGCTTCTACAGGTGTAAATGCAGGTAATCCAAACGATTCAAATGCACGTTTAGCAAAAGGTGCACCGACACCATGCATAGCAGTATAAACAAATTTAACATTTGTTGCTTCATTGTCTTCCTTATTTTGACAAAGTGCTTCTACTTCCTTAAAATAAGCATCAATTACACCTTGATCTGTAGGATCACTCACAAGATCACTCTTCGAAACTAAATCGTAATCCCAACCCCAAGGCTCTAAATTATCTAAAATACTGGAAGCAATTCCTTCATCATGAGGAGGGATAATTTGGCAAGCATTTTCCCAATATACTTTATATCCATTATCGTCTTTAGGGTTCTATTAAATTCATTCATCAAAGCGTGAGAAAATGCAGTAGTACAAAAAAAAAAAAAAACTTACATGTGAAGCAGTAATCATAACACCGCCGGCAGCGTTTAACTTCTTAATGGTGTATGGCTATCATCAAGAATTTTAGTCAACTATATATTACTTTGTAATCATGTAAATTTACCACTAAAGGAGTATGAACTAATTCTTTATAAAACCAAACTTTGAATCCACGTTGAATAAAAGCTGCAGCAGTTAAACGAGCAAAATCCCAAGAATGATGACGATGATCATGGCCAATGACAATACCTCTCGTTTTAGCTTCTTTGACCTCCTTTTCAATATAAACGGCAAGACCTTGAGATGCTTGAAGAACTGTTAAATCGTTCATTCTACTGAAACCAGCTTCCATTCTAGCACGTAAACCTTTTTTTTTTTTTTTTTTTTTTTTTTTTGTTTAGTTTAATTTAGATCATCTCGGTTATCTTCTTTTTATTTTATTACCTGCAGTTCCAAATTCAATACGAGTTGCAAGACGCTTTTCAAGCTCTACAATATTGTTTGCTTTTTGAAGCTCAATTATTTCATTGCGAGTTTCTTCATTCTATAATGTTGATAATGAAATTTGAACAAGTGTATAAGAATGCGATTGGAAAAGGGTATTTCATTCTATTACCTTGTCAGTAGATAACCATTTCTGAACGAGAGCATCAATTGATTCAGACATTTTCGTTTTATTGTATTTTATATATGTAAAAAAAAAAAAGGACACACTTAAAAAGAGAGACTTTTTATAATAATGCACAGATTTTTTTTTTTTATTAAGTGTCGTCATCAATTTAATTTTTTTATATGCGGGATATTTTACACCCCCTTATTGTTATTTATTTACTTTTATTTTTTATTTATTTTTGTAAAACGATTCAAAGCTAAACTTACATTAAGGGAATCGTATATGATGTGGACTAAAGTTCGACATTTAAATCACTCACAAAAACAACGAATAACAAGTAATTTATTTATTGCTGTAGCTATCGGGGCAATACTTACAGTGGCAGGTCCCACTTTATTACCGTGTCCAGCTTACGACCAAAATGACAGATTAGCATTTTTAGAAGATCAAAAGAAACAGCAACAACAGCAGGGCATAAAAAAGAAAATTATTATTAAAAAAAGACAAAATATACATACTACAACAGCTATAAAAAATGAATCGTAGATTTGACAGCAACCCCTTTCTAAATAATGAATCAACAAAAAAAAAAAAATTGTAAATAATAGACGATGGCTGCTTATTATTTTACATGTAATTAATAGTTTACCTTAACTTAATTATTTATTCTCTTCATTAAACCCTAACCCTCTTTCATAATACTACTACTCTACAAAACAACGACAATATGATTAATAAAATCCCTTTGATTTTTATTATGTACACCCCCTCCATTTCCACAATAAAAAAGAAAACTCCTATTTAAATTGAAACAATTCAAAAAAATGCAGCTTATTTTATCTTTTCTTTTTTTTTTTATGAAATTTTTAATATCGATTTTAGCTCTTTTAGTAAGTTTAGCAAGTTCCTATGAGATAACATCACCTAATTATTGTGACTGTAAGTAATTAGATATGTAAAATACATAACTTGAATATTACCATTCTATCCAATCTTTAGCAACTACATTATCTTGTCATTGGACTGCTCCTGTTAGTTCTTGCTGTTCTCCAAAATATGGATTAGTTGTTCTAGCTCTACAATGGAGTCCTGGATATGGTCCAGTTGATGAATACACTATTCATGGTAAGGAATAGATCAAAGTTAAAATAGGTCTAACTTCTTTACTCTTATATACATATTTAGGCTTATGGCCAGATACATGGTAATAAAATACATACTAATGTTATAATATGGATACTTATATATATATATATATAAAGTTCAGGTCGCATGGCACCTACACGTGGTTGCGATAAAAGTAGAGTTTCAAATCAAATTGCTAGTATTATTCGTAATATGAATACTACAATTTACAATAGAATGAATGTATTTTGGCCAAGTAATAAAGGAGATAACAATTGGTTCTGGTCACATGAGTGGACAAAACATGGAACTTGTGTAAGTACATTACGTCCTACCTGTTATGGTTCAGCTTATAGAAAATATCAAGACGTAATTGATTACTTTCAGGTATACTACACTACTAAGTTTATGATATGTATGCATATATTTATATATTTGTATTCATTCTTGTTATTAGAAAGTACTTGATTTACGTGATAAATACGATATTTTTGGTGCTCTCAAGTAAGTTACTACTTTTTTTTTTTTACCCTCCTCCTCCTCCTATTCCCGTCTCTTTTGTTTGAACTCAAATTTGTATAATCATTTATCCCTCTAGTCTAAATGGGGTTCCTCCTGGTGGCTATTACAATGTTGAAACAATTCGTGAAGCAATCAAAAAGGCTTTTGGTGCCAATGTTAAGCTTGATTGTATTCGTAATACGTTAACTGAAGTGTCACTTAATTTTTATGTTAGAGGACGTGATGAATATGTAATCACTGATGTACTTCAACCTGGTAATTGTAGAGGCGCTGTTTATTACCCAAAGAAATAATTTTTTTTTTTTTTTTTTTAAATAATTAAAAATCATAATCATCGTCTTCTATTAATTCTCTTCCTCGTTTATTATCTGTTTCTTCTTCTGGTTGTTGTTTATCAATCATCATTGGTGAAGATCTTTCTACATTTGGTTTTGGTGGTGGTGGTGCCTTTAAAATAAAATAATGATCATTATTAAATGTTCAATACATTATATATATTAAAATTAAACATACATCAGGTACAATTGAAAAATTAATTCCTGTTAAACAATGTTTATCTGCTGGTAATCGTATACCATATTTCTCTGGAATAAGTGGTAAAGGCTGTTTATTCTTTTCTTCTGCTAGCTCTAATAAAAACTGAACCATATTTAAAATTATTATTATTATTATTTTTTTTAACATACATGTTATATTTATAATGGAGAAAAAGACTTACCTCTTTTGGCGGAGGTGTTGTAAATGAATGATTAACGCGTCCTTGTATAGCTAATTGAACATCTTCTAGATCTATATCATTTTTATTTGCATGCTCTGCATAAATAAGTGAATCTTGAAATACATCAGTTGTATATCCTAATATGCAAGAATTAGCTTTCCATTCATTTCAATGATTCATAACTTTACTATGTGCAAATTCTAATAATTGATGAACTACTTTTGGATCATAATCCTCAACTCCTAGTGATTGAAGAATGAGTGAAACGATCCTTGCATCGCGTGGCTGAACAGTTTGTTTTTGTGAGTCGACTGCCATAGATGATCTCTCTCTTTTTTTTTTTTTTTTTATAAAATAAATTGAAAATAGAAAAAAAAAAAAAAAACAATATGGATTGGCCGAATAAATGACGACGACATCCATTTCGGTTAATAAATTATCCGTAAAATTATTATATACATATTAAAACACAACAAAGGGGGTATTTATTTATTTATTTATTATTAACCAACTTCTTTTCTTCTATTTCCTTTTGATGCTCTAAAATTGCTTTTGCAGTCTTTCTCTTTTGTCTTTCTTCAAACCTAAAGATATATTAAATAAATAGAATGCCCCCTCCCTCCTTTTCTTTTTTAAAAACTAAATTTTAGTATTATCTCTTACTTGTTACGGTTTTCAATGATACGTTGAATGATGCCCTCTGTTGTAATAGTAGATTGAGGCGTATCAATTTCAACATAAATACCAAGCTTTTTAGGTAATTGATAAGGATCTTTGCCATCCATATCTTGTTCTAAATGACTATGACCATGTGCTACAACGGACACATTATATTCTCCATGTAGTATTTCTTTTGTAACACTATAAGGTGCACCAATAATAACTTCGTCCACATAACGACATGCTAAAACACTAAGAGCACGTTCATGTAAATTCATTAAAGGGTAATTGAATCCCTTGATGGCATTGACCGTTTGATCGTCATGAATGCCAACAATTAAGAAATCTCCTAAGGCTTTGGCTCGTTTCAAGAATTCGATATGTCCAACGTGGAACAAATCAAATGTACCATCTACATACACCACTTTATCTTTAGCTTTAGGTTCACGACCCTCTGAGAACTGAACAATACGACGAGAGGTAGGCAGGAAATGAGATACAGTAGCCACTTTGGAACCATTGGCACTAAATGGTGCAAGTTCACTTGTATCAAAGGTAGAAATGATGGGCTCAGCTGCTGCTGCTGCTGTTGTTGTAGAAGAAGAAGGTCTACGATTATGATGATCACGAGTCATGAGCAACATACGACCCACGAGTTCTGTAGTAGAGACACCTTGAGTACGTTTACATTCACGATAGAGTCCTGCATCTTTCACTGCTTGATAACAATCTGTACCATCCGCCATAGTTGTGATATCATCACCATGAACACAAAAATCAATATTATGTTCCTTAAGAATTTCAACTGTAGTATTGTAAGGTGCATTAGGAACAACCTCATCAGCCCATTTACAGGCTGCTACTGCAGCATATCGCTCCTCCTCATTCATGACAGTCGGTCCTTTATTTTTTTCAATTTCTACATCTGAATGAACACCTACAACTAGAATATCACCCATCTCCTTTGCTTGTCTTAGGGCATTAGCATGTCCATAATGCATCATGTCAAAGCAGCCATCTACCCATACTCTAAAACCAACAACAACAACAACAAAAAAAAAGAAACGTAATAAGATTTTCGACTGCCCTTGTTTTTATTAAATTTATATTCTACCTAACTGGTTTTCTTTCAGTAACTGGCATATTTCCTTTCATACCAATGTTATTTGAAAAAAAATAAAAAAAAAAAAAATAAAATAAAAATGAATAAATAAAATAAAATAAAATAAAAAATATAGAGAAAGTTCAAGGGGAGAAATTTAAAGTTAAAATTAAGCTTCAACCAATAGAAAAATACGCCATAAAAAAACGAGTAAATTCATATATTAAGCAGTATTTACAATTTGATTCTAAAAGAGAAAAAAAGGTATTTTTTATATACACAAAATGATTTATCTTTTTCTTTTTGCATTCTTTTGTTTTCTCCAATTTTCAACAATATTCTGTACTCTTTTACTTGAGTGTTTTTTGTTATGAGTTGAAGTAAAAGAAGATATGTTATTATTCACATTGAAATAGGAATTAATCGTTACTTGTTCCCCAGTAGCCTATAATAATTAAAAAAAGTCAACTTTTCTTTTTTCCTTTTAATTTTAGAGAAAAAAACTTACTTTCTTTTTGTTCATTTCACGCAATACTGGCAAGAGGACTTGATCTGCCTTTTCTTCAGGCCATCCAAAGGCTTCCATCAAAAAAATACGAAGTGAATCTAACTGAGGATGTCCCCATTCAAACTTTTGTGAAGAGTGATCCACTGTCGGATTATAATAAGCATCAATAACGATTAGATTAGGAAAATCATCAGAAATATCAAGAGAGTGATGTCTCTTTCTCTAAACAATAATATGAATAGGTTTATATACAAGTAACGACTTTGAATTAAATACTTACAAACTTCTTTTGAAAGGGTGTATCATCTTTTCCACTATTATACCAGTCTTTAAATCTTTGTAATGGTAATTCTAATTTTTCTTCTTCATCTTGAGATCCAGAAAATTCAGCTAAAATTTCCATAGCTGCTACAGGACCTACACCCGGGATACCTTCAGTATAATCACTTCCTAATAAAAATGCTAGTTGAATCAACTTTTTACGCGTCAATAGCATTTCTCGCTCAATATCCTGTCTTTGATAACATTCAACGTATCGTTGTTGATTAAACATGTTTTTATAAACACGAGTGGCACCAAATAAGAATACGTCTGAATCATCTGTAATTGTTCCGTCTACTAAATTTAACTTTTCTAATTCTGCACATTGTGCTTCTGCTTCCATAGGTGAAACAACATAAGGTATTCCGAATAACTTTAAGAGTTCTTGAATATCTTGCACCATTTGATCTGTAATGTCATCTGAATTTCCCATTTCTTTTCGTTGTTGCTTATTTAACTTTTTCATATCTTGATAAAGCTCATTTTTTATATCATCCAACTTTTTCAGGGCAATATCTGATAAAAATCGTGCATATTCATCTTCTTCTGCTTCCACATTACCATCTAACTCCTCTTCAGAATTATAACCATGAGTGTCAGTTGTGGCTTGGACACTATGATCGACCATGGTCATCGTTTCATTCTCTTCAACTCTTTTATCGTTCATCTTCAATAATCCTTCCTTTTCTTTATTAGCACTCTTTAATTCACCTTCAACAATAACACTTGTATCTTTTTCTGATTGTAGAGATGGTGTATCATCTTTATAGTCAGTAAAATGACTTGAAAGCTCTGTATTGCCTAACTGCAGTGACGATTGATTTATATTGATATGTACATGATGATCATTTGTACTTTTATCTACTGCTTCTCCTTCTCTGACATCCTCTTTATTCATTTCATGTACTATTACTTCATCATTAAAAGATCCTTTATTGTCATCCGTGTTTGAGGCTACTGCCCCATCATATGTTTCATTTACTGTCTCCACAAATTGAATATCTTCCTCATCTTCCTCATCGTCCAACATAATCACATCTTGATCTTCTCTTACTGGCTCTGAAGGGGTTCGAATGTGCATATCCTCCTCTATTTCCTTGCTTGACACATCTACAAACACTTCCTCTTCATCTTGATTCAGTTTCCATTTAACTACACTTTCATAAAAGCCTTCCAAGAACTGCAAGGATTCTAGTGTCAACTCATCTCCTTCATTTGTTTTCCCGAATTGTTTACGTACAGATTGCAACTCCTTTAAAAGGCTCTCCATATCCAATTGCTCAATAGCTCTTCTTAATATATTTTTATATTCATTATTAAATGAGTAAAGATAGATAAATGCATCAGGTACTCTAGAAAGCCATAACTCATAAAAATCTTCTGCGCCAAGAAGTTCAATACTCTCCTTTTCTTTTAATAATTTCTCTTTATCACTTGGTTCATTTTCATTTCCATAAATACGAGAAATAACTTGTTGGATAGCTGCATCGTTATCATCATCATGAACATATTCATTGATAACATGACTAGATGTTCTGTCTTTTTTCCCCTCCATAAACAAAGGTTCATCATCATCATCCATATCTTCCTTTTCATTCATAATATCTTTGTTTCTTTTTTCATCTTCTTCCTCTTCATCGCTACTCAGGAACTGTTCAACTAAAGCAGCAAGTTTAGGATTAGAGGCTATTGCAGCTGCAACCTTATCATTAGATTCGTCAAGAGGCATATTTTCTTCCCTGTAATTAAATTATTAGTATTATACAAATGCATATAAATATATATATATATATTACTGCTTGTCTTTAGGAATTTCTAACTTTGGTTCAGAATGAGAAGGAACAGGATCTAAATCGACTGGATTAGATGCACTTAAGCCAGGTAACTTCCATCCGAGGCCTTCATCTATATTTTCATTTTTATATAAAATATATTCTCTTCCACGCTCGCTTGCAATACGTACAGGTTCCACTGAGATACCATTTGAAGCATTATTTACATTTAACAATCTTTGTCTCATTTCATTTCTATATTGTAATTGCTTGATCTGTTGTTTTGAAAAATCTAAAGCTGTCTTAGATCCACGTACCATTTCATCTAATCGAGCTGCTGAAGTCGTTCGGGATTTCCATGTACGCTCTTGGATAATTTCATACTGTATCTCTGTCGGTAAAGCATGAAATGCTTCAGAATCAATATCAAGCCCAGATAAATCAAACTCATTTACAAAGCTCTGCATTTCTTCTGTTGTGACAAAACGTGGATCAAGTTTATGTAAACGTGAGTTTAATTCATCTTGTTTCATTTCTGGAAGTTCATATGGATCCAATCTTCGTTTTTTACGACTTGATTCTGTTAATTGGTCGACATAAATATAATTCTCTTCTTCTTTCTCATTTAGCGGCTCACCACCACGCAGTCTAGTTAAAATAAATAAATAAATACACATATATAAAATCCTTTGATATATAATAGTATGTCCGTGTGTCTATTAAAAAAAAAAACCTTTTCTCTTCTTGGGATAAAACTCTTGATTTTAATTGTGCACTAAGAATTTTTTTTGCTGTAGCTCTCAAGTTCACTTTAACACCTTCTCTACGTTTTCGTCTTTCTCTCTATATATAAAGAATATTATTTATATAAATATACATAAACATATATATACACACACACACATACATACACACTATAAAATAAACTTTTTTTTTTTTTTTTTTTTTTATATATATTATTTACAATTGTATTTCGTTTTAATGAAGGAGCTCCGCCATCGAATACAAATACTGGTTTTATATCAAAAAATAAAAGTTTACAAATACGTCGAAAGAATCCAAGTAAATGACCATTCTTTAAGGCATTGCCTTCTCTGTCTCGCATAGTTCGCATAAATTGATGAATCCAAATGGATGCATCAACTGCAACTCTTTTCTGCCTCATTGATTCCAATTGAGTTGGTCTTGCTGCAGGTCCAATAAGCGACCATAATCCTTGAACACCCATTCAATCTTCTTGGTAATGTAGAGTTATGCTTTATTTTATTTTTTAAGAAAATGAAAAAAAAAAAAAAAAAAAAAAAAAAAAACTGCGGCTGTAAAAAAAAAAATGATTTATTAATAACAAAGTCCGCGCATGATAGCAAATAAATAGTAGTTTATTTTGGTTATTTTAATAAGTATATATGTATGTATGTATGTATGTATACTTGAGAAGGAAGAAAGGCGAGAGGAAGGGAAGGGAGGGGAATGAAGAAATAACAAACCAAAAATAATTAATAAATATTATAATAATATTATATATATAATATTATATATATATGACATGACTGGCATGGTATGGCTTACGATCTTTCATAGAGTCGACTATAGAGTGAAATACTAAAAGCAAGTGTAGCCATACCCGTGATAAAACCAACTATCCAATCAGCATTAGGTAATAGCTTCTTTGTCTTCTTGTGAGCTTTTAAAGTAATAAGTTCATCTAACGTAGGTTGCAATTTATTAGCATCTGATAACGCTTGTATTTCATCGAACAGGGCAATATTTAATTCAAATGAGTATATAGCTTCAGCTATAATAGATTCTATATATGCATATATATATTGAAGTTAATGCATAAAGAAATACATATTTTTCTAGGATTGTTACCTTTTGTTGATTGTGTCACATGAGCATTATCTAAACGAGAACGATATACATTTTTAAATTCTGCATGATTTTCAATATTTCTAAAGTTATAAAACTCAAGACCTTCAGATGAATCCCAAGCAAGATCAGTAACATCTAGATTAAGGACATGCTTCTTTAAACGTTTAGCCAAAATTTGACCACCTAACATTTAAATTTATCAAAAAAAAAAAGAAAAAAAAAAAAAAAAGGAGAGAGAGAGAGAGAAAATAAATACGAGGAAAGAGAAGAGAAAAAGAGTCAATGATATAAATTGATGTATATATATTTTTACCACTAAGATCACCAAGATATCGAACATAACTATGAGCAATTAAAAGAGATGGATTTCTTTCAGCAGCAGTATGTAAAGTTTTTATATAATCTTTAACAGCCGGAGTAACGTTTTTAAAGTCAATTAATTCAGCAACACGATCCCTACCATAATAATGTTCAAGATCTATCTCCCCCCCAAAAAAAAAAAAAAAAAAAAAAAGTTTAATAAATGTGCACATGTATTATTTCCAATGTTACCTTTTATTAAAGAGGTTACGCGATTAAGTTCATGAGGGAAATAAACCATTTTAACAGTAGGATTTTCTCTGTGTTGATAGAGTAAGTCTTCCATCGTTCTGTAACAGATAAGGAAAGGAAAAAAAAAAGGTTAATAAATATTATATTTATCAAATATGTATGTATGTATATAGATTTACTTGTAAACATAGTATAAAGAATTAATATATCTACCGTATTCAGCTTTTGTAATAGTTCCATTAAGGAAGCGTCTAATAATAGAATCAAGTTATAAATTACATTTTCTTTATATATGCATATATATATATATAATTTACTTTGTAAATATACTATTTTCAGCAAGACTATGGACAACTTTAGTTCCTTCCTTCATAGCAGAAGCAAGCTGAGGATCAGAAAGATAATCTTGACCCTTCTTTGATTGAGTTTCTGGTAAGAAACGATTCATAGTATTGCGTTTGATATCATATTCTATCATAAACATTTATATATTTATACATGTAAGAAAATCAGATAAGGAATATATAAAGATATCTTACCATATGCAGTTATCGAATGATCAACAGATGATTGAGTCATCATATCTTTTATATTATCATTTTTACCCATAGAAGCAAATGGACAACCACCTACTTTATATATATATATTCATAACTATATATATATATACAATCGTGTATTTCTATTTATACCTTCTTTCTTGTTTGAACTTGAAGAAAAAAAAATAATAGCATATAATAAAATTAATAACCATTTATTTATTGTATAGTATCAACTTACTTGATCTTAACATTCTCATCAAAATCAATCTGAGGATTATCTTGAACAGAGTGCCTAAATGAAGAAGCAATAGTAACAGTACTCATTATAGATAATTAAAAACTAAGTAACGAAGGAATAAATAATGAAATCTAATTTTCTTATCAGATTTTTTTCTCATATTTATAAACGACTTGAAAAAAAATCTGGCTTTTGTGACAGTGAATCTGATAAGTTTTTTTTTATCATCATCATGAGGGTTATACCCCTGTGTTATACACATAATCATTTTTTCATTTATAAAGTTTATTATGTTTCTTCAAACCTGTGTCATCTCCGCTAGTCCTCTTTTTTTTTCCCCCTCAATAAATAGCTTTCTCTTTCTTCGCAAACAATAGCCAAGTATATATATATATATATATGTACATACCTTTATTTAAGTAAAAATTAACAAGTGATATATGTATATATTTATATATTTAAAAGATTACAAAGTGTATTTAATGGTTAAATTCTGTAACATCCGATTAATTAAAGTATTGTGTATGGGAGGGTTGGTTTTACTGACTTTAAAGCAACTTCTTATTGTTCTTTTCTTTTTTTTTTTTTTTATTTTGGGGTTAATATGTATAAATGAATATACATTCCGGCATAAACAATTATCAGTTCATATATAACCATCTAATTCAATTATTTATCATTTTTATAAAATAAAACGTACTACTTTTTTTTCTTTATAATATAAAACTATATTTGTATATTAAATAGTATATTATAAATAAAAAAAGACATTCTTGAAAGAAAATAAAAAAAAAAATTATCAGATTTTTAATTTGCATCACTTATTTGTTTCATTGATCAATATTAGATCTTTCTTATTTCATTTTATCAGATTTTATAATTTAATCTCAGTACTTCATCATCATGACCCTGTCGATGAATCGATTTTTATAACACCATCAGAAGCTACAGCGATCTAATAGATAAAGCTGTCAATAGTTATTTATTTATTTATTTTGAGTAGAAACAAAAAAAAGCGCGATAATAATAGAAGGTTAAAAGAAAAAAAATAAAATAAAATAAATGTATAGCTTATCAACCAGTTTAACTTGAATGTATGACTCATACAATTGATACTATTCATATACAAGCTTAATATTTATTAATGTAGCTCTTATTTTATTCATTTTCTTTTTTTTTTTTTTTTTACTTTTCATATACATATAAACATCACTTGGAGGTGAATAAGATGATTCATTACTGCATTTATTGACAATAGACTGGGAAAAAAAAAGAAAGATACAATTCGAGTCCCGAAGTCATAAATGTGTTGTTTCTGAATGTGGCTGTATGCAGGTTAAGATGAAAGAAGAAAGAAATAGTGTAAAGTTTTGGTTTTAAACTTTATTAAAAGAATGTGTCAGCCTTAATTTCGAATAGTAGAATTTTTGTACATTACGATTGTATCTTATTCAACATAAAAATATGTCTGTTACATACTATCTCAATTATGCGAATTGATACAAAGATGTTCTTTTCTATTTATTAATTTGCAATAGTCATGATATGGAAATTAGAGATAGTATAGCTACTAAAATAAAAAATTATATTCTTCATTTTTAATAGAAATATGAGTGGAGAGGCTAATAATGTCTCATCATCGTCATTTTTAGTCATCCTATGATTTATATATATATATATATGTGAAGGAGAGTTTTGTAGTCATGTGACTTCTTTGTTGACTTTAATGCAAACAATAAGTACCTTATTTTATTCAGTCTCAATAAATAAGTAAAGTGCATACTCAACATTTGAAGATGACTGAAACCATTACCTCTTTTATAATTTAGTAAGATAATGTTAATACTTTTATGTTATTTGAAAAAAAAAACCTCTATACTTGAACCTAATTATTATATTTTTTCATGAACTGTATTGATTTACTATGATAAAAAGCAAAAAGTAGTAAAATAGGTCAGCATAATTTGAATCCTCTACTACTAATAGAATCCTTCCCTTAAATAAACAAAGAACTATCTTTATTCGTATTCTACAAAGGTGATACAAATATATGCTTACATAATATTCCTTTAACTAGCACATCATAGTTCTAATTCTTAATTTTAACCCATTATAGTGGGATAGCATTTAGCATTTAAATATGTATGTTGTATGATATGTGTAAACATTCAAGGTAAAAAAAAAAAAAAAAAAAACAGCGGGGTTACAAAATTATACTTTTTCTTCATTTTTCGCATATGATAAAAAAAAATATATTGTATAATGTGTTATTATACTTTTTTTTTTTTTCTATAGATACATACATAAGATAAGCATAAAAGGATTGGATGGAACAAAGTAAGTAAGATAAAAATGAATAAGTATACCTTTTTAAGAAGAAAAGAAAAAAAAACTGAATATACATTAAATAAATTGATCTTAATTTGCACATTAACCGCTTTGATGCGTAGAATCAACAAAGTAAACATTTTTAGTAACATTAAAAAAAAAATAAAAAACAAAAAGATTAATCATTCATTTTAATTTAATAGATCTTTTTGGAAACGCCGAGGACTTAAATTACCTGGAAGGTAAAATATTATTAAAGAAGGGGAGAAAGATGATGAGTGAATATACCTATTATAATGGAAAAAAAAAAAAAAGATTACATAAATCTAATTATAACTCACTCAGTATAAGTATTGTTCCTAGTTGGTCTAGTACATCTTCGAATGATACAACTGAACCTATTGTTATAGGCGCAAGGTATACTTATAATAGCTTAATAACAACGAATGACCCATCATCAAAACCTGTCATGTTACCATCTCAATATCCTACATCACAACAACAATCGTTAATTAAAAATAGTCGCGTTCAATCTTCTAATATAACTACTGATTCCAACTTAAAAGATAAACAACAACCAAAGAAGCAGACACAAGTAAAAAATAAATCTCATCAAACGTCATTTAAAGCCTTCTTAAAAGATACCAATGATGAATGGAGTGATGATATACACGAACAACAGCCTTTAGATATAACAAAAAAGACTGATAAAGATTCGGAGAAAACTACAAAATCTACTGAGGCTTTAGTGTGTGTCGCTGCATCTCAAGAAGATTCTTCAGATACAAAGCAAACATTGAAAGTGCCGAAAAAGAAAAGATTAATAAATCCAAATGGCATCAAAGATAATGTAAACGATTTACTATTAGGTATAAAAAAAAATTGATTGAAGCTAAAATTAGATCTTCTGTTTGATATATGAATTTTTGTTAGATCCTACCTATTTATTGAAAAGAATAAATCTAGAAGAGACAAAAGATCCTACAAGAACAAAAAAGTTTATGGAAGTCTTGTCAGTTTCAAATGTTGACTTGGGTAAAAATTAGAATTTCTTTTGGATAATAATTCATAGTTTATTGATATATCCCTATTGAATTTAGTGACGTTGAGATCTTTAAGTTGGAGTGGTATACCTGAAGAATTAAGGATGATGGCATGGCAATTATTACTAGGTTATCTACCTTGTAATTCGACCAGAAGAGAAATTACATTAGCTCGTAAACGAAAGGAATATTCAGATAGTGTTGCAGTTACATATGCAAGAGGAACAGCAGGATTAGATCAAGCCTTATGGCATCAAATTCATATAGATATACCCAGAACTAATCCAGGTATACCTCTTTATCAATGTGAAGCAACTCAGTCGGTAGGTATATAACAGACTGAAATTAAAAAATATTTTTTTGTTTTTTTGTTTTTTTGCTTATGTATACTATACTATACTAGTGTTTGGAAAGAATATTATATCAATGGGCAATACGACATCCAGCAAGTGGTTATGTGCAAGGAATTAATGATTTAGTAACACCTATATTTGAAGTCTTTCTTTCTGCTTATATAGATGAAGATCCAGAATATTATGATGTTAGTAAATTAGATACAAAAGTATTAGACGTGATAGAAGCAGATAGTTTTTGGTGTCTATCAAAACTACTAGACGGTATACAAGATAATTACACCTTCGCACAACCTGGCATTCAAAGGCAGATCACAATATTAAAAGAATTAGTATCGCGAATTGATGGTAAATACAAATAAAATAATATATAATTTAAACTGATCTTTATGTATTATTCCTTTTATTAGCTCGTCTTACTCAGCATTTACAAAATGAAGGAATTGAATTTATACAATTTGCATTTCGTTGGATGAATTGTTTATTAATGCGAGAATTACCATTACGTAGCACAATTCGTATGTGGGACACATACTTGGCAGAAGGGTCATCAGAAGGCTTTTCGGAATTCCATGTATATGTTTGCGCTGCATTTCTGGTGAAATGGTCTAACCAATTACAAAAATTGGATTTTCAGGGAGTTATGATCTTTCTTCAGCAATTACCTACTCAAGGATGGCAAGAGAAAGATATTGAATTATTACTGTCAGAAGCATACATGTGGAAAACATTATTTCATAATGCTCCAAATCATTTAAAATAAATTAATTTTAACAGTGTATTTTATATATATATATATATATATACATATTTACATCATGTGTTTCCATGAGGCTGGTTATACGAGTCAGGGGCAAAGGAGTAGTGATAACAACCTTCACAGTTATTTTTCAGGGACACAATACATATGCTACAATTAACAGAAAAGAAAGGGGGTTCTTTTCAAAGGCTTTTATTTATTTAAACATCTATTGTTAACATACTTAGATATACATCATATAAACATAATTATTGAAATTCAATATTTATATATATGAAGAGAGAATGAGAGAGAGAGAGAGAGAGAGAGGGAAAGGGCATATATGTATATGTATATGATCTAACAACTACAAAAAAAAGGGGGGAAGGGTTTTACAATTTATACAAGTTAAGATGTTGATATAATACTAGTTTTACAATATAATATGAAAGAAAGTACAAAATGCTAAATGAGGCATAAATATAAAATAGAAATAGTATAGTTTTAAAATGAGTGCATATAAGAGTGTGAAAAGGCGTAAATTGATATTAGCATATCCAAGCATATATATATATTTGTTTATCCAAAGGTACTGACAATGTTGGCTAAATGTAATAGATTTGAAAGTGACTTTTGTGTATTTGGAATCCATTCATGATATTGATGGCATTCATTATCTTCTGGTTGAATATGTTGAGGATAATAAGGAATAAATGGTGGTGGTGGAAGGAGAGTGTAAGGGTAGTCATGGTCTGGTTGAAGTTGGTCATGATAATAAGGCATTGAAGTAGATGAAAATGTAGAAGAAGAACTTGCGGTAGAAGATGTTGAAAGCGCGCGTTTAGGACGATTTGTAATGACTTTAGAATAAGGCAAATTATGATGTGGTGTAATAGTTTTATTATAACTTGCTGTTAGAGGTTGTAAAGATGATTCATCCTCACGTCCATAATAAGAATGGCAAAAAAGTTGAGGCTTCTTTTTAGTCCTTCCCATATCTTTTGTATTTTTCTTTTGATATTGTCGACGCATCTTTTGACAAAGATGAGTACGATAATGTTGCATCATATTATCTTGACGAGAGAATCGACTAGGACATCCAGGATGAAGACAATGAAAATTCTTTTCGCCTGTATGAATGCGATTATGTCGAGCCAAATGACCGCTGCAAAAAAAAAATAAAATAAAATACATATTAATATATTAAAAAATAAAAAAGAGATTTACATTAAATATAATACCTAGTCGTGAAACTTTTATTACATCCAGCCTCATTACAGTGATATTTTCTTCTAGGATCAAAATTTGAAGATAAAGTAGATGTTTTTGAATTCACCTTACTATCTTCGTTATTTAAAAGACTAAATTGTTTGCCACTAGCGTTTTTAATCAATAAAGTAGAGTCCATGATATTAACAAAAAAAAAAAAAAATAAGGGTTTAAGAAATTAAAATAATAAAAAAAAACTTTAACCTTTTTTTTTTTTGTATTTATACAATTGTATTATTTCTTTTTCGTAAGTTTAATATCTCAATTTGACGCACTGATTTAAATCAATAATATGAGCCTAGATTACTCCTTACTCCTAAGCCGCCCTGCATCACTAAAACGGAAATAAAACAACAACGTGCTTGTTTATAATAAACGTGAAAATAAAAAGGCAGAAAGAAAAAAAAAGTTTCCTAATATCTAACAAGCTTAAATTAGCTCCTTCTCCTTTTTTTTTTTCTTTTTTTTTTTATTCAATTTCTCCTTATTACCACAACTATTAAATATTCTTCATTATTAACCTATCCCTCTTAAGTGTAATCAGTTTAACCGAAAAGGATGAAAGATAAAATTGGATTTTGCCACTTAATATGCATGCGTAATTTTCTTTTTTTTTTTAATAGAAAATAGTTTACCTTATATATAAACATGCATAACATGTAAAATTAGATCTTGATTCATTACATAGCACAGTAATAAGCCAAGAATACTATTATATTTACATAAATAAAGTCAAAGTGTTTATTTTGCATAATTTCAATAATATAGTTAAGGGTTCTTTATATAAAAATATATATCCTAGTTTATATTTATAAAGGGTTCAATATGAGTACAAGAAATATATAATAGAACACTATTTAGTCTTTATAAGAAGATCTACTCAATAATCATATACTAATTTTTTGTATATAATTCATAGTTGAAACATCTCTTCATTCTCCTTAATATACATATATTATCGCCATCCTACTTTGTAATCTCCTAATATTCAAAATGCCACGTTTTTATCACTTGGTTAGTGATTTGCATTTTCGAGTTATGGATATAAATATACATTTAGCCAAGTCGAGTATTTTTTTTTTTTTTTTTTTTTTTTAGTATATTACACATTTCATTATTCCTTAGATTCGAATAAAATTGAAAACATGTATACAAAATTGTTGGTCAAATCAAGAAGTCATTATGCATATGTTTTCGTAAAGCCGCGATACTTTATTTTTGTGTGTTTTCGGCCCGAAAAAAATAGGATGCAGCATTTGTCAATTAACCTATTATCGTATGATTCCACTTCTTCCTACTCTCTACTCCCCCCCTTTTTTTTTTCCCCCCACTCCTTCTTTGATTTTATATATGTTGAACTTTAAAGTTACTCTATGTTTTATTTTTCTTATTATATAACTGATGAAGGCAGATGCACTTTTATTGCTGTGCTATCACAGACAAAATATGTCATCACTGTGTACCAAAATACATTATTGTGAAAGTAACTCTAAATCTACGCTTTTAATTGGTAACCAAATAATGTCGTTATTATTATTATTATTATTATTCCAAAAGTATCACATAATGTAATAGGTTGCATTATTTAATATGTAAAAGAAAAAAAAGCACTCAATCTGTATATGCTATAAAAAAATCTATTTAGGATCTATTACAAATACATTTATCACGAGTTTTGTTATCCTTTCACCATAGAAGCAAGGAAAAGCGATTTTATGATTTTTGGTAATTCTTTGTTCTCTGTGCAAATATGCGCATGATTTCCTAAAGCCTTTTTTAACCTATATATAACTACGTTAGATAATTTATTTTATGATAATCAATATAATATATTTACTGTTCTGCTTGATTTTGGATGCTACCAATAAATATCATTTGTGCAGTTACTCTATCATCAGATTTCAAAACTATATAATATATTGAAATAAATAAATGTATACATATATATTAAAGGGAGCCCCTTCTTTTTTTATATTAGTAAACTCACTTCTAGCAATATCATTTGGATGAATATTATATTGCGCTATATTAGCATCCGACAAAACAACTACAAAATAATCATCCGCTTCTTCCACTACTATTTCTTTTATGGAATGTGCAGCAGCTCCAAGAGTATTATCGCCACTCAAACAATATTGTGAATGTGCTTTCATTTTACTGATAATCTCAAATGCCTCCTTTTCTGTTTTGGGATATTTACCAGGCGTAACAAACTCGATATTTGCTCCATCTCCACTATGGCCTATAATTTTGTATGCAAATTTATGCTCAAATCCACGGAAGGATTCCATTAACATAAGCGCGACCTCCATGGATCGTTCCAAGCGACGATCATGAGTATTAAAACGAAACATACTAGTAATAATAATGATCATGATTACAATAAAGTAAATTATATTAATTGAAGAAAAAAAAAAAAGGTACCTTGCAGATAAATCGAATACAAAATTCATCCTCTTGGGTTTATCTTGGAAAAGACCAAGTTCAGGTTCATCTTCTCCTCTCTTTTTATAGATATCTCTTTCACCAGTAAGACCTTCAACACTGTTAATAATTATAGTTGACAAGAAAGAAATAAAGGTTTTTTTTTTTTAGTAGTTTAATATAAATATAACTATTACCCTCTCACTTACATTTTTGTATCATCCAAATCACCAGAGGCCTGGTTTTTAAGCCAAATTCTTTCATGCTTTTTTGCTTCGACACTTTCTAAAATAACTCTTAATTCACGAACTTCACGACGAATATTTTCCATAAATTGATTATATTGCTAGAAGAGTCAACGTATATATACATATATAGATATACATATATAGATAAATACATTATGATACCTAAATAGATAATTGAATAAACAAGCTTACATGGAAATCTGCTTGAGTCATTTGAAGTTTAGATAATTTCTTTTCCATAGCCTGTTCATGCATTTCTCTATAAACAGTAAAAAAAAAAAAGGAGGTAAGAGTATACTTTACTAATATATACATATAAATATATACATATTCATATATTACCTTTGAGCACGGCTAATTACTTCGGGTTCATCACCAGCCGTTTTCTAAATTTAAGAATATACAATTTAATATATATATATATATATATATATATATATATATATGTATATATCATTACCAATTTGATATTATCAATATCTTCAAATGATGCTTCTTGACGACCTTCTTCATTCATATTATTACCAGATCCATTCATTCCACCACCTCCTCCAGAACCAGATCCTGAAGAACCACCATCTCCATCGCCCATCCCGGAGCTCCCTCCTGATCCTTGTCCGTTAGCATTATTTTGACATTGAGTGTCTGCATTATCACTTTGTTTTCCAACTATTTTTTGATTTTCCTCATCAAAATCTATATTATTTTTCTAAATAGAAACCAATTTAAGTCTTTTCTTTTCTTTTCTTTTTTTTTTTGTTCAAAAAGATAATAATAACAATAAACTTTACATCTTTATCGGTTTCATAAATAACGGATAGAACCTTTTGATCAACACCAACCATCTGTTTCCAAGTCTTTGCAGCCTGGTAGATCTCATTTGAACTTACTTGCCAAACTCGAACTGTGCCTGCATTATCCATAGTGACAAGATTACCATTTGAAAGTTCGCACATGGTAGCTACAAATCGTTCCACTTGGAATGAATTATTCCCAGGTAAAAAAGGAGTGTTCCTAACAAAAGAAAATATGAATTTATATGAATATATATGAGTATATATATGTATGTATGTATGTATGTATATACTTTACATAGAACCTATTACTGAAAGGGGTATCTTAATACGCCAGATTTGATTTAATTGAGGATTTAATAAATCTAAAGAACCTTCTGCACGACCATCTGTAGGAGGTTGAATGATAGCTAACTGCTGTGTCTTTTCCAGATACAGTGTAGAACCCTTTATTATCGATGCTATTTGTTCATCACTATGTTGCTTTTTAAGATACGATAACACATTGACTATACCACCTGTATTATCAGTGAATTCAGAAAGAGAGCATCCTTCAAGGATAGAAGCATAAGTATCAAGACGTGTAGTTTGTGCTATTTTAGCACCAGGCATAAACTCCTTCTCAAAGATATGAATAAACTCATTTATCGTGGACTGACCATTCTGTCTCAAGACTTGAATAGGTTCCATGACATTAGGTAACCCGACTATTGTATTTGTACTATGACTTTTAGGTAAGATAGCATATAGCAGTTGATCACCACGACTACCACGAGCAATCCAAAAGTGATGCTCAAGGACATAAAGTTGATTGATACGATGAGGGAAACTTAAGGTATGTTGCTCTGATGTATTAAAATCAATTACGGTTACGACAGATTGGTCCTGTTGGTAAAAGATCAAGATACCCGTTGAACTCAAATTATTACACATGATTGAACTGACAGGTTCAAGACCACGAATAACGACAGAGATAACCTTCCTCTTCTTAAAGTCACAGCAAAGGAGCTCATTATTAGTAGGATTATGAAGGACAACATATTTTACCATGCCTGTTTGTGCGGCACGTATGATAGAGATACGAAGTCTAGGAGGTGCTCTTTGAAGAGGAAAATATTCATAAAGATCCAAACTATCTACATGTTTATGATTAGGGTCAATTCGATGAAGGGTGACAGGGTTTGTGGTAACGACAAAGAGTGTCCCATCATCCACAGTAGCAATATCAAGTGCTTCACCACGAGTAGGAATATGGAAGGAATAAAGCTCTTCAGAGAATACTGTAGATCTTCCTTCTTTCCTTTCGAGGTCCTTCCCTCTCTTTCCAACCTCTATATCCCAACTTCCACGAATAGCAATGGGCTCACTTATTACCTTTGTCGCCACATACCCTTCCGCTGCAGATGGAGGTGCACGGGTCCATTGTTCGGACAGAACAGGCTCTCCTAATGAAATAACATCACCCAATTGCATAGAAAAATCGGATTCAAGACCTACCGGAATACCGTGTCTCTCAAAGATCTCGATGACGAGCTCCTTGGAGGCTTGATCATATTGATCAAAGTCAAACACATTTTGCAAAATCTTTGATATACCTTCCTCTGGATAATTTTCAATATGAAGAACGACATTGACTAATTCACGAGTTGAATAAGGGTATGAGATCAAGCCCTCATCTGTTAGTTTACGTAAATCAGTAAAGGCACTCGATAATTTCATAAGCAAGTCCTTAGAGACATGAGGGCCATATTTGCGTAATAAAAACATTTCAGATAACATATCAGGGTTATCTACAGCATGACAGCTAAAGACATCACCAATCTCACGGTAGAAATCGTTGCCTAAAAAGGGGTAGCCAGGTCGATTGGCTAAGACAATCATACGGAAATTAGGATGAACCAGGATATGAGCTCCCCCTTCTTGTAAATCCGTTTCTTTCGAAATAATACGTCGACCATCTCCGAGAACCATTTGTCCATCCTCAACCAAACTTTTAAGAACTGCCGTAACATACGTGGGGGCTTTATCAGCTTCATCTACAACCAATATGGTACCCTCACGAACAGCTTTAATGAGAGCAGAGTCCTGATAGGTTAAGACACCATTAACAATAGCAGGCGTAGTCGTTAAAGTTTGAACAGTACTGTCCCGATGTAATTGAATATATTCTCGAGGTAATTGGAGTAACTGTAAAAAATAATCTGCTAATTTGTTTTTACCGACACCTTGGTTGCCAATCAACAATAAATGATCACCTAATTGATAGTCTTTAAGCATCTCCTTTAGGATTTCAGTATGAGCAGGGTTCTCATGAAAGACAACATGAGGGATTAGCATGGGGTCACCACCTTTAAATACAGGCTGAATGACATTACCAATTCGAATCTGCTCAGGCGACTGCCTAGAGGGTAAAACTTCAATCTCTTCTACTACTGGTGGTGGAGTATTGTCAGAGGACTTCTTTTTAGATGGTGGATAAATACCATTAGCGATCATAACCGTCTCAAGGGCTTCACGCGCAACAGTGGGCATAAAGCGTGATAAGGCTGCCTTTTGAATAGAGGCATATAAACTTTCATTTTCAAAATAAGATAAGCGACGACAGATACGAATGAGCTGACGTGTTGAGAGAGCGCTTGACAAGAGACGTATCGTTTCATCTTTGTCGCGACGAAGACGTCTAGAAAAGGTTAACAATTGTTGAAGTTTCCTTTCATCAACGCCAGGAGAGAGAGCAGTCAAGACTTCTTGCTCTTCATGGGATGGAAGTGTGTCAACAACGATGAAATGAAACATAGATAAAATCTCTGCTGTTAACCAGGAACCAGCCTTTGTATCCATCTGTCCACTCAGACCTGCTCTTGCCAATGCGACGATACGGAAAGAAGGATGGATAGGGAAAATTCTTTTGGTCTCCAAGCTTTCACGTGGTTGTTGGGACATTAACTGAGCATAACGTTTGCTACTCACAAAACGAGTACCGTCTGGTAATTGTGTCTCACGTTCAGAACAGAGTCGTTGAAGTGTATTCAGAGTACCATAAGAAAGAGCTTCGATACCGTCTAAAACAGCAAGATGACCATGAATAGCAGCCTCTACTAAAAGTGAATTCTCCCAGACGGTATCACCAGTAGGGGTAGTCGATCTACGTTGAAGTAAATCTCGAGAGGACATATCACGATAAAGTGGAATATAATCAATTGTATAACCTAAATTACGAGCAAAATGCCTGACGAGAGCAGATTTACCTACACCTTTCTGTGTACCGATTAAGCAGATATCTTTACCGCCAGCATGAACTAGCACCATGGCAGAAAAGATGTCTCGATGATAAGGAGTTTCAATAAAGTATTCTGCAGGACTAAAAGCTGAGGGACCACAATAGATAGGTAATTCAACTGTATCGTGTTGGTCAGATGCACATATCGCAATCGCTTTATGAGCATCAACAGACTTATTTGAATTGCTAATAATTGGATCTAGACTAGCAAGTGAATAGCCAGAAGACGTCTGGCGTGCCTCTACAGTTGCTTCCACTACAGCTGACTTTACATTAAATCTTCTATAAGCGGATTCAATCACGCTTAATTGCTCTAAATCACAGGTAGGTAAAAGTGGATAAGGGTACAAGATATCAACGAGAAAACGTGGATGAATATGAGGAACTAAGGATAACAATGGAGCTAAGCTCTCAATGGTCATTGGAAACTCAGGAACTTGAATTCCATGGTTATCATTTTGTACACCCAAGACTAAACTAATAGAAATTAAACGTTCAATTAATTCTTGGGATACTTTCTCATTATTATTAATCAAACTAAGCATTTGATTCACTTGTGATTTAAATTCAGGAGCCTTAATATTTCTACTTTGGAATCGTGATCGAAGGGGAGGATCAAGAGGATAACCAACATAAGGCGGTACAGGTAAACCTTATAAATATATGTATTTATATATACGTATAGATGTATAAATTTTATTATTCTTAATTTCTAAAAAGTCAGATTTACCTAACGCAAATACTAAAAATCGAGGACTGACTTTCTCAAATTTAGTATTTGATGTATTCGCTAGTTCTTTTGTAGTTAAGAAACGACCATCTTCTAATGACATTTCACGATTTTCTAGTAAATTGTTAAGAATTGGTAATACATTGCGCTCAGCTTTTTCGATACCATCTAATACTAAAATACGGCCGTAGATAGCAGCTCTTACGGCAGCTTGATCTACATAGAATGATGTACTGTTTTGAAGCTCTCTTCTCTGCTTTAAATCAGCATCTGTCACATCTTTAGATAATGCAACATACTCTATTCTAATATATATATATATATTAATAAATGAATCAAACTGTATTGTATTCTTTATTTTACTCTCTTTGTGTCATCTCTGCATATTTCATTACAAGATTACGACGCAAAGGTCCAGGAGGACCTAATAAGAAAATATCTTGACCCAACTATAAAATTTTATGTTATTATTATTATACTTGTAAGCGCTATTTCTTTCATGGATTTGCCTTATCCTTTTGCATAATCCTAGAATAAATAAATAAAAACAATATAAAAAATCGTATTAATGTATTTGCAACTATACGTATAATTAATGTGAATACCATCTTAAATGCCGCAAAATATCCTAATTGAATTAAAAAAAAAAAAAAAAAAGTAAATATTTATTATCATGAATTATAAGAATCATATTACTTGAGCATCATCATAAAAAGGGCCTTCTACTTGGGGTACTAACTCTGGGTTTTCGGCAGGGTAAATAGGCATAACAACGTCTCCGATACGTACAGACTTTATATTAGCTATGTATATATTTAGAACTCTGTATCTATTACTTTGGAAATCAAGAAAAAAAAAAAGTTAAATCACCTTCTTGAACTAATCCTTCATCTTCTGAATCAGACCAACCAGCTTTTGAGGGGTCCAAGATAGCACCAAGTTGTTTTAACCGTCTTTTTGCTTGTTTGTAATTTGAAGTCATTAGATTGAAATGTCTTTAAATAAAAGTGTGGGGAAGACAGAGAAAAATAAAATTCATTTAAATCAGCATAAAAGAATACTATTAGTCATCTTATTTTAACTTAAATTTCAGATGATTTTAATTTTGTCCTGAAAATCTTTTGTGATTATGTAAAAAAATCATATTAAAATAAAGTATAATCGTTTTATAATCTAACAATTACATTTTATTAATGTACATTATCCTAATTTAAATGATGAAATGGGCTTTAAAAAAAAACAAGTAATAAATCATCATAAAATTAAGATTTATCCAATTGAATGATTTTATTCATTTCCTAGTCTACAGTTTAAATGACGAAATCATAACAAATACAAGAACTTTTTTTTTTCTTATTAAAAGTCGAAAATATAAAGCACTTTATATTGAATTTCTTTTAAATAAAGGAAAAAAAAACAGAAATCAACCAGAAAAAGAGTTTTGTTATTACATACATTGATGAGCTTATTACAAAAAAAAAATATGACATATGAATACATACTTTATTATATGCGTAAATGAAATTAAATAATTTGTTCTCTCTCAAATAAGAATAAATAAACCACATCACTGGCTTTTCCCAAAAAAGTAATAGGAGGGTATATGTCACATTGTCTGTGCCTCTCTCATTGACTTTCCTTTGATATCTAACGTGGTATGACTCTCAGCAGGACAAAAAATTGAACTAATGAGTTTTACATTAGATATGTTCTTCCTGTGCTTGAGCTTTGTAACTGTAAATCATGATTTTTTTTTTTTTGACACCGCTAATTGTATTTTTTTTTTTTTTTTTTTTTTTTGCAACAACGACCTTAATACTCTATACTATTCCAGCGAAAAATAAATGATCTATTAAAAAAAAAAGAAAAAGTTTTGTTTGTGCTATATTTTCAATAACAATAATCAGATGCTGACAACACAAAGATAGTTATAAAACTAATTCTAGCTCTCTTTCTCTTATTATTTTATTATCATACTAACTGACCATCAAAGATAATAACTATTTTAACGAAGTTTACTACTACAAGAAGAATTGTTTTTTTCTACAAGTTACCGAACAATAATAGACCAAGACGAAGGATGCTTTCTTTCTTCATTATCTTTTATATATAAGATCAAACAATATTGAAATACAGATAAGAAATTCTATTGGTTTGATCACGTGATTTTAATATCAGGAAATGATTCTATATTTTATAAAAAATTTCTTTCAACAAATGCGTTCTTAGTTTAATGGTAGAATTTCACCCTTCCAAGGTGAAGGCCGGGGTTCGATTCCCCGAGGACGCATCTTTTTAATTTTTTTCTTTTTTTTATTTTATTGTTGGATATTTGTACAGTAAATATATTTTATGCAAGCAATTCTATTTATTTTTTTTTTTTTCCTTACAACACCAATTATATTCTTTGTTAATATTATAAATAAAATGAAACCTATATTATTATTCTGAAAAGATAGTACATGCTGTTTATTATAATAATACGTCAAAATAGACCATGCCGCTATAATCATGCATAAGAAAACAACTATGATCATAAACCTTAAAGTTATCTTTAATTTCTTCTGTTTGTTACACAAAAACAAGATACTAAAATAATAATAGTAGATTTAAACGATTACTGCAGATCTGTTATGCCATATAATCCTATTTTATAGTGATTTTCATTTTATTCAAAAAGAAAAGAAGATGTAAATAAAACAAGTTGTCGTTGTGTATATTCTATTTAGCATAATATTTTTATTTTTATTTTTATTTTTAAAAAAGAAAAAAATAAATAAATAAATAATAAAAAAAAAAAAAAAAAAAAAGAAAATGACGCATTGATAAAAATAAATTATTTTTTGAAACTTTTTTTTTTTTTTTCTCTCTCTTTATTTTATTTTTATTTTATTTTATTCTTCCCCCCTCCTACTTTTATAGTTTAATATAATATGGCAGGAAAAGGTGTTGTAAGAAGCATGTAAGTATTCTTTTTTTTTATTATTTTGAATGGAGAGTTTACATTTAATGAGCATTGGTGAAATTATTGCATTATAAAAAATATAGAATTTGAAGGGGGGGGGAATAAAAAGAGAAAGAAAAAAAGAAAATATTGTTATTAATATGTGTAAATTAATATTTTAGTAAAAACTATGCTAAAGGGTTTTCTGATGTTCAAATCAAAGTAAGAGAAGCTACATCTAATGATGCTTGGGGACCAAGTGGAACTTTGATGAACGAGATTGCTCAATTAACATATAATGAGTAAGTATACAAGTATAAATGTGTGGTTATTATATATATTTATTGTCACTTGTTAATATTATTTATGATTAGACAAGATTTTATTGAAATTATGGATATGCTTGATAGAAGATTAAACGATAAAGGCAAAAACTGGAGACATGTGTTTAAAGTAAGTATGATTTTAATGGGGGGTTAAAAAGGCGATTCAGCTAATAAAAATGATAATAGGCATTACTTGTCTTGGATTATTGCTTACATGTTGGTTCAGAAAATGTTGTACTCTACGCAAAAGAAAATATATATGTTATAAGGACTTTAAAAGAATTTCAACATGTAGATGATAATGGAAAAGATGTTGGATTTAATGGTAAAAATATAAAAAAAAAAAATGTGTGTGTGTATAGATTAGATTTAATATACATTTTTTCCCCCTAGTTCGTCAAAAGGCAAAAGATATTACAAGTCTTTTAATGGATGAACAACGCTTAAAAGAAGAACGTCGTTCTCGTCATCAAATGCAAGAGAGAATGGCAGGTGTAGGAGATTATATGAATGATATGATGTGGGGAGGTAGTCGAAACAATGGTTCTGGAGGGGAAGAAAGTTCAGTTTATCGTAATCCAGGTTATATGGATGAAGATAAAGATTTAAAGAAAGCGATCGAAGAGAGTAAACGTATGGCTGAACAAGAAGCCAAAAAGAGAGGAGAAGGGTAAATGGAGATGATGAAAAAAAAAAAAGCAAGACTGACTATGTTATTATTATTTGAAATAGAACTGACGAAGAATTACAAAGAGCTTTAAGAGAAAGTGAACAAGAAGCAAAAGAACAAGAAAGAAAGAAAAGAGAAGCATTAGAACGAGAAAATCAGAATAATTTATTTGGTACAAGTAATGGACAAAGGTAAGAGAATAAATAAATGTAAACAAAAAAGTATTCAATAAACATTAGTTTTCAATCTTTTCCAACTCAACAAAACTTTGATTCTTCCCTTAATCCTTATGGTAAACAACAATGGCCTCAACCGACTGGCATGTCCTTTGCTGAGCCTATACAACAACAACAACAACAACAATGGCCTCAATCCAGTCATATGTCATTTGCAGGGCCTATACAACAACAGACACAGCAACAACCACAGCCACAACAATGGCCTCAACCTACTGGCATGTCCTTTGCTGAGCCTATACAACAACCATTTAATAATCCATATCAACAACAAACTACTTTTAATCATTTTAACCTTCAAGCACAAATGACAGGTGCACCATTCCAAACTCAGTTTACAGGAAATCCATTTGGACAACAAACACAAAATAATCCTCTTTTCAGTGGTACACCAAATACTACTCCTCAGGTATTATGTTATCATGATTACCTAATAGAATCATTTATTTATTCATTTATTTATTGTAGATCATGCAGACATCATCATCTTCACCTTCTGCTGTATCTAATATGACAGATAATTCACATTATTCAAAATTAAATAATATGCTTCAAAATAGAGAGTAAGCTTTGTAGTAATATATAAACATGATTTTATAATAATGACATCATTCATATTCATCTTTAAACAGTGATGGAATGGACACCTTTGGTAACACTGGAAATTTACGTATTCCTTTGTAAGATTGATTACAAAAAAAAAAAAAAAAATGATATTTACATAGAAACTTAAATTTTATATAATTAGTGGTACAGGATTTGCAAGCACTTTACTTCCTCAACAACAAACGAGTCATGATACAAGTTCATTTTCTCAAGTAAGTTATAAAGTTTTGTTTATAATATAGAGAAATGAAATCATAATATTGTATAGTCATTTGGACAACAAGTAAGTCGTAATCCATTTGGACAAGCCAATGTGAATACAAATACAAATACAACAGAGACAAGTAGACAAGGACAAAAAAGTCTATTAGAAATGATGCAAGAACAAAAATTACTTCAAGCACAAATGACAGGTTATCAGCAGCAGCCTTCAATGACAGGATATCAACAACCTCAAATGACAGGTATCCAACAAGGACTAACCTCTTCTTCTCCTTTTAACCAACCACGACAACAGCAACCACCCTCAACTTCCTTCTTTTAAAAAAAAAAAAAATCTGTGGGAATTTGTAATTGTAACCTATTTGTAACTGAGTTTATTATCCTACAACAAACATACTTCTTGTTTATAAAGATGCAAACAATAAAAGAAAACTTTATTATCACTATCCATATCACTACTAACCCCATTAATGTAATATAATCTAAAAAAGAGAATAAAGAAAAAAGGAAAAAAAAAAAAGGAAAAAGAAAAAAAAGCTTATTATATACACATATACATATTCATAAACATATACATGTCAATTTTTATTCATGATAGAATAGAGTTAGATATAATATAGTTACACCAATCAAAAATGACTTTTAATTCATGATAAGAAGATGATGTATTGTAATATAAAAAGGGACATTTATTTGTTGTTGTTGTTGGGGGGAGGAGGGGGAAAGGACGACAACAGTATATTATGTTGCATATATAAATCACTCTCTCTCTCACTTGCTCTTTCCCTTTTACTCTCTTCTTCTTTTCTTTATTATTAGGATGATTCATACTAATAAAAAACGTGTTACATTAAAGAAAAGAACATCAATAGAGAATCCTACTTTAGAACAGCCGAATGAATACACTTGTCAATTAGTGGCTCATGCTTTATCTTTACCAAAAGATGATTTAATACTTACAACAAGCAATGAACAACAACAAAAATCATTTCATTTACATTCATCCCCTTTATTAAAATCATCTTTAAAGACTCCAAGATCTGCTTCTGCTCCTTGTTCACCTACAACGGGTATCAAATCTGTTCATTTTAATAATAAAAATCTGGAGGATATTTGTTTATTTAGAAAGGCTCAAACTCCATTATCTGTTAGAAGAAAGAGTATATTTTGGGCAAATGAAAGTGATGAGAGTGACGATGATGAAGAAGAAGACGAGGAACGATTTGAAACATCTTTAGTATTTGCAAATTGGCCTACTCGACTTGCTGATATTATTGATCGAAAGAATAAAGTGATAAGAGTTGATAAAAATTTGATTAAATTAGATCATCAAAATTCAATTACTGGTAAAATATCTGTTCGTAATCTAAGTTATCAAAAGCGAGTGACGATTCGATATAGTTTTGATTTCTGGAAGACAACTCATAATAAAGAAGCCATCTTTTATGAAAGTCATAAAGCTTATGATATCTTTACTTTTGATATTGACATTCCTAATAACACAACAACAACAGCTACTACTACTACTACTACTACTACAGCTACAGCTACTACTACTACGACTACTACGCTTTATTTCGCTGTCAATTATAAAGTGGGTTCTGAAGAATTCTGGGACAATAACGATGGAAGAAATTATGAATTAAAGATCAATAGAAAATTAAAAAAGAAAAATAACGAGTTTACTACTGAAGATAATAATTATAAATTATTAAAATCAAGATACGATTTTAGTCAATCTTTTCAACAAAGTAGTCAATCATCTACTACTATACCTATTTTATCACCTTCTCCTTTAACTACCTCAAGATATAATAATACCGTCATAAAGCCTGCATCTATTCCTACAAGTAATCCTTTCTCTTGTCATTCACCCTTAACTACGACTACGACTACGACTACTTCTACTTCTCCTTCTCTTGCTGATTTAAATTCTCAATCTTATATGGAACTTGTAAATAAGTATTGCTTTTATTCTACAAGTCCAAGTAGATCTCCCATGTCTATTAACATTTAAATATCTTCATTTTTTATTTCATTTTTTAAATAATAAAAAAAGTTTAGCATTTTTATTTATTTTTTCTCTTCTTTTTAATTTCTTCATCTCGATCAAAGTTCTTATAACTTCTTCTTTCATATTCTTTGAGCTTATATTTTCTACCTGGCTTAACGGGTACTCTAGGTTCAATAATATTACGTTGTTGTATACTAATAAATCGTTCACGGAATATATTTCCTTCAGGCTATATATTTATATAGATTCAATTAGAATAAACAAATACAAGGGAATCTACTTCTTATATGAAATTTACCTTTAATTGTCGAAGTGTCTCACATAATTCATCTGTCAATTGAACGTCCACAGGTAATTCCGGTACAGTGTATTTACCTATCTTCTTTAAACCTTTCTTTTCTTCTTCTATTTTACGTTCACCTCTCTTTTCTGCAATCTCATTTAATTCTTCAATTCGTTCTGAAAGCTCCTTTTCGATATCACGAAGCATGTGGATCTGTCGACGAATAGCACGCTCTTGTAATCTTTGTTTCTTTTGTAATTCTTCTGTGGCTAGACGATGTGATTTATGACGTTCTTGACGTGTCTTGCGTTCTCCTTTCTTTTTCTTTTTTCTTTCTCTTGATTCATCATTCTCTTCTTTATCACTTTCTTCTTCTTCTTCTTCTTCTACTGCTTCAGTCGTAACTATTTTACCATCTGCTGTAATTTCTGAATGAGCCAACTCATCAGCCAATAGTTTTAATTCTTCACGATAAGATAATTGTTCTTGTAATTTCTTCAAAATCTCTGCTTTACGTTCTTCTACTTCAACTGCCTTGGCAAGTAATCTTTGATGATCTTCTAAAGTTGGGTTATAAGACTGTCCTCCTTCTGGTGTATGAATAGCAGGTACATGTTCTAAGGCACTAGGTTTCTTTAACATCGTCTTGGGCGCCTTTATTTTTTCTTCTATAGGCAAAAAGTCATTTGCTGCTTCTTCTCTCTTTGGCTCTAATTCAAATAAGTTAAATTAACATGATTATAATCTAACAAAAAAAAAAAAAGACTCATACCATCATCCCATAAATCATATGATTTCACATTCAGGGTCTTTTTGTTTTTCTTTTTAGGGACAAGAGGTGCATTATTTTCAATTTTACGCTTCAACAGTTTAGATTCATGTTTTGAAAAGACATCATCCGTCATCTCGGGCTTTTGGAAAGCATTTTTTGACTTGATAGCAGGTACAGCTGATCTTTGTGCTAATATTTCATCCACTCGAAGTGGTTTATCTTTTGCAAGCTTACGTTTCACTAAAATCAACAATGTTAAAAAAAAATTGTACATCTTTGAAAGATCTATAATAATAATAATAAATACCATGGTGATCACCAGCAACATCAATTGTGAAAAGTTCTTCATCTTTTAATTCTTCAGTATGTCCACTGTAATAAATATGAGTTTTATTCAAACTTGGTTATTTTCTCTTTTCTTTGATTAATCAATCATGATTCTTTTTCTCCACCTCCCCCATTTCTAGAAAAAAAAAAAAAAAAAAAAAACTTACATCACTCTTTCAATAGATCGTAATTCTTCTTGTGCTTCTTCGACATCAGTTATATCTACATTCTTACGCCAAGCCTTTTTACCTTTACGACTAGGCTGGGTTTTCTTTTTTTGTATTTGTGCAATATCACTAGCCATTTTTGATTTTTCTTTGTAAGGTGCTAGCTTCACAATAAGAGAGGGAGAAAAGCCTTTTTTTTTTTTTTTTTTTTTATAATAAAATAAACTTTCGGTTCAAAACTTGTCACAACTACAGTCACATCTATCCACTTTACTACTCTAATAATTTAAAATTAACATATTCATCTTATTGGGTATCCCCTTTTGAGATCAAAAAAAAAAAAAGTGAAGGTTACTTTAATATTTTGAAAGAACTTGAGGTTTGTATAAGAGATAGATATAACTTTTTCATTTGTGTATTGAATTGTGTAATTCATGAACGATATATTAAGTTTAAGAAGGTTTTTATTTATTTATTTATTTATTTATTTTTATTTTTATTTTTTTTAATTGTCCTCTCCGTGGAAAAAGCTAGCTAAAACTGTAGTAGGAGCTGTACTAAAAACTAACTCAATGATGGGCATTATTTGTGAGAAGAGATATGGTGAACCTACTGTCAAAGGAATTCGAGACAATTTTGAAGAAAGAAAGAAAAAAAAAGTTAAGGAAGGGAGCAAGTCTTTTAAAAATATAAATGATAGGAGCCTCTCTCTCCCCTCCCCCACAAATGGAGCATTACTTGGAATTTATCAGTTAAACAGTAGAGTATGAGTCGTTGTATGATGATTGATTGTGAATAATGCGCCCATCCACAAATGTGAACTCATTCTGCAGTTTGGTTGAAAATAGCAGCAGAGGCTTACAAGTGTGTTTACTTCTTGATGCCTTTTCCTTTTCTTTTTTTTTTTTTTTTTTTTTTTTTTTTTTTTTTTGAATTCCATAGAAGAGGGATCAAATGTTGAGGATTTAGTGTCTCATCATAAAGAGTTCAAGTGAGAAGAAATTAACTCATATGAAAGGAAAAAATAGATTCGTCAAATAATATGAGTCCTACTGATTGTGAAGGATAGATAAATTTATATACACATTTATTTATTTTATTTATTTATTTTATATATTTATTTATTTTTAAATAAAAGTATTAGGTAAATATCCCATAATTATTTTTAGAATAGGTGTACAGTCTGTCATATTTGCTATTCCTCAAACACAAAATTGTATGGGAAGAGGAAAGGAGCTCTCTAAAATGTTATATTTAATAATTAGGGTTGTATGTATTTTAAAGGCTTATATATATTGATAAATAATGTTTATTATACAACATGATTAAGACTGCTTTAATTACATAATAAGAGTATGATGACAGCCAACTTTATTACTTAAAAATGATTACCTTTTGATTGAGTACGTTTATCAAATAAGATTCGTGTGAGAATCGTATTTATTATTTAATGGGACCAGTTGAGTGAAAGCGATGATAGTTATGCATAAAAAAGAAAATTCATCAATAAATGACAGCATGCATTATATTTTTATGTGTACAAATATAGTAATAAATTTGGCAGACTTATTATAAAAATACTACGCTTCATTCGATATATAAAAGAAGGAGATATAATAAAATCGCAGCATCTTTTTTTTTTTTTTTTTTTTTTTTTTTTTTTTTTTGGCAAGTACAACAGTTTGTTATTATTATTAATTAATCTTTTATTATATAAATAGTGTCTTTCTTTTATTTATTTTTCTCTCCTTTTTTTTTTTTCTTTAACTTGATATCATGAAATTGCTCAATAATAAACACATGTATAGCAATAATAATTTTGATATTCAATCTATAAGTCGTTCAAAATTATTAGAATATTATCAAACTACTACACGTACTGATTTATCTATTCGAAAATATGTATTGATTACAAATTTACTACGTGAGGAATGTTCTCAACGTTCAAATCAATTACAAGAGCAACAATGGTTTGATACTTGTATTAATGAGTTGGATAAAGAAGAAGAAGAGGAAGAACAAAAAAAGTTAAATCGTATACCTTATTATGGATTTTATGATTTTCGAAATAATTCTGGATTACTTGTTTGTAGTACTTCAAATCGTCTTTAAATATTATATAAATACTTTGCTCATTTATTACAGCTTATCCTTTCTCTCCTTTTTTTTTTAATCCCTCATTTCCTTACTTTATACATATAAAATAAACAGCACTAATATATATATATATATATATACATATATGAAGATGTAAAATTTATATATTATTAAATAGAATGACTGATATGTTTATGATGGACATAAAATGCCTCCTGTATAAGGTGTAGCTGTAACCACAGGTGTCCATACAATTCCAAGTATATGAAATGAAACCTATCAACATTATTTTTTTTTTTTTGAATTAGCTACACATAAACATATACATACATACACGCTCGTACGCACATACACATACACATACACATACACACACATAAAGCGTACCTTTAATATAACATTTAAAGCAGGCCTTTGCTTCGGGCTCCTTTGTGGTCCGCATGCATTATACAAATTTTGAAATGTAGGATCTGTTTGATCAGCGGCCTGATAATCTACATTAAAAGTGAGGGTCAAAGGTGAAATAAGTCCTGGTTCCAATGCAAAAGGTGCCGAAGTTGTGGCCCAAGCAATTTTAGCTAATGTTAAACTGTCCATCATGACAAAATCCATCTGTTGAATGTAAACTGGAATCCAGTTGTCTCGATTATCGAGTGTCACATTCACTTGCCATGTGGCTTGAAGGGAAGGTCGAAGAGGTATCTCTTCTTGTCTCTGTCCTCCTCCCCACCCATCAGGGATCCACTCAATGATCCAACTCCTCCACCCATCGACACCCTAGGCGTACGTGGCCAACAAAAGAAGGCAGCAAAGGCTCCCAACATAAGAATACTAAAGATACAAAAGACAGTCATTCGAGAAGAGAAGCTATCTCTTCCACAACAGCAATGACAGAGTGCATAATATTTCCATCCTTCTCTTTTACGTCTTTCTCGTCGTCGCTTTGATAGAGTACTTATAGATGATTGGCTACTGTTACTGTTACTGCTACTGCTGTTGCTTCTGCTTCTTTCTTGATCTACTACTACTACTACTGCGCTTGATGCCGCATTTATTTTCGATGATTCATTAGATGGATGTCTACATGCATCATATCGACAATCACAACAATAGGATGATGATAAAGAACTATTGTTATAAAATAAAGAGGGTGATGATGATGGTTGTTCTTCTATCCAGGATGATGCTGTTGTTGTATTTAGATTTGATAAATGAGTCTGATCATCATTACTACTACTACTACTACTACTACTACTACTATTCATAGGAGAATGTATATATCCTTCTGATGAATAGCAGCTATTATCTTCTTCATGATCACATTCTTCGCACTCTTCTCTTATTGTTGATGGCTTGGAACAGTTAGAATAATATTCATAATTCTGTGATGCTATTGTACGTATATAAGACAAAATTAGTTCGTAGAATTTAAAACTGATTACCTAGTTGTAATATATATATTTATATATATTTACTATTATTTGATAAAATTTGATGAGGAATAGGGTATGATGAACTCATTCTTTCTATAAAGACATTAATATTTGTAAAAAAAAAAAAAAAATAAAAAAAAAATAGAAATAAAAATAAAAGAAGAAAACACTAATAAAACTTGTAAAGAAAATTAAAAAATAAAAAAAAAAATAAAAAAAAAGGCATATAATCATTAGTTGCATAATAATATACATGATGTATATCTTTCATCCCTTACTACTATTTTAACTTGTAGGAGAAGACTTTAATACACTTAATTTCCTTTTTTGGAAAGTTACTCCTTCGAGATTTTTTTTTTTTTTTTTTATTATTATTAAAAAAGCGCGGGTAAACTACTAGTGTATACATTTATATTTTCTTTTCTTTTTTTTTTATATTAACAATAAATAATGGTTGAAATTAAACCTTATGGGGCATGGCCTTCACCTATTACAGCAGAGTCATTATCAGCTGGAGCGACTGCTACTGACACATGTGTTGATAATGGCTTTATTTATTGGTGTCAGTCTGTTGCCCACGAAAAAGGCAGAGGACAGATTTTTAAACAGTCTATTCATGACAGTCAACTACCTCCTGAAGCACTTTTACCTGCAGGATATAGCTGTATGACTCGTGTTCATGAATATGGTTTAGGTGCCTTTAAAGTTTCAAATGGTCTTGTTGTGTTTTCTAACAATGATGATTCCCGACTTTATACCATCTTTAATAACGAAATTAAACCTTTAACTCAACCTAATACACTTTATCGTTATGCTGATTTGACCATTGACAAAGAAAATCGTTTCTTGGTATGTGTTCGTGAGGAACATTTCCTTAATGAAGAACCTAAAGATGTTGTTAATGTTCTTGTCTCCATTGACTTGAATTCTGGGCATGAGACCATCATTGCTCAGGGCGAAGATTTTTATGCTTTCCCTCGTCTTTCTGCTCAAAATGAATTGGCATTTGTTTGTTGGAAGCATCCCAATATGCCCTGGGACTTTACTCGTCTTTACTATGCCAACACTCTCTATGAAAATGAACAACTTGTTTTAAAGGATATGATCTGTGTTGCTGGTGATGAAATTGAAGAAAGCATTTCTGTAAGGAACTAGTCCTTAAATTTTAGCTTTTGGCTTTTATTAATCTAACCATCTATATATCTATCTATATATATTCATTTCCATATATATCAATTTTAGCAACCTGAATTTGGTATCGATGGCACACTTTATTTCGCCTCTGATCGTTCTGGATTTTGGAATTTATATTCCTTTAATGGTAAAGAGGTCAACTTATTGTTAGAGAGACCCCTTGAGCAAGAATTTGTTGGACCTCTTTGGAGATTCAATCCTTCTGACTATACACCACTCAAGTCAAATGCACACCAATTAATTGTCGTTGATAAGGATTCACTTGCTATCTTGGATACACAAGAGAGGACGCTAAGTCGTTTAGACTGTAAATATGATCATTTCTCTGATCTTCGCATCTATCTTGATGACAATCAACATGAGTATGTACTTGGTAACATGTCCTCAACCACTGAACCTTGTTCACTTGTCTCTTATGATATAAAGGAACAGGTCATTCTTCATGTCCATCAACGAACGGAGACAGAACGATTAGAAGCCGAGTATATATCGATTGGTAAAGAGATTGAATTCCCTACGACCGACGGTAGGACGGCTTATTGCTATTTTTATGCACCCAAGAATCCCAACTATCAAGATCGTCCAGGAGCTCTTCCTCCTCTTCGTCTCCTCTCTCACGGTGGGCCCACCTCCTCCACAAACAATAGCTATAAACGTTCTATCCAATACTGGACTACACGTGGCTTTGCTATTGCAGATGTCAATTATGGAGGTAGTACTGGCTATGGTCGTGCCTATCGTAATCGTTTAAGATTGAATTGGGGTGTCGTTGATGTCGATGACTGTTGTAACGCCGCCTTGTATTTAGCCAAGGAAGGTCTGGTGGATGGTAACAAGTTGGCGATCGAAGGCGGTAGCGCAGGCGGCTTCACCACCTTGGCTTCCTTGGCCTTCCGTCCAAGGGTCTTTCAAGCAGGGTGTTGTCGATATGGCATCTCTGATATCACTTTACTAGCTAAGGAGACTCACAAGTTTGAATCGAGATACCCTGACCGTTTAATTGGCGAGTACCCAAGGGAGAAGGAGATCTATATCGATCGTTCTCCCTTATTTAAAGCCAATCAAATTGAATGCCCCATCATCTTCTTCCAGGGATCTCAGGACAAGGTCGTCCCGCCCTCTCAAGCGGAGGTCATGGTGAATGCCCTCAAACAGAACCATGTCCCCGTCGCTTATGTTCTCTATGAAGGTGAAGCTCATGGTTTCCGTCGTGCCGAAAACATCAAACGTACAATCGAGCTTGAGCAATGGTTTTATGGTCAAATCTTTGGTTTCCCTGTTGAAGATGTAGAAGGAGTAAAGATTTATAACTTTCCCCAAAATAAATAAATAAATAAATGAATACACATATAAATAAATTTTGGTTGTATATTTGTATTTATAATATATCATTTTTTTATTTCATTTTTTTTTCTTTTTAATATTATATTCCTTTTTGTTTTTTTTCTTTTTTAATCTAAATCATCATAGGCAGCGGCTGCTCTTCTTCTACGATCATGACTCTTTTTATGACTCTTCTTTGACTTTATTTTCTTTTTACCGGCTTCAAATTCCATAGCCTGATGATGATCTCTTCCCAAGTTATCATACTCTTTCACCTTGTAAATTCGAACAATCCAATTTTCAGACGTAAAGGCCTCATCTAATACAGATAACTCAGGACCCTTCATAGGTAAAGGTTGATTACGTACACGATCAAAGGGTTGTCGACCCCCAAACATTTCATGGAATCGATAATAACTCATCTTGTACATTAATGATTCCCTCATCGCCTTTGAGGCATGCTCATCGACTCGATAGTCCCCCTGGGGTGTGAAATAATCCGCTTCCTTGATCTTGTCAGGCCAGATGCCCTGAGCGATTCGAATCATCCATAAGAATTTATTGATATCATCACCTGAATAACCCAGGAGACCCCCAAAGATGACGAGTACATAGTCAACATCATGTTTCTTCATGATTTCATACGCATCAGCTTCATTTGTTGACATCGCACGTCCTACAGTGGCGATGTGGGTATTATTCCATGTATTGTTATCGACAAGTGTCGTACGATTCGAGAAGCCGGCAATTTGATAACCATAGTCCCACCATGACATGATCTTGGCATCCTCATCCGTATTCTTACGTAACCAATAGTAGGCCTCTCTAAAGTCATCAATGATACGTTGTGAACCATCAGGGTTACGAGAGGCAAGGACGACAGAAGGGGAAGAATAGGCATTCGAGGTAACCCAAGTACAATGCCAGACAAACATGGCAAGGAAAAAGCTAAATAGACCGACAACCAAGATACGAGTATCTTTACCAATGATACGCGATCTCCTTTTATCATCATTACTATCATGAGATGACGACCCATTCTTCTTTTTCTTTTGTGGGCCTTGTTGATCTGATGTAGACTTCGGACTCATATCAAGATAGGTATCTAATAATGTAGAGATAGCCATACCACCACAGACACAGACAACGGGTGTCAAGGTCAACATCAAACGCACCATCACACCGGCAAAGTAAGAAGCAAAGATACCATACACGATCACAAACACATGTTCATCCTGTAATTTTCGGAAACACAAATAAATGCCTACAGGGAAAGCAAAGATAAGCATCTGTAGATCGAAAAAGAACATAGGCCAAGCAGTAGGTTGATGCTCAGATACGGAGGCAATGATAGGGATGTGTACCTTAGCATAACCCGTATCCCAAAGTGAATAGAATCGACCTGTCCAAGGGGCAATGTAACCACTCATGGTTAACAAGATGAGAGCTGATAGACCCAAGACAAAGGCAATGAATACAAAGGCCCTGAGAATGATTTGGAATTGTTTAGCTTGAAGATGACTACGTAAGAGCTGAATGAAACCAAGAATTTGGCAAAGGCCAAAGACACCTAAAGCAGCCATGTGTTCAGATGTACGAGTAGGTTGGAAGCCAACAAAGGGAATTTGCATGGACATTAATGTACCCAAGATATAAAACGTAGAGTACGAAACATAGATACGATTTGAGAAACGACCCATCAACATCAAGACAAAGACATGTAAAGGAATAATGTTGATAATAAATACATAACCCCCCCAGGCAGCCACCATATAAAAATAAAAAAAGGCAGCTGCTGAAGCCCAAAGAGCAGAACCCAATTTGAGGGCTTTAATCCAAAGGAAGAAAGTGAACATTAATAAAAAGATAGCAATCGCTTCATTATCATAAGAACCCGCTACAGATCGAGAGATATAACCTGGTGCAAGACCAATAAAGACGGCTGCTAATAAACCTGCAGAACTATCTTTTAATTCCTTTGTTAAAAGATAAGTTGCAAAGGCGGTTAATCCTGAAAACATGGGGGCTAAAAGGACACAGATGTTACGAATGTCAACTGGGAAATTGAGAAAATGAAGAATATTATGAATCGTCGCAGCCGTGACCATTAAACCTGGATAGACAGTACCACCCACAACGCGTCCAAGCGGATACCAAGAACGATCATCAAACCAATTCCAAAATTCATAAAAACCATCTTTAACTAGCATTCGTGTAGCACGATAGTTGAACCTATATTTTCATGATATAATTGATAATTTAGTTTGTGTATCTTTATATAAATATATATATATGTATGTGCGTGTATGTATGTATATATGTATATATATTTCTTCTTAGTGTACATTAATTTACCAAGGATCAAATTCGTGAATAATAGACTCATATCGAACAACACTAAATAGACGTGACGAAAAGGCGGCAACAGCAATTAAGCCGAGAATGGCTCTTTTAAGTAATATTTTTTGGCTGCTGACATCCAGCTTTGCCATTCTGCTTAATTTATAATTAAGTATATATGTATGTGTGTGTGTTTTTTAAGAAAAAAAATAAAACAGACACACAAAAATAAATTACAATAAAAGCGGCGTCTTGGCTTTTGTAAAAGGCACATTAAATAAAATGGACCTATAAAAATTGAAATATAATTTAAATACCGCATGACGTGTTAGCAGCAGGAAGAAAAAGAGCATATTTTTTAAGAATATATTCAGTTTTTTTTTTTTAAGATTATTACGTATACTAAATTTTTTTTTCCCTGTGTTAAAATGGATCCTTTATAAATTAACTATATGTAGTAAATATGTTTATGTAATATTATAAATATATCTTTATGCAAATGAATATTGTGTGCCGTACAATCTTTTATTATTTGAAAAGAGACAGATAAAATAGGTTCATTTTTTTTTTTTTTTTTTTTTTTTTTTTTTTTACATGTACATAAATAAATATTTGCTTTATTATATTGTAAATCTTACAGAAAGAAAGAAAAAGTATTAGAGTATTTGAAATTATTCACTTTCGAATTCTGTTAATACATGAAGCGATAATTCTTGTGCTTTAATTATGGAATACTGAACTGAGATCAAATGTTACAGAATAAAAAATATTTAGATTTTTTTTTTTCTTCTTCTTTTCATTAAAAAAAAAAAAAAATGAAACAATTTTCGGGAATCTTGTTATTCCTTACGACTTTATTCTTCTTTGTAAGTTGTTTAAATATAATATATGAAAACAAATAATATTCACTTTATGCAATATTAGGTACAAGCACAACAACCAGAAAAAAGTCTAATTCAACATGCTCAAGTTGTTGATGAAAATCAGTTCAAGATTAGTACAAATGTCGTTGATAATATAGCATCTTCTTCTTCCTTAGTTACTCATAACGAAAATATGAAAAGCCGAGTATCTGGCTATCTTGAATATATACATGGTTTAGTTGATAAGGCACAAGATGAATTAAAGGCATACAACAATCGTCGTCCCTCAACGAAATATTCTGTTTATGATATTGCCTTTGGTGTTGCCAACTATTTACCTTCTTGGTTGTATCCTCCTTCTTTATGGAGAGAGGACCCACTTACGCGTCGTCGTCATATTGCTAAAGTATTACGTTCTATACCACTTCATGTTCGCCCTTATTCTATTTCCATTCGTAACAACGTAACACGTTGGGCTCAAGAATCAGGCCATCTCTTTGCACAGGATTATATCAGTAGCACGATTGATGAAGTCACATCTCTACTTCAAACTGCCGAGGATTTTGTTTCTGCTGCCACAGATGCTGAATTAATGGACCCTATCTTTTTATCAACTGGTTACGTTGCTTTAGACGAAGCAGTAAATCAGTTTATTAGTAAAAACAAGGTTGAGTTTAATTCTAAACTGAATTCAGTGAACCATCGATTCAATTCTATCGTCAACTTGTCTGGTCATCTTCGTCGTTCCCTTGAAAGTGTTCGATTTGACACGATTGAACAGACCAAGATGGTACAACATGAGTTGTTTAGTGGACGTGTTGAGCAACCACTTCATCACCTTAGCTGGCATATTCGTAACGAGTTGCAAAGTCTTTATCAAGAACTTCGTCAAATGCCCGCCGTAGAGGATAAGGAAGCATCTCGATTATTAAGAAAGCATACAGCTGATTCTTTACGTACAGAGATTCATTCGTTAAATAATATCAAATTGGCTATGCAACGATCCAAGTCCCTCTTTCACAAAATTTGGGAGAATGCATCTAATGAATTATATCAAAGTCCTATTTCATTTACTTATTGGGTAGATGTTATAGCTGAGGTAAAAGAAGCAGCTATTCAATTAGGTGAAGGTCTTTCTGAAAGATATAGAAAAATCCAATACAAGAAATGTAAATGTGGTTATTAAAAGGATAAAGAAAAAAGAAAAAATAATAATAATATCTGTATTATATAAGTATGTATGAATATGTATAACTCCTTTTTAGTTCGTTGTATTTTTGAATAAAATAATGATAATAATAATAAATTTATTCATCGTGGACTGTTTTTTATGTGACTTGTTTTTAATTGAAGAAGAGGAGAAAGAAAGAAGATTAAATGTTTGCACTTGGAAATTTTTTTTTTTTTTTTAAAATCACATAGATCTATCTTATTCTATAATGGCAGGAATTAGTAAGTTTAATATAACTTTAACGAGTCTTTGATATTCATTACAAGTATTATTTTATAGAAAGTAAACAAGGGCGTAATGCTGATCGTTTTAGTGGACCAAGTAAAGTATATATATACATATATATATTTACATGAAAAAAGACCTCTTGTCCTTAAAAAGTCAAACTAATTCTTTTTAACTGTAGAGGGAAAGAAGGATCCTGGAATCCCTAATTTAGCTAATTTTAAACAAAAGAAAATAAATAAAGAAGAAACTAAAAGAAAAAAGGTAATGATGTTACATCCTTTAACATGGTTGACAATTCTATAAAAAAAAAAAATCTCAATTATTATTATTATTATTATTTGATCTACTAGATTGCTGGTAATAAAGAACGTCAAGACTTGGCTCGACAGAAATTGCAAAACCGAAATAGAAATCTAAATTTATATGAATTGGTAAAGAATGCAGAAAAGAGAAGCCAAGAATTTTCAGAAAATACAGAGATAGATACAGATGATAAGGATATAACCGATGCTGCAGCTACAGGACAAAAAGATAATTCTAAAAAGGCTTATTATCGAGAATTCAGAAAAGTATTAGAAGGAGCAGATGTGATTTTAGAAGTCTTGGATGCACGTGACCCCTTAGGTACTCGCACAAAAAGCGTAGAACGTATGGTGATGGACAGTGGGTTGAATAAGAAGATTATTCTTATTCTAAATAAAATAGGTAACTCTAGATCATCTTTATGAAGATGACATAAAATAGGGAGGGATTTTAAATTAATATAAAAAGATGACTATTATCAGATTTAGTGCCAAAAGAGAATGTAGAACAATGGTTAAAATATTTACGAAATGAATATCCTGCTATTGCTTTTAAAGCTTCAACACAAAATCAACGTCATCATCTTGGACAATCGAATGTATCTACAGATATTGCAACCACCAGCATGTTGAATTCTTCTGAATGTTTAGGTGCTGATACGTTAATCAAGTTATTAAAGAATTATTGTAGAAATATGAATATTAAGACCACGATTACAGTGGGTATTATTGGTTATCCAAATGTGGGTAAATCCTCGGTTATCAATTCACTTAAGAGATCCAAAGTATGCGGTGTTGGTTCTACACCTGGTTTTACTAAAGTAGCTCAACAGATCACACTCGATAAAAATATTAAATTACTTGATTGTCCTGGTATTGTATTTGCACAGCAAGGACAAGATGGACATAATGCAGCAGAAATTACACTAAGAAATTGTGTTAAAGTTGAATTATTAGAAGATCCTATTACACCTGGTAATATATATAAAAAGCTTTTATTATATGATGTATTTAAATCTCTATTTAGTGGAAGTGATTGTTTCTAGATGTACAACTGAACAGTTAATGGCCATGTATAATGTACCTTATTTCAATAATGCACATGAATTTTTAGTATTATTAGCTCAACAACGTGGTAAACTTAAAAAGGGAGGAGTTGCAGATGTACATCAAGTGGCTCGACATGTATTACAAGATTGGAATGGAGGAAAGATCCCATATTACACAATCCCTCCTTCTTCAAAACAAAGTCATATCGAAGCTTCTATTGTAAATTCCTGGGGTAAAGAACTTGATTTAGATCTTCAATCTGCTGATTCAGTTTTGGTTAGTCTTAAACCAAGTCACGAATTTGGATCTAGTGTCGTTATGGTATGTTTATTTATTTATCTATTGATCCAGTATAAACTCATTTTAATTTTAGCAAGCCAATGATGATATTGATATGTCTCAAGATATTGACTTGGACGGGTAAATTTAACCCTGTATACACATGTATTTATTTATTTATTTACTTATTTCTATTTTAGATCTATGCTATTAGATTCATCCATGGACACTGAAGAGATGTCAACAGATATGACATCACAACCTATTATTCAAGTAGATCGAATGTTAATGATGAAAAAGAAAAATACCATAAACCAGATTAGACCACAAACTATTTTATCACATACTGAAGAAGAACTCAATCCACAAATTAATCAACAATTAAAGAAACAATTAAAAGCACAACAAAAGAAAGCAAGAAAACAACAGCAACAACAACATTCATTTGGTGAAGGTCATGATTCACTAATAATAGAAGAAGAAGATGAAGTGATGATGCAAGAAGAAGCAACAGCAGCAGCAGTTCCTGTCACAATTTTATCAACAGCACCAATCATTCCTGATGAAGATGAAGAGTTGTAATTTATTGGTTCAAAAATCTTTATGCAAAAAAAAAAAAAAAAAAACATGGGAAATTATAAAATATAAAAATAAAATGTCCGTCTTTCTTTCTTTCCTTCCTTCCTTTTTAAATAAATAAATAAATGTTTACAAAAATCATTAACAATATTCGTGATACTTTTAATCGTACGTCATCAAGTAATAAACAAAAGCCATCAAATAACACTGAATTACGTCGATGTTCAATAACTGAAGAACTAGAAAATAACGGTTCAACAATGGATAATCATAGTACAACTCCATCAGTAGTACTATTAACACCTAAAAGAAATCATTCTATCTCGGGTCCTATTCCAATTCGAAATAACGATGCAAATAACGAAAGACGTAGATCGTCCACTTTATTTGGTATTTCAAATGTTTCTTATGATGATTATGTACAAAAGGATCTTATTTCCAGCTCTTGGAGTTAGAGTGTAGCCGAAAAGGTCACTTTTTTATATATACATGTAAAGGAAAAAAAAAAGGAAAAAGGAAAAAAAAAAAAGGGAACGATTAATTTACATGTAGCTTTAAATAAGCATAATAGACATGCTGTGGCATATACATGTGTGTTCGTGTGTGCACATGTGTGTTTTAAAGAACAAGATAAATAACAGTTGATACTACTATTCACTACTTTTGACGAATAGAAATCCCTTATATTTGATGATTTGCTTTGTTTAGGTTTAATCTTTTTTTTTTTTTTTCTTTTTTTTTTTCGTTAAAAAGATATTTGTTTTACCGAACAAATCATTTGTATAAAGTAAATAAATAAATGAAAACCTATACAATAAAGTTGACTTTATATATCTATTTAAAGACGAGGACAGGGAGAAAATAAAAAAGGAAATATATAACGCAGCAGATTAACTGTTATTTCTATGTTTTACAAGTCTCTGTTTCGTGATTTTGATAGTTACTATTTATTGAATTTGTTGTACATTATAAAAGAAAAAAAAAAAAAAGATTACATGTATAGAAAAGGAAATCTGTAATGGATAGCTTTTGCTGTTAATAGTTATTACATTTACATCTTCATAGGTTGGGGTTGGTTTGCCTCTTTCTCAAGTTCAGCACTTTATATATATATATATGTACACATATGTATATAAAAAGGTTAGTGAATGCTTTCGTTATTTAAAATGACAAACTAATACCGTAATTGCTTTGAAAAATCATCCTCAATATCATCATCATCCCAATTATCTTCCCAAAAATGGGCATCATTCTGATCTTCTTCATTTTCTCCCCAGTCTAGATGTATAAAAGGGTTAAACTCGATTTAATTTTTGTAAACTATTTTTATTTACCTTCAGCAGCAAATTCCTCGAATTCATCATCTTCTTCAAGAGCTCCTAGTTGAGCTAAATTTTTCTTTGTTTGCTCCTCAGTTAATTTTTGTTGCTGTTGCTGTTGCTGTTGCTGTTGTTGTTGAGAGGATGACATTGTATGCGTAGACAAAAAAAAAAAAAAAAAAAAAAAGGATAGGGAAAATAAATTTCAAAATTCAAAAATAGGAAAACGCGTATGTCGTGACTTGTAATTCATGACGTAGTATTATTACGATTTCAATAAATTTTTTTGGATCTTTAATGAGCACGTCGTAATATGTAAATGATACTGCTCAATAAAATAAGAATGAAAAAAAGAAACTAAAAAGTCTTTGTTTGTAAAAAGTACAAGGTAAAAGGAGAGAGAAGAGACAACAGCAAAAAAATTTATATGTATATATATATATATATATAAATATTAATAAGAAGAATGATGCAATAGTTTCGCTTGCTAAATAATAACCATCACAGCAACCTAGGACCACCAGAATTCTGAATAGAAGAGGAAAGAGCTTATTAGAAAGTGTATGGTCTAATATCGTGAAGAATGGGGGTCTATTTTAGGCCAGAAGATAGTCCAAAGTGGGGCAAATATAATGTGAAATACGAGACTGTTTAACAGGTAGTAACTGGCTCAATAAGAAAGGATTATTGGATCAGCAATCGATAGAGAGGACAACGCATGTGTAGATAACGAATTAAATAAAATCAAGTAAATAATTTCCCAAGATAATGATAAATGCAAGTTTGAGACTCAATGCCATGATAGATACTCAAAGCATCAACGGTGAACACAGCTTTGTTTAACAGATAGCATAAGAAGTAGCCAAAAATAAATAAATAATGATTTATATCTGAATTGGGACAAAACACATTCAATAGCTTGTTATATTTGAAATTCAAACAAAATATAAAGTTCTTTTTTTCTTTTTGGGAGGAAGGCCAACAGAAATCTGCTTACTACTACATGTATTTTCTGGTTTTAAACCAACATTCTTCAATCAAGTTAAGGAAAGGGAAAGGAGAGTAAAGTGGCATAAACAAGGGCTTATCACCACGACTTTCAATAGCATCCATTACTTGTTAAATTCTACAGTTATTTATGATAATATTTAGCTCAATGTATAAATTTAGTATATTCATCTAGTGTATTTATTATTGAACTCATTCCCATCTCTTTGTACTAAAACTCGAATTACATACTACTATTATGACTGATTTGTTCCACTATTGTTTCTTAAATCTTATCCATATAACCAGTATCGAAGAAATACGGTTATAGTTGCACTTTTCAAAAATATATATACCGAATGAATAAGATGTACATTCATTATTCTTGTTAGGAGATATTAGAAATCAATAACAAATGCAGCAGATGAATTATCTATGTATCGAGCGGATAAGACATAGAAGAGTCAGTACCAGGAATAATAAAATGATAAATCATTGGTTTGTATGATGTAAATGAAACTTTAAAGTTTCAAGTCCATGCTGTTATGTATACTCAAGGCGTAATTTTTTTTTCTTTTGAGATATTTTGAGGTTTCAAGTATTACAATTTATTTCCCCATAATAAAAAAAAAACATATTTTAATGCATGTTATTGAGATGAAGCTTGTGTTATATTAGTTTTAGACTAGAATTATGAATAAAGTGTACTTTTTTTTTTTTTTTTCAGAAACAAAGATTTATACATAATACATGATTAACTTGTTAATTTTTCTTAAGAGCGCGTCTTGCTTTAACAGCTTCAGCTAATCCCTCCAACATTTGTTCTGTAGTAGCGAAATCTACACAGGCATCTGTAATTGATACACCATATTTCAAACTTGCAGGACCTTCCTTTGGAACACTTTGTTTTCCTTCATTAATGTTGGATTCAATCATAACACCAATTAACGCATCATCACCAGCAGTAATTTGTTGTGCTAAATCTTTGCATACTTTAGGTTGATTACGATGATCTTTACAAGAGTTGCCATGTGAACAATCAATCATAATATTAGGTCTCATACCAGCTGTTTCACATACAGCTCTTGCTTTATCTACATATTCTTTAGTATAGTTGGGTCCACTATTAGAGCCACGCAAAATAATATGACAGTCGGGGTTACCAGTCGTATGTGTGATACTGACAGTACCATTCTTAGTAACACCCAAGAAATGATGAGGTGAAGAAGCGGATTGAATACCATCTACTGCAATACGAACATTTCCATCTGTACCATTCTTAAAGCCAACAGGGAAAGACACTCCACTGGCTAATTCACGATGAAGTTGAGATTCAGTGGTACGTGCGCCAATAGCTCCCCAGGACATGAGGTCAGAAAGGTATTGAGGAGAGATTGTATCAAGTAATTCAACAGCAACAGGCATACCCATATCTGTAAGATCACAAAGAAGTCTACGTCCAATACGAAGACCCTTATTGATATCATAACTAAATATACATGTATATAAATGTATATACATATATGTATTAGACTCGTACATACACATACACCAAACACCTCTCTCTCATAATAAATATATTTATATATCTGTATATAATTGTTTACCTGTTGTTAATATCTGGATCATTAATCAAACCCTTCCAACCCACTGTTGTTCTAGGCTTTTCAAAGTATGAACGCATAATGATAACCAATTCATCTTGAAGTCTTTCTTTCACTTTTAATAATCTACGACCTAAAAAAAAAAAAAAAAAAAAAAAAAAAAAAAAAAAAAGAAAATAGAAAAAAGAAAAAGAAAAAAAAAAAGAAAATTAATGTACGTGTGACACAGATAAGCTGATACTTTGATCTTGTCACTTACAATAATCCTTAGCAGCCTCTGTATCGTGAATAGAACAAGGACCAACGATAACGATAAGACGATCATCTTTACCTTGCAAAATATTTGAGCACTCATCACGAGCCAATTTTGATGTTTCCTCAGATTTCTTTGACTATATAATAAACGCGGTGTTAAAAAAAATAAATTATTATTACTTAATCAAAATATTAAAATTTACTATAGGAAATTCTTCTTGTAAGAAAGCAGGAGTTAATAAAGCGTTGTAACCTGTGATACGAAGATCGTCTATCATTTTTTTTTTTTTTTTTTTAGATCAAATAATATGTATAAAAAGAAAAGAAAGAAACAAAAAGCTGAAATGAATTATTTATTACAAGGTAAGAAAGCAGTCCCCTTATTTTATTATTTTTTTTAAAAAATTGAAACTTAAACGTTAGAATATGTTAATGACTCACATAAACTCATAATGGAAGTTCGGCGACTAAAAGAAGTAGCCTATTTTTTTTAAATGAACGTTCAAAAAAAAAAAAAAAAAAAAAAGGTAAAACACATTCTATTTCATTGTTGAAACTCGTAAAAAAGTCAAAAACTATAAACTATCCTTTTTGTTTAATGCATGTTTCACTCTAAATATGCAAGTATACGTTATTATTTGTACATGTTTATATGTATTCAGAAAAAAAAACATCTTAATTGTCTTATATTATCAAAGTTTTCAAACACATAAATATTGTATTAGTTTTTGGCTGTAAATTTGCGGACGATAAATTTTGTTTTATGTGTAGCTTTATCGAGGGAAAAACGTTGGATAGCATTAAAGAACACGAAAGTTAGCTACAAGAGGTAATGATGAATAACGAAAGGATATCAATGAAGACTTTGTTATTAAGGCTTGTTGATTCAGTTATAATAAGATTAAATGCTGGCAAACATGCTAAAGAGGTTAAAGATACCTCTTTTTTTTCTCTCTCTCTCTCTCCTCCTCCACTTCAAAGTGGTTCAAAATATAGCCCTCAACATGAACCAATTCATCTTCTTTTTTTCAATTCAATTAGCTTACCTTTCTTTTAATACAGTTGCTTATTGTTGTATGTATGTATGTATGTATATATATATATGAACAAACAAAAACTAATTTCATAAAATAACATAGCCTGCTTAAGCCATAAGTAAAGAATACAATATATCTATTAAAGGTTCTTTTCAATCAATAATGGTGAATTATCCAGTAGACGTATTTTAGTCATGTGTTTATGATTTAATATCTATTGCTTGATCTTTTGAGTAGATATTATATATAGAAAAAAAAATTAAATAAGACTAATAAAATGCACATAATGTATGATAAGATAAAGTGTTCATTTAGCTTTTTGATATCATCCTACTTTCAATTACTTTTCAGTACAAGGGATCTTCATGCTTATTACTGAAAGAGATAAGAGCTTGATTGATCATAGTAGGAAAAAAAAATTAAAGTTGAACCACTATTTATCAACTTGGACTATAACATTGTCGTCTAAGGTTAATCCTGGAGAGTAGTTTGGATTTTAGTTTATAATACAGGAAATACTATGGCTGATAGACCATCCTAAACAATACTAATATTTGCACTAGAAGTTCTAATGTGTTTTTCTTAAACAGACTCAAGCTTGCTTCTATCATTCATTTCTTTTTCTATAAATATATAGTCAATAGCATATGCCTTCTAGGATTGAACTCTCTTTATCCTTCTTTTTAACTATTTTATCCTCTCAACAATCTTATACTGTTCTTTGTACTATTCAATTCAGAATAAAATGGCTCTATTAATACTCACTTTTAGGTATTAATTACTCAATTGTATATTCCATAGGTAATAGTTCGACTAATATACTTTATACTATGATTTTCATCTTCACTTTTTTTAGTTTGTCTTTTGAATTTAGGGTTTTTTAAGTTACTTTTTTTAATCTAAACTTCGCTAGAAATGACAGCTACTTTAAAATATTACATAATATTATAAATTCTACCAAAAAAAAAAAAGCTTAATTGGACAATATATTGTATTTTTCAGCAAATAAGAGAAAATTTCAGAAAAAATAAGAGAAAATTATTGGACAAATAAGAGAAAATTATTGAACAAATAAGAGAAAATTATTGAACAAATAAGAGAAAATTTTAGGTCAATTAAGAGAAAAAAAAAATGGCAATTAGCAAAAAATTTACTTATACTTAAATCTCATAAGTTTTTCTCCAGGGCTAAACACTTTTCAAAGAATCTGAGAGAATGGCGAATCCAGCCCTGGCAGTCTTTCTTAGTTACTTTGGAGCAGGCATCCATTATTCTGGGTGTGAGTGTCTCACCAGTTTCGAAAGGGCTTCTTTTGACGCCATACTTCACCTTCGACCAGAATAGCTCAATTGGGTTTAGGAATGGTGAGTACGGCGGAAGATATGCACACTTATAGCCTCTGCTTTCTATTAAGTTTCTTACTGTAGCTGGCTTATGTATGGGAGCATTATCCATTACCAAGTAAAAGCCCTTCATATTATTTCGGTCAAGAACATCCATCACATTACTCAAGTAATTTAAATAGTGCTCAGTCCTAGTTCCAACCTTAGCTGTCGTTGTAACAACCTTCCCATCTATTCTTCTCTTCTTAGCTCCCGAAACTAATATTGGCTTTCTCAAAGAGATGTCAATAATGCCGGTGCTAGAGATGGCACCAAGAATGGTTATTGTGGTGCCTTTTGAAGCAGGGACAGTTGTTTTAGCAGGTTCTCCTATCTTGGACCAGCCACGAGTGCGTGTCATGTGTAAATTGAACCCTGCTTCATCCAAAAAAACGCAATTATTCTCAAAGTCCATATTTTTATCAGCTAGCCATTGAAGGATGGTCTCCTTTCTCTTCTTAAGAGTTTCTTCCGAGTTTCTAGCAGATGAAATTTTCTCCAACTTCTTCATAGATAGTGCACAGCTGGTTCTAAGATGTCTGTATACTGCGGATGGGCTCACGGAGAGACTTGGAAATTCTTTGAGCAACAACTCGTGTATTCCAGCTACAGTTGCAGTTGAACACTCATCAACAATGTCGGTAATAAACTTTGTGTGTTTTTCAGTAAGCTCAGAGACAGTTCCCATTTTGCGCCCTCTTTTTTTCTGTTGAGGTATTTCCCCTGTTTTCTGCCATTGCGATTTGAAACGGTAAGCTGATTTCTCATTTATTCCTGTTTTTAAAGCTGCATCTTTTACAGGAACCTGTTCAATTAACAGGGAAATAAGCTTGTTGATATCTTGCTGAGTGTACACACATCTAGCATTGCTAGCGGCGTCTTTTTTTTCGGCCAGATCTCTGAGAGGCTTCTCTTCTTTCAAATCGCTCTCACTACCCTGTACATCAGCTTCATTTTCCTCCTTATCCGAGCTATTGCTGGCCTCATCACCCTCGTACCCTTCCTTCAGCTCCATCGTCGCATCTTCATCTAACTCCATGGCTGATGCAGTGATGTTGTACTCCCACTTCTTTCTCATCATTGACATTACGCTGACAATGATTTCAGGTACAGCTTCAATGTCATCGTCGCGTAGAGAAATTTCGTTCATATCAAAGTCAATATCCATTTTTTGTTAATAATAGTGAGAAAAGTGCTTTCTACTAATTGCCATTTTTTTTCTCTTAATTTTTCTTGGACTTTCTCTTAATTGACCTAAAATTTTCTCTTATTTGTTCAATAATTTTCTCTTATTTTTTCTGAAATTTTCTCTTATTTGTCCAATAATTTTCTCTTATTTTTTCTGAAATTTTCTCTTATTTGCTGAAAAATACAATACAATAATAAAAAAAAAAAAGTTACCGGTAACTTCTTCTTTTTCTATTTGTAACAAAATGGCTGGTATGGCTGATATAAAATATTTTTTGAAACATAGCTACTAATACATTATTTTTGTTTTAAGATATAACTACTCTCAGCGCCTTTATACTACCTTCCGAACATCGCCCCGGTACCGATATAATGAGTAAATTAGTACTGCGCCATCCTTCTGTCAGAAACATTATTGTCAATGCTGTACTAGGTATGGGCAAGGTACTTGCTTTTTTTAAGGTTAAATACAGCTTAACATAATGTTTTAATAATATAGGCTCTGAAGCCTCTTCTCAATATGTCGATCGGTCTACGGAATGGCCAAGTGGACGATGCTCAGATGTGTTGTTTGCCCCCATTGAAGTTACCATTTCCTTACCTCCTGTTCTAGTCGAAGTTCAAAATACAATTGACCTCAAGTTTATACAAAGAACCATTGAATACAGTCTTTCAGTTATCAAAGAACATGGTGTCTCACCGATCGTTGTTGTCTTCGGTATACATCCCACAAAACCAAGCGTAGCCAATGATTTAATACAAAGTGATCAGATACCATTGTTTTGATTAGCAAAGATAATGGAAGAAGAATAGACAGAAGACAAGTCTGTGAAAACTTCGTATAGTTTATTAAAGATAATACAAAAATTGTACAACGAAAATTACATGGAAAGATTGAGGGTTATTTATATGTTTTTACAAGGTAAGTGTTATCAATGGAAATATGATTCAGATAAGCAAGTTTTACTATAATAAAGTGTTTTACATAAAACATTGTCTCCGAATAATTCTGCGATCAATAAGATATATCTTTATTTCTTTTTTCTCCCTGAGTTGTCGCTGTTCCTAGAAACATAACGAATCATTATTATTGGACTGCGACACATCAATATTAATTCTCAGTGAATATGTCTAGCTGCAACAATACCAATTATTTATGAGCTACTATCATTATCATTGTATGAGATTTCATTATTTAACAATATTCAATATTATCAATGTATATCTGATATGTATCACTCAAGAACAATTATGTAATTGAATACACCAGTCATAATCCTGTTTGAATTATGTATATAATTATTATTATTGCTCGAACATTCTAACAATGACTATTATTAAAACTGAGTGTAGAATGAATATTACGCTGTGAGGTTCAATATACTAGTTTTATGTGAATAACCTCTTTATTATGTAATAAATGATGGTTTATTTCTATTAACTTACAGTGACTCACAAAACTGAGCGAATGTTTGATTAATTTTACAAAATGTTCAATTTATAAGACAAAACACTCTTGAAACTCTAGCGTACAATATATCAATAGAATGCTTGTTTTCTAAGGAATTTAATGATACCTTTGTTGATGACGTAGCTCAATTTTTCGGGGAGAAAAACGATTTTAAAATCCGACTATGCATTCGCTCAGTTTTGTGACCATGTCTGATTTTGACTTTTGGGCAATACCACAAGTTGGTATTCATGTCATGAGCTGACTTATAATGTCATGTTTCATGATTAAACATGCGGATCATAAATTCATTTAAGAAATTCTATCCTAACTCTCTCTTGATCCGCTCCATCTAATAATATTAAAATCACTAACACTTTGTTGTCAACAATATACCTAATTCGGTCGTAACTAATACTTTTCTGATTCACATCCTATCCTCAGACCTCTTTAACAATTCTTATAAATACCCCATCAGTTTAAATTCATAAATAAAACAATTGACTTTAGAACTATTGTTCGGTCTCGTTGACTCTTTTTTGTCTTAATATTATTTTTATTTTCTGATATTTTTTATTTGATATTTTAAAAGAAATATCACAGCGCGTCAGTAAAATTAGTCGCCTATTATTGGCTGGAAATAAAGGGAAAGTATAAGGAAAGTTTTTAGAGTAAAAGTAAGCTGTCTTTATTAATTTATGCTTGCTTGGGATTTATACAGTTTTTAACATTGTTGTCAGGATATTCTTGAACTATCACCTTTCCAGTAACCTCTTCATGTTAATGAGTGATGAACAGTTAAAGGTCAGATTCAAAGGGCGATTAGGGCCCACGACGAAGAGCGAGTGACTTTTTTTTTATTGTAAAGTTACCGGTAACTCTGGGTTACCGGTAACTTTTTTTTTTTTTATTATTGTATTGTATTTTTCAGCAAATAAGAGAAAATTTCAGAAAAAATAAGAGAAAATTATTGAACAAATAAGAGAAAATTTTAGGTCAATTAAGAGAAAGTCCAAGAAAAATTAAGAGAAAAAAAATGGCAATTAGTAGAAAGCACTTTTCTCACTATTATTAACAAAAAATGGATATTGACTTTGATATGAACGAAATTTCTCTACGCGACGATGACATTGAAGCTGTACCTGAAATCATTGTCAGCGTAATGTCAATGATGAGAAAGAAGTGGGAGTACAACATCACTGCATCAGCCATGGAGTTAGATGAAGATGCGACGATGGAGCTGAAGGAAGGGTACGAGGGTGATGAGGCCAGCAATAGCTCGGATAAGGAGGAAAATGAAGCTGATGTACAGGGTAGTGAGAGCGATTTGAAAGAAGAGAAGCCTCTCAGAGATCTGGCCGAAAAAAAAGACGCCGCTAGCAATGCTAGATGTGTGTACACTCAGCAAGATATCAACAAGCTTATTTCCCTGTTAATTGAACAGGTTCCTGTAAAAGATGCAGCTTTAAAAACAGGAATAAATGAGAAATCAGCTTACCGTTTCAAATCGCAATGGCAGAAAACAGGGGAAATACCTCAACAGAAAAAAAGAGGGCGCAAAATGGGAACTGTCTCTGAGCTTACTGAAAAACACACAAAGTTTATTACCGACATTGTTGATGAGTGTTCAACTGCAACTGTAGCTGGAATACACGAGTTGTTGCTCAAAGAATTTCCAAGTCTCTCCGTGAGCCCATCCGCAGTATACAGACATCTTAGAACCAGCTGTGCACTATCTATGAAGAAGTTGGAGAAAATTTCATCTGCTAGAAACTCGGAAGAAACTCTTAAGAAGAGAAAGGAGACCATCCTTCAATGGCTAGCTGATAAAAATATGGACTTTGAGAATAATTGCGTTTTTTTGGATGAAGCAGGGTTCAATTTACACATGACACGCACTCGTGGCTGGTCCAAGATAGGAGAACCTGCTAAAACAACTGTCCCTGCTTCAAAAGGCACCACAATAACCATTCTTGGTGCCATCTCTAGCACCGGCATTATTGACATCTCTTTGAGAAAGCCAATATTAGTTTCGGGAGCTAAGAAGAGAAGAATAGATGGGAAGGTTGTTACAACGACAGCTAAGGTTGGAACTAGGACTGAGCACTATTTAAATTACTTGAGTAATGTGATGGATGTTCTTGACCGAAATAATATGAAGGGCTTTTACTTGGTAATGGATAATGCTCCCATACATAAGCCAGCTACAGTAAGAAACTTAATAGAAAGCAGAGGCTATAAGTGTGCATATCTTCCGCCGTACTCACCATTCCTAAACCCAATTGAGCTATTCTGGTCGAAGGTGAAGTATGGCGTCAAAAGAAGCCCTTTCGAAACTGGTGAGACACTCACACCCAGAATAATGGATGCCTGCTCCAAAGTAACTAAGAAAGACTGCCAGGGCTGGATTCGCCATTCTCTCAGATTCTTTGAAAAGTGTTTAGCCCTGGAGAAAAACTTATGAGATTTAAGTATAAGTAAATTTTTTGCTAATTGCCATTTTTTTTTTCTCTTAATTGACCTAAAATTTTCTCTTATTTGTTCAATAATTTTCTCTTATTTGTTCAATAATTTTCTCTTATTTGTCCAATAATTTTCTCTTATTTTTTCTGAAATTTTCTCTTATTTGCTGAAAAATACAATATCCTCTTAATGTGTGGATAATACTTTAATTCTGAACTCGTTCCTTCAGATTTTTTTTATCAAGTCACAAAATATTGTTTTCAATGAAAAGTATGTAACCCCACACATATTATCCTTGCTTTTTATAATAGCTGGTTTTTTTTTTTTTTTTTTTTTTTTTTTTTTTTTTTTTTTTTTTTTTTTTTTTTTTTTTTTTTTTTTTTTTGTTTGTTTGTTTGACATGTTGCTCAATTTGGGAAGAGCCATTACAAGATCATCTAAAAGTTTAAAGCCTGTATTTCAAGCAGGAACCAACTATGCAAAAAAGGTTGCACCTTTAACGCCAGGTATATTTGATAAAACTTTTATAACTGTCAACGCTAAATTAACTTTCCTCTACTTTTTTTTTCCTTTCTTTTTTTTTTGTTAGCCTTAACCTTAAGAACTTTTTCCATTCAAATCCCAAAACATGCTGAAATAGTTGAAGCAAATGTGACTCCACCACCTAAATTATCTCCTGAGCATGAGCATACACCACAAACACTTTTAAATGTATTAGAAGAATGTAGGCAAACGGGAAAAATGATGGACGCCATCACAACTGTTCAAACTGCTCAAGATCTTAACTTGGCAACACCTGAATTATACCTTCGTTTAATTAATATACTAGGAGAATTACCTTTTGAGCTTCAAGAATGTGCTGTTGTTGCTCATTGGTTTTATTCACCTAAATCAGAATTGCCTGCTGAGACCCTTAACAATCTTGATATCTGGAAAAGTTTATTAAAACTTGGATTTAATTTTGGATCAACATATCGTGCAGAAGACCTTAGCAACCTTGTTCGTCGATTTACACACATTTTTGACCTGTCAACTTTAGAAGACGAAACTATGTGGGCATTGTTAATAAGGGTAAGATATATAAAGATTTAATAATAGGAGGAGAAGGGCTTTTTTTTTTCTTTTTTTCTTTTTCTTTTTTTTTTTTTTTTTTTTTTTTTTTAGTCTTTTATTTAATTAGTGTTATATAATAAATAGGCCTATGGGATTATTCATAAATCTGAACTCATTTCGGATAGTCTTGCAAAAATTGAAAATAATCAAAATAACAAGAGTATTGTTTATTCAAGTGCATTATTGTCATACGCTGCAGTAAATTCTCATGAAAATGTAGAAAAGATGTTGGAGAAGCTAAAAGAAACTAACTCGCTTTCGCATCGTACGCTTTTGAAATTAATTCGTTGTTATGGATTCAATGGTGATATTAGTCGTACTTCAAAATATGTGACTATGTATAATACTCTATATCCTGACGAGTGTTGTAATGTGTCAATGCTTTTGATTGCTCACAAGGTTGCATTACAAAAGATTCACAAACACCTAAGTCGAACACGTGGTTCACAGGGGCTAAACCTAAAGCCTGTTTATTTGACAGAACTTGATCAGATACATGCATCATGGACAGATTTAACAAATAACTTGCTCAAGGACTCTACAAAATCAGTAGATATTACTGATTGCAATGTTATTTTAGAATATTTAACTATCGCTAATCATATTGATCCTGTTCAATTTCCAATGGAAAAAGCTGAAGAGTTTCTTGATTCTTACATGCCTAACCATTCAATTAAACCTGATGATGTAAGTTATCAAGTTATGCTAACAGGCTATTCGGCTTCACAACAATACAAGGACATTCATCGCAACATTAGGCTCCATAAAGCCCTAGAAATAATTGTTAGGATGCAATCGGAAGGAATAAAGACTCTCAAGCACTCTATATTCCATGCCCTTTTCCATGCCTGCCTTCCTCATCGAAATGGCCATTATTACTTTGACAACTTTAGGTTAAATTCTTTACTTCCTACTCGTCCATATGCACACAATCGATTTAATATAGATCCACGTATATTTGAAATCGAAAAAATTATGTTAGAAGGCAAACTACCTCATGATCGTTTTACTTTAACCACCATGTTAACTTGCTTAGCCAGTGGAGGACAATTTAAAGCATTCCGTAGAAGATGGAATGCACTTAAACTTTATGGACTTCGACGAGATATTGGTATGTATCGACTTGTATTTGCTCTGTCCTCTTTAGATCCTACAGAGTCCAAATATGCTATTGCAGTTATACGAAATGAAATGAAGCGAGAAATTCCAAAGGATCGTATGGATTGGGATACCTATAGAGCCATGCTAGACTGCTGTATATCTGCCCAATTACCTATAGAAGCGAAGGAGATCATGAAAGAGATGACGAAAAATTGTGAACACATTCATCGCACCAAAACTCATGCTAATGATCTTGTTAAATGGCCATTCCTTGATGAACCTAATTTCTATCTTCCTCTACTTCGTGCAGCCGTATCACTGCCTGGTTTGAATGCAAATAAGATTATAAAAGAAATCGATGATAAAAAAATTACTTATAACCAAGGCATTTGGGAAGCTCTATTATCCAAATTAACACTAGAAGATGATAAACAAGGCATACAACAATTATTTAATAAATATACCATGTATCGTTTTGAAAAGGAAGGTAAAATTCCTGTACCTGTTCGAGAAGCATCTAGTCCTGCAATCCCCTTTCCATCTGCACCTTACAAGACATTGGATATAAAGTTCATTGATGCTTACCTAGCTACTTTAATTGATTCTCAAGATATATCACTTGTCTTTGATGTCTTGCGCACCTTGACCGAGCAAACAAATAAACTTGGTATCTCACGTTCTTTATTGAAAGGTATCGTACATTTAGCCAAAAAAGAAAAATCAAAAGATGAATTACAATGGTTCAAGGATGAGGTATTACCTAAGGTGCCAGTACAAAATAAGAGTGTAAGAATGTTAGGAAAACAGATAGATGCTTATTTAAACTAATGATATAAAAATAAATAAATACGTCTGAGACAATCCTAACTTTTTTTTTGTTTTGTTGAGCCTGAAAATTCAATTTATTTTTAATCCTTCTTGCTATTTATTAATATCCTCCACTTTTTTTTTTTTAATTTTTTTAATTTTTTTTTTAATTAGGGTAATTCATTTATTATCTTTCCTTTAGAGGGCTAATCTGAACCTTTAACGTTTATTTTGATTTAGGACAAAAAAAAAAAAAGAAGATACCACAGTATCTTTATTTTCTTTAAAAGCAAGTTTCTCTCTCTCTCTTTTTTTTTTAAAGAAAAAAAAATGGTATCTTCTACATCTTTTTCACAAAATCTGTCATCTCCCAGAAGTTCAATACAAACAACTAGTTCCTCAGTTGCATCTAGTAATGTTTTTGTCATTAATGCTCTTGAAAAAATTGCTTCAGCAAAAGAATCAAGACGTAATAAACCTTTAAAAGAAGCAGTAGATACTGCTTTAAGTAAGTATTGTACATGAAGATAAAAAAAAAAACATATTAATTTACTTTTGAATTATATAGAAATGTTGAAGGATAATGAACCAGTACCTGAAGGGCAAACTCGGTAAATAATTTAAAAATGAAATCTTTTTTTTTTATACAAGTAATCTAATCAGCAATTTCATAAAACACACACACACATAACAATAATAGTTCAGCTATCATTTTAACTGCACTTCAAACAGCTATTGATACTCGTTCAGTCAACTTGATGACAATTGCACTCGATTGTCTTGGCAAATTTATAACTTATAATTATGTTGCTGATATGGAAAATGAAGTAGCGCAATCTCAAGTCATGGAGAAAGTTGTAAATGGTATTTGTGATTGTTTTATTGGAGAAGAAACAGACAAAAAAGTTCAATTACAGATTATTAAAGTAAGGATTTTCCCGCAAGAAAAGAAAAAAGTAGTACGCTAACTTGTGTGTGTGTGTGTTTTTTTTTAAGGCACTTTTGGATGCAGTCTATTCAACAAGTAATCCACTTCATTTATCAGCCCTATTAAAAGCAGTCAGAACAACTTATAATATCTTTCTACTTTCTCGTAATAATGATAACCAAAATGTTGCCCAGATCACGATGACTCAAATGGTTGATCATATCTTTAGACGAGTGAAATTAAATCCTAATGTTCAGGTAATGCAAAAGGATAATACAGAATCGAGTCAAGAAGATAATAATAGGATGACAGAAGAAGAAGGAAAGGAAAAAGAAGAAGATAGTGACGAGAAAGATAGAGATGAACAACCTACAACAGATAAAGAGACTGTAACTACAATAACAGCAACAAATGCACCACATGAAACAGAAGCCGAATCAGCATCCTATCAACAACAAATCATTGTAGAAGCCAACATGGCTCGTACAGAAATGAATCATAAACTTCCTACTGGAAAATCGAAAGATAATTATGAAGATTTCTTAAACGATACAGCCAATGTTTTTCAAGAAGAAAATCATGATTCCTCTACTACATTAAACAAAAATAATCTTACTACTACTACTGCTACTACTACACTGTCTAACGAGGCATCGTAAGTTTTCTTTTTCCTTTTTTTCCTTTATTTATTTTAAATGTATATAGTCATTTATTTATTATATACACAGTGGTATTTCAGAAGGCAAAAATTCATTTGAAAACGAAGGCATTCAAAAGGGAGAATCAGAAACAGAAGCTGACCTTTATATTAAAGATGCTATTCTAGTCTTTAGGGCTTTATGTAAACTTTCTAAGAAATCTATTCAATCTGAATGGTAAGGCAAATATTCAATTAATATAGTAATGTTTTTTTGCACTAATTCAAATTCATTAAAAAAAAAATAGGGGAAATGATATGAGATCTTATTCTATGCGATCAAAATTACTTTCTTTACACTTAATTTTGACTATTATGATGTCTCACATTGATGTGTTTACTTCAGAGGACGTTTATTTCTCTGCTGCCGTGAAGGATCCCAGTGGACATAAGGCAAATCCTTTTATTTTAGAAGTGAAGCAGTACTTATGTCCTAGTCTAGGTCGAAACGCCTTTTCTGTTGTTCCTCAAGTATTTGATATCACTCATGAAATTTTATGGCGTGTCGTTCAAGGTTTGCGTATGTATTTGAAGAACGAAATTGAAATCTTCTTGAAGGAGATTGTATTGCGTATTTTAGAAATGCGTAATGCATCAAATCAACAAAAGCATTCACTATTAAAAGGCGTATTACGTATCTGTGAGGATCCTCAAACATTAGTTGATATTTATTTAAATTATGATTGCGATCGACAAGCGCTTGATAATATTTATGAACGATTAGTGAATGTATTATCTAAAGTCACTACCTCTCATAATCAACCAACAACAAATAGTAAAGAGTATGACAGCCATCCTATCACTTCATCTAATATTCATATAGGTCTTCACAATCATTCAGTTGTTATCCCACCTCCTTTGACAACAGCTACTATCTTACATACGGATAAACAGAACTCTCAATTAGCTATGCCTGAATCTGCTATTCGCTTTAAATCTTTAGAGTGTTTGATTGCTGTCCTACGTTCTTTAGTCGCTTGGTATACTAATAATTCTGTCAGTATTACGGCAAGTGATGAATCCAAAAGAGATGAAGATACTCCACGGGCAAGTGAAGACCAATCGTTACATTCTATTACAACTCATTCTAATACCTCTACTTCACGACTCAATTCTCCTGCCACAAATGGTTCAAGTACTGCTCTTAATTATAGTAACTCTTCTCGTTTAGATGACCCTGAAGAATTTGAAAATTTAAAACATCATAAGCAATTACTTCAAGAGGGTATTCGTCAATTCAATTGGAAGCCAAAGAAAGGCCTTACTATACTTGCTAAGAATGGTTTCTTAAACTTACAAGATCCTCATAGTGTTGCTAAATTCTTATTAACCACAGAGGGTTTAAACAAAACTTTGATCGGTGAATACTTGGGTGAAGGGTAAGAACAAAAAAAAAAAAAAAAAAAAAAAAAAAAAAAAAAAAAAAAAAAAAAAAAAAAAAAGGTAAAATACAAGCTTGTTTTGTGTCTAATCTATTAAACAGTGATGCAGAAAATATTGCTATTATGCATGCATTTGTTGATGAAATGGATTTCTCAAATATGAAGTTTACAGAGGCATTGCGATTTTTCCTCCAAGCCTTCCGTTTACCTGGTGAAGGTCAAAAGATTGATCGATTCATGTTGAAATTTGCTGAAAGATATGTTCATGGCAATGCGGGTGTCTTTGCTAACGCAGGTTTGTCTTTATTATGTGTGATTATTATTATTGTTATATATAATATTTATTCTATTTCTATTTTTTTTTTGGTATTCTACTTTAGAAACTGCTTATGTACTTGCTTATTCAGTTATTATGTTAAATACAGATCTTCATAGCCCTCACGTCAAGAATAGAATGACATTGGAAGATTTTATTAAAAATAACCGTGGCATTGATGATGGGGCTGATATTCCTCGTGAATTTTTGGAAGCTGTTTTTGATGAAATTCAAAAGGATGAGATTAAAATGAAAGATGAAGTAGAAGCAGCTAATGAAGCAGCTTTGGTCTCAGCATCTGGTGCAAATGGTGTTTTAGGTATTAGTGGCTTACAAAGCGCCTTAGTGAGTGCTGGTATTGCCCGTGATGTTCGTCGAGAGGCCTATCAAGCGGTCACAGAAGAAATGGGATCTAAAACAGAGGCTATGTTTCGTAATATGCTTGCGAGTCGTCGTCGTGCAGAAGGAAATGATACGATTACTTTCTATAGTGCATCCCATGTTGAGCATGTACGTCCTATGTTTGAAATTGCTTGGATGGCATTTTTAGCTGGCATTTCTGGTCCACTTCAAGAATCAGATGATCTGGCTACCGTTAATCTTTGTCTTGACGGCTTTAAGAATGCTATTCGAATTATTTGTCTATTTCATACTGTTCAATCTGAAGATGTTGATCTTCAACGTGATGCCTTTATTACCACACTTACCAAGTTTACTTTCTTGACAAACTTGAATGAGATGAAACCAAAGAATGTAGAAGCCATTAGAACCCTATTAGAAGTAGCAGCTGTGGATGGTAATTACTTGAAAGGTTCTTGGAAGGAAATTTTGTCCACTGTTAGTCAGTTGGAAAGATTTCAACTAATTACAAGTGGTCTAGACGAAGGAAATGGACCTATAATGGATATTAATAGACGATCTACTAATTCCCCTATAAAAGCTTCTATGGAAATGGGGCGTCGTACTTCTACTATCAATGGTCGAGCTCGTGTTACAAGTCCTAATCGTTCCAATACTCAATTATCCTTGACTGAAGAAGTTGCATCTGCTAGTTCATCACAATCTCTTGTCGTTGCTGTCGATCGTTTATTTACTTCTACAGTTAATTTGAATGGCGTAAGTAACCAAATATTTCATATATATATATACATGTATGTATCCCTCTCCTTATAAATATATATAAATATAAATACATATGTATGTATGTATGTATATATACATATATTACTCTAGGAAGCTATCGTTGATTTTGTACGCGCTCTTTGTGAAACATCTTGGGAAGAAATTGTGTCCTCTGCTCATATGGAACATCCACGTATGTACAGCTTGCAAAAACTGGTTGAAATTTCTTACTATAATATGAATCGTATTCGTATGGAATGGTCCAACATTTGGGCTATCCTTGGAGAATACTATAATAAAGTAGGTTGTCAATCCAACTTTAATGTAGCTTTCTTTGCATTGGATTCGCTACGTCAATTAGCTATGAAGTTTTTAGAAAAGGAAGAATTACCCCATTTCAAGTTCCAAAAGGATTTCTTAATGCCCTTCCGTGAAGTCCTTGCTAACAACCCTGACGTGACTATCAAAGATATGGTCTTGCGCTGTCTTCAACAAATGATTCAAGCTAGACCGCATCATTTGAGATCAGGTTGGAAAACGATGCTCTCTGTTTTTGCTACGGGCGCTTGTGAATCATCTGAATCAATTGTTCATATGACATTTGATATTGTTCGTGGAGTTACTAACGAACGCTTTGGTGATATCGTTGCTAATGGCACCTTTCCCGACTATATATCTTGTCTTGTTGAATTTGCTAAAAATCAAAAATTCCAAAAGATTAGTTTACCTGCCTTAGATATGATCAAGAATACGATTCCAAAAATGATTGAAATTGCAAACAAGACGGTACCTTTAGAAATTAATGATGCGCATGCCTTAACTGCCTCTACACTACCAGCCTCTGGTGATGACTTTTTAATCAAATTTTGGTTTGCTGTTCTTTACGGGTTAAAAGAAGTTATAATGCAAAGTGACGATGTAGAGGTTCGTAAGCGAGCACTTGTTTATTTATTTGAAACATTAAAAAGACACGGTTCATCATTCACACCTGAATTTTGGACAACTATTACACGACAAATTGTATTCCCACTATTTGACGACCTCAAAAGTGAAGGAACAAAACGTAAGATGACACCAGAGGATTTAAGTGTTTGGTTATCAACTACGATGATTGAAGCGCTTCGTAATGTTGTTGATTTATATACATTTTATTTTGATAATATGAAAGATATGATGAGTCATGTATTGGGCCTTTTCAGTGTTTGTATTACTCAGGGTAAGCCATCTTAAAATGAACTCATTATATATGCGTATAAAGAAAAAGAATTAACGATATTGGTTTTTTTTTTCTTTTTAAAGATAATGATACACTTGCACATATTGGCTGTGAATGCCTTGATCAATATATTGAAGCAAATGTTGAAAAATTTGATAATCACTGCTGGGACTTGGTGACAGAGACATTTGAAAATTTATTTGAAAAGACAACAGCATATGGACTATTTAATGGTACACAGGATTTGGTGGAAAGAATGAAAGCAGTCTCATCAAGCGAAGCTTCAGGGCAACAAGATGATACAGCTAATAATTTTGAAATAAGTGAGGAACGACAAAGAAACTTCCAGCAAGTGATCATTAAATGTGTATTACAGCTTATGTTAATTCAAACTGTTACTGATTTGTTAGCTAAGGATAATGTCTATAGTACATATCCAGCTTCTCACCTTATGTCCTTAATGGGTTGTTTAGGCCGATCTTTCCACTTTGCTAAAAGATTTAATATGGATAATGATCTTAGGATGGCACTTTTTAGATTTGGTAAAATATACCGTTTTTTTTTTTTTTTTTTTTTTTTTTTTTTTTTTTTTTGTAACCGATAGTAACACGCTTGTATTATTATTATTATTATTTAATAGGCTTTATGAAACAACTTCCTAACTTGTTAAAACAAGAAACTTCCAGTGGTGGATGTTATGTATCTGTATTAATGAGAATGTACGCCAACCTAGAGAATATTCATGATCGCGATGATAAACGAGAAGAAATTGAAAAGATTTTGATACCGTAAATTTCGTAACAAATTAACCTATTTTATATGGATGATAGATATTAATAACTTTATTTTATCTTAGACTTTGTAATGAGATTTTCGTACTCTATGCTGAACTTGATCATGAAACAAAACCAAAAAATATCGCAGCTTGGACTCCTGTCGTTGTTAATATTCTAAATGGTTTAGCGCAACTACAAGATGAAGATTTTCTGAAACACGTACCTCGATTCTATCTCCCATCTATTGAGCTTTTAGGTCAAGAAAGTTTATTACCTGAAATTCGTATGGCTTTACGAAATTTGTTAGTTCGTGTAGGAACTGCATATAATATAACAATTAAAAAGTAGAGCACAAAATAAAATATATGTATATATTTATATACATTTTAGAATCTAATCTAATCTAATGCAAACACACTAATAATGTTCTTTAACTTGAGTAGATTTGTCCTCTATAACATTGTTACATTATTTAACCCTCTAATTCTTATTTTCTCCAATAAGCTATAGCAATTGTTTTAGTTAAAAGAAAATTGATGTTATCTTAAGGAGATCATGAATATTTAACCGCTAACTGCATATGTCTGTAATAGACGACACAAAAAGCTGGTTTTCATACTGTACGTTTTTTTTTTCTTCTTCTTCTTCTGAACCTTGTCTATTTTATCTCTATAAATAATCGCAAGTTCTTGGATTTGACGTACAGATACGTTTTTATTGTATTACTTGGATAAGTTTATATACTCTGAGGGATACAATGTTATTATTTGCAAGTTCAACATGGCTTCTTTTAGTTTGACATAAGAATTTTTATAGAGATAACACGATCTTACTTTTTTTTAAATATCGTGCATCATGAATTAGGGGGAGTTCCAACAATTCAAAATCAAGAAACTTGTAAAAAAAAAAAAAAAAAAAAAAAAGCCCAGATAGATTGAAAATAGGACAACTCAAGTATCTAAAGTAATTTATATTTCAACAGAGTGATTTCACAAACTAGAGCAAACATATTCTCCTACATTTTATATGCACATATATCATTACTATTCCAACAAAGAACATGGTCTTTAACTGATAACAAATACAATAGAACCGTTTACATTTATTCATAATACATCTTTAACGGCTAATAAAGTAAATAAGTTGAGTGACGTCTAATAAAAAGAAAAAGACCCTTTCTATTCCCCCCCCCACATGTTTTACAAAATAGGTTCTTGCAAACTCAAAATGAAAAAATCTAAGCTAAATTTAGAAAATGCCTATAAAATTATTGGTTCCTCAATTGGTCCTTAGTAGTAGCTCCCTCTTCTTTAATTAAAATTTGACCATCTTCGTTACTAAACCAATTGCTTCGTAAGAACAATCTCCAACAATTTACTAGTAGTACGGTAGTAATTTAGCTTCAAACTTAAACAAGAGTCTATTTATACACTCAGCTTGCCTCATTATTATTCACTTTTTTTTTTTTTTCAAGTGGTAATACAAAAAAAAAATATTGATGTGATTCATAGTAGATGAAATTTAATATATAAAAAAAAAATTTTTTTCCCCTTCATAGTCACATAGTTGTTTTCTTCATTAATTTTAATCTATTTTGCTTTAAATTGTACTTCATTTATTATGTAATACTTCCAATTATCTCAATAATGGTTTCAAAGATTTTTTTTTTTGTAAAGTAAGTTTGGATACAATTATTATGATAATAAAAAAGACTTAGTGATTAGTGTGACTGTAAAATTAAAATGCAAAAAAAAAAAAGGCGCATTAATTGAATTAAGTTTAAAAAGATAACTTTTTTTTTTATATAATTAAATATCTTTTTTTTTTTTTTTTTTTTTTTTTTTTTTGTTATCAATTAAACATTATAATATGTCAGTCGACCTTATTGAAAACGGTAAAAGATTAGCTGCTTATAAAGCAGTTGATGAACATATTAGTCCTGAAAATAAAGTAGTCGGTATTGGTTCCGGCTCTACAGTCGTATATGTGATTGAAAGGATTCTACAAAAACCTGAATTAAAAGATATTATCTATGTACCTACAAGTTTTCAAAGTAAATTATTGATTAGAGATAACGGACTAAAATTAGGATCAATTGAACAGTAATGTATATATATATATATATAGAGAGAGAGAGAGAGAGAGTATTCTGGTATAGAGTGTGATATTAAATAAGTTCTTTATATGCATGTATGTATGTATGTATTTATTTGATTGTAGACATGACATAATTGATGTAACTATTGATGGCGCTGACGAAGTAGATAAAGACCTGAACGCTATTAAAGGTGGGGGTGCTTGCCAATTTCAAGAAAAATTAGTAGCAGAAGCCGCAAAGAAATTCGTGATTGTTGCGGGTAACAATTCCTTTTTTTTTCCCTTAACCTGAACAAAACTAATTTTTTTTTATAAAAAACAAAACAAAACGATAGATTTTCGCAAAGAATCAAAAAGATTAGGAACACAATGGACTAAAGGGATACCCATTGAAGTTGTGCCATTATGTTATCATATAGTTATAAAAAGGATAGAAAATGAATTATCAATTAAACCAAAAAGTTGTAAACTTCGTATGGCTATCAATAAGGCAGGACCAGTGGTGACAGATAACGGTAACTTTGTAATTGATGCTGATTTTGGTCAGTTGGAAAATCCAGCAAGTTTATTAAAGGAAATCAAGTTATTAACTGGGGTGTATGAAGTGGGCCTCTTTTGTAATATGGCATCCATCGCTTATTTCGGTGAACAAGACGGATCGGTTCATGTTTTAAAGAAATAAATCGCTTGTTTATTTATTTATTTATTTATTTTGTTGCTGCCATAACACAATCTTTGCCCATGATTTCATATTTTATATTTTTTAATTCTGGCATATTATCCACAGTAAAAGAAACACCATTAGGTCCAATAAACATAGGACCTATAGTCATAATTAATTGATCCCAATGATTACCTTCTAAGCAAGATTGAATTATCTTTGATCCTCCTTCAACCATCAATTTATGTATATCATGGTCTTTAAGTACTTGGAATACTTTCTCTAAGCCAATATGTCCTATTCCAATAAATAAATAAAAATGCATGTTTAAATCCATTGTCTGTCTTATTCTTATAAAACATGAACTTATTTGTACCATCTCTGACTTCTTCTCCTTTGATCCTTATTAATTTTACACCTGCATTCTCTAGTTTCAATTTCCTTTCAGGATATTCATTGCAACCTCTCTCAGACACAATCAGCCAAGGCTGTTTACCTTGTCCATTTATATAATTTTGAACAAGTTTACAAGTTGTAGGAAGTTTCAAAAATGGGTCAAGGACAATAGGTTGTGGCTGACATATTGGCGTTTCATTTGCTGACACATATCGAGCTAATAACCCAATGAATAAAAAAAAAAAAAAAAAAAACTCTTTTCTTCATGTAATTGTGTGTGTATATGTGTCTTACCATTAAGTTGAGGATTATCAATTAAGGCAGTACCTATACCAACCATAATGCCATCATGAAGTATACGTAAACGATGAGTCATGGCCAAACTTTCTTTGCCACTAATTAATACTTGCTGACCCTGTTTTGCAATTTTACCATCCAAACTTTGTGCAAATGTTAAAGTGATAAAAGGACGATCTGAGTTAGTAGTTACATTATTGTAAATAGGATCGAGGAAATTACGTGCTTTATAATAGATTGCTTCATCCATTTCAAATAATTTTCTTTTTTTAAAAAAATAAAAAAAAAAATAATATCATCAGTGCCTTCTTTCTGTATCAGATTGTCGTCGTGGATTTAAAAAAATAAAATAAAATGCGTTATAATATATAAAAAGACTATGAATGGTATATGCATAAATCCCTTTCCATAATAAGCTCTGATAATAGAAATTGATATTGGCAACTGTTTACTTTAACAGCGATCAAGCAAAGGTTCTGTATGAATATAATGAAGCCGCAGTTAAAAGTTATTTTAGTTCTTGATATACCTACGAGAGATGATAAAGTAATTTTTGCTTTTATCAGATTTAACATTTTTCTTATCTACTGATTTACTAGTAGAGGAAGATGTCTATTGTTGGATGTATATATAGCTTGTAGCTTATTTTGTTTTAGGGATAACTTCTTCAAAAAAAAAAAAAAAAAAAAAAAGATTCTCCCTTTTTTTATTCTACCAATTTAATTTTACCATTTATATTTATGTCATATAGCTTTCACCCGTAAACTATTTTTTTTTTTTTTTGGAGAGATAAAAGATGCTACGTTAAACAGCATTTGAATATCATTTTAGAAATTATTTTAAAATGAGTGAGACTCTATTTTTCTTAACTGTAGAACGACTTTCTTTAGTAACCAGTTTATACTGGCAACATGATAGAGTATTTTAATTATTGAATTGAAATTTACCATAGCAATAGTATAAAATGGATGCTTATATTCTTTCAAAATAGAAAATAGATGTTGTCAATTGATCCTGACCTTTTTCTATTAATAAACAAGTACAATTAATTTTGTCACATGTACAAATAATCTTCTCTTACAATTTTACTCCTTAAAAAAAAAAAAAAGGTGAAAACTCCGCAAAAAAAAGATATAAAAAGGGATCAAAAAAATTGTAAAAATCCCTTTTTTTTTTCTTTTTTCCTTTATGATCATCAACCGGCTATTCCACGGCCGTGAGATGGCTGGGCCTGATCAGCCTGGAGTGTCTCTTCAGTTGCCATATACGCCCTCGGGAGGTGTGAGGGGGTATACTTCTGTCGTTCAGATGCGTCCATTTCAGAAATAACAAACATAAATGAAAAAAAAAATTACAGTATACAATTACTTCTTTATATTGTGTTCTCTAGAACATTACCATATCGTATATAGTCATCTTTTTATATAGAGCCTTGCAAGACTATACTTATATAACCTTATATACAAGGAAAAAAAAAAGGTTAATAAAATTATTCGGAATATATGGTAAAGAAGTGTCAACGAGGAACAGTGAATAACCTAATAATTCTTTTTTCTTTTCTTTTCAAGTCTTTATTAAATATAAAATAGAATATATAAAAATCCTATTTACACGATATTATGATGAAGAAATTATTCACCCCCCAGGGCTTCATTATATTAAAATAAGACCAAATAATGGTTACTATTCAGTAATGGTAAAAGGAGACAGAGAGGGAAGCCATTCTTTGATATTACATTCTTTTTTTCTTTTTCACACTTTGTACTGTAATAAATTTGATTCAATTTAGCTATAAAAGAAAAAAAAAAACGGGATTACATTATTCTTTCTTTTTTTTTTTAAAGCATAATCAATGAAAGGCTTTAATAAATAGATACAAGTTCTCTTTAGTTGCTAAATAATAGGTGAAAATAGATTCTTATTATTTACAAAAGAAAATAAATAAATAACGATAATTTATGATAAAGGAAAATGCTATAACCTGCTCCTGTTCTTTTTATTTCAATATATAAACAAAATAAAGACAGACTTTATCAAACAAATGTGATTGAAAGTCTTTATTACATATAAACAAATGGCTGCTCTTACAGTCGAAGAAACTAGATTGGGCCAATGAGAAAAAATTGGGTCGTTTTAAAATTGAATTGGGACACCAATATGAAAGTGGAACACGTATACAAAAGTGGGATATCATTATGAGAATGGAACAGAGATACGAAAGTAGGACAGCGATACAGAAATGGGACATATTAAGATACTTTTAAATTTTGGGAGAATGAAAACCTTTTTTCAATAGGTCAACTTACCTGTAAATATGGGGTGTCTTGCTGTTATACAAGACATAATGTTATTCAACTGTTAAGGCTATTTTTCCACAAATAATAATGTTGTTGTTAGTATATGAAGTAATGAAATCTATATCAATATCAAGATAGCTTACCCCCTCCAAAACTCTTCAGGTCGATTGTTGTTGTTGGCAGCCATATACAAAAAGATAGAGTGCATGTTGAGACTCGCCATGTGATCTCTGTTCCATCAAGTATTACAAGATTGACAGTTGAGAACTGTATGGATCATCATATTGGAGTTATCACGTTGGTTGGAAGTACTTCTTGTATGACATCTGGGACATATTTGACTTGTGAAATACTCATCAATCATAACGACATACTTTCTTGAATTTGGCTGGTTGCGTCTAGTTGATTTGACATAATTTAGCAAGGCTTTTCTGAATACCTTCGTAGGAAAAGGTGTTTTCCCACGAAGCCTACCGAACTGAGCAGAACGAAACGCCACTACAGTAGGCCTTTCAGCTTCACCGGCATTGTCTCTAGGGGCTAACGGCTTCCACTTTTGCTGATTTGCTTGTTGTATATCAGGTTTGCCTTCTTGGTATTTTCTGCTACCTGTAAACAACCGTTTACACATTTCAGTCAATGCTTTTTGCTTGTTTCTATAGCTGTGATAATTGAGCTTTTTCAACCCGGTTGTGTAATAGCCTTTAATTGCCTCAAAGTTCCGAAATATATATTGCAAAGCTTCATTAAACTGGTCCCAGTTACACATTCTTGTTGATGGTGTATTAGAAATCAGATGGCGTGCGTCAACATTGGCTCGCGAATGATGACTTGCTGCTCCATTCTTTTTAAAACATGGTATAACCACGGCAAATACAAGTGAGGTTTAGCATAGTAATCTGCTTCAGTCAAGTTCAAGCCATATAATCTTTGGCGGCATTCATCAATAAGATTGTTGATTGAGGTTTTGTGAGTGTCAGCAACTTCAAGATTAGCAGGGTGAATTATTTCTTGATTGGTACAAATAGCATTATATACCCGCTCAGCTAGGTCGCGTTTGACACCAGTTCAGAAAGGGAGGTCTGAAAATTCAGTTGTATCAAAAAGCCTCGTAAAGAGATAGCGCAGCGTTTTTGGCTTGAAGTTGGTTCCAACATGATTCTCTATGAGCGTCTCAAAGCTACGCATGACTATTGAGATTAGTGTGCTATACTGAATATTGGGGAACTGTTGTTGCCTATTAAAATCTTCTCCCATTTCATTACTAAATTGTAAGAAAGCCTCAGCGATCTCAGCATCGGCATTCTTTCCTTGACCAACAAATAAAGCAGCAAAGTTGTATAGTTTTTTTGTAAGTCAGTTTTGGTACAGCCTCGACCAATAATTGATGGGTATCAGCATAAATGACTAAAATAGGAGAAAGGGAATGTCATTTAAGTTTTTATTCTGTAGAATCGGTAGATAAAAAAGATATATATAAAAAAAACAAAACAGTGGGTTAATCTAGATGCTTGTGTGAGTGTTTATTCAATGTAAACTGACTGAAGGACTTTATTGATCCAAGATGATCTCCTTTATATACATCTATCGCTATTTGTTACTTGCATGAATAAAATCATATGAAATTGTCGGTTTTCTTATCCACTATTATCATAACATTGGTACCTGCACTACATACGGAGCCCAATATTACAGAGTATACATAATGATTGTAACCAAGACCTGGTGGCTCTAGGTCTTTCTTTCTTACAAATAATAAAAACCCCACATTCTACGTATCCGAATTACTTTACTTGGCTTTATTATTTCAAAAACGATAGTTCACTCACTCCATCAAACTCACAGAAATGCTCCTTAGTGTCCTAAGTAATTCGAATATGGGATATTCTCCATGAGGATTGTTCGTTCCGGGACCATTCAAGTTAGCTGAATCATATCCTAATCTGGATGATCATCTTAGTAGTCTGATAGTCTATTAGTGGCCTTTCTTGTCAAATGGAACAAGATTATAGCTTCTTGTTTATACATTCGCCTAAAAACTAAGTGTGTCTCAATATATCCCACTTTCATATTGCTGTCCCATTTTTGCATTGGTGTCCTAATCCAATTTTGAAACGATCAAATTTTTTCTTATTGGCCCAACCTAGTTTCTTTGACTGTAATTTTTTTTTTATCAACCAATTTTTTTTTTCTTTTGAATTTGATGTCAGGTAAACTTTTATTATCCTAAATAAACAAAACGAAAATAGATTATATACAAGAACATTATGCCAGAGGCAATAATGTAAGTCATCACTATAAATTACGTATATTAAAGGAATACTAAACTATATATATACAAATATATATATAAAAGATATCCTTTAGGTATTGGAAACAAAATAAAATAAAATAAACTTTGCATTCATCTTTTCTAACTGTAACGACCATTATTTAATGTTCATTTTTATAGAAAATTATACATTTGGAACAAAGGAAGCTCAACCAGAAGAGGATCCTTCAGTATCAGCTAGAATGAAAAGACTCGAAACTGATTTCAAAGAACAAGGGATGAGAAGATCTGTAGAAGCTGTTTTAGTTGTTCATCATCATAATCATCCACATGTTCTCATGTTACAGATTGCAAATTCTTTTTTTAAATTGTATATTCACATGTTTATTGGTGTTACTATTTCAATTCAGTTGATAAACTTACTTGCTTTTATATTTATATGTATGCTTCTAGACCTGGACATTATCTAAAACCAAATGTGAGTGAAAAAGAAGGTTTACAGGAAATATTAAATCTTCGACTAGGACCTGAAGACCCTAAAGAATGGAATAATAAAGAAGATTGGAAAATAGGTGAAAAGTTATCTACTTGGTGGCGACCCAATTTCGAAACATATATGGTATATATTATATTGGGAGCCAAGACTTTTAATAATATGATTATTTTATTTCAATAGTATCCATATATCCCAGCACATGTAACAGAGCCAAAAGAAAAGAAATCATTGTATATAGTCCATTTACCTCCTAAAAGTAAGCTTTTATTTTTGTTTTATAATAGTACAATAACATAGTTTGGGACTAATAATCAAAATCAGAAGTATTATCTGTTCCAAAAAATATGAAATTATTAGCAATTCCATTATTTGAATTATATGATAACTCAGCACGTTATGGTGCACAATTATCAACTATAGCTCATTTATTAAGTAGATATGACTTTATTTTTGAACAACAACAACAACAATAATCATCGTTATTAAGAACTATCTTCAGTAGCATCAAGGTTAACTTTAGGATTAAAGAATAAAGAGTTTTTTCCCCAGAAGTAATCTCTAGCTCTGTAATTAATATAGGGATATTTAACCCATTCCTTTGGATGTTCTTTAGCATGTTCTTGATGATGTTCATATAATGTGTATGCATTGTAACCAGAAGCTAAAAGACTTGTTGTGTAACAAAAAAAATTATGCATGTCAATGATATTTTCTGTCTTTTTCTTTTTTCTTTTTTTTTTCTTCTTCTTAACTATTATATCTTACGCTGGAATACAAACAAAGATCGAAATCTTTTTCCAAGTTCCAGCAGATTCTATTATTATAGAAATATAGTTCAGAGAGACTTATTTATTTATAAACAGGATATTTATTACCTGCAGCATGAGCTTTAACAGCGTCTCTTTCTGCTTGAAATTCAGACTTAACAATTTGAGTAGATTGATAACGAGTACCTAATCTTTTAAGATGATGAGCTTGTTTAGTAGCAGCAGATCGAAAAATTGACATGAATAAGAAAAAAAAAGTTGATTTCTGTACGAATAAAAAGGGTAAAAAAAATAAAATAAAAATAAATAAAGAAAGAAAATAAAATAAAATAAATAAACAATATGCATGAATTATTTATTGTCAACAAGATAAAGTCAGATGACGTAAACAATTGTTATCCACTGCTGACTTTTATTAAATAAAGGCATATTAGTAGTGATAAGAGTAGAGAATAAAACTGTATACAATATGTATATGTATACATACATATATATATATATATGAGTGTGTAAGTGTGCCAGTATGGTTTATACAAATTATTTACATTACATTCCTTTTACAGTGAAGCTGGGAAATATTGGTTAATTTAGAAACTTGAATAATGAATATAACAAAATAATTTAGTGCTTACTAAAAAAAAAAAGTGTTGGTGAAAAACCAAAAAATGATTGGCTCACCAATATTTTTAAGTAAGCTCAGAGCAACATTTCTGCATTAAATAACCAAAGCAATAACTTTGGCAGAGATTTGCTATTATTCCCTTCATTCTGGTTTTCTGCTAAAAACATCAGGGCGTTTACCTGTCTCTCTTAAGCTGATCAAGATCTTTCGAAAGTTTAAAACAGCTGCCATATCTTGATTCCACAGCTTTCGTGGGATTTCTTTGACTTGTTCAAGGTTGGCCAACAGACAGTTACGATTTTTACATCTAATAGTTCAATAATTATTATCATTCTCTGTCGTATTAATACAATTCATACTGTTACTTTACCTCAATAAGCCATGATATTTTACAGTTAGCATTTTGGCTCTCTCGTGTATGGAGGCGAGGGTTGGCGACTGTTTTAAACGTTTCTAATGAACTTTCACAGGTTGGGGCAGCATGAAGAAGTCTTTTACTCGTCAATATTAAATACTTGGAAGCCGTTTTTCTTCAGCATTCGAATGAGATCTTTGTTCCTGGTTGGCTCGTGATATTTTGTGTTTGGAGCGGATCAATTACCAATGACAAGAATCGCATCATGACCAGACTTCTTTTTCAACCTCTTCACTAACATCTGGTCATTTTGATCATAGAAAATCTTGGATGAACACTTCAGCTTTCGGAATGGCAAAACTTGAAGTTTCTCCAACAATTCACTGATATGTTGTTTCAGGTTGACTTCTTCATCTGCGGTCATCTTCTCTGCAAGTTCAAGTACCGTATTTCTGACTCCATCGTCCAATCTCTCTGAGATATGTCGTTGCTGCAACATTAGCTGCAAGTATGTATGGTACAGTTGAGATTGCGTTCGAGCGTCAGGAGAAGAAATGATACCTCGAATATTTAAGACGAGTAAATGACCAAAATACAAGCTGCTTTTCTCACCCACACGAAAGTCAAACAAGGAGCCGGGGAAGTAAAGATCTTTGGATGATTTTGTTTCATTTCCATAGTATTGGTTTAATACGTTTTCCACCGATGATCTTGTCTTAATGTAATCTACAAATTTGAGTACATCTACAGTGGATGACGGGGTTTTGGAAAGAAGAGCTTCAGCGGATTCAACCATGGATGGTTTAGTTGACTTTCGTAAAGTTCTAAAGTGTCTTGATCTTTTTGATCGATCATTTTTTTTTGTAAAAACAAGAATTTCTTCGTGCTTGACCACACTGGTTTCTTTCATACAGTATAAAATATCACGTCTTCCGGGATCAATCAAAACGCATCTTCCATTCGTGCTTGCCAGCTCTGCTTGTGTTAATGTTTCAATATACTGGGCATCATTGTCACTTCTTGGTCCACCCTCCTTTTTTGAAGTTTCAGGGCTATCTTCTGTTAGCTTTTTCTTCCTAGTTGTAGTAATATTTTGCTTCAGAATAGAAACACCAATTCCATCAGTCTCCAAAGTTCCTTCAAAATGAAGAGACTTATTTAATCCTTGTTCTTTAAAAGCCTTTTTTTTTCAAATCAGCCACTTGAACCCAGGTTTCAATTTTATCCTTCGCAGGCTTCTTGTTTTTGAGAATATGGAAGTTAACGATCTTAATATCCACTGTCATATATGTGGGAATAAACGTGGTTCGTATAGGAAAGCAAATGAATTCTTTCAGCTTCTCTGATTCAACAAGTTATGCAAGTCTATAGAAAAGCCTTGAAGTGATTTACTGGTCGAGCCAGCACATCGTAGAAAATTGAATCTTTATGGGATCTGTAGTCTGTAGGATATATGGAGAATAGAGTTTCTATTTCTGATATTGACTTTTCATCCAAGATGTCAGAATTGGGTATTTCTTTTTTTTGCCACAGTAAGTTTTACTTGGGTGCAGGGAGTAAAGACCTCTTTACGGACAGCTGCTTGTATAACTTTTGTGCTATATCCTTTTGTCGTCATTCTTTCTTGAAGAACATTTGATTTTTCTTTTTTTTTTTTTTTTTTTGCAACGCTTGTTTAGCATTTCGCGGAGCCTATCTCAAAAATGAACTTTGATATTATTGTAATAGGCGGTTTCAATTTTCGTACATTCGTACAAAGCAATTTGCTGCGCATATGCTAGTTTAGGTGAAATATAGTCGGCATTTTCGCATTATAAGCCTTTGTGTTTAGCAATCAATTGTCTATATAATTTCGTTGTTTCTTTGAGGCGTGTTTTTCGAGATTTGGTACCATCATGCACTCGTCTCAGGGTAAGACTCAAGAATACTTCAAAAAAGAAAAAAAAAAATAAAAACTCTTGTTGACATAGCTTTTCAAGTAAAACTCGATATTTTTCACCAACTCACTTACAAAGATATACTTGATAAAGGCAAAAGTGTGACCGACAATTATATTAGTAATATCTACTAGATTTTGTAATGGCTTGATATATGCCGGCTTCCAAATGTTCTTTACAGTCGTCTTTACCGCTATGATGCGTTTGTCGGCTACTTCAATATTTCTTTCTGTAGCAGCAACCGAACTTGCTTCAGAAACGGGGGATGTCTTGGTAGTACCCGTAGTAGTAGCTTTGATAGAAGCAGTAGCAGTAGATGTAGCAGTAGAAGCAGTGAATTTAGCAACAACAGCAGTAGATATTGCAAGAGTAGAAGTTGAAGAACCTTTGGATTCCTTACGGAGAGCAAACTTGCTGGATTCACCAGACGTAGTTTGTCTTGTGATAGTTTCGCAAAAAAAGCATCGTCAGAATCAAGATATGTAATCGTCCAAAGTCACTATGCTTGTACCAAATACTTCAATTGTTGTAGAAGGATCGATGTTGCTTGAACTTCCCACATTATATTGGACGTCAGGTAGGATTGCATCTCTAGCTCTTTCTTTGTCTTTGGCCCTCTTTCTTTGAGACTCATCATTTTGAGTATTTTCTCTGCCTTATGTGGTTTTTATGTTAGTTTTAGCGTGCATTAAAAGGCTATCATAAAAGTACATACCTTTTCTCTTCCTAATAACAACAGTGGGGTTGAAAATCATTATCAGAGTTTTCTTGGATAGTTTCGTGATATATGTTAGAAGGACCAGGCGCTGTTTTTTGGAACAGTCATCGTGGCGTCTGCATGTCAATCGTGTGGTCAGTATTAGAAAAGTAGATAATTCTCTATATACTTTACCCTTTGTTTTAGCGGATTCTTTTTGAGAGGTTGTTATTGCGGTATCATCTTTTTTTCTTCGCATTTGCAAAGCGTTCGTTTTCAGGATTTTTGGATAAAGTATTAAAAAAAGAGAATTACTTTGCTAGTTTATTGTATAATCGAGGAACAAATGCAAAGGAATAAAAAAGAGAAGAGGGAGAGGTAAACAGTGATTTATAAAGTCATATACAAACTACTTTTTTTTTTGACATATCCCAACACATATATAAACACATAATTTATGGGTTATTTATTATTACTATTATGTTCTTCTTTGTATTTATCAATAATTATCAATGAATCAACCAAAGCCAGGTAAATAAACTTTAACATGAACTCTTATGAATATCTTATTAACAATTGAATGAAGCTGGTTCTATAATAAAACCCTTGATCTGCATGTTCCAGTTATATAAGCCCATTATCGATAGACATAGTTTATGAGAACATGTGCGAAATTTTTTGTTTACACGTATATAAACATATCAAAGATATAATTGAATTGTGAAGACTGATCAGACTCTAAACACCATTAATAAAGGCTTCAATAAAACTGTTAATATATATTTTCTTATACATACCTCTCTCCATACTTGTTCAAATTAACTATGCGTATCAGTCTACAATAATAGTTTTTTTTTTTTTTTTAAAACGATGAGTTTAATCAAGGGCGCAAGGTCAGAGGCTATAGACTCACGTATTTAACTCTATATTTTCCAAAACTGAATTCAATTGAAAATTTTTGGGTTCTTGCAAAGAGGAAGAATCTGATGGCTAAAGGTTCTTTATTCTTAAGAATCGCTGAAATTTCAAGTGCTTAAACCAGCTTTTAAAACGGCCAATCATTTTCCAGCTTCTCGGCAACATTTTTTTTTTCTAACAAGCGCCAAATTATTTTTTTTTTTTTTTTTTTTACAATCATTATTTAAATTTCTAAATTAGCCAATATTTTCCAGCTTCATTGTATATAAAAAGGTATTTGGTTTTTATATATTATATTATGCTTGTGAATAATTCATATTAGATGATTCATTATTAAATAGAAAAGTAGCAGGTGAAGCATTTGGCATACATTGATACTCTAAATCAATAGAAATATTGATACCTATGTATAATAATAATAATAAGAAGAAGAGATATACATATTATTTTCATAGTTAGATAACTAATATAATAATGATTTTTACCTGCTGAAATCTTCTCTATCCATAATAAAGCAGCTGCATTCGTTTGAACATGGAAAAGTATTTGAGGTCCATTTTTAGTAGTAATGCGAAATACATGAGGTCTTTTATGATAATCAGTGGCTGTATCTATCTTGGCATTCGCTAAAGAAAGATTAACCAAGAAAGTATATCGGATATCTTGGTTATAATAAGGTGACATGGTAGGCAAATATCGATAACCACCTATAGAAGAGGAAGATCTTTTGTTTTCATATATCTTCAAGATAGTCCCTTGTAATTCCATATATACATCTCTGTAGTGTGAATATAGTATGTATGTATGTATTATTATTAGTTTAGACTCTATATTTCTATTTCTATTTTTTTACTACCTCCATGGACGTCGTTTTGCTTTTATTCCAGGTGAATCACATTCAATTTTAGCTTTTGCATAACCCATTTTTTGTACAGTACAGGTATAGATCGGTAACGTTTCCTCTCTTCTTCTTGATCTATTCGGTTCATTCATAGTACCTTCAGAATAAGAAGAACGTCTTTGATCATATCCTTCGATTGAATTCTGATGATGATGATGAAAAGGAAAAGTAGGTGCTGAAGAACGACGTGGCATGATGGTATCATAATCAGGTGGTGATAGTGGGTGTCTATCTCTAGACCTTTCTTCTTCTTCTTCTTCTCCTCCTCTTGTGATAATGGATGATATTCTCGAGTTGGGCCATTTGTGATTCATTTCTTCATCATCTGAAATATGTAATTCTTCCATTCTATTCAATAACGTATCGCTATGATCATCTTCAGTTAATGAATGACTCGAGATATCATCGTTATTTCCCATCATTCCTAATGATGTTGTTGCATATAAAGGTGGAGATAAGAGATAAGGTTTGTCGACCGTAATTTCATCATCAGTTTGACTCGAAGAGGATGCATTACTAACTAAAGAGGATCTACGAATAGACTCTGCCACCATAGAAAGTTGGATACAATCTCTTTGTTTATGAATACCGACATGCTTAAAATCCTTTTCATTTGTCATTTGCATAAATTGTTCTAAATCTACACCCTTTAAATTGGGACTGTATTTTAGAAATTGAAGTTGTTGTAGTACATCATCTAAATATTATTAGAGAAGTCCGAGTACTAAAATACATTTATTTATTTACCTGTTGTTGAAATATTGCCCTGATTCATGTCCTGAACAATAATAATTGGAAATTGTAAATAAGACTTTTGTTGTTGTTTATAAAACATATGATAATTAAATTGAATATACACACACAAAAAAAAAAAAAAAAAAAGATGATGTCGTTTTTTTTTTTTTTTTATAAATTTATTTTTGCTGCATTAATAAAATAATGCAAAAATTTTATTTGAAAAGTTTACCATTGATAATGGAAATTTCCAAAAAAATAAATAAACCACTATTAGCTTATAGAAATAAATGAAGTATTCTTTAGAATGAAATACTTTTGTCATTGTTTCCATTAATGTTTTTTTTTTTTTTTTTTTTTTTTTTTTTTTTTTTTTTTTTTTGTAAATTTAGAATGAAGCGTTTCAATAGGGAAATGAATTCTGTCCAATGTAATGTCTATTAAAATAATATCTCTCTCTTTCTCTCTCTCTCTCTTTTTTTTCTGTCATTTAAAAAGTGAATATAATAATTATTGACTACAGATATATTTGTGAGGCGTTTTTTATGAGGGGGAGGGGAGGAGTTTGCTATATTTTTAACAATACATATTTTAAGCTGTTGATCTTGTAACTGCAGTTCTAGAATAATCAAATGCATGTGATTAGCCGTAATGATAATAAAAAAGAGTATATCAAGATGTTATAATAGTAAAATATACAGATCATGTCTATTATTTGATAAAGTGCTGCTGGTATATAACGTCAATAGAGATACAGTAGCAAGTCAAATCTATAATGTACATTTATATATATATACATATATATTCTTATATATTCTTATTCTTATCGCTATTCAATAAAGTCATTTGTAAAACTATTCCAAGCATCATAAAGTTTGATCATCAGTGACAACTTTAAATCGTATTGAATTATCCTCCATTATTGCCCGTTATCTTTACAAATAATCAACACCATTCAAATCGAGAATTATCTTTTATAATTTACAAACTTTAAGTTGAGTAACAGTCTTTCTCGTATAAGAGAACCTTTGTCATTATGAATCACTTCCTTGTCAAAATAAACATATCGCAGCAAATAAATAAATAAATAAACTTTACTTTATACTATATTAATTTATCAAAATATTATATGTGTAGCCATACTATCCGGATATGGATGATGAAACTCGATTGATTTATAATAAATAAAGCTACTTTCTTATAATTACTTTTTTTCTTTTCTCTTCTTTCTCTTTTTCTTTCACTTTAACTTATATTAACTAGTATAGACACACCTATGAACAATACAGATAATAAGTTTATACTACGTGGAGTTCTTGAAGGTGATATTTAACAATGGAAAAGAAAGAGAAAAGATACATCGATGATTTTAATATATCCGTCTTTTTTTTTTTTATTATTATATGATAGGGCACAATGGATGGGGTAAATAATATAATAAAGATGATAATCTTGACGTGACATAACTGAATAAAATAAAATTTGATTATTTCCATCAAGTCACCTCCATTGTCACTTCTTCTAAGACATCTAACATGGTTATTTCTGCCTCTCGTGGTATGGATTCATAATAATAAAAATGGACCAAAATTCATCTATTTATTTTATTTAGACAAGTCTATTATTGTATGGGAAATGAATAGGTTTGAAAATGATTATACAAATATATAAAGTAGAGCCTACAGACTTATTTTTTTTTATTGAATATATACAAATGTATATACACATATTTATAACTGTTTATTCATCCTTCAATTCAATCAGGTAAATAATGATATACATGCATTCTATTTATTTCCCCCCTTCCCCTCCCCTTACGAGTGCTAGGTTCTCTTTCTCTTTCTATTCATATTGAATTATCCTTTAAGGAACTCTACAATAAATAAAGAGAAACGCCTATATTGAATGAGTGTGTATTCATAACACTCGTTTCTTTCTTTCTTTTTTCTTTTCTTTTCTTTTCTTTTTTATAGGGATGATATAAACTGTGGTGTCCCTCGTAAAGCTCTTGTTGGTCATAATAATATTATTCAAGATTTGGCAATTTCTTCAGATGGACAATTTGTTTTATCTGCCTCTTGGGATCATACACTTCGTCTTTGGGATTTGGAAGCGGGTAAGACAGTACGTCGTTTCGTTGGACACGAAAAGGATGTCTTATCAGTTGCATTCTCTGCTGATAACCGGCAAATTGTTTCTAGCTCTCGTGACAGAACCATCAAGTTATGGAATACGCTTGGAGAGTGTAAACATACCTTTAAGCAATATAATCATAAGGATTGGATTCCATGTGTTCGTTTCTCTTGTAATCCGAATAAACCCATTTTTGTTTCTTGTGGATGGGATAAGCTTGTTAAGGTTTGGAGTAATATCAAATTGAATGTAAAGAAAGAATTTGTTGGACATAATGGATATCTCAATACACTCGCTCTTTCCCCAGATGCAAAGTTATGTGCCTCTGCTGACAGAGACGGGGTTGTGATGATTTGGGATTTAGATGACGGAAAACATCTTTTGTCATTGGATGTTGGTAAGGAAGTCTTTAGTTTACTTTTCTCTCCAAATCGCTGCTGGCTTTGTATAGCTACAGGAGCCTCTATTAAAATTTGGGATACTGAAGAAGAGAAATTTGTAGATACTTTAACTCCTGACTCAAGTACCATCACTATGAACAAACCACAAGCACCTCATCTTCCTAACTGTCTTTCTCTTGCTTGGAGTATGGATGGTAATACTCTTTATTCTGGTCATTCAGATCATCTTATTCGTGTTTGGCAAGTTATCTGCGCTTTATAAAACTGAAAAAAAAAAAGCACATGTAATTTGTGCAACATGTCAAAAGTAAAAGATCATACTACAAGTGATTGTTTCATTTTTCATATTAGCTAATAATGATAATAATAATAATAATAATAATAATAAAAAAAAAAAAAAAAAAAAAAAAAAAAAAAAAAAAAAAAAAAAAAAAAAAAAGAGGGAGAGAGAGAATGGTTTGACGTTTAAAAAAATTTTTTTTTATTTTTTTTATTTATCTGTTTATACGAGAAAGCTTTTTTTTTCTATTTGTCTTTCTAGGTTTGATTACAGAGCTAATTTCATTTCTATCAATTCGTATACATAACTAATAATTCAAGCCATTGATGAATGGCTATTGCTAGTATATACGCACTTAAATAAATATGAATATTTACTAAAAAAAAAAATAAAATAAAAATAAGAGTTGGAATTATTCATCATCAAACAATTTTGCTTTCTCCGATATGTTTGAAACAATAAGTAGAAACCTTACAAAGAGGATTAAAGAATTAGGAATTAAGGATTTCCTAAAATACAAATTTGTTCCTGTCCCTCCTCTTTCCTTTTTTTTTTCTTTCCTTTCCTTTCCTTTCCTTTATTTGATTTATTTTTTTTTTAACTATTTTTGTTCCTCAGTAGATACCCTTTTTTTTCATTTTACTTTATATACGCGTTGTAGTTCCATTTTTAACAATTTATGATAGTATCTTCCCTTTGGAGGGCATATGTAGTATGTGGGTATGTAAGGATTATTATAAAATAAAATAAATAACATGAATTTAAAATTTTTATACCTTAGTTTTTTAGGACTTGGTGGATATATGGTAATTTTTTATTTAATTTTTTAGTTTTTTAAAAAAAAAAAAAAGTCAAAAATAAAATTAAGCATTGTAATGATTTTCAACTCCCTTGTTTTTGACTATTGCTTATTACAGTATGGGTAAAATATAAAATACACACAGAATATATATGTATATACCATATACACTTATTTAACGTATGTCTTTTATATATATATATATATATGTGTATATCTATTTTTATAGTTATGACAGTGGAATTTTATCTGGATGTTTAGCCATGCGAGAATTTCAAGAAAAGTTTTCACTTCAGAGTAATAACTTACATTATTTGATTCTGTCTGTACCTTTAGGAACATCCTGTATTATGTCCTTTGTAAATAGAAATCTATCATCATGTTTGATAATAGGAAAGCTTTGACCATTCAGTTTATATATACTATAGATTTCAGGTCCTATTGCAGATAAAATTGGTAGAAAGAAATTTGTTTGTGTTGCATGTATTATACATTTAATTGGCACTATTACACAAATGGTTGCAAACACATTTGCATCTTTTCTTATTGGAAAATTAATTGCTGGTCTCTCTATTGGGTAATTAATGATGATACTAACAGAATATAACGACTCATTTACTAATATATATATATATATATATGTATCAAGTATGCTAGCTGTGATATGTCCTTTATGTATGATATTCAAATATTATTGAGTTTTTTTTTCTTTCTTTCTTTTCTTCATTTTATATATTTATATACTTTTCTTATAATAGATCAAAGTGAAATATCATTACCAGAACATCGAGGTCGATTAATTTCAATGCATCAATTAGGTGTAACTGTTGGATTTTGTATTGCTTTTTGGATTGCTTATGGTACATTTAATATAAATAATTCACTATGTTGGAAGTAATTTTTATTTTATTCTTATTTTTTTTTTTCATGTGTATACTATTGTTATTGACCTTTTTTTTTTCGTTTAGAATTCCTTATAGTCTTCAGATATTGAATCCAGTTATAATGATAATCGGTGTTCAGTTTATCCCAGAAAGGTAAATAGATATATATTATTTCATTAAACTCTCTTATTAAACTAATCTTTCCTTCCTCTCTTTTTTATGTAATGAATCCAGTCCTAGATGGTTAATCTATCAAGGTCGATTCGCAGAGGCTAAAGAAATTTTACAAAGGGTACGAGGCAAAAAAGATCAAGATGATCTTGAATTAAGCATGGAATATACCGGCTTAATACAAGAAAGAAATTATGATAAAAAATATACTTCAAAAAGCTATAGATCACTTCTTACAAAAGGAATTGAAAACAATAGAAAAAGAACGATATTAGGTGTTGGTTTGCATGTTATGACACAATTGACGGGTATTAATGCATTGATGTAAGTAAGCAATTTTATTTTGAAATATTTATTTTATTTATTTATTCATTTATTTTTTTGAAAGGTTTTATTTACCTTATATTCTTGAATCAACTGGAATAGTAGAGACAAATTCAGCTTTACTCGGTAATGGTGTAAGTGGCATGGTTAATATGTTGGCTACGATTTTATCTTTTCTCTATGTAAAGTAGTATTATAGAATAGAATATGATATGATATGATAGATCTAACGCCATGTACACAATAGATTGATAAATGGGGTAGAAAGCCGATTATGATTAAAGGAGCAATTGCAATGGCTACTTGGATGTGTATTATTGCTATTCTTCAAGGTGTCTATTTTAAAAGACTTTCGATGAATGAATCTCGGTCATTAATTCCAATGATCATCTATTCCAGTGATAGTAAAGCATCATTTGTGATACTTGTCTTTATCTGCTTATTTTTGGCTTGCTTTGCACTCAGTTGGGGGTCTATGGGTTGGATTTATCCAGCAGAGATTTACCCTGAATCTATTAGAGCAAGAGGTTTAGGAATTACAACAGGGGCCAGTTTTGCGACGAGTATCTTTGTTTCTCAAATTGCACCTGTTTTATTTCAAAACATTGAATGGGGGACCTATCTCTTCTTTGGTGCTTTATGTTTATTACAATCTTATATTATTTATATTGTCTATCCAGAAACGAAGGTAAAAAAAAAAAAAAGAAAGGAAGAAGAAAGGAAGAAAGGAAGAAAAAGAAAAATAAAAAGAAAGAAAGACACATATTTTATTACAAATCTATTCACACATTTATTATTTAATAGGGTAGATCACTTGAAGAAATTCATTTAATCTTTAGTGGTGCATTAGTAGATCAAAGTGCTGGGGCTCATCATCCTCAAACAGCTTTTGAGGCTTTACTTTATCTTCAACAATTTAATGTAGATTTATCAAGGCCTAACTCATCTATCACTGTTTTACCTAATCATCCTTCTTCGGCTATGGTCATAGAAGATCATTATGGTTGTACTAGTGAAACTGCAATCACATCAACAACAGTCTCTTCTACTATTTGTCATGACATAAAGAATGATATAACTATGATTTAATCAATTCTATTCTATTCTTTACTTTTCATGTACACCATTTTCTTTACTACTACTACTACTACTATAGATAATATTGTAGATATACCAATTAAATGAAGCCCTTAGAAATAGAATATAGACCTGATTATTTATTTTTTTTTATTTATTTTTTATGTTGCATACTTGACTAAATAAGGTATAATTAAAAATACACATATCTATTTCTTCTCGGATCATGATAATTAGGAAATCCAGAAACCTTATGTAGTTAGTAAGGGTTTCACTAATATAATATAACAATAAAAAAGAAAAACAAAAAAAAAAGGTTTTAGCGGAATAATACTTTAATGATGTCGCAAGGAAATTAAACAGTGTAGTACGAGTCAAAAATATATTATGTGTATATTGGGCTTTTGAGGCAAAGTGGGAAAAAAAATAATAATAATCAACCAATACAGTTCTTTTAAAAATAATATGAAGAGACATTATTTTTTCATAATGCAAGAAAATAAACCAATGCAAGGAAGTAGGCAGGTTCCTAAATTGGGGGGAGGGGGAAAGAAAGAGGAGAAAGAAAGAAGAAAATCACGATTAAATGTCACACATGACCTTTTTTTTAATTTTCGCTTTTCACGACTTGATCTAATTGATAAAAAAGTGAGATTCTGTTTATTGTAGCAGCTAATAAAAGTGCGTAATGCTTTGGATACGCGAAAAGACAAAAAAAAAAAAAGAAAAAAGAGAAAAGCAAGTTTATGAAAACTCTGTATAATTTATTAAAGGCTTGATATAACGCATCAAGCAAGCAAGGTAATTATAGATGAGGTAAATGGTAAATGAAATATAAAAAAAAAAAATGAAGAGGGTTAGGGTTATTTATATACAAGACAAGTAATGATATTAATAGAAATAGGATCTTGACAACTAGCAAAAAGACTGACATTGTTATCTCCGAATAATTCTCTTTTTCTACTCCTCCATGACTATCACCAAGAATAATAAAGAACCTTATTTTTGTTATATGAATATGTAATTGAATAGAATAAAGCCACCTTAAATATACATATACGTATATCACTAGTACTATGCTTGGAAATACACTAAAGTATTGAGTGAATTAAGTACAATAATAGACTAGTTTTATTTGAATAGTTTCTTTATTTACGAATAAATTCATTATTATAAAAAAAACAATGGCAAACATATCATATAAAACTTTGAACTAGATTATCTTTTTCAACGTATTATTATGATATGACACTGTATGTATGTATGTATGTATATATGTATGTGTGCATGTGTGTGTGTGTGTGTGTGTGTATACATGTTTATACACATGTGTATATAACGTTTTTAAAAGTGCGACACTTTTTTTTTTTTTTTTTTTGGCGACATCATTTTAGTTAAAAGTGTATTCCGTTAAACTTACTATTATTAGTAAAATATATAAAAACATGGCTTTTACAAGTTTTATTTTATGCTTCTAGAACATAATTAGGAGTGTGTGTTGTCAACGATTTATAAGAAACATTAAAAGGAGTCTTTTCATGTATAAAGGAAAAAAAAAAAAGACAAAAGAGTAAAGAAGGAGAAAATAGCAACTATTATATATAAATATATAAGGGAAGGGTTATATAAAAAAATGGGGGAGACAAAGAGAACGAGAAATGGGAAAGAAGACGAAGGTATATAAAAAGGGGGGAGAAATTAATTATTGTTATTTTTACCTCTTTCTTTCTTTCTCTTTTATTGACATCTTTTATATTTAATGCTTCAAAGACAACAAACACCTTCCTACAATGTGCTTATTACACGTCCTTATGAAAATATTCAAATAACAAAAAAATCACGACAGCATTTAATACCTTCCATTTTGATTGGTAATAATAATGTCCTTGATGGGAGAATATTCAAAAAATACTTATAACAATTCTTTCTGTAGATTTTACAGCAATGACACTGTGCGACTTGATAAAGACAAGAAAGAATAGCCGTCTTCTTCGTTCTTTACCCGAATTTGTATTCTTTGTACAAAAAGTGACGCATCAAGCAAAAATTAATGTTAGAACATTACTTGTAGCTCTGATCTATTTAGAACGAGCCAAGTCTAATTTACCTAAACGGGCTATAGGAAGTGATGGTAAATAGATACATATTTAATACTACCATCATATACTTATAACATTTCCCTTTTTTTTTTCTATTTAGATACAATTCATCGTATGTTTTTAGCTGCCATTTTATTAGCGTCTAAATTTTTAAAGGATACAGCTTGGACTTCACAATCAATTACAAATAGACAACTTTATGAAATCTGTGGAGGCTTGTTTTCTTTAGATGAAATCCATCAACTAGAACGTGGATTTCTAAAATTATTACACTATAATTGCTGGGTAGACGAAGAGAGTTTAAACGAATTTGTTGAATTGCATCGTTCTGATTTTTCACTTTAATTTTATCTATCTATCTATCTGTTTATTTATTTATTTACATGTGTATATTTTTGATACTTTATAATACACAATACTGCTTTGTTTTGTGTATGTGTACATAATTGATGATTGCTTAATATTTACGTATATTACACGCTGTATTTTTATACTAAATAAACTAAGCTATTTTATTTGTCGATCTGATTTTATTCGGTTTTGTTAATCCCGAATTTGATTTAGCATTGTCGTACTGCAATCCATTGTTGTTTGCAGCTACTACTTTTGAATCTAGAACAATATTCCTCTTTTCATAGTTACCAGTTTTTTTTTTTCATTCTTCTTTTTCCCTTTCCTTTTGTTTCTTTCTCTCTTGTATATAACCAACATTCATCTTTTATATATATATGTATATATTCATGTATTTATTTATTTAACTGAAATAAAAATATTCAGGGGTTACAAAAAAAAAAAATTCTTTGATTTGTTCTTTGTGTTCATAACAATTATTGAAAAAGTGATACTCCTCTTTTTTTTTTTTTTTTTTTTTTTTTTTTTTTTTTTTCTTTCTCGCCAAGAGTCCCCTTTTTTATCTTTAACTATTGAAATACAAAAGATAAAATCAAGTGGAATTTAATCTTAATATCGTATTTTCAGACAAAGTATGTGTGTGTGTATTTCAGACGCGTTTATTTTTAATGTGTAAACTTATAATTTTCGAGTTGGAATAATGACCTCTTTACAAAAATGTATATTTATACTGATCAATTACAGCTTTTCGTAAATTTATTATTTAAATGGCTTATTCTCTTTTAGAGTTTTGGATTTTTATCAACGTGATAACATTAAACAATCCTTAAGAATAACAATTATGATTCATGCTGCTCGGATACACTTTTTATTGCTAGTTTCGTATTAACATACGTTACTCTCTCTCTCTCTTTTCTTCTTTTTTTTTTAAACTTTATAATTAACTACATATGCTCTTCTTGAAGTATTTACAGAGGTAGATTTGGCTTGTTCTTGTTCTTGCTCTTGTTCCTCTTTTCTAACATCGCATTGCATACAAATAAACATTTCAAATCTATATACATATATGATTAATTTTTTTTTTAAAATAGAACTTTCATTTCAATATATATATAACACATACTTCCTTGGATATGCTTTAATAGGTGGGACAGGGCAACCACAATGCACTTTACTTTCACATTCAGAGCATTGAATAAATACACGTGGATCCCATTTAGTACCCGCTCCTGTATATCCTGGTTTACGTTCATGCTGTGTAGCTTCTAGTCGCTGTAAATAATTCTCTGGTAAACCCAATGTATCCCATACCTGTTGTGGGAGTTCGTTTTGTCCGCAAATAGAACAAACCAAATCCTTTGAAGGTAATACGATAGGTAATTCCTTTCTTGATCTCTCTAGACGTGTTCGTCTTACTTTTTCAGTTCGTTGTTCTATCATTTGTTTATGTTTTAAAGTCTGTTGACGCTTTTTAGCTGCTAACTTTTGTTGATTTGCCTTATTCGTCATCTCTTTACGTGATGTTTTAAAATCAGGTGCCTCCCAAAGTATCATTCCTTCAAAATTGTATGGTATATCACGATTAAATATCTTTTGTTTAAACATTTGAGGACGGAAGTCGGTATCGAATGCTGAATAATATGAACTAAAGAAGGTAAGTATATAATCCACCCATCGACTATAATAGGTGCCTTCAATAGCATATCTTCTTTCTTTCAACACGTCAAAAAAGGCATTATAATGTGCGTTGATTTCAGAACGTCCCATTGAGAAACTAGGCTTCGTTTCTCGAATAATTTTCTTCCAGCCATCAATAGCATACATCTCGGGAGATTTATGAAGATGTGTCAACAAGTAATCGTCACGTTCTTTCACCCATCGATAATAAATGGTTGTTGACCAGACATCTTTTGCTGTCGTATTCTCAGGTCCATGTTCAAAACATAAAGCAGTTTTATTCTTATAATCTAAATAATAATTTGCTTGTTCTGCACAAGTAACATGAAATGATTTTGAACATTGCGCACATGATATCTTTGCTCCATACTTGGCATAAAGCTCATCTTTACATAATCTGCAAACCTATTCATAAATGAGTAAAACATAATATTAATAAAAAAAAAAGCCTTCTTATTGAACCCTCTCTCTCTCTCTCTCTCTCTCTCTCTCTTTGGTTTTTTTTTTCTTTTTTTTTCTTACCTTTTCGAAAGCTTCATTAGGAATAACATCAAATCTTACTTCATATTCTCCTAACTCTGGCTGATATAAAAAGTTATTCCTATCTTTAACCAACATACTGGCACAAGTATAATGAACCCAAGGGATATCATGCACATAAGTGTTTAACCGACAGAATAATCCTTGGACATTTGGACAAAGCGCACAATTGGCTACGATCTGTCGCTTTTCTTCAACATGTGCAAAATAACTACACTTATCACATGCCCATTTCGACTGGGTTACGTAAGGTGATGATATTAGCCTGAAGCAACGGATATGAACACAAACCTCACAGAGTGGATTGTCACAATAGACCATTTTATTAGTGGAAGCACCTTGATAACAAACGCAACAAATTTCAGGTTGATAAAAACGCCATAAGGAAATAAATTTACCAAGGGTTCTAATGTAGTTAAGGGCAAATGTTTTAGAAGGGACCACATACTTTGCATCATGTCGAAATTTTTCTGGCTCAATTATTCTTGGTTTCTTTTGTTTGGGTTCATTTCCCTCATCAGAGTTATCTGTGTCAAGCATATATTCCTCCTTCCAATCTCCTGTAATTTCAGTATTATCAGTAGCAACAGAGTTATTAGTCATATGAACCACCTCATTATTATTACTGTTGGCATCATAGTCGCCCGTATCAAAACAGACAGGATCATAATCAGAAACATCGTCATTGATGGGGCTATCATGATTATTTATTTCAGTCGGATTAGTGTTGATAGTATTCATATGACTTGTCTTAAAACTATTCACTTCATTATGAGTATAAGCATTATCATGTGCACTGACAGTATCATTAACAATAACAACAGAATTAGAGGTAGAGTTAGCAACTGGTTCATTAATAGGATTTTGTGTTTGTGTATAAGAATTTTCACGACTAACTTGATATTCTGATCTAGGTGTTTCAAGAGATTCAGTTCGATCACAATCATCTACAGTCTCTTGATCAGAAGGTTCATCTGAATCGCTCAATGAGGAACAAACAACGGTGGGCACTCGTGGAGGATAAAGTGAATTACGCTTTGCTGTCTTATCAGTATTAGAATTCTCTTCTATCATAACCTGCTTTTCTTTTCCCTTGTGATTTGAACTGTGGTTCATGTATATACTATTAGCCTCATCCGCAGAAGTACACACACTATCTTGTTCAGGGGATCTAATTACAGGTTTATGCCATTTACGAGCTGGGACAGCAACTTGATTTGATAATGGGACTTGTGATAATTTGTCATGCTGCTGTTGCTGTTGCTGTTGCTGTTGCTGCTGAGGTGGTATTTCTTGTGGGCTTTGTTGGCTTTGTAATTGATATTGATGAAAATAATATTGTTGCTGTTGATGCTGTTGTTGTTGATGCTGTTGTTGTTGATGCTGTTGATGTTGATGTTGTTGATGTTGATGTTGATGTTGTTGTTGTTGTTGTTGTTGATGCTGCTGCTGCTGCTGCTGTATCTGTTGTTGTTGCAGCTGTAGCTGTATTTGTTGTTGTTGTTGTTGTTGCTGTAGCTGTTGTTGTTGTTGTTGTTGTTGTTGTTGTTGTTGTTGCTGTTGCTGTTGCTGTATTTGATGGTTATACGGATCTGGATAACGCTGTAAACTTCCATAAGGATAATTTCTAGCAGATATATGTTGATTGTGAATCACTACAAGTTATATACATATATATATATATATATTTATATATTTATATGTAAAAGGCGTGAATACGGTATCTTATATTATTTATATAATAACCTTACATTTCGATCCATTTTCGGGTATGATACGATAAGCATGCCTAAAGTTAACTGGATCATCGTCTCGATAATCACTGTAAGAATCAAAATGGGAGCCATCTTCCAAAGCAGCTTGGAAATAATGATTAATATTTGGTATATAATACCTCGACTTGGTTGTGTTAGAATACTTTTCAGGTGTAAAATAGGATTTTCGAAACGCTTGACAAACTCTGATACTATAATTTTCAGGCACATAATGAGGACCTGAATAAACACTAACACTATTATTATGATTAGGCATGATACGAGATGATAAAGATGGGTCTGGCTTTTTTGCCATTGTGACATTTCCTGTAAACATCTCTTCAGAAGATCGTTTTTTATTATTAGAAATAGTGGAAGGTGTAGCTTCAATTCTCGATGACTGCGACAAATTAGATTGATGATAATATGCGCCTTGAATAGGCAGCTCACTAACATGCGATTGTGAATTTTGATATGATGGTAGTGATAGTGGTTGTGGTGGTGGTTGTTGTGGTGGAAGAGAAGGGGGATAATAGTGATGATGAGATGGCTGTGCAGAGGCAGGATGAGGAAATTGTGGTGGGCAATGACTATTTAAAATAGGCATTGCAGATTGTTGATGACAGTTAATATTGTTATACAAAAGTATCTGATTATCCGTATTTCTCCTTTCTCTATTATTATGACTATATCTACTATTTGTATCATGAGAGTTATTGGATTTACTATGTGTTGACGATTTTCTTGATTGCTGTGGATGTGGCTTCTGTAACGTTATTGTAAATGGTTGGGAAGATGTTTGTAGTTGTTGTTGTTGTTGTTGTAGTTGTTGTAGTTGTAGTTGCTGTTGTTGTAGTTGTTGTTGTTGTTGTTGCTGAATCAAAGGCTCAATTAGTACTTCACTTGTTTCTTCAAGTTGTGGAATATCACTATCAAAGAATAGAAGAGGTGGAGATGGTGAGGAGTAATCGGCTGGCACATATTTTTCTGGTTGATACTCAACTAAAAGAGGGGCCTCTAAATATAAATTAAACATTTCTTGAAAGTGATCATATTGTTTCAAATCATCATATAATTCACTAAAATTAGCTAAGGTTGTTAATCTTATTTCTTGGGAATGAGTCTCTTCTTCAGGCTTGGGAGTACTTGAACGTGAATTCCTATAGTTGATAAACTTAATATATTTAAAATAAAAATAAGCAAGAGGTTTCGAAGTGTTCCTTTACCACTGCTGATTTCCAATGCTATTTTCGCCTAAGCTTTGTGAATTTATCAGATTTGAGTCTTGTTGGGATTGTTCAGTGTGCAACATTTAGTCAGACTTTAATTAGAATAAACAACTAGTAAATAATAAGTTACAGCATCCTAGTTTATAAATCAGAGTCTTTTTTTTTTTCTTACATAATATTAATTTACAGTGTCTGTCTAAAAAGAGTTAACCACAAGATAACTAGCCAAATGATGAGTGTTAATTATGGTAAATGAGAAGCAAACGCGTATATATTCATTCCGCAATAATAAAAGAATAAAAGTTTATATCATAAACATCCGATCAAAGCTAATACTGGATGCACCCCATACCATATACTTTTCTCCTCTTCCTTAGGTTCTAAACCTGTTATTGATTGGACAATAGGATTACGGAGCTTATAATTCAAGTCATGTGGACTACATGCATTTCTTTCCATTTTCTTCATTTCTCTCTTTTTTTTTTTTTTTTTTTTTTCTTAAAAAAGGTACTTTATAATAGAGTTATGGTGGTAAGACGTAATTCATCATATTGACAACAAAGATGAATAGAAAAATATATATATATTCATTCTATATTTATTAGCTCGTTCTTGCTATTGGAGATTTACACATCCCTCATAGAAGTCATGGACTTCCTAATAAATTTAAGAAACTTTTGGTAAGTTAATCTACGCGCTGATAAAATGAAAAAAAAAAAAAAGAATCAGGAAAAAAAAAACATTAACATTAAAAAGATTCCTGGTAAAATTCAAAAAATTTTATGCACAGGCAATATAGTTGATAAGGAGACATTCGAATACTTGAGAACAATAGCTGGAGACATGATTACCGTCAAAGGTGATTTTGATGAAAACAATAGCTTACCTCAAGCTAAAGTGATTACAGAAGGTCAATTACGCATTGGTATTATTCATGGACATCAAGTGATCCCGTGGGGAGATGTAGAATCATTAGACATCACAGCAAGACAGATGGAAGTCGATATTTTGCTATCAGGACACACACATAAATTTGAAGCTTATGAATATAATGGGAAATTCTTCATTAATCCCGGTAGTGCCACCGGTGCTTATTCTTCTATGCCTGAAGCAACGTAAGTCTATATCATATAATGAAAAATGTGCAGGATTAACACGTTTATTTATTAGTGAACCTATTCCATCTTTTATATTAATGGATATTCAAGGAAACACAGTAGTTACATATGTTTACAAATTAATAGATAATGAAGTTAAAGTTGAAAAATTGGAATATACAAAGTCCACTGCAGAAACAAAAATGTTATAAATAAAATACATGTATTTTTACAAAAAAAGAGAAAAAAAGATTACATAATGCATAACATTGGTATATTTTCACTAGAGAAAATTACTATTTGTAATTAATTGCTAAAAAAAAAAAAAAAAAAAAAAAAAAAAAATGCGTGTATACATATAATAAAAAGAAAACACTGAATTCGTAGTTTGTTTTATTTTATTTTATTTTATTTTTTAATATTCAACTTTTAAAACAATAATGTCTTTAGAAACTATGAAAGAAAATGGCTACGTTGAAGTAGCCAAAGAAAGAGAATCTTCTCCAGTTAAAATATATTATGAATTGCATGGTGAAGGGCCAGAACATGTTGTGCTCATTATGGGTAACCTTCTAATTTTAATTATATTTTTATGCATTTTGCTCATTTCATGTTATTTTTAGGTTTGAATTCTTCTTGTCTAGGTTGGGAACGTCAAACCAAATATCTTGCAGGAACAGGAAAATATACAGTACTCATTTTTGAGAATCGTGGTATGGGATTATCGGATGCACCCAGACAACTTTATAGGTAAATTGACAATAAGGAATATCCTTATCTTTTTTTTTTTCTTTTTTTCTTTTTTCTTTTTCTTCTAACAATAGCTATTTATAGTACCTCACAGATGGCCCATGATGTAATTGATTTGTTAGATCATTTTGGTTGGAAAAATAATGTACACTTAAATGGTATATCAATGGGAGGCATGATTGCACTTGAATTGGTAACTACTTGGCCAGAAAGATTTTGCTCTGTTGTACTAACAAGCACAACTTCAGGGCGACAGATTCCACCTGTAGGTATAAAAAATGTGTGTGTGCAACGGACATGTATTAATATAATAACTAGTGGAAAGCGATTACAACGTTAGGTAGATTGGTTTTTGTAAGAGATCCAAAACTTAAAATAGGATCTGCTCTTAGCCTCATTTACCCTCCTGAATGGTTAAATGATAAACCTATTGAGGAAGAATATGCCCATTTTAAAACGAATCGAGAAATGGCTACTGCCATGTTTTTAGCTCGACTTGATCGCAGTCGACCTCAAACCTTACAAGGTAATTTAGGTCAAATGGCTGCTTGTCTTCGTCATTATGTCTCTGATGCTAGACTTTTAAAGATCAAAGAAGCGGGTATTCCTGTCAAGGTCTTGACAGGCACTTGGGACAACCTTGTTAATCCAACTAATTCTTATTATATTAGTAAAGTATTGGATTGTCCAATTGAAGTTTTTGATGGTAGTGGACATGGTTTACCTGGTGAACAGCCTGTTCGCTATAATCAGTTATTAGATAATCATTTTTCTGAAGCGGCTCGACTTCGAGAACAAAAATAAATAGTGTATTTTATTAAATCCAAATAGCTTGTTTAATTTTATATCCCATTTTCCTAAAAACACCATCCGTCTTCTCTGCTTGTTTTAAGCTAATAATTGCTTCTTTTGTTATAAAATCATCTTCTTTGTGACCACATGTTTCACGAATAGAATTTACAATACTTTGAATTTGTTGTTTACAACTTTCAACTTCACCGTCTAATTCACCTAAAACATTATATCGTACCGCTTTAAAGATAATACAATTCTCTCTGTTCTGTTGCATAGATTTTTCTGCTGAAGAAGTTAGTACTTCAGATGAAATCATTTGACTATCATCTTCTTCTAAACGAGCTTCACTATTATTATTATCATCCTCCTCATTTCTGTCATTTACTATATTGATATCACCTAGACTTTGATTCTGAATACTTCCTGTATTCCAACGTACAATTTCACCTTCTTTAGAATAATATAAAATAAATCCATAATTAAGATCTTCTGATCTAGAATCTTGTGTCAAGGAAGATAAAATATATTCACCAATTTGAATAGACATAATAGTATCCAGAGGAAGTCGGGTGAATTGTATTACCTTTTCCAGTTCATAATTATAACTGCAAACATAAAATGCTTTATCTGTCAGAAGTACCACTTTTTCTTCGAACTGTTTCCTTGGTGATTTACTAATGAACATAGATAAGACAAATGTTACTAGAAGACATATAATATATATATGCATATACGCATATATACACATATATACACATATAATTACCTTTGTTTACCAGATTCTGTACTAGGCGATAATAAAGTCCATCCTCCAATCTTGGTCTCCTCATCTACTATAACAATTTCACTACTGATATTAACTTTCAAATAATAATAATAAACGTTAATCTTATACTGATTATTATATACAAGTAATTAAAACTTTACTGGCATCGGCTCGTATTTTAGCCCATCTTCTATCAAAACCAGGCTCTGCAGACATTTTTGTACTTTGAGGTACATGTTTAAAAATTTCTACTTTATGATATCCTAGGATAAAATCCACAGTAGCTTGTCTCCAAAAATCCTTAATAGTATTGAAATACATTCTTGCTAATGAATTAGAGGCATCATTCATCATTCCCGTAATATTCCTTTTTCCAGTTCTGTACACGTATCATTAGCTTGACTATATACACATATATATATATATATATACAAGATCAATTCGCTTTATTTTACCTAGTGAAATCACCCTTTAAAGCACTTGTGCCTGCATACATTCTAGAAATCATATCCCCATTATTTGCCCATACTATATCACATATATACATACACATAAATAAAGTTATTTTCAAAAAATACAACATTATATACCATTATTAAATATCCTTTCAAATTGATCATAATATTTAATTCCTTGTTCTGGATATTCAGAGATACCAAAACGCATGAGTTGTAAATTAAGTACACAACGACCGAAAGCACTCTATATAGACAAGTTAATGTCATTATTGGCTTTTTCTCTTTCCTAATCTTACAGACCTGCACAACGTTAGTACGATCTAAACAATCCATACAATTCTACAACAAAAGATGATAGTTAAATAAATAAATAAATAAAAAGAAGAAGAAGAGATAAAACTTACAGTTCTAAAGACACCTGTTTGTTTACAATACACTATAGGATCCTTATTTTCTTTTGCATTTGTTTCCCAAAAGTATCTAATATAATTATGAGAAAGATGACATTTGATAAATAAATGTATGTATATATATACTTTACTGTATTCTTGATAAATCATCATCTAAGCTTTTACTTAATTTGCTGATATTTTCAAACTTCATGCCCTTTGTTTCTTTATGAAAATCGAATTCAACATATCTAGTATAGATATTAGTTTTAACTAATATATGTAAAGGGAATCTATTCACTTACTTAATATTTGGATCGCCTAATTCTACAACATGCTTTCGATATTGTCCTCCAACAATCGCTTCTCTTCCTTTCAACTCTGTTAAATTAACAATAAGTTGCTTTCCATATAATTTTTCTTGAGTAGCAAAATGTTTTTGGAATGCAATCTCATTTTCTTCTTCACTTCTTTCCAATATAGGTATAGGATGCAAACTATAAGGAGATTGGCTCCAAAAAACAGGTACTAACATATACACATGTTATTATACATATATATATAAATGTTCTTCTTTAACAAACTATACTTACTTGATCCTCTTGTTTGAATAAATGATGCAACGTGATTTATATCATCTTTCTTTTTTAACAAAAAAAAAAAAAAAAAAAAAAAAAAGGGCGATTTAATACTCTCTCTCTCTCTATCTCTCTTTTATATTCATTTACACTAAATATAATAATTTGTTCTGTTTCTACAAAATTGGCTACTTGGCCATCTTCATTAACCCCTCTTCTTTGATACCTCATGCCTATGTATTAAATATTTATTAAACATGCTTACTATTACCTACTATTTTTTTTTATTACCAGCTCTTTCCCTGCTCCTTCTAGATAATAATATGAAATCAAAGTTATATCCTTCAATTTGGCACGGTTCAATTTGTAAGGTGCCTTGCATAATAGGTAGAATCCATTCATCCAACTAAATCATATATGCATGAATAAATAGAGTATAAGATGTAATGTAGCTTGTATACCTCTTGTCTGATAAAATCACGCATTAAATGCTCATTCCACCAAAACCTTTTATCTACTTTTTTCCATAAAGGAACAGTTGGATCATTATTTCCTTTTTCTTCAAAAGTTCTTTGGAAGCTATTTGTGATATCTTTTTTTTTTGTTAGTTGGAATATATTCATATATGTATTCAGTTTTGCATAAAGAATAGTTTACCATATGAATTTGAAAATAAAAACATGGATTTACTAAATAATTCAGTTATCTGTTTTACTAGACGCTGATCTAATGCAGCCTCTTCCTCATCTTCAATAGAAGATACCGAGAATGAAGAACCCTGAGAACTAAGAGCAGGTGAAGGATGTGAATGTGAATGTTCAAGTCCTTGTTGTTCCTTCTGACTATTCAATAGTACTTCCTGTGCATCAATTAACGTGTCTTCGTCCAACTTGTTTAACTCTTGATTAAAGCTTCTCTTCTTTGCAAGTGTTTTTTTAATTCGAGTCATAAATGAATTCGATTTTGTAAGTTGTACAGGAGGAGTAGACTTTTCTTTACTTTCCTCTTCCTCCTGCTTATTTTATTTTTTTTTCAATATAGCATGAATAATAACTCTTATCATACATGGTTATCTATCTATACCTTTGTCATATCTAATCTTTGACATGCTCGATTAGTATCAAAACTGAGACAGCTTACTCCGTCTATCATATAAATGGGGTTCCCCATAACATAGCCACAAAGTCGAACAGATGATATTACAATCATGTATTTTTCTTTTCAAAAAAGAAAAAGAAAGAAATACAGTTAATATCAAGTAAATATCCATCATTCATCTTTTACCTTGAAATCCTTCAAAAAAGCCAATGACACCATAAATTTCATATTTTTGTATAATGTTATTTGATTCAAAAGATGTAAGTCGAGTCATCTTTTGTTGATCATTAAAATGAATCTCAAGAATGTTATTGTCCTTGACAAGTACAAAGGAAGTGGTCGTCACATAGAGTTGTATTGTTAAATCTGTTTTATCCAAGTTATTATTATGCATAATAAATTAAATTTGCATTTGTGTATGCGTATTTTTATTTGAGAAGGATTTAAAAAAAAAAAAAAAAAAAAAAAAAAAAAAAAAAAAAAAAAAACAATTTTATCAATTTATTTATTTATTCATTCATTTATTTTTTATTTTATTTTATTTTATTTTTTTTTTAGAAAAAAAAAGGACCTTAAAGCCGCAGAACATGGTATTTATAAGATTGTGCTTGTTTGCAAAGGAAGTTCCACACTCTTGCAGCAAGACATTAACGTCACTGAAAAAAATGTGATATATAAGTATCGTCATGTCAGCATGAATATCAAGAAGGGATGCCAATTTTTTTTTTAAGAAAGCAAAGACCAATTCTTATAGCATTTAATTCAAATAGTTTTTTTTTTTTTTTTGTATATTACTTTAGGTATTGTTTACAGACAAAAGATTTGGCTCGTCCGTAAAACCAAAGACAATTTGGACACTAGTGATATTTATCCAATAAGAAATGCAGAAACGTCTACTGAATAATTCCAGAGTGTCTCTATGACATCTAAAAATAAAATCTTCATCGTCCAATTTTTTTTTTTTTTTTTTTGACAATAGTCTTAATCTCAAATTAAAAAAAAACAGTAGTAAATACAAATACATATTTATGTATTACGTAATTTTTTTTTAAAAGTCCACTTGAAAGGACCATGAAATTGTAAATTACAATTATAAATTTATTACGTAATTATAGATTTGTTTTTCGTGAGAACTGGTAGCGAAATAAGATTAATTTATTTTTATTTTTTTTATTTTTTATTATTTTTTATTATTATTATTTTTTTTTTTTTTTTTTTATTTTTTTTTTTTTACTCCTTTTTTTTTTATTTATTTATTTTTTTTTCTTTCTTTTTGTTCTGAAAGTAAATAAAATAAAATAAAAATAAAAAATGTCAAGCCAAAATACTATTACTCCACATCTGAAAACAGAAGAAGGAATAACCAATCGTTCACGTTCCCCATCTCCTGCTACAAAAAAATCAGTGATAGAATCTAGAAGAGCTGAGCAGAACCGAGCTGCTCAAAGAGCTTTCAGACAAAGAAAGGAACGTTACGTAAAGGATTTGGAAGCAAGAGTGAATGCCATGGCAGATTGGCCTGCACGTATGGAACAATTAGAAGCAGAGAACGAACAACTAAAGAGAAAAATTAAATACCTTCAAGAAGAGAATGAAAGAAATAGAAAATTGCTAAAATTAGAATACAATGATGTTCTTGATGAAAATAATGACACATTAAATAAAAATAATACCACTGATTACTCTTCTTCTTCTTCTTCTTCTACTGTTATGAATACTACTACTTCTACTTCTACTACGTCAATGACAACAGCACCAACAGCACCAACAACAACAACAACAACAGCAACAGAACAGCATCAACAAGGTAATAAAATTATACGTGGTGAAAAAGGTAGAGTATTGGATGATCTTGTATCTATTTTAAGGACTCGTCATAGACCTCCAATCTCTTCTCATCCACCTAATTAAGAAAAGAAAGAAAGAAAGAGAGAAAGAAAGAAGGTCTTTTCATTATTTATATCTGATTACATAATAAAAAAATATACTATTTTTTTTTTATTTTGTATTTCACGTATATTATCATTTATAAGAAACTTGTGTGTGTTTTTATTTAAATATGTTATACATGTTTCAAGACTAAATCAATGTTACATGAAATAATAGGAAGAAAAAACAAAACAAACAAACAAACAAATAGATAAACAAACATTAAAATACTTCAGTCAAGAATATATGCACGTATACATGCATATCATTTTATTCCTTTATACGTTTAAATAACATTTCATTTTAGAATTTCAGGTACAGACAATACGTTGCATATACGCAGTTGTTCAATTATATTTAGTTCCTTTGCTGAAAGGGAATTTGCGTTATATAATAATAGGAAACCATCCCCCCTTTTTTTTTGCGTAATTTCAGAGATCAGATTAATACACGTATTTATTTATTTATTTTTTGCAGTAATAGATAGCTTTTTTTGTTAAATTGACAAGTGAATATTAACAAATTATAATAAACAAGACTTCGTTGATATGTCTGTTTCTTAAACTAAAGTTAAAACTACGAATTATTTCTAGTATTTAAATCGTTTGATCGTATCGTCGTTGGCATTATTAAGAAGTTTCATATTCACAAAAAAAAATGAAAAAAAAAAAAAAACTTGATAGCAGGAAATTTCATCCCTGTTTAATTATGAAGGGTACATTACTCTTTTCCATCTTTTTTTTTTTTTTCCTTTCATTATTTGAAGATGAAATTGCCAATTCAGAGTGTTTGCTATCCTAACTCAGCTGACCTCTTCAACTACACTCAGAGTGTGAATAATGGTATCTAATCTCACCACAGACACCATTCACAATGCAATTAATATAAAGTCATTACAATAATACATCCGTTGTCCATCTGTACAATATCTACAGAGAAAGAAGGCTCGAATAAATGTGACACATTATCCAGTGCAAAACTAATTTCTTTTTTTTTTTTTGTCTCCTTTTATATTTATCAGTCAGTACAGGACTATATCTATCATATTGACAGTGAATTTATAACCAAGTGTAGCTGTTCAAAGATGAATTGTATGACTATTTACATATATATATATATTTGTATATATATGTGTGTGTTCTTATAACTTGTCTTTTTTTTTTATGACGATATACGCTACGCTTTTTGCTTCAAAATTTTTGGCAACTTAAGCGATGAAACAGTTTGATTCTGTTTTAATAGCCGAATCATTCCCAAAAATGTCGAAAGATACACAACAATGTTTAACTATCTCCTCTATAGATACATACAAACATACAAACATACAAACATACATATATATATATATATATACTGTGTGTGTGTGTGTGTGTGATTTATAACGCCTATTTCTTGCTATTATAAAATAAAGATGGTTTGTAACAGTATTCTCTTTTATGTACTTACCATACATACACACATAAACAGAAAATAAAGGAACTCTCTGTCATACGTTACATACTTTCAATCATAATAACAAGTCTTTCATTCCCATAATAATAATAATAATAACGATTTAAAATAATGTTCAAAGGTCCAAGTTGTAATATAATATGATAGTTGTAACAGAATATTCTTCTTTGTGACTTGTAAGAAGGCTATTCTGTGTTGTTGTTGTTGTTTTTCTAAAAAAGAAAAAAAAATAACATTTATGCCTTTTTTTTTTTTTTCCCTTGAAATATGCAAACCTCTTGGAAAAAATTTTTACAAGCGTCCTTGGCAGAAAATATAAAAAGAGTAGGAACATCCGCAACGTATGCATCTTTAGCCACCATCACTACTGATAATAAGCCAGCGGTACGAACGGTGGTTATAAGAGGATTCGTTGGTGAACATCATACAGAAGAAACGGGATGGAAAAGCGACTTACTTGTCATAACTACAAACAAAGGATCACATAAAATAAAGGAACTTGAAGCAAATCCTTATATTGAACTCAACTGGTAAAGAGGCTAAAAGAAAAAAAAAACGTGTTGTATAAATTCATGATGATTGATTTTTTTTTTTTTTTTTAAAAACAGGTATATGAATGGTACAATGGAACAGTTTCGTATAAGTGGTACAATTGATATCATAAAAAAGAATTTTAATCAGAGCCAGCTAGACAATCATTTCTTCGATGGTCAGCATTTGAAGAAAGAGGATACAAGAGTGGAAGGACAAGTGGCTACTAGGAGCAACAAAAGCTTAGCTTTACAATCATTTTTAATAAAGCAGCAGTTGAATCATGATACATTTGATTGGCAAGGAGAAAGGTTACGTCAATTTATTGAATTAGGTTCATCCATGAGAGCACAGATGGTTTATAGTCAAAAGGGTGTTAAGGAACTAGAGATCAAAAATATTGACCCAATGACAGGCTGGTTTAAAAATGAACAAGTTCAAGATTTACTTGAGGAAGCATTTGATAATTTTACATTACTCATAGTTAAAGTCACTTCTGTACGTCATTGGTCCCCATCAACTGGTTTAAAAGTATTGTTATAAAGACTCTTTTCTTTTTTTTTTTAGACTTGATAATACAAAATAATTGTATCAAGCAAAGCAAGTTAAGGGAGTAAATGATATGATATTGATATGAATAAAATAAAATAAAGAGGGTTAGGGTTTTATATATATGTTTATTCATACATACGTGTATTTACAACAAGATATGTGATATTAATAGAAAATGAGGTCTTGACGATAAGCAAAAACTGGCGTAATAAAAAATTATATTAGTCTACATTCATACAACATATGACATATCTTTTTTTTTTGTCGTGCTGAACTATCGCGATTATTTAAAAAGCAAGTATGAATTCATACTGTGTGTTCTAACTATAACTATAACAATAATACCAGTTATTCAAATGCTGACATGATTACTATCATATGAGATATTATTACATAATAATATTCATCATCATTGGTGTACATATAATTCATTTCATTGAATAGAACAATCCTAATCTTATTGAATTTATATACTTGAATATTCTAACAATAACTAGTGTTAAAACTAATCGTGCTCTGTAAAGTATAAATAATATATCAGGTTTATTTGAATCACTTCTTTATTGTGGAGCCAAATGATGTAGGATACATGTCCCTCATTGTTGAAATCAGCTGACAAGTCATGTGCTCGAGAAATCAAGATATTAAGCACTATACAACAGTATACTGATTTATATCTATCCAAATTGTATCATCCTTTGCCTCTCATCTTTTTGATAGAAACGTTAGGTAGAACACCATATGAACTGCATTAAAGATAGTATCACACAGTTCATAAAATTAGGGGGAGGAGGAGGAGGAAGAGACAATGTGGTAGAATAATACATCCAGCGAATAGCATCTATTTGAATAAAAAAAAAACTAACTCTGTGGTTACTCCTCAAAATAACATTTTCAGCAGACACAAACCTATAAATTGACTTGAAGAAGTTTTAGGGTATATTAATTAGTTCAAAGGTTAGATAAATAGTGTAAATACATGTCAAAGGAAAAAAAAGGGGGTTTATAATATTATGACTGTTTGTCAGATTCTCACTCTATTGATGAATACGTGGGAGAGTGCTTAAGTCCTGCTTATAAGGATTGCAGATTGATACTTGTGATATGCATTAATATAAAAGCAACGTTAACAAAACGATAACATCGTTAAACTAGTAGCTTGTTAGTAGCTAAATAATGGATATTATCTATTTAGTTAAAATATTAGCTATTGTATAAAATAAGGGACGGAGAAAACTAAAATTATGTAAGCAAAGCAATTAATAGACTGATGAATGATTGCAGACTGTTCCTAAAGATAAAATTATTAAAGATTCTGTAAAAGACAAAAAGGATGATTCTTGTATGATTTTAACAGTTTGTTATTTATACTATATACTATCCAACTCTATCGTCTTCCTCTTTACTATTACAAATATACCTTGGCAGTCATTATATATTAATACGCCTATTTTCATTTTCAAATCTTTTGGAAACTTACATCAAATGATAGCGCTTAACTTACTTGAAACAAAGCAGAAATTCGATTCATTAGGCTACAAAGCTTACTACTTGAGTTAAAAGAAAAAAATGAAAAAGTGTCGCTTCAGTTATTTATTTTTATTACTAAGAGAAGCTAAAAATTTCGTTTTTTTTTTCTTTCTTTTTTCAGATAGACGTAGTACGACGACATTTTACTTTTGGTAAAAACAACATTTTATTCCTGAATGTGTGTTGTATATAAGATGAGGGATTACATAATCTACTTCTATCATAAGCATATCAGAGTTAAGAGTGACGGAGTGTTATTATAATTATTAGCTGTACACTTTATGCATACAGTCCTATCTGATTTCAGTTTGTAAGGCATGCTTGTGTTATGATTAATAATAAATGCCCGATGTTATGAAACAGTGATTAGTTAAGCATAAAGTAAATGGTCACCAATATTAAAGATAGATGAATTATATACATATTAGTTACATGATCATGTTCTTACTCGAAATATGAACCATATACTATCCATGATAACTCTATCCTTGTTAAATACAATAATGCTTCATCTTGCTCAACAACTAGCGATGGTAAATTGTCTTTCAATTCCACAAGCAAAGTTTCTCGTTCGCTCAATAAATTTATCTGAAGATATTTTTACTACAACTTCTACTGCTGCATATTCAAACTTCTCCCAGAAGTCCACATTAATACAAACATATAAAGCGTCTCCTTTAACAATTACATATTCCAATAGTAAGTACCAGAGGTTGTTGTACTTTCAAGCAACTTTGTCAAGTATTCTTACAAAAGAGTTTTACTCATCTTAATAGTGGCATCAATTTTAAATTGAACTCAACTTGTTGTCTTTTTTTTTTTTTTTTTTTTTTTTTTTTTTGAATAGAGATCTAATCTTTTAATTATCTATGGCTTGCACTGAATATAACCTATAAATTTCCGAGCGTCCTAGATAACTACCTGGACGCTATTTAACCTATTGGCCTAAGCATCTTACACTGCTTTTGACAAAAGTAGTATGCCATTTACTGTATCCAAAAAAAAAAATCATTATCGACTTCAAATGCCTGAAACTATTGAGGATCCTTTTTCATTTCCATTGAATTAGCTTCCTACATAAAAAACGCGCATGTATTATGATATCCTTCCTTAGTTAGTCTGTTGATTAGATATTTGGACAATACTTCACGAATTTGATTGTCTTTTTTTTTTTTTTTTTTCATCCTAAAAAAAAAAACTTCCTTCACTGTTATTACAACGACCTAGTCAACAATTCCTTGATTGGCTGCTCTCTCTTCCACCTCACCAAATGTGTTGTCGCTATACCACTTTTTTTTTCCTATCTTTAATCCTAAAGGAGGGTATTTTTTTTTGTTTTTTAGCTTTTTTTTACTTATTTTCATTGATGAATTAGCTTGGGCAATTTTTTTAATACAATTTATATCTTAAACATTTATTACATTTTACAAGTAATAGTTTAATTATTCACATAAAATGCTGCTGACACAATTGTTGTTACAAATAAACAAAAAAAAAAAAAGGAACTAATAAACATCATATACACATGAAAACTATCTTGGAATCAATTTTATTTTTATACATTTATACAAATATGCATATACATATATATATATATAAAATGCTAAATTCTCTTTTATTTCTTTTTTCTTCTTTCAAATTTTACTATATTTTAAATGAATACCACGGCTACAAAGTCTAATAATAATCATAGAATCTTTAATACAATTCCTTCAACAGAGAATAATTGTAATAATAGGCCAAGGCTTTATTCGATTCGTAGTTCTGATATGTATCGATTTCCAACTTCAGGGAACAATATAACGCTCGCTACTAGCAAAAAAAATTCAAAATTAACGATTGAACCTGTTACTTTTAATAATGTGACAGAAGGGGATTATTTCAGTCTTAATAACAAGAATAAGAATAATAGTAGTGGCCATAGATCGCAGGTTTGAAGTATAAGCAATAATCGAATGACTTCCTCCATACTTATTTTAAAATCTAATTGTAAGGATATAAAGAAAAGCAATGTATGTTATAAATACATAAATAATCCCAAAAAGAAAAGAAGGGATTATCCAACAACTATTTCAACTCCCACAGAGCTTTTTGCAAAGAACCTTTATGAAGCTGTATTAGACATAGATGGTATTATTGTTGAATGAAGAGAGAGAGAGAGAGAGGGAATTTGTCTTGTATTAATATCTCTTTCATAGATTCATATGATTGTGGATATGTTTATAATACAAATGAGAGTCCATCATTTTCTTTAATAATATTAAAAGAGGATTCGACAATGTCATTAGGTAATATAGTATAGCTTATTTCTATAACAATTCATTTATATCTATCTATCTGTAGAGAAGTTAAATAAGAGTATATATTATAAAAGACCTGTATTAAGGTCAACTGTTTCTGAGCTATTGCCTTCAAGAAATGATAGCTATTTTTATAACAATAATACAAGTTCTATATCCAATCAGTTCCATTATCAGCGACAAGAACCATTTCAATCAAGTGATGACGATCATGAACATTCACCTTTACTATTTTATAATAAAACTACTATAAAGAAAAGGAAGAATAGAAACAAGTTAAAATATATCACAAGAAACCCAATATATCATCATTACATTATTAATTGTATTCTCTTTCTTTCTCTTTCTCTCTCTTTCTCTATCTTTATATATATATATATATATATATAATAGATGGATTATTACTATTCTGAGCTTATTTGTTACTTTTACCATTGTCTATTTCACGTTTTTAATCTTCCCTCTAAGGTCAATTGAAGTGATTTCTTTTGGAAATGTTCTAAGCACTCAGAAACAATTATTTTTAAATATTTTTGTTCAAGCAAGGTAAAAAAAAAAAAAAAAAAAAAAAAAAAAAAAAAAAAAAAAAAAAAAAAAAAAAAAATTACAACTAAATAAAAACTCGTACATTACAATAATCTGTATTAAATAGAAATAGAAATGGATTTAAAGTTCAAATATCACATGGTTCTATTGATCTATTCGCTACAAGTCATTATGTACCTACTACTAGCGATGATATAAAACAAGGCAAGCATATACATATACATATACATATATACATGTGTGTGTGCTTATATTTCCTTCTTTCTTTTGTTTATTAATATATTAGTAGAATTCCTCGGTACTATTGAAACCTTAGAAGTTCCTCTTATATTCGAACCTTCTTCGACATTCTTTTATTTTAACTCATCATCAAAAAAAAGTATTGCAACTAGTCAAATTCAACTTAAATATCCAGGTAAAACAAAAGCAGGAGATATAGATGGAAATGAAAGATGGTATTAAAGCATTAAAGAAGAATACATGTCATTTTTTTTGGCTTAATAATGATTATCATAGGTCATCATTAATTCGATATCCTTATGAATTAACAATTCGAGGCGTCCTGAAATATCAATTATTTCCTGTTATTGGAACACAAGTTTATTCCGTAAGAATCTGTAAAATGATGCAGGTAGATCCAGCCACTGGGATTGTAAGGAAAATAGCATCTGATAAAGAAAACTCTATTTGCAATGAAAGATGATAAAGCTATATATCCTTTTATTTTTAAATAAATTATAAATTCTCTCTTTTTACACATACATAAAAATAGGATGTTTTATACTATAAATCATTTTAAATCAATCGACCTGTCCTTCTGATTGTTTTAAATAAAGCAACTGAACTTATGAATGCAATAAAAATATCGGAACTACCTACTTCTTGAAGGGCCTTTAATGTATATACTTGTTGATTGGATTTCCAGTAGGCCTGTAAATGTGTCCAGCTTTGTCCAATGGCTGACAATGTTAAGACGAATAAAGCCGATCTTTCAGAGGACTGACGTCTATCCTTTAATGCTAACATACCCAGGACTCCTAAAGCAAGATGAAAGACGCCTTGTGTTCTAAATGCATCTATGGCAATGGACGTTGTTTGATTGATTTGATGTTTTAATACATTAGAGTGATTAGGTGTAGGTGGGATAGTCAAGTAACGCACTACTGTCTTCCATGGTCTTGCTAGTAGAGCTCTAGCAGCTACAATATGATAAACAATATTAATCAACAAGGGCAGGTTATTATCTCTGAATATGAATTTTAATGTCGCTATTAAAAAGTATCGTGTATGACCCTTTATTAAGGCCCAATTAGATGGTGGTCTAATGTCAAGTTCTGGAAGAATAGGGAAAGGTAGTTGCTGTTGTTGTTGTTGTTGTGGTGGTGGTGATGTCCATGATTTCTTAACTTCTTGTGATGGTATTGGGAGTGATTCATCCAAGGAATCTGAATCTTCTTCCTTTGAATTTAAATCAAAAATACTTGATTGTCCTCCTGGTATTATCGAGGCATCTGACATGTCCAATGTGTTTGTAGTTGCCTTCTTGTTCGTGCTCATTAATAAATAAAAATAAAATAAAGTAGGAAATAATAATAATATAATAATAATAATAATAATAAAAGTGGTTGTGGGAATGATATATGTCATATTTTTCACATGCAAAATATGACAGCATAAATGGTAACTTTTTTTTTGTCATAATATTTATCTATATAACTACACAATCATTTTCTTATAGCAGGGAAAGTAAGCTTATAATATAATTCAATGCATTCTTTTAATAGTTACTTAGTTGCTGAACCTTTGAGATTTAAGCATTTTTTTCTTCTTCTATCGATTGTTGAAAATGTGAAGTAAGTTTACTCTGTTTGTGAATATCTAATAGGACGTAGAGAATCGAACGTTTTGTGTCTATGTTATCCATAATTGTACAACAAGTAAACGATAATAATAATACCAGTCTCTGGAAACGATACTTGATCATTTTATAACATGTTTTTTTTTTTTTTTTTTTTTTTTTTTTTTTTTTTTTTTTTTTTTTTTTTTTTTTTTTTTTTTTTTTTTTTTTTTTTTTTTTACATTAGAATAGTTATTTGATTAGAATTGATGTTATTAAAATAAAATAGAGACCTTAAAGTATGATAATGAAACAATATAAGCATCAAATAAACTATTCTAAATAAGAATTAAAAAAAAAAATGTATAGATAATACGCAAATAGAGCTTACTTATAGAACATTAGTCATCATATGTAAACTACAACCTCACACAGCACTTCAATCTATTCGATGTGTACACAATAATAGACCAAAAAAAAAAAAAAGGAAAATAACATAAGGGAGAGTAGATCCAATAATAACAATTATTATTTTAAAGTATTAACTCACTTGAGGTATACCATTGAATGAGAAATATTGCTGTTAATCTTATGAATAGTTATATCTTGAGACTATTTAACTTTTTTTTTTTTTTAATTTTGATCTATACATGCAATGATAAACATTGCTTTTAAGGAGAAGTCTATTACACCTATGTTGGAGTCTGAATTGGTAACAAGTATAAAGTCCATGGACAAAAAGAAGTTTTTGATTTTGTCGCACATTTTACCCTAATAAAGTATAGAAATGGAGAAAGTTTACAAACAATTTCGAGAAAATATATTAAAATTTGATGAAGAACAAATAATTCTTCTCGAGGGTTAATAAAATAGCAAACACGCACTTTTGTTAAAAGAAGATAATTATAATAAAAGTGGTAGTGTAGTTGTTTATTCAGACGTAAAAATGCAATATGAAAACTACCTTTTTCTTTTCTGTTTTATTTTTTATCATATAAATGTACGACAGACAAAATAAAGAAAAAAATTAGAATTTCTTTCCTTATAATGAACTTGTCAAATCGAAAAGCTTCATCTTTCTGCCGTACAATCCACTTTAACCGTCTCGAAGAAAAAAAAAAATCAGTTAAAAAGGAAATATTTCTTCCGAAGAAGAAAAACAGATTGTTTCAAAAATTGTGTCAATTCATTCTGAATTCAGTAGTTTTGTTGAATCTAAATGAGTATGAAAATTGTGGGTTTAATTTTACAAGTAGGCGATTGAGACGGCGGCTTAAAGAAGTCAACAAGAAAGAAAGAAAAAAAAAAAAAAAAAAAAAAAAAAAGAGAGAGAGAGAGAGAATAAGTGACCAAAACATTTAATACTACTACGCTATTAACTGTTTAGAAGAAGACATAATATTAACAATAGCACTGTAACTTTTGATATACTATGGAATAATGAAGTAAGTAATTAGTGTTATTCTTTATAACACACGTCAAATATAAAATTATATAAAATTTTATTATGCATATATAACAGACTTATTGTATGCAGTATTATCATAGTAATAAATTGATAAATTATATGGCAACGTATTTGATTAAATTAAACTATTTATTTTAATATCATTCAACACATAAAATAGTATACAGCTTGAAACTGCATATTTGATTCTATATGATACAATAAATTATTGACACCATTACACACTAGTAGTAATGGGAATACGTAGGGTATTAAAGTTATGCTAAATTTGTTTATCTAGTAGTAAAGTGTACTATTTAGTAATAATCTATTGCAGTAAAGGACATAAAGGTCTTTACTTCATCTACAGAAACAGCATTGTTCTCTCATCTTTTTGATTTAGATTAACTTCTATGTCTATTACGTCAAAGTATATTTTTTCCTCTTGAAAGAAAATCAAAGTAAGGTAAACTATTGCTGTATGTATTTCCTACTATTCATTTGTTGAATGACATAATATCAACTTACTAAAGCAATCCATATATCCCTTTATACACTAATAATACTCTAAGCGTTAAATGTGACTTCAAGCTCAAGTCTTTCTTATTTTGAATGTATATAATAAAATTAGATTGCTTTAACTAAAGAAGAGGACTTGTATGATGAATGATAATATATGGTATATGATAACATCCTAATAGAGTTTCTTTATTTATGATAGTATTCTTTTTAAATGGAATTTACACTAGTATCTAAACGTATGACTAACAACTAGTGTACATAATTAAGCTGTATATGGTAACATCATTTTGAAAATATGCTATATAAATAAATACATTTGTATATATTTTTTTTCTTACTATCATGTGTGTGGGAAAGAAAATGAGTCACTGCTGCTATTTATTCAAAAAAAAAAAAAAAAAATAATTGCTTCCTTTTTAAACATATAAAAATTACAAAATGGTTAAAATTGTAAACCGTAATTACTCTAAACGATCAGAGCCTGAAGGAGGCTTCAAGTCTTTTGAAGCATTTTATCCTTTTTATTTAGGCGAACATTGTAATAAAATAAATCGAAGATTACATATTCTAGGTAATATACAATTACATACAAACAGCAAATCCTTATATGTATTATACATATATGTATACATTTATGTATTTTTAATTCAGGCACAACAATCACACATATTCTTGCACTTTTATCCATTAAATATAAGAATCCTAAATTTCTTTTATTCGGAATTGCTCAAGGTATTAATAGAGTGTAAATATATCTATCTGTATATATAATCAACTGATTTTATTGATGTATTTGCTAGCTTATATTTTCGCTTGGTTTGGGCACTTTATCTTTGAAAAAAAGTAAAGTTCTTCTTTTTTTTTTTATTACTGAGCATAATTGTTAATTTTTAATTTGTACAAATTTGTATATTTATATTTTTTTTTTTAAAAAAAAGTAAGCCAGCGACATTTAGATACCCTATTTGGTCTTTTCTTGGTGATTTGAAAATGTGGCATGAAGTAATGATTAGAAAGCGAGAATTTTAATAAATAATTAAACTTTCATTTTAAGCAAACATTCAAGTATAGAAGAAGCTGTAGGCCTCTTTAAAGGATCATTTGATAATCCAAGCTTTAAGAGTTGAAAAAACATTTCATATCTTTTATGAATATGATCAGAGGAAAATGATACTTCCCCTGTTGAACGGTTGCGCTTTAGGATTTGACGATAAAACTCTGCATCACTTAAATCAGCCGTTAACAATTCAGCAACAATTAACATTGCCATAAAAATATCAGAAGCTTTTGAAAATTTATGTGAACGTAACATTTCTGGTGAAGCTACGTTCTTTGTCCAAGAAACACCTTCTTGATCCAAGTCAATTTCATCATTTCCACTCTTGAATTCAATACATGATCTATATTAAAAAAAATAATAATTCATGATTTAGAATACTTTTGGTGTGTGTAATACATATTGTACATTACCCAAAATCAGTCAGCCAACCTGCCCCAGAGGCATCAATCTTTATATATTTACAAAAAAGTTAAATTTAATATTTATATTATATTTGAATATATGCTATTACCAAAAAGTTTTCAAGCTTAAGATCAACAATACCAATACCAAGTGCATGTGCATCTGTTAAAGCCGAGAATAAACAAATTGAAGCCTGTAATACTTCTTGAGGCTGAAAAGTATAAACTAAAAAAAAAAAAAAAAAAAAAAAAAAAAAAAAAAAAAATCATTTGAATTCTGATATAAATGTAGCTAGTATGTGATTACCTCGTTTATCTAAATAATTCCTTGCATCTCCATTCGGAACATATCTTTGAATAATATATAAATTTTTAGCTTTATTCTTTTTATAAGAGGCAATATCGTATTTTAAGTTCTCTTCTACTTTATGTCGCTTACAATAGATCCATCCAAAATATTGATTTACATATCTACATACCGATAGTTTTGCAGCGAACTCAAGTTCACGTTTTGCTTGAATCTCAAATGGTTCTCGACGTGTTCTAGCACGCTTTGTTTTGCAAGCTACCAAGAGTTCACGATATTTCCCTAGTCTGACAATACCCATTTGCCCTTCTCCAAGAATTATATCTGATATTAAGAGATCATCTGGGTATATTTCACCTAATTGTGATGATAATAATAATTTTGATCTTTCTTTTTCTACTTTCTCTCCTGGTATTAATAGTAAAGATTCAATAGAGGATTTGCACTTTGAGCCTTCTATATTCTCTGCTTTCTGACATTCAGTTAGTATAGCATTTGTTTTTTTATTTTGTGATACGCTATTTGTAGTAGTAATAGATGTTGTCTCTAATTGGTCATCTTTATTGATATTTGTATCCAACATCACTTTTTGAAATTTACGTCTAGTATTATAAGCTGCAGTAGGATCGATTTGAGGTATAATATTTATTTTACTTATTTCCAAATATTCATTATTTATTGAATCTAGTAATAACAATGAATAAGTCAAATCATATGTGTAACACATAAGGAGACCTATTTTTATTTTATTACCATCTGATAATTCGTCTTCTTCGTCGTCGTCGTCGTCTTCTTCTTCCTTGTTAAATAGAAAAATTGAAGAAGGTAAATTTTCTTTATACTCTTGTTTTATCTGTTTGTTACATTGTTTTTTATTATAAATCTCTTTTTTTAAAATCTTGATACGCTCATGTTTACGACTATTATTGACTATGATATTTTGACTAGGAGCATGTTCAAAATGATCTAAATGACGACTTGTCAAAGGCTTTTGAATCTTGTTTGAAATTAATAGATCTCGATTAATGGTTATTGTTGCTTCACAATTACTGCACACTATAGATGACAGTTCTTCTTTATTTACCATTCTTTCGTTATGACTTCTCAACTTCATTGTTTATAATTGTTATGTTGTCAGAAGAAGTAATGTCAATAAAAGCAAGACTTTTTTTTTTTGCAGTAACTTTTTTTTTTTTTTTTTTTTTTTTTTTTTTTTTTTTTTTTTTTTTTTAACATTAAACAGTAGAATTCTAAATTCCGATAATAAGGAGAAGAAGTACAACAACAGTACGATTAAAATATGTTTTTTTTATGGCCAGGTGGGCACAGTGTATTTTTCATCTGCGATATTGCTCGAGCTAGTTCGAGTAGTGTATATAAGAAAGAAAAGACCTCTTAAGAGACAAGAGTACTACAACAGTACGATTAAATGATAAATTTATTAAAAAAAAAGTGGTCATAATGAGCACAATAGTTTAAATAACTATATTGCCCGAACCAGTTCGCGAAGTTAAGAGTTAAAAAAAAGAACCTCCTAAGAGTCAAGAGGGAAAATGAAAAAAGTATTGAAGAATAAATAAAAAATAATAAGGGAGGAAAGTAAAACGAAAGAAAGATAGATAGAAAGGAAAAAAAATATTCAGAAACAAGACAGAAACACTAGTATTTTTATCATATGCAACCATTTCACCAAACTAGCACCTATACCAGTTATAGGGTGGAGGAAGATCTTCATCATGGGAAATATGATCCAATTCATGTAGGATCAAACAAATGTCAGGCCAACGTACAGACCAGGAAGAGATAGATGGAACCCTTTTTTTTTGGTTTTTTCAGGGGTAATAAATTTAGTAAGAAAGAAATAGAGTCTTTAATGGACCTGGGCATTTGTAGACGACGGTGTATGTGCAGACATTCGGTAGCATGGACACGAGAAAGATGAACTGCAGAATGGAAAGGACAGGATAGGGACGAGTTTTTCCACAAGGGAACCAACTAAGACGCCAGCGGAGTATCTGATTACGCTCCATACGTGTCATTGGGAGCCATAAAATAGGATCAATGACCAAGGTTGGATGATAAAGTAGAGACCGTTTGGGCATTTGGGCTATTACAGAGAGTGTCATGACTTTCTTGTAGAAATTTTTGTGTTAGCGATTTAAAAACACGACGATCCAATGTATCTAGTACAGATTCACATTTTTTTTTGCCAAAGAGGGTTAGGGACTAATTTACACCATTGTGAGCGGCTTGCAGATGTTTGTAAATGAGGCAATAGTTTTTGTATCAAGGTATCATCAGATTAGTTGTAGTGTTCTGCTTATGTATTTGGCTTGTAGTATTATTGATCTATCTTTCATTGAAGGTTGGTTGTTCATATGTAACATCACGTTAGTCGAAGATGTTCGAGATCCGCCATACAATTTACATACACATTCATTTTGACCCTATTCAAGTTGCTTTATATGAGATTGATTCGAGTCACAGATCGCTAATCCATATTCCATTTGTGAACGTACCATTTGTACATAGAAACATGTTATGATTGTAGTCGTATTTACAACTAAGTTAATAGAAATAAACCATCATTTATTTAAATAATAAAGAGACTATTCAAATAAAACTAGTGTATTGTACTTCACAGCATAATATTCATTCTATATTCAGTTTTAATAATAGTCATTGTTAAAAATAATTATATACATTGCATTATGTAATAATAAGAATTCAATAGGTTTATGACTGTTATATTCAATTACATAATTATTTATACAAGTCATATATATTATATATACATCTATAATATTAAATATTGTTATATCATAATATCTCAGAGGATGATAATGATAGTCGTTTATAAATAATGGTGTTGTTATAGCGAGAATATTCACTGTGAATTAATATCAACGCGTTGCTTACCCCAGAAATAATGACTGGGTATATTTTTAGTAACAGTAACAGCTCAGGGAGAATAAAGATAAAAATATATTTTATTGTATGCAGAATTATTCGGAGACAAAATTTGTGCTTAAAGGCTTTGTAATGGCAGCATTCACTTATCTAAATCACACTTACCTTGCAAAACATGTAAATAGCCCTTGTCATTTTTCCATATTATTTTCTTCTTGTACAATATTTATATTATTTTTTTCTTCAATAAACTATACCGAGTTTTCACAGACTTGTCTTTTCTTTTTTCTCTTCCCTTATCTTTTGATCTCAAAACAGCACCTCTTAATGATGATCACTAATGTAACCTATATAACACACCTCTACCTCGTGAACCCTCTTTTGCATACTTAGGCATTCATATAAAAGCTGGTGGTTCTATTGATACTGCTGCTCTTAGTAAACAAAACACGGCTAAAGCGCGATCTTCAATGAACCAGATAGCAGTTCTCGGTGTCAACTCAAAAGGTTTTTGCCGTCTCCTTTCAGTTCGTTTTTATGTCCAGATGATCAGATCACAACTGGAATACGGCCTTGCCATCGCTGTTCTCAACGATTCTCACCTTAAGCAACTAGAAGCCTGCCAAAATGAATGTTTTCGTCGCATATTTGGCGCCTCCCTGCGATCCTCTACTAAAGTGAAGCTTCACATGACCCACCAACCGTCGATGATGAACCGATCCATAATACTCCAGACAAAATACCTAGTACAATCCATGAATTTACCTGTTGATACTCTGCTCTCCAAATTACTACTCCACTTGGAGACGTCTGCAAATCACATCACAATGGTACAAGCTAACCAAGAACTCTTTATGGAGAGAATGCACCCGCAATTTGGATGACCTTACCAAAAGCAAGTTTAAGCGGCTACAACACGACTTTCTACAACAATACCATGACAAACTTTGCACTGGCCCAAATACTAAACTGCTTGCCATCTGTCGTCAAACAGTGGCACTAGATCCTCTTTCTTTCTTGCTGAATCTTTTGCCTACTAAAAAACCATCAACAACACGTGTTGCTGTTCCTTGGATGGTCCGATGGCCAACGATTTGTACAATACTGCATGAGATGGATTATATATTCCATGGAAAACTCCCTCCTGACCCTTCTACTGATACTGGTGCTTCTCTCATGAATTGGTTGCTCAACTAACAGTGTTCATACTCCTGCCCAATTGCTGAATTTTTCCTTTTTTTTTTTTTTTTTTTTTTTTTTTTTTTTTTTTTTTTACTACTATTAACTTTTATACTTTTTTCATTTTCCCTCTTGTCTTTTAAGAGGTCTTTTCTTTCTTATATACACTACTCGAACAGGCTCGGGCAATATCGCAGATGAAAAATGCATTGTGCCCACCTGGCCATAAAAAACAAATAAAATTCATATTGTATCCTTTTTTTTTTTTTCTTCTTCGAGAAATATATTTTTATTCAATTCAACTTGTAAAAGTTAAATTCTTCACTCAGATTAAATTAGTTATAGTAGTGCTTGCCCTTCTTGAAAAGGAAACAAGAGGAGAGGTACGATCGTATATATTTTATACATATATATAAAAAAAAAAGACGACTTTTTTATAATTACACCATTCATGAAAAAATGTATATTTATCCCCGCCGAACTTAATATGTATAAAAATATATTAATAAATATGTATATAAATATATTTTTTTAGAAAAAAAAAATGAATACCCTTCCTTCACTCTTTTTTATTGTTTTATATTCTTGGTTTTGGTCAGTTTATGCAATGGCACAACAAGGGAATGAGTCTCCAAAGAGTGAAACAAAGGAACGCGATATTGTACGTGGCCTTGTAAAGAAAATTAAGGGACTTGAAAAAGAAAAGGAAACGTTAATGAAACAATTAAAAGATGCAAAGCTTACAGAAGAGGACTCACAACAACAAAAACTAATAGCATCTCTAAAAAATCAAATAGAAGAGCTTTTATTAGAAAAGGAAGAATCCAAGAAAAGTCTAGTTCACATTATGAATACTGCAGATGAAGCTGAACAAAACTTAAAACTTCAGCTACAAGAATTACAAGTACAAAAAGCAGAATACGATGCCAATTTAAAAAATCAACAAAACTTGAAGGAAAAAATTGAAGAACTCTTGACTGAAAAGTCGAGTTTAGAGGATCAATTACGACAGATATCAGAATCAAATAAAGCAGAGCTTCAGGAACATGTGAAAGTGGTGGATACAATACAGAATAAATTAGAGGTTGAATTAAACGAAAAACAAAGGCTTCAATCTCAATTAAATGAAATGTCAGAGACAATCCAATCGCTAAAAGCTGAACTAACTACAAATCAACAAGATAGTGTCACAGAGAGACAACAACGTGAAGCCTTGGAAGAAAAGTTAAAATTAGCAAATCAGTTTGAAAAAAGTCATGAAGAAAAGCTAAAGGAATACGATGCCAAGCTTAAAAAGGCAAATGAAGATTTAAACCTTTTAAAAGAATCACACAAAAAGGAATTAGAGGCTAAACTGAATGACATGACCAAAGTAAATAAAGAATACGAGGAAAAGCTCAAGGACGAGATGAACAAGAAAACTGCATTGGAGTCTAAACTGAATGAAGCAAATAAAAAATTGGATACTTTACATAAACAATCATCTGAAAATACAAATAAAGTAAAGACAGGCATTGAAAATAAATTAAGGGATAAAATTAAGCAAAATGTTAATTTGGAAAGAAAGCTGAAAAGCTTGGAATCTACACATGAATCTACATTAAAGGAAAATAAAGCTCTTTTGAAAGAAAAGGATTCATTAATAGCTCAACTTGAGTCTACAATGGATGATACAAAATTAAAGAATTTAGAGATTCAAATGACTACAACCAAAACTGAATTAGAGCAGGCAAAAGAAAAGGAAAAGGAAACAATGATTGAATTAGATAGACTTCAAAGTGAAAAAGAAAAATTAGAAAATCAATTAGCTAATGTGGAGTCATCTTTAAAATCCGAAAATGAAATGGCAGTTAAACGGTTAGAGGAACTTTGTACAAGTTTAAATAAAGAAAAAGAAGAAGCTTTAAGAAAACTTGAAGAGCAAGATAAGGAAAAAGAAGAGGCTTTATTAAAACTTAAAGAGCAAGGTATTCATAGTAATGATGAAACAAAAGAATTAAAGAAAACATACGAACAACAGTTGATGAAAGAAAAACGCAAATTTGAAAAAGAATTAGAACGTTCTAAAAATCAGATCAAGTCACTCAACACAAAATTAGAAAAAGCAAAAGCTGATAAAGAAAGTACGCAAGATGAATTACTAAAGACCCAAGATAAGCTTAAGACTATTAATGACAAGTTGTCAACAGTCAATAATGATCATGAAGCTATGCAAAATGAGCTTAACAAGTCTCAAGAAGAATTAAAAGCGGTGACTGAGCAGTTAAAAGCTTTAAACCAAGATAAAGAATCTCTACAGAATGAGAAAATCAAGTTACAGGAAGATATTAAAACTATGAATGATAAGATGGAAGCTTTAGAACATGATAAAGAACCTCTACAAAAAGAACTAACGAATGTTCAAGAAGAGCTTGATACTGTTAATAACAAATTAAAAGAATTGACTACTACTACAGAACTAGCTACTACTAAGTTGCAAACAGAATTAGAAGAATCTAAAAAAGCATTGAAAGAATCCGAAACTCTTCTTGAATATGCTACTACTGAACAAAATAAATTACGAAAAGAAAAGGAAGAGATATCTAATGAATTAACTAAACTTAAAGAAGAAAACCATCTTTCCAAAGAAAACCAAAAAACTTTGGAAAATGAAAAGCTAAAATTAGAAAATCAACTTTCAGAAGCTGAAGCTAATCTCGAACATACATTTACCAAGATAAAAGATAACGAAGACATAGCAAAGAAACTTAGCGAAGCTGAAACCAAATTGAAAACTATGAATATGAAACTGAATGATACAAATGAGGCATTAAAGGTAGCTAAGGATATGCTAAATGAACGAGACCAAGAATTAGCTACTGCTCGTAAATCACTTGAAAATATGGATGAGATTGAAGAAAAGTCTAAAAAATACATTGCTGTACTTAATAAGACTAAAAAGCAAATTTCAAAATTAGAAAAGGAAAAAACAGATGCCATTAAAGAAACTGAATCTATCAAAGAACAACGAAGTCATTTACAACAAGAATTAGAGTCTGTGAAATCTCAATTGACGAGAACTCAACAAGAAACAGAAAGTGCAGTTAAAGTAGAAAACAACCTGAAATCAGAAATATCACGCCTTAATACCAAATTGCAATCTGTGGAATCTGAAATTAATATTCTACAGAAGGAACGTAAAGAAGCTATTGATGAAAAGGATAGAATATTTGACGAACTTCAGATTAAGCAAGCAGAGTTTGAGAGTTCACAAAGTAATGCAGAGAATTTACAACATAGATTAAAAGAAACAGAACATTTAGTAGAAGAAGCTAATGAAAAGATAGCTGCTTTAGAGGAATCTCAATTGATGGTCGAAGAAGCAAAGCGTGCTTCTACTGAAAGACAGAAACAATGGGATGATCAAAAACAACGTTTAGAAGATGATTTGCGACAAAAGATAGAAGAAATTGAGGAACTTAAAACACTTGTGAAGACCAAAGATGAATCTGCCAACACTTTGACAAATCAAACTAAATCGCTTGAGAAGACGATTGAACAGCTTCAATCAGAAAATGAAACCAAAAATGAAAGAATGAAAGATTTAGATAATGAAAAGAAGACGCTGCTAGAGAAAATTAGCGAAATAGAGCAAGAACTATCAAATAAAGTCCAGGAACTAAATATAAATCATGATCTAGAGGTAAACTAACATGTTATAATCTCTGCTTATTTATCTTATTTATACATGTATATAATATTAGACCCAATTAAAAGAGGCTAATGAAAAGATTAATTCCCTAAAAGACAGTCAAAGTAAAGAGTTTGAAGACTTGAAGGCGAGAGAAGGATATTTAAAGACATTGAATAAGGTACATACCTAAATTCAAATATAATATATTTGGACCTTCTTGTAACAAAGTATGTCTTTTTTTTTTCTATTAGACTTTAAAAGAAGAAATCAGAAAATTATCTCGAAATCAACAACAACAGCAGCCATCACAATTATACAATTCACCTCAATCAAATCATGTCTCTTTAGAAACACGTGCAAAATCACCCACATTTTCGACAAGATCACCACTGACACATAATTCTCAAACAGAGTCAGTTCACTCATCAAGGGCCTCTATTTCATCGACCAGCGGCATCTCTATTAAAGATGAAGAAGAAATTAATCTTGAATATCTTCGAAATGTTATTATCAAGTTTTTAGAATACAAATCAACTAGAGCACAACTTATTCCTGTACTTACTATGATGCTTAAATTCACGCCTGAAGAAATTAGAAAGCTTCAACAACTTATTTAATTCTTTTTCATTCATATATGCATAGTTAATTTTGTATCTAAAAAAAAAGTAAACTACAATAAAGCTATTCTTATTTTATTTTTTAATCTGATCAATTCCTTTATTACTATACAATTCTCTCATATTGGAGTAATTTATGAATAATAAACTTTACGAATTTTTGATGAAAAATTTATTATCTCCATCATTTCTCTATCTCTTTATTTTTTTTGTTCATGAAAGATGCAGTATATTCAAAGAAAAAAACACCCCCAAGCCAATTCCTTTTTTTCTTCTTCTTAATGATAATTGAGCAAAGTCCCATTATACAGTTAAATTTCTTTCATATGTATCTACAGAGAATGTATCTTTAAATTCAGAATTGTATGAATGAAGTGTACTACCTTCTTGCTATAATTAGAAAGCCGAAATAAAGTTAAAGACTTCGTGATACCATTCATTAAAATAAAATTATCTGGGGTTAATAAGGTTTTATATACTTTTTCTAAACTGAGTCTTCCCTCCCCCCCAGATTATTTGAGGTGAGTAATATAAAGTTTATTCAATTATATGATTACACTAAATTTCATTGGTATATCAAATCCAATACTAATCAAGTTTTATGTAACATCACGTTGTCGCCTTTTTAATGTCAACTAATTATTATAGAGATGGTAAAATAACATAGTATGAATGCCTTCTCTTCTTCTAAAGACTACTACTATTATTTGAGTAATGTTGCTGATCCAAGTACTAACTAGTTTTAGAAGACATACTATGAAATCATTTTGTGTCTCATCAAATTCTAAGCTTATAGTAGACAAATCAAATTATTTTATATAATACAGTATAGTTAGTTAGTAATAGAATTACTCATTCTAATCCTATTTTTTAATTTAATAATTGGTGGCCTGTAATAATAAGCTACTATTGATAAGCACATATGTTCCCATAAGAAAAAAAAACTAGTATATATTTATTTACATTGTAAAAAATAAAATAATAAAAAAAAAGGAATAGAATTATAATACAGAAAATAGTGTACATGTATCATATATATTATTGCTTATGATTATTAGGTAATGTAGTGATTCCAAAGCTCTTCTCAGAAACAGAACAAGCATCATGAACAACAACATGAACATTTTCATTATGCTGAATTTGCTCAGATTTATTATCATTAAGCGCGATATCTTCAGAGACACCATCCATTTGACGTTCCCGACGTTCTTTCTCTACTTGAAGCGTGCGACGTCTTTCAATTTCTTCTTCTCTCCATTCTGTACTACGAAAGGAGCCTTCAATACGTGCCATGACACAACAACCTAAACAGTTACCAAAGACATTAATTGAAGTACGTGCCATATCCATGATAGCGTCAACACCCATGATCATAGGAATAGCTTCATTAGGTAATCCATACTGGGTTACAGTAGCGGCCAAGATAACTAAGGAAGCACGAGGAATAGCTGCAACACCTTTAGATGATAACATCAATGTACCCATGATAGAAAGTTGAGTACCAATTGGAAGATTTATATCACCAGCCTGTGCAGCAAAGATACTAGCGAGAGCGAGGTATAATGTTGTTCCATCCAAATTAAATGAATAACCACATGGAATAACGAAGGCTACTAAAGAACTAGGACAACCAAATTTTCTCATACTTTCCATAGCTCTTGGTAAAGCCGATTCACTAGAGGCAGAACTAAAAGCGATTAACCAAGCTGGCAAAGCTGCTTTAAAAAAGCCTATTATAGGGACACGTACAACGAACATGACAGGGACCAGGATGATGGCGACAAAGATAGCAAGTGATGCGTATAATGAACCGATTAATTTACCAAGATTAGCAAGAATTTCAATACCATTTTTACCGATAGCTGCTGCTAATGCTGCACCAATACCGATAGGAGCATCTTTTTTTATTATTATTATTGTTAATTATTTATTTATGTATTCAATTTTCAAATTTTATAATTACTTACAATTCATGACTAATCCAACAAATCTAAACATAATTAAAGATAAAGAACTATTGATTCGAAGCATAAAGTCTTTTGATGTCTTATCTGCTTGCATCATTGCACATGAAAACATAGCAGCACAAAATACAACACCCAAGATTTCATTTTTTAAAGCAGCAACGAAAAAGTTTTCAGGAATAATCATTTCTAATTCACCGTACCAAGTAATATGTGAGCCTTTTTCAGCTAAACTAGCTACTTCACTTGTATCACCAAATAAAGTAACACCTTTTCCAGGTTTAATGAGATTTGCCATAATTAAACCAACAGCTAAAGCAAATGTAGTAACAATTTCGAAATACTTGTTTACCAAAAAAAAAAAATAGGTGTATATGAATATTACAAATGTAATAATTTTTGTCATTTTAATTTACTACTTACAATAATAGTTTTAACAGCTAATCTTCCTACTTTACCAACATCATCGCCATGACCAGCAATACCGACAACTAAGGTACTAAAGATAAGGGGGGTTTCTATAATTTTAATCATACGAATAAAAGCATCACCCAGGGGTTTCAATTGAACAGCACCTTCTGGTGCAAAATGACCAATCAAGATTCCAACAACCATACTAGTGATGATCCAAAATGTCAAATTAGTTCGAGAAGCGAACCAATTCCAGATAAACATAAATGGCTTTATTAATAAATTATTCCAAACATAGAAAATAGATCGACTTATTTTCTGAATAACAGGAGGATAACTCTTGGTTTCTTCTACTGGTGGCAACTCATATAGATCATATTCTTCTTCTTGCTTTTCAGTTGATTTAAATTTATTACGCAAGTTTTTTAACATATAAAGATTTTAAATTAAAATTCCACTTTTACTTTAAAAACAAAACAAAACAAAAAAAAGTAAACAGAATTTGTATCTTATTTATACTTTTTTTTATTTATTTCCTCGTTTTTTTTTTAAAAAAAAAATACTTATTTGTATATACATGGTGACAGATCATAAAAAAAAAAAAAGTCTATGTACTCTCACTTTTTGTATTTTGATTTAATCGGAGATTGTAATTGCTATCATTTTACCATTTCGAAATGCATTATTATTAAATCACAATAAAAAGGAATAAAGCATTTATGACTTTGTGCTTTAATAAATCAAAAGAAAAAAAATAAATTAAAACGATACAATTGTACTTCTCTTTACTAAAACCTTATAATTTTTTCTTAATTCTGTATCTACATGGTACATAAAAGAAGGAAAAAGAGAGAATAAACAAAGATCAAAGATACAGCATCGGAATACAAAAAGAACCTTATCTTTTCGTACCTTTAAATTCCAGTATCGTGTATCACATAGTTACCAATGATTTTTATTTACCAAAAATTGAAATATATTCAAGTCCGATCAAATCTTTCCATTTTAACTTGTTTGTCAATTTTCCCATGGTTCAAACCATAAAATATACAAATGCGTATTATTCACAGTTCAATCAACATAATATATAATGAATGAATAAACGTGAACAAGAAAGAGAGAGAGAGAGGTAGAGAGAGCCGATATACTATTAAGTCAACTAAAGACATATATACGTGTATATAACAAGAAACTATAATTAGAAATGATCTTAGATAAGCAGTTTGAACAGAATTAAAAAAAAAAAAAAAGAAAATCTATAGTTTAATCTAGTTGAAGGAGAAGTGAAATGAACTTGAAACATAGAATATATAATATTAACAAAAATAGCTTATTATTTTTATAATAAGAAGCAATATATGTATATCTAAAGTAAATAAATAAATAATAAAAGAAGATCCTTGTGACGTATACTAGACGTGTATAGTAATATTTTATTCAGTGAAACAATTACATTTGATTTTATAGAATGCTAGGAATTATTCTTTTAAGCATACATATCAATCATTGTAATACACATGCAAAAATACAGAAAAAAAAAATAGACACTAATAATTATGTTCTAACACTGATTATTAGTACAATCTGTATGAAGTGTCTTTTCTTTTCTTTTTTTTTTTTTTGCGAAAATATATAGCAACACAGTGAAATAGACTAACGATTATTGTATGTAACAATATTGATGTTAATTCAAATAACTCTTTTATTTGCATCATAAAAAAAAACTACAGTGTTCTCAACATTTGGAACTGTAAGAACTATTGATGTCAAATTTTATATAAGTCTTATAATTTAATTAATAATAATATATAAAGCTCTATTATCTAAGGTTTATAATTCATTGTAAGTCAGTTACCTGATTAAGAACTTTAAAGAAGATCAACAACTCTATTGAAGTCTTTCATTCTGTAATATATGTAGGCTAATGAAAGTTATGTGTAATCAAGTCAAAATAGTGCAAGATTGATCTGAATAAGATACTGCATACAGATAGAAGGTAAGAAATTAAGCTTGGGCTTGTTCAAATAATTCAGCGCATAGAAACCAATTACTTGGGGATCATTCTGCATTTAAACTATTATAATTCAAACCTTTTTTTTTATATATATATTTATATATATCAGTTTTAGAGTTTATAACTTTGCCAGGAAATTGACAGCTGTATGTAACATGAAACTTTACATTGTCGCTAAACGAACAAAAAATCAAAATAAAACAAAACTAATTCAATTACTTTATTATACGCTTTAAAATATATGATTTTTTTGAAGCACTTCATTGAGCTGTTATAGAATTAGATAAAGGGCGTAAATCATAACGTAATTGCTGATACAATTATTTTTTTTCTATGACAATGAATACTCTAGGAATAAGGCAAGGCGTGATAATCAGTTTTACTAATTCGTACTTCACGTCTTTCTATCAACATACGTATGCTAATAACAGTAACTTTTCAGATGATTTTATTAACAATTGATTACATATATTCAAGATTATTACTTATAACTGAAGTCATCTTAACGTATGCGTATACATGTATATATATATACATGATTATGTATGAAGTTAAATAGTGTTAATTTATACCATAGCCTATTAAATAGTAAACACGTTTTTTTTATCGTTTGAAATAAGGTTAAATTGGAAGCTCTTTTGATCTATATAATTATTAATTAAAGACTTAGAAGGACTATTTTGTATTTAATGGTTATTTTGAAATACTAAATACAACGTAACCTTCAATCTAAAATTCAAAGTTACAGTGAAGAATATGTATTATATATAAAAATAAGTAATATTGCCAAATGATTTGTACCAATTTGGCGCAGAAAGAATGAATTTTATGTATGCCTTCTCTTAGTATATTGATAACATGTCATTTATACCATTCTCTTCGAACCCAGTTACTTATATTATTATAAAGATTTGCTTTGATTGCTGTCATAATTAGCTCAAAGACTCCCCTCCTCCTCTCCCACTCATAAATAGTATCTTTTTTTTATTTTTGATCCAAAAAAAAAAAAAAAAAATAGTAGCAACCACCACTCTGTTCCTTGATGATTCAACTCAAGCAAGTAAAATACTATCCCCATTTATTAGTGTTTCCTAAAAAAGATCAAATAAATAAAAATCATATTTAAACGTATTACAGGTATCCATGTACCTGTAGCGGTCAAAAATATTATCCAGTTTACGATATTCAAAAGATAACACAAGGGTAAGGGATTTCCGAGCATTACATTAAAGTTTGATGTATAATGATGACCTTTCCTTTGAGGTTTCACTTCAAAAAAAAAGTGAAATATATGGAAGGCCCTTCATCATAACTGCATCATATTAATATGTTCTTTTTCATTCTTTTTTCACACACTCAAGCGATAATTATAAAGTTTTTTTTTTTTTTTTTTTTTTTTTTTTTTTTTTTTTGTGTAAAGACAATTCTATTATTCTTATAATTCTGGAGAAAAATGCTGCAATTCAAACCATATTTTATTTATTTATTTTGGAAAACTAGTTAATCAAACTCTATAGACTGTAATTTTAAAATATTAGTAATTTCCCTTCTATTATCTAGCCATTGCTTAAAAGTCGCTGCTTTATCCATGCCATCATCACAAATGGCTTCTCCTTCTTCTTCATGATTTCCCTCATTGCTATTCATTTGTTTTTCTAATTTTGAGAATGCTAGTTGTTCTAACAGATAATTAGCAAATACAATCAAATAAAAGTATCGGATCAAATAATTCAAAGCGACTTCTCTAATAGCTTTATATTGTTTCGATTTCCGATCTTCAATAGCGTCCATTCGTAATTTATAGTCATAAATAGCCTTTCGAAGATTTTGCATGTGATCGCACATGTTGATTGCTTTATCTGTTAGACATTTTGCAAGCTTACCATAGGTTAATACGCTGATAAGTTGAAGAATGATTTTAAACTCTCCATTATGATAACTTTCTTCCATTGATTCTTCATTTTCACTATTATATGTAAGACTTTTTTCATCATTAAGTTTATTAAGCGAGTCAAATACAATAATGCCCGATTCATTGACAAGCAAATTCTCATTGTTCATCACCATTGCGGTTAAACAAGCTGTAACCATACCCGTAGTTGTACGACCTCGGCTATAAATCAAAACAAATAATAAGAAAAAAATTAGAAAAGCTTTACATAAGAACACAAAATAGAATACCCCATCTGGCAATTGTATAAGACATCAACTCCAGTATTTGCATTCTTTGTTCTACGAATTAATTGATCAAACACATCAGGAATAGGCGCTTGTTCATCCGTACTATTGGAATTTATGTTAATCATTTTTCTGTCAAAAAAAAAATACTTACATTGGAATTCTAAGATAATCAACTTGATAGCCTTCATCTATAATAGATTGAAAAGTTTCTTTGGGTGTTTCAATATCCTCTCTATTGATTGTCTCCCACATACCCTACAATAAAAAAGGTTAAACAAGATTTTTTTTTTTTTAAAAAGAAAAAAAAACTTTGTTAATATACTTACCATCAATTTATATTCTCCTTTGTCATTAGGTTTTTCATCATGTAACAATAAACGGCCTTCGTATTCTTTCCATTCATTAAGTGCATCGAGTTTCATACGGTCTTCCATCAACTCAACTCGTTCAGTTATAATACCAGTTGATTCCAAATTTTTCAAAGGCTCTTGGAATAAACGAAGAACATAAGGTTGTTTATTTACATAGAGTACAGGCTCTTCTCTTAGACATGTCCAAAGTACCTTTCTTTTACCACCAGGACCAGCATTCATTGATTTAAGAACAGCCCTAATCGCATCCTTTGAAGGCATTGCGCAACCACAAATATAAGGAGGCGTTAACTGCTCATCATCACTTCTTTCCAGATCAGCAGCTAAACCACTCACATCAGCCGCTTTGTTGGGTTCTTTTACTGATGATTTGACATCTTTCACTGGGACACGTCTAAAGTTATAAGCACCCTCAATCTTTTCCTTTAAACTCATCTTCTGACATCCAGGAAAAGCATCATGTTTCATAATTGTTTGTTGAGCTAATACTTGGCCATGACGTTTAGCCACAACACTCATGATTTCACTCGAAAGAGCTACACCATCACCAATTGATTTTTCAACAGGAACAATAAGACCTTCATTAAGATCGTTGAATTCAGCTAATAAGGTACCAATTTCTGAATGCCTGTTTAGCCAAGACTCGAATGTTTCTGTATCAGACATCGATTCAGGTGATGTTGACTCTAAATAGGCCTCAAAGCATAAAAGAACAAAATAACGATGTAATGCAGCAATGCCACGTTTGATATGAACTTTCTTTTTGGCCTCATCATTTTCATTTTCAAACTTGATATGTTCTGATTCAATCATCTCACGTAAGTTAAGAAAAGCACCACAAGTATCAATAACATCGTCAACAAGATGCTTAACTTCTAGCCCATTCTTAATTACACGTAATAAGCTGTTTATAATTTGATAATTCAAATATTTGCATTTATTGCGATAGCTATTATCACGACACGTATGACTAGTAGGTTTAATCCAGCGAGTGACAAGTGTGGCGATAATGGTGCCCAAAGTAGATCTTCCTAAACCCACTTGACAATTCCTATTAAATAAAAAAAAAGTAAATTAGTATCTATTATACTCTTTACTTTAATATATATACATATATATATATATATATCCTATAATTACATAATCAATGCCGTTTTGGACAAGTCAGTACTTGTAACAAGATTACGAATATCATCAAAATCACACCACTCGGGAGCCTTTTCTGCTGTAATAGGGACTCTATGATAATCAAGTATATTTTTGTAGTTTTTTTTAGAAATGGCTTCCGAAAAATCGCTACTACTATAACCACTATCAAATTCCTCAGCAACTTCCGCAGCTACAGATTCCATCACTTCGCGTACTGTCATCACGTCATTCACATCAACGTCTTCCCAAGCAGCTAAAACATTTCCATCATTGTCTTCACCATGCAATAAGATACGACCGTCATAATTATTAATTTCACGAAGGACATCTTGTTTCAACCGATCTTCTAATTGTTCTAAACGTGATCCCGTAATACCTTTGTAGACCTTTATGTTACGAAGCGTAAAGTAACGATCACGAAGGACATAAGGGATACCATTGATATAGATGATAGGCTCTTCACGAAGATTAATCCATTGTATCTTTTCATTCTTGGGTTGATCTGTCAGTAATCGACGAAGTACAGTTCGAAGGCCGTCCACAGTTGGCTGAGCAATACCATAGATATGTGTATGCTTTATACGTCTAAAGTTAGATCCACCTTCTACAAAGAAAACATGATGTCGTTGAGGTCGTTTCATTGTGTTGGCACAATCATCTTCTTCTGTATTTACATCCCCAGGTGTAGGATACTTTTGCAGCTGATTATACTCTTCAACATCAAGTTGGCTTGCTGCACTCCAGAAATCAATTTTTAGGATTGTTTGTGAAGTAAGTACAAGACCTGTGCGTGACTATGAATGTATGTTATAGTTAAGGTGATTATGTCTTCTGTTTTTTTTTTATTTTTTTATTTTTTATTTTTTTATACCTTCAAAATAAATTCTTCTAGCTCTGGTGCAATAGATCCAAGTTGACTGCCTACTCCTGTCATTTCAAACATGCCAGGACCAAATCCAAGTGCGTGGTGACGATAATGTGAGTCAAGAGAGGCACTGTAAATACTAGTATGTGACAAACGATGCAAGTCTTCCACGGGTCTAAATAAATAAAGCTTGGGACTCTTGCGTCGTATCGTTTGTAACATTGTAAAAATTTCAGTTCTTGATTTTAACCAATCCGAAAATTTAGTATTAAAGTTTGTATCTGGAGACTCATTGATATAAGCAGCAAAACATAATAAAGAATAATATCGTTGAAGTCCAGCAGCAGCTTTAAATATATAGCTATTCTTTGATTCATGACCTGAAGATTGTTGCGTTGTTTGCTTAATACGATTCATTAAAATATCTTCCCGAAGATTAATAACGGCATCAGCTACAATACAAATTATATTCATTACTACACTATCATTGATTTATATTCTTTTTTTTTCTTTTAACTTTACATTTATCAATTATTTCATCTAACATTTTTTTGCTAAAATCACCGCTATCTAATACAGCAGTAAGTGATGTAATCACATTGTAGTTACCCATAATAGCTTCCTTTAGATTTTCAATTAGACTTCCTCGTTCGAGTGCCCATTCAATAGCTGATCTAGGTGACATCTTTGAATTTAACCCTAAATAAAAAATGAGCAACTTGTACAAGTATATATCCCCCTCTTACTTTTTTTTTATTACTTACCCTGTTCTAAGATGTAAACTAATCGTAACAAAGCATGATTTTGAAATTGAATAGTGTCTACTTCTTCCCAGCCTTTTACTAAATCTGAGGTCAAAGCTTTTAAGGATGATACTTTACTAGAAGTATTTACACTTGACATGTCTGTATAATTGTAACCAGAAATTGGAAAAGGATCAGGAGCATTTAATTCAAGTAATTGTGTACGTCTAATAATTTGAGCAATCACAATACCAACAGTAGCTTTTTATCATTAATATTTTGTTTATATCAATTTAGAGCCTTTTTATATGTATACATGTATATAAATATATATTTTACAATTGTTCTACTTACTTCTTACTACACCCATACCACAATTGAATATCAACGGGTCGGTAGGCTTTAATGACTTGATAATACGTACATATTCATCAAAGTAATTATCTTCTGGAGCTTGTTCAGGACAAATGGGTATACGAAAGTATTTCAACCTATAATTAAGTTTCTGGAACTCCTCGAACACTATATAAATTTGATCAATTTACTATTTTTTTTTTGGGGGGGGAAGAAATTGTATTACATTCTTTAGGAGTTTGAACTTGGTCAGCGGCAATAAAGCATGGAACAATGGTACCATCAGCTTAAAAAAGGAAAAAAAAAATAGAAAAAAAAAATTAAAATAATGAATAGACATTTGTTAAAAAAAAATAGGTTTACCAAGTTCTTGATGAACAAGAATAAGGCCTCCCATCGTCTTTGCCTCTTTAATAACATCCTGCTTTAATCTTTCTTCTAATTTTTCGAGGCGACTTGTATTAATGCCCAAAAATGCAGCCATATTTTGTAATGGATCGGCATAATTACGTAAAACATAAGGGTTTCCATTCAAATAGACTATAATAACATGATTATTAATAAATATTCATTACAGAAAAAAAAAAAAGGAAGAATAAACTTACTTAATGGTTCTTCACGTGTTAAAAACCTAATTATTATGCTGTTAATATTTATTTCTTTTTCTTTCCTTATTTATTCTTTATTTACCAAGTACATGAAGCTTTTACATTACTATTTGGATGACAGTTTAATAGTGCGAGTACAGTAGACAAACCAATGGTCTATAGCGAATTAAAAGGAATTATTAGTGTTTAGAGTCAATATCATTCAGCATGAATATAGAACTTTACAGTAGGTTGTGCTACACCGTAAACATCAAGTTCTGCTATACGAAAATTAGGTGCACCCTGAAGATGAAAATCTAGTTTGGTATTCATGCCTATGAATAAAGTAAAGATTCGACTACAGTTATTTATATAGAATTTATGTAAATGAAAAAAAGAAAAGAAAAGAAACCTTTTTCAAAATGATCCATTTTTAATATTGTATTTCTAGTCAAGACGCTTCCATGACGAGTGCGCATTAAGTTTTTAACGATGTTTAATAAATAACGTGGGTCTTGAGATTCAACAGCTTGAGTTAAAGGTGTTGAAGGCCTTGATTCGTCTACAGGAGGTGTATTTGAACGAGAAACAGGTAAAGAAGAAAACACCAAATTATGTCGTAAAGTATCTTTACTAAAAAAAAATAAAAGATAATAAATATCATTTGATAGCTTTTTTTTTTTTTTGTTTTTTAACGAAAAAATATATCAAATTTTACAGTCGAGAAGGTACGAAACGACTTTGCTTAATTACTTGGTCCTCTTGTGATAATTTTCTTTTTAATGAACGTAGAGGCGAGTCTTCATCCTGTTGTAGTGAAGGATTGGATTCAGTTAAATTAAACTGGTTATCTTCTTTTGGAGATAAATCTGACATTTGTTGGATAGAAGAAAATAAAAGGAAAAGAAAAGGAAAAAAATAAATAAATATAATTAAAAATAAACCATTATTTTAATCGTTATCATGTACATCATTATTATTCGCGCATTTTCAAAATAGAATTAAGCAAATTTCCGACAAATATATTAACTAAAAGGGTTTAATAAGTCTGAGTCTCTATAAGAAATGAAGTCTCTTTAGATTACAACAACCAAGTGAAGTTGGTCAATGAGATGTATTTTCAGAAGAATAAGATGGACTATTTTTTATTACGTTGTTAATACCATTCATTTATAAGACTTTTTTAACCGTTTTAAGTGTCTAAATGGAGTAGACTTTTTTTTTATAATTCTAACGATATCTCTTTATTTTTGAAAAATTATTAATTCATTTAAAGGCAATTATAAGATTGATGTTTTAATTGATATATGCTTGAATAAAATTTATTATTGTTGCATTTTACACAAATAAAGATGCTTAGTTTTATTTTTTTATTTTTCAAGTGTAGTGGAATTTACTATAATCCTTGTTTACATTAAATATTCTGTAATAGAGAGATAGAGAGAGAAAAAAAAGCAGGTCACAATTACTTACAGAATGTAACCTATTTTCTTATTTCTGTTTTGTTTGTTTGTTTGTTTATTTATCATTTCATTTGATTGAATGTTCAATGACTTCTAATCAGACTGTATCTGTCACAAAATTATATAAAAAGTTAAAAAAAGTTGGAAAAGGTGCTTATGGTTCAGTTTATATGGGGTATTCAAAAACTTTTTTTTTTTGTCATTCAAATAAACATTAATGCTAAATTGTTTAAATTAAATAGAATAAATACACAGACGAATAAAGTAATTGCTATAAAGATATTAAATTTGGATACTGAAGAAGATGATGTAGATGACATTCAACGGGAAATTTCATTACTATCTCAATTAACACATGCCCGTTCTCAAAATATTACACCTTATTATGGATGTTTTTTAAATGGTACAAAATTATGGATTATTATGGATTATGCTGCTGGTGGAAGTGTTCGAACTATAGTAAATACTCTTTTTTTTTTTTTTTTTTTTTTTTTGTGAGAATTATTAAAAACTATATATTTTTATATAGATAAAGTCAGGAAATATTGAAGAGAAATACATTGCAGTTATTACTCGAGAAATTTTATTAGCTCTATCCTATCTGCATAAAAATCAAATTATTCACAGAGATATTAAAGGTACATAAACTTGGTTTTTAACTAAATAATAATGATAATAAAAACTCTAACTGTTATCATATAGCGGCAAATATTCTTTTAACAGCTGAAGGAAATGTACAACTATGTGATTTTGGCGTAGCAGCAGCCAATTCATTTCGAAGACAAACATTTGTTGGCACTCCGTAAAGAATCTATTTTATTTTATTTATTTTTTTTTTCTATAGTAAGAAACTAGTAGTATTAATCATAAAATAGATACTGGATGGCTCCTGAGGTTATTAGGGAAGGTGCCTCATATGATTATAAGGTAACATATGGAACACATTCATATAAAATCCACGTAAACAAACTCACGTTTTTTTTTTTCGTAAAGGCTGACATTTGGTCTTTGGGTATTACAGTTTATGAAATGGCTATGGGTAATCCACCTTTAGCTAATGTAGATCCTATGAGAGCTATTTCTATTATACCAAAATCACCACCACCAAGATTACCAGATACATTTTCAATTGCTATTCGTGAATTTGTGGATTCTTGTTTATCAGAACATCCTAATGATGTAAGATCAGACTCAATATGATTGAAAAACTTAATATTAACTTGATTCATATTAGAGATTAAATGCAGACGAATTATTAAAATCAAGATTTATTAAAAGCGTAAGTAAGGTGCCTAGATCGATCTTAAGAAACCTTATTGCGCGTTATGAAAAATGGAAAAAATCAGATGATGCATCAAAACGTAGCAGTATAATATCGAATGATATAAGTGACAGGTAAAACAATAAATATATTGCATACATCGTCATCTAAATTAAATAAACGAAATATGTAGTGATTTAGAGAATGACGTATTGGCTAATTTTGATAATATGAGTGAAGATGGATGGGAATTTGATGTAAATTTATACTATTATCTTTTTTTCCAAATAGTGTGGTGTATTTAATCATATTCTCTAATTATTGTTAGACAATTAAAAATAATGAACAAAAAACAATTAAGCAAAAAAATGTAGAAAGGAAAGAACCTTCAAAAAATGAAGCAGCTATAGATTCAGGAGTATCAACGCCAACTTATACCCGAAATTTAGAAACACTACCACTTGCTCGTATGTTTATGAATACAGAGCAAAAGTCACTTGAATTGCTAACTATACCCAATAATAATATAAACCATTCGCCAACGAAATACATGAATGAAAACAGATTACCTTCGCCGAATCCTTTTATGGAGAATAATACCAAAAGCAACTCTCTACCTGTAACACCGCTTACAACTAATCATATACACAGTCAACTTGATGATTCCATTTCTAAACAAAATATTAAAAAAAAAACAGCAAAGGACATTCCAAACGTGGATACTTCATCAAATCATAATACAGCTAAATTAGTGCCTGAAGCAACGTCACCACGACATTTAATGAATTCTCCAGTTCCAAAGCTGGTGCCTATGACACTTTCTGGATCACTAGAGGGCGGAAAGCCAATGATACGAGCTAGGTCCCATTCAGTACAACGACCCACGAATGACTATGAAAAGGGTCGTTTAAATTCTGCTCCAATGATAGTCTCTTTATCAGAAACAGATCAGTTAGTTCCTAATTGCAAAAGCTCTTCTGTTAACGTACCTTCTCCTTTAGCAAGAAGAGCACGATCTGCAACCACTTTAAGGCCTTCAGAAGAAGAAAATGGATCATTTAAAATATTAGTGAATAGCAAGCAACCGAAATATCTAACACAAGATGAATCTCAACGACAAAACAGTAATGACTCAAATATAAAGGTAATTTAATCTATCCATATAAACATATACAAGTATTCATAATTCTTGAACTATTTAGACATCCAATCTAAAGAATATCCCGTCTTTAAAATCAGTTGTATCTGAAGCAGAAATATACAAGCAAAAATTAGAACATGAAAATCAACAGAAAATGAATATACCTGTTGTTCAACCTCTTTCTTTAGACACTATTCACTCACAACAGCAATTTTATGATTCAGTTTGGAATGCTTTAAATGATTTACAATGCTGGTTAGATGCAATGGAAAATGGCTTGTTGCAATTAAATCATGATAATGTCCTATAATCAAATGTAGTAATAAAATCTATAAGTATATATTTTTATTTTTGTATAAATATCGATTCACCTTGAGTTGGTACATTCTTATATTTAATTCTGTAAATTATGTAGACGTTGATCTATACGTAGTAAATAATCAGAGGTGAATTATAATATATGTATATAAAATGATATCATTTGGATTTACAGGCTGATATAAGTATATCGATTTTATGTAAATATATTATTCAAAATCATATAATAATAACCAACGCGATGAATATTATTATATAAGCAATTAGCAATAGTATTAAGTAAAATAAACTGATATACAAATATTTGCAAACATGCCCTTTCATTGATTTGCTGCTATCTATTTTCTTTTTTTTTTTTTTTTTTTTTTTTTTTTTGTTAATAGATTAATCGTTTTGAAATTCAACTGTTCTATAATGCAAATACAAAAAAAAAAGTATGTTCAAGTATATGTATAATCCTAGATTATCATCTTACTGTACCTTTACTGATGATACTTTAATGCTTATGAGTGATACTACTATATTATTGCCAGCACATCTATTATTAGTATAAACAAAGATATACATATATGTATATGTGTGTGGATAATACAAGAAGATATAAAAAAAAAGAGAGAGAAAATGAAAGAGAGAGAGAGAGATGGATGGAGGGAAGAAATGAATAAATACGTAGAAATATAATTATATTTATTTACAAATTAAAGATGAATATTACTGCTGTGAAAACGAGCTAAATGGTTAAAATATTTAGCTTCAATTTCATCGTCCAAGTCATATTCATCTTCATTTTCATCTTCATTCTTTACAAGATTGTTTCTTAAGAGGACATTAGCAAAAAGACCAGTCGAGTAATTTGGTATTCTGATGGCTTGAATATTAGATTGTATTGTAGGCATACTACCAAAGTATGGACCATGTTCTTGCCAGCGTTCATTTCTATCAATGAATCCAAAATAAGTATTGGATAGACATTCCTGAGGCAGAATACGACTGGTTTTAATTTTAACTTGATAATCCAGCTTGTCAGTTTCAATACTCTCAGCATCATTATCATAATCAAAGTTCCAGAAACTTGTCATGCTACCAATTAAAGATGAGTCATTTTCACTTGTTTCTTCTGATTTTTGTTGTTGTTGTTGTTGTTGTTGTTGTTGTGAGCACAAGTTTTCAAAGAATCGAAGTTTATTCTTAAAGTCCTCATTAGGATAGTGGACTAATAGTGCAGAAGATGAAGGAATTACAAAATCAACAGCAGCAGCAATAGGAGCAGCAACTTGAAAAACGGAGCAACTTTTAGCAACAGTGACTATAGTAGTTGATATTGGATCAATTGCTATGCCTTCAGAAAAGCTAATACGTTGCATAAAGCGACTAGCAGCTGAATCGTTGTTCTCTTCATCTTGGTTAACTTCATTTTTCTCTTCAGGAGGAGCCACCTCAGTCTTCTCAGGATAAGCAGTTTTATTCTTCTTAGCTTGAATAACTTCATTCATATTATTACCTTTTTCTAAATCAATGTTTGATTGTTGGTCAAAATTATCATCCTTGAGATTGGTATTATTGCAATTTTTTTCAATATCATCATTGATAAAATGGTCTTTGTTTTCCTTATTAAAGTGTTTTCTATGACGAACAGTTCGTACCAAAAAGAAGAGACCAACAGAGATAGTTCCAAGAACTAAAAGACTGCTCATACAAATAATAACCAAATTAGCTGAACCAAGTCCCATGTCATTATCATTTTCAGTTGCTAAGGAATGCTCAGTTTGTTCCTCCTGAATAACTGGGTCTTCAATAAGGCTAACAACAACACGATCAACATGATCATTAGTAATATCATTAGTAATATCAGTAGTATCAGTAATAGCAGTAGCAGTAATAGCAGTCTCAGTAGTAGCAGTAATAGCAGTAGTAGCAACTTCAGCAGGTAATGGAACTTCATAATTTCGATTGGCATTTATATGATTTTTATTATTAGACTTTTCGGCATTAATACGATAATTTCTAACTGGAGCATTTAAATCCGTAACAAAGGCATCATAGGAAACAGTAAAGGCACCAACAGTAGTAGTAGCAGTCGTAGTAGTTTTAATAGGGTGGAGAGAGGCATCACGAGAGTTTAAACCATGTTCAAAGCATTGAGCATCATTCTTATCACAATAGTTATTTACTTAAAATAAATAGTTATTATTAAATATGTAACATTAAAAAAAAAATCAGATCAGAACTTTTTATAGCTTTACCATAACCACTAGCAAGAACAGAATACAATGGTGTAAAAAATAAAAGGCAGAAAAAAATTGATTTGAACATAATTATTATATTTTATTAAAATAAGGTGAAAAAGAAATGAAAAGAAATGAAAAAATAATATGAGATACGTGTCTTCCTTTTATTTATTTCAACCAAGACTTAATACCAATGTTTTTATTAATTATAAAATATGTGCTTTGAATAACTTTATATTCTATTATCCAGCCATTATTGTTATTACGTAAAAAAAAAATGTTTACTAATGACATAAATTTTAATTTTTTCCTTAAAATATAAAGCAACGTGTATACTTTATTCTCGATTCCTATATCGTACACTGATTATTATCACGTTCAACATTCTTTAATCCATGTTAACGTTTATTAGATGGAATGAAAATTAGAAATAAACCAACTTTCGCATACCAATTCTATGGTATTTGAACTTTGAATTTAGAAGATTACAAATATTTTTTGGATGAAAAGAAAATGTAATTTGAGATATTTTATATTTTTAGTTTAGAAAAAAAAAATAAACGTAAAATTTAGGCAAATATGGAATATTAATTAGATGTAATATATATCACCTGGAATGATCATAATTCAATCTACAAGTAGAGAAAACTCGGTATTCGTTACGGGGATCTGTCTAAACTAATGTTAATATCGTCCTTGTTGAAATTCATTGGGCAGGCCATTTCCTTTCCAGACAGACATCGAATCTTTACTAGCATTCACATCTCTTTGCCACAGTATTTTACGATTTTCAGTTTAACAGATTATAATACTGTAGCCGGAGATATCTTTAATACTTGTAAATGAGTCTTGACAGTATTTATTACAAATACAGGAAGTTTTATATTCATCTAGAGTCAGTGCTATCAAACCGCTAGCAAGCTCTCATTTTATCTCAACATGTATCACAGCACACTAACCAGTAACACCACATCTATTGGTTTTGAGTTTGACTGAATCCTTGCCAAACATATTGCACTCATAAACTAAAAAGAGGAACCTTTGTTTGCTTGTGTTCAAACTTGACCATCTTCTACTGGTTTATTTTCGATACTGGTTTATGAAGTTTGTAGTACCCGCTATCTTTCTCTTTTCTCATCTGTTGCTTCTTCTTTGTCTTCTTTTTACTTTTACTTCCTTTGTATTTAAAAGCATCATGCAAGAGTATATCAACCATATTCTGCAGCTCTTTGTCGACCTTGGTAGATATGGAAGCGATCTCTAGCTGAAGAATGGTCATAAAAGTTAAAGAGAGGTAACATATTAACTTGAAGGTGATTGATGTAACTCAAACATACATCTTGATTTAATATCTTCAGCATTGGCATATTGGTCTCTAACGTTATTAATACTGTACTATGTTTAATTCTATACTTTGGCTTCCAATATCTTTCGTTAAACGTAATTGGCGCATTTGTTGGCGCCTTGGATGATTGTCAGGTAGTCATGCAACTTATTGTCCAAAGTACCCTATATTACTTTTGACAAAGCATCATGCTATCTATTATCTCTAAATACATTATCGACCTCAAAAGTCTAAAACTATCAAGGTTACGCTCTCATTTCTCTTGAATCAACTTCCTACAAAATAACCACTTACATAGTGTAGTATCCTTTCATGATTTGTCCGTTGACCAGTTATTTGTACAATCCTTCACGAACTTGATTACATTATTCATCACGAAAAATCCACCTTTACTACCATCACAACCAGGTCAAAAACTCTTTACTTGGCTACCATTTCACGTCTCCCAGTAATAGTGTCATAATTACACTATATTGATCTCACCTGGGCAATTTTGATATAATTAATCAATATCTTGTGCCCAATTTTAGGGGGTTTCTTTTTTTTTTAAAAAAAATCAAGTAGAAATTATTGTTCAACGTATGTACGTTTAATACCAACCCTCTCTACTAAGCATGGTGATAATTATAGTTAGTAGGTTATACGTTGAATAACTATCCAACTTCTGTTATATGAAATGGATCACCTCCTACATGAAAAAGAACCCGTTGCCACCCTTTACAACCTTAGGTTAAAGGCTCCTCGATTGGGTATATGCGCCTTCGACAATCATAAACTAATAGTTTCATTATTGAACCCATTCTGCTGTTTAGGCCTCCTTCCCCTTTTTTTTTCTTTCTCTCCCTTGAGCCTATTAAAAGTTTTTTCAATTCACTCACTTTATTTTAAAGAATCCTCTCCGGGCCATTTTGGTATATATAATTATTAATGTGCTTATTGGGTTTAAATTTTCTTAAATAAAATATCTATTTTAAATGTACTATTACTATATTCACTACATATCCTTCTTAATTTTACTTGTCTTTCTTACCCTTTCAATTTATCATTCTTACTATAAAGCAATAGCATAATTTAAAGAGAATGAATTTTGGACTTGAGCGAATACAAAAGTTATTAGATGCATTAGATCGACCTGATGAGCGTACAAAGATAATTCATGTAGCAGGAACAAATGGCAAAGGATCAGTGTGCGCTTACATCACTTCAGTACTTTTAACTTGTGGATATACAATAGGTCGTTTTAATTCACCTCATTTTATAGAGCCGCGTGATAGTATTAATGTAAATGGACATGCTGTAAGTCAGAAAACTTATGATGAAGCGATGACAAAAGTGACAGAAATAAATTTAGCGGGATCGATTGGAGCATCGTCATTTGAGATCCTTGTTGCAACAGCCTTTTACATCTTTGATAAGTCAAATCTCGATTTTGTTGTACTTGAGGTAGGACTTGGTGGGTTATTAGACGCCACTAATGTCATTCAACAACCAGTCATGACGATTATTACGTCTATTGGTTTAGATCATGCCAATATTCTTGGCCATACAATAGAAGAGATAGCGATAGCAAAAGCAGGTATTATGAAGCCAGGATATCCGGTCGTGATTGCACCACAGGATACACCAGCAGTAGTAGATACTTTAATTCATTATGCTAAGAAAATCTCTTCACCTTACAAGCTTGTACAACCAGCTGAGTTTATCTCGCCTCATGTTTGCAGACTTGAATTTGATGAGAGTTGCTATTACATTTATTCTATACAGCTATTAGGAGACTATCAACGAATGAACTCAGCAACGGCTGTAACTGCCTTAGACTGGATGTATCGAAAGCAAATAATAAAAATGAATCCAGAACAATTAGCGATTGGAATGAAAGAAACAAAATGGCCAGGCAGATTAGATTGGATATCAAAAGAAGATCATCTATTGCTTAAAACCGAGTTTGATTTAGATCGTATCTTAGTGGACGGAGCACATAACCCACCTGCTGCAATTGCATTGAGGGAATACATTGACAGTCTTGATGCAAATAGAGTCATTTGGATTATTGGGTGCACTAATGGCAAAGATATTGATGAGATGATGAAACAATTAATTAGAGAAACGGATATCATTTTTGCAGTTCCATTTACTCAGCCTGCTGGAATGCCATGGATACAAAGTACATTGCCAGTTAAAATCAAAGAAGCAGCTAAAGATAAGGCAAACTATATTGAATGCTTTAGTAAATTAGAAGATGCACTTCAAAAGGCAGGTTCTATTTGTGACAAAGATAATGTAGTGGTTTTATGTGGTTCACTCTATCTTGCTGCAGATCTCTACCGTCTTTTATTATGATTTATTTCCTAAAATAAAACTATACAATTCAATGATTTTTATTGGACGAGCAAAAATAGACTACAATAATACGCAAAATATTTATATGCCTATATATTTATATTTTTGTTTTTATATCTTTCTTTTTTTTTTTTTTTTTTTTTTTTTTTTTTTTTTTTTTCTCTCTCTCTCTCTCTCTTTATATATATATATGCATATATAGTTTATTAGATCCCATGCTATTATACCGAAGTTATGGTTTTATTAATAAACAATCACGACAATTCATTTGTTCTTTTTTACATACAGTCACATCAAAAAGATCAGTTACAGCCATTATACAACAACAACAAGAAAAGCCTCGTAACAATTTAAATGTCATTGACTTTTTTCATCCTTCACTATCACCTACATTGTTTCATTATACCCTTAATCTTGGTGTTTCAGGATATGCTAAAAGAGACAAACCTATAATAGAATCCATTGACCATAATATATATTCCAGTTTTCAAATTGGTGATGATGCTTATTTTAAACGTTCTGATGCATTAGGTGTTGCTGATGGAGTAGGTGGTTGGCGAGCTCATAAAGGTGAATATAAATATTATACATGAAGAAAAATAAATAAATAAATAAATAAAACACACTCAAGTTTATTATTATTATTGTTGTTGTTGTTATAGGCGCTAATCCAGCTCTGTATTCACGTAAACTAATGCATTATGCTCAACTAGAGCTAGACAGAATTAGAACCAATGTTAGACCACAACAACTTCAAGTAAATCCAGATCCAATTCAAGTTTTGGAAAGTGCTTATCATATGACAACTTTAGATGCACAAAATGAGGTATTCGGGAAAATAGAGGGGAGTGGGTTAAGTGAATTGATTTTATAACATAATAGGGATTTGTTGGGTCAACTACAGCTTGTATTGTTATTTTATATCAAGATGAACTTAGAATAGCTAATTTAGGTGATTGTGGTGTCTCTGTTATTCGACAAAATGATTATATTTTTCGATCTGAAGAACAGCAACACTCGTTTAATTACCCCTATCAGTTAGGCACAGCTTCTTTTGATTCTCCGATGGACGCTCAGGTAAAGCCAAAAAAAAAAAAAAAAAAAAAAAAAAAAAAAAAAAAGAAAAGGAACACATGCAAGAAAACAAGTCCAATAAAAGAAAGAAGGCTTAGGAAAATAATGAAAAAAAAAACCTCCCATTAATCCTATTTATAGCAATTTAACCTCAAGATAGAAGAAGGAGATATAATTATATTAGGATCAGATGGATTATTTGATAATCTTTATGACGATGAAATATTAGAAGAAGTACATAACTGCATCAAGGTTCAACAAGACAATAAAAGACAAGATATTATAATTGAGCCTCAGTTAATATCTGATGCATTAGCACATAGAGCCAAAATTGTAAGTGAAGATCCAGATAATCCTAGTTCACCTTTTCAAGTTAGAGCAATGCATGAAGGACTTTATTATCAAGTAAATAATAGAAAAGAGTATTCTATACTTTATTTTAATATTCATTTTATAGGGTGGAAAAGCAGATGATATTAGTGTTATTGTAGCAATTATTAAAAGAGATGAGAAAATACCAGAGCCTTCACCACCTCCACTACCATGAAAAAAAAAGGGGAATTCTAATTATACCTAAAATCTTGATATTTTTTATTTTTGCATGTTTATATATCCTCATATTTATTGTATATATTCGTATACACAAGGACATTCTTGTATATTTCATTTCTCTCATTTTCTTTCTGATATTACATACAATCGATTGACATACTTGAATAAAAAGAATTATTATTCTATCTTTTAAATTATATACTATTAAAGGGTATGAATAAAATACATGCAAGTTAATATTTACAAAGGGCAAAAGTAAAAAAAAAAAAAAAAAGGCAAAAAAAAAAACAAAAAAAAACATCTAATAAACAGTCTTCAAGTGTGATCTTCAAAATGAACGGTCTTTATCCTCATAACTTTTCCAGTCTAATCTCATGCCACTACAAAGATATCCCATTATTAATTAACCCCAAAGTTGTCGGTTTAAGTAGATATTACCTGTCATTCCAATACACAATGTCACTTTGCCAGTTCTTCTTATCTAATTCAGTAATGAATTTTTTATAATTTTCTCTAGTCCAATTCAAAGAATCTTCTAATGTGTACATATATCTTTCCCAGTCTTTCTCTTTAACTATTTCTGTTCGAGTTAATTGTTCATAAAACTTTAGCGAATGCAAAATTGACTTGATGACGTCATTTGATTCAGCATCTTGATGAAATAATATCCACATTGTATTTTTATGATAATTTAATAAGTAATTTTCATGCTAAAATAGTATAATTAATACATACATATAATATCTGTATTGAAATACTAACCTTTAATACTTTAACTATTTCTTGTACTTCACCAGAAGAAGCAAATGCCTTTTCTGCACTAGAACCCATTCTGATTTTTACTATATTATCTTTACTACTACCATAATACGAGGGCTTTATCCATTCACCAAATCCAGCTTCATGATCTTTTAATTGTTCATAATCAATTACTGATATTCCCCCTGAATCAATAAATTTACGACCTAATAAGGTTAATTTGGCCTGATTAAGGATTTCAAATTCAGCAGTATGAAGCATTTTACACGTTGTCCAGATATTGAGAGGTGATAAGATAGCAAATATACCAAATAGGAACATGGGTGAATGTGATATTGAAATGATACCAACGCCAGTTAACATACCTAATAGATGTGCAGTTGACATTTGCGCATCATCTTTAGCTACAATATCACCAATATTACCATTTGGCTTAATAAATATATAGATGTATACGTATATGTATAAATATAAATACATATGTTTAATACGATTATATAAACTTACAGAGAAATGCTTTGTAAACGTCATATGACTTGCAATCCAAATACTTTCATGTATTAATTCAAATGTGTTACCAGCTAATCAAAAATTAAACTTTTAGCGTACACATTTGTAAATGAACGGAAGAATAGAGTACCTGCAGCTAAAGGTAAAAACAATTTTGGACTCACAACAGAAGTACAAAGTTGCAAAAATGAGCCAACAGAGGATAAAAGCTCACATACCTTTCATAAATGTGATTCAATATTTTATAAGTGAAAATAAACATATGTATCCTCCTACTTACAAATTTCCATGTCTTTGGATGTGAATCAAATGAACTTGCATAGCGTTTAATAAAGAATAATTTACCAATTTCTCCAATACCGTCTTTCAACACCCTATTTTTTAGATATGTATGTATTGAATATCTTTTATATTGTATTCAGGTATAAATATCTGTCTATTACCATTGAATAGCTACTGCTCCTCCTGTCGCTTCTACTGCTCCTAAACCTAATGATGCTAACATAGCCTGTGAACATAATACTCCAATCTATCAAACGTATACATTTAATATCTATTCATATTTAGGTTTAGATATATTTCTAACTCTTTACAGCTGATCCAACATATGTTTCAAAAAAAAGCCATAGATGAAATTTTTTATAACAGTCATGAACAGATTCTGGATACCTAATTATTGCATTTGTTTACATTTTTTGCCTCCTTTTTTTTTTTGGCGAATAACTTACCCTACTGGAAGAAACATTTCTCTTAAATTTTGTTTTATTGAATGTAATACACTAAATCTATTTCGATTTGTTACAAGTTGATACCATTCCTTTTTCTTCTCTTTATCATTATCCTCGATAATAGGCTGAATCCATTCCCAGGACATGGGAGAAGTAGCAATAGGTGCAGCAACACGTCCCTTTGATACTGAGTTTGATTTTGTCTTTCCAATGGTCTGTAAACTGGTATAAATACGTTTCCTTCCATATACAAACTCTGTCAATATAGGTTCCTGTCGTTGCTCTTGCACTAATTTCGGTAATTCCTGATGAAATAATCGCTTTGTATTCTTTAGCAATGACGTCCTTTTGTTATGACAGAACAATCGCGTTAAAGATGGTCTCAATGGCTGATGGGTATAGATGTTGCTATGACTCCTCACAATGATTCGTGAAGAATGTATCATGATCCAAACTTTTACACAGTGTCAAAAAAAAAAAGTTGGGTAGACGTAAACCAATAGAAGGATAGTTAACGAGTTGAGAAAAGAAAGAAAGAAAGTCAAGTGTTGCTATTAGAGAAGAGTATAGTACTTAAGAAAGGGGGGCCCTTGTGACAATTTTTTTTTTTTTATTTTTATTTTTGCATGTATACATGTTATTTATTACGTTTAAACACAGTCTTTTTATTAGTATTACATAATAATTAAAATTCCATTGATCTAACAGCTTCATCTAAAATATATCATAGTATTAGCACTCAACTACTTTTAATAATAAATTATATTTACCTCTTTTACTCTTCTTTGTATTAATAATTATGTCCATAACAAATTTATCAAAATAATCGATATAAGGCTTAAGTGAAGTCTTTTTATAATCAGCCATCTTTTTATCAGGTGTTATATTTTTAGTCTGTTCTTTATACAGTGTTAATTCTCTTCTTAAAGACATTAAGGTAGGCACAGATAAAGGATCAAACTTTTCACATTCTTCAACTTTGATTGGTACACATACTCTTACTAATAATGAAATGAGTTATAGACGTCTTTTTACACAATCAGCTACTTACATGTCTTTGGATGAACACAGAATGGACTCTTTAATAAGTGATTTATAGCAGTACTAACTTTAATATCAAGTCGAGGATAACAGTATTGAAACATAATATCTCTCCATAAGTTTTCTCTTTTGAATCGTTTCTTTTTATCCGCCTTTTCAATAAGGTTGACTAATATATTCCATTTTTCTTTTGGAGATTTATTAGGATAATTTCTCCATGATTCATCTATCTTTTCCCTTACATCTGCATCAGGTATAATTTCTAATAACTTTTTCCAATTTTCTGGTTTATCCAAAATACCCATCTTTTGAAGTACAAGTGATTCAAAATGCTTTTCAACAATTTGATATGAACGTCTAACATAATATAAATATGCGTGTACATACGTGTATATTATATATTAGTTTAAATCATAGATAAAGCCTACCTTAATGAAGGATGTAAAGGAGCAAATAATTTGACTTTACGTGACATTTGTGCACCACCCTATAATCATTACAAAGGAATATTAAATATATATGTGAGTGAGTGAGTGTGTGTGTGTGTATACAGGCATTTATATACATATATACCGTATTTTACCTTAATTACATCTAAATAGTTTACAATTGCTTTTCTAGCATCATTATCAAGTTTGCGTGCTCGTTCATCACAGACCCAACAATGTACACCACGACGACCTGAATAGACCCACATAATATGCTTAAATCCAAAATCCTCTAGTAATAATAAATAGTATATACATGAATATATAAATTTATTCTCTATGCTAAATTGTTCATTTACCTCGAAGTGCTACATCGATTATCTTGATGGCAACTGTCATAAATTCCCAACATAAAAGACATACATCACCACCACTAAAATAAATATTTAGAGAATAGAATAGAATAGAATAGAACCAAAGAAAAAGAAAAGATCTTTTGTTTGTCATACCTGCAACATGTACGAATTTCATCATAATCGGTCATATCAATATCAAAAACTAATTCTTTTTCTAATGGTTTGAATGCCTTTTCGCTCACTGTTTTTCTATTTCTGGGCTATATTGTTTAATTAATTCACTAGTACAATTCACCTTCTATATCGTTAAGTCTTACTTTTACTGCGTAAACTGCACCTATATCAATCTTTGCTGGTTGTAATCTTTCTATTTCCTTTTTTAACTCTTCACTATTAGAAAATGATTGAAACCGAATATAAATGTCTGAAGGAAGTGTAAAACTGAATTCTCTATGTGTAAAGTTTTTTGTAGGTGCTAATAAAGATGAATGATTAGTAGCTTTACATATAAATTGTTTCCAGTTGTATATACTTGTATCATAATTAAGCCAATTGAAATATGATTTATAAGGGAAAAAAGAGTTGTAAAACATTCTATATAAAAAGATGGGATTGCTTAAATCAAATCTACATGTAGAATAGTAATTAGTACATGATATAGGTTTAATCGTTGCATGTGTTTTATTATGATTATTCTTACTCGTCCTGTTCTCGAAGTTGTTGTTCTAAATCAGGATTTATATCTGTCATTTGATCATCATCACTGAAAAAACTTTCTAGCATATCAATATCTTTTATTTCATTTCTTGCTATATCGAAAAAAAAGAGGGTTTATTTAGACTAACTATTAACTGACCAAGTTAATTATACCTTTTTCATGAATGTCGCTCATTTTTTGTATATATCAATATATTCAACAAGAACAACAAGTCAAATCGCGATATTTTTTTTTTTTAAAAAAAAAAAAAAAAAAAATAATTTTATTTACTTGACGTGTTTTATATTTCCGACATATTCACATACATACATAGTAATTTTATGATTACTTCCTTTGTAGTAGTAAAGACAAAAGGAAATATAATAGAGAGAATTTTACCTTTTAACATAGATTATATGATGGGCTCAGATTGAAGACATAAATGTTGTTGGAAAAGTACTTTATACTAACGTAGTATCTTTTGCTTAAGTTTTGCCTTTTTTTTTTTCTTTCTTTCTTTCTTGAATTAACATACGACGATAGCCTTATCAACTCGAGGATATAATATAAATACACGTATTCATGCTTTAAATATACAATACTTTTAACATCAAAACGAAAATATAAAGACAGGAAAAAAAAATTTTTTTAAACAAATAACAAATAGCACGTTATTCGGCTATTTGTTTATTTACATGTTTTTGGGTATAAATGGTATCATTAATTGTAACAAAATGTAAAAAAAAGGAAGAAAAATAGTATCGGTTCTTCCTTTTTTTTACATTTTTTGAATCGTTCTGTAAAAAAAAGAAAGCAAAGTCTAAGGAATGATGTTACTTTGCTTTCTTTTTTTTGTTCTTTGAAGCGATGTTTCGCCATCTATAATAATATGTTAATCATAATTGAAAATAGAAAAATAAACTAATTTAATTTGTTACTTACCAGAACGATTCATTAATTTACGCTTCGATGCACCTGCATTTAAAGGTGATCGAGCGTTTGGTGAGGCGGATGTAGATGATAAAGCTTGAAGGAGTGTATTTGCTTTTGTTGGTATCGGTAATTGGGACGAGGAGGTTGTTGCCCGTTTTGATGTTGTTCGTTGTGATGATTGTGGTGGTGGTGTTGGTTGGGATGGCGGTTGTTGTTGTTGTGATGATGCTGGTCGTGATGATGTTTGGTGTGATGAAGAGCCTGTTACAATTGTTGCTGCTTCAGTTATGGTTGCTGGCTGTGATGAATAGGTTTCTGTTGTGAGCATAGTAGACACTTCAGGTATGTCCGTAGACGCGTTAGAAAGTGGCTCAATTTCTGTTATGGAAATCACTTTATCAGCTATTAAGGAAGAAGAATAGAAAGATGTTACTTTAGAACGTACTGTTTTATCTTATTACGCGTATATTAAAAGAAAACTTACAATTATCTTTCATTTGTTGTATAAGTAAGTCCCAGCCAGTATTAGCAGCCTGCATTATTTGGTTCTTGAAGCTTTTCACTAAATTAACTGATTCTTTATATTTTTGTAAAACATCTTTCATTTTGTTAGACCATTGCACTTCTTGCATTTCAAATTGTCTTATTTTATGATTTTTGCTTTCTTGTTCCAAATGAAGACGATTTGTTTCTTTTTTAATTTCTTCAAGTTTTTCTTCGCTTATTTGAAGTTGAGCAGCTAATGCTTCTTTCTCCTGTCTTTCAGCAGCTAATGATTCTTCAGCAGCTTTGAGCTTTGCTTCCATTTGTTCTAAAGCATGAGAAGTTTCTTGCTTTACATAACGCTCTGCCTGTTGAAGTTCTTCATTTGTTATTTGTAGAGCTTTAATTGTGTCTTTCATTTCTTGCATCTCCATTCTAGTCGCGTCATATGCTTTTTTTGTTTGGTATACACCTGATTTTTCATAATTAACGCGAAGTTCCTCTTGAAGTTGCTCTATTGTTTTGACAAGCACATGAACGTGTCGTTCGTGGCTTATTGGACTATTTGCTTGAGGACGATTACATATGCCTTTAGCATGACTAGCATAGTCTAATGTACTACGAACTTCTTCTTGAGTTTGATTTGCAGGTGAAACAGTGGCAATAATACAAGTCTTCATCTGGCCTCCAAGGGAATCCTTCAATAAACGCGTTAATTTACTCTCACGATAGGGGATATGAGGGGTTTTATCAACGAGTCCGTTAATGACACGTCCTAAAGTCAACAAGCTACGATTAATAGAGGCTGCTTCACGAGCACGAAGGTTTTCAGATCCCGAGCTCTTACTATTCTCAGAGCCTGCTAAATCAACAAGGTTAAGTTTGCCTATTCTGAATGAATTACTTTCTTCACACTTCATATAAACTGTTATAGTAAATATAGAATGCGAACGGCTTAAAAGTACGTAATAATAATAATAAGAATAAGAAGAATAAGAAATAATAAGAATAATAAGAATAATAAGAATAAGAATAAGAAATAATAATAAGAAGAAGAAGAGCAAGAACAAGAACAAGAAGAAGAACAAGAAGAAGAACAAGAAGAAGAACAAGAAGAAGAACAAGAAGAAGAACAAGAAGAAGAACAAGAAGAAGAACAAGAAGAAGAACAAGAAGAAGAACAAGAAGAGAACAAGAAGAAGAATAGAAAGGAAATATGAAATAACGGTAAGTCTCTATTGTAAACATGACTTTTGAAAAAATTATTTTTGTTACCTTGACTTTTCATTACAGTTTGTTGCTGCTGTCATTCTTTTCTTAATACCTGATTTCAATATAGTTAAACCTTGTGAAGCGGAAGAAATTAAGTGTTCTTTTATGTTTTGAACTCTAACACCAGTTCCGTCTTCAAAAATATTTAAGGCTTTGTGTTCATCAGAAGCACATAACAAATCACGAAGTTCTTCGTTATATAATTCTAACATAGAAACCATAACGTGACTTTCTTGACCAAGAGTTCCAAGTCTTTGGAATAAGTTTTGAATAGTACGTGGGATAATACCAGCATTTTTTTCATGGTATTCATCAGAATCACCAAGATCACCCTCCATAGTATAGGTTTTACCAGTACCAGTTTGACCATAAGCAAAGATAGTACAACTATAGCTATATACAAAAAGAAGAAATAAATAAATAAATAAATAAAGATTACATTTTACTTGTATAATTTATATGTGCTTACCCATTTAAAACATCAGACAATATGGGTGCTGCAACAGCATTGTAAACACCTTGTTGTGTAGCTTCTTCTTTAAAAACGCGATCAAAATTATAGATCGTGTTATTTGGAGTAAACAAAACTTTATCTTCTGCATTAGAATCAACAGTTTCTAATATTGATGATTTTGATGAGAGTTTTTTTACTGAGCTACTTCCTCTATAATTTTTTTTTTAAAGAAAAGAAAGATCAGTAATCAAGTATATTTAAAATAAAGTTAAATGAAGAGACAAGACTTACTTGAAGCGAAGCATAACTTGAACGTTTGTCCCTTTTTCTAAAAAAGAACGTCTTCCAGTTAATTTAGGACTGCCAACAGTACCTCTAGTTGAGGAATTTGAGCAAGGAGGATGTAAAGAAATAGATGACTTTTTATTTCTGTTATTTTGAAGCATCTTTTTTTTTGAAAAAAGTAGTTTAATAAACAAGATATAAACTTAATGTAAAGTAAGTGTGCTTATGGAATATATAAATAAATAAAAGTATATAAAAGCAAGTTAAGAAGGAGCAAGTAATTTACATATAAGATGAAGCTATATATAACAAAAAATAATTTTACAGGAACCAAATTTATTATGAAAAGGCTAAAAAAAAAAAATAATAAGTAGTCACATACTCCTTAAACTACCATAATAAGTAATGCAAATTTGTACTCTATTTAATTAAGCAATCTAGTATTTGTTTATTTTGAAAGCACAATAAAATATATACATGATATGAAACAGTTAGTACTCAAAAGGATATTCATGATACAGCATGTAGGAATAATTAGGATTAGCCTATTTTCAGAAAAAATGATTGGATCAAAATACGGAACGAAAGATAATGATAAACGCTAAATTGAAATGTCTTATCTTTTATTGAATACAATCAGTTTAGATCGATGTTACACTATTTCCACATGTAAAATGTGGGGGGGGGAAGAGGGGCGAAAGCATTAGTTTAATGACATGTCCTAACATAAATTGCCTTGGATATTTATAGAAAATATCTCATTAACAATTTGCTAATTTGATAATGTTTATTACGTGAATATATACAATGAATTAAAATAAGATACTAAGCTATACTATACAAAAAAAACACATATTTTATAACATGAGAATATACTAAATAAAAAGAAAACTTCTTCCTATCGTTATGATAAAAGAGGTTTTACTTATTAAGCTGCAGTAAAAAGAATCTATTATCAGTTAAGAAAGCCAGCCTTAATTGATCGTATATTTGAATATCAAGAGGACAGCTGTTAATTCGAAAATGTTGCAGTTTATCCTGATTAGATTTCGACAAACATAACATGCCTTCTACTTCATTACTATAACATATAACTGATTCTTGATTATCCATAATATCTGGATGCATTACATAAGAACAAGTTCTTGTCAAGTTCTTTTGAGGTAATTGGAAATCTAGAGTAGCGATGACAGTTGTTGAATAATCTTCATTTAATTTTAAAAGTTGATGCTTTGTTGCAATATTATTCCTTGAAGATAACAATAAAGAGCTTTCACTACCATAATTGAAAGAGAACGAAAAAGGTTTGTATCCTAACAAGTATAACAATTAACAAATGAAAAGCATTTTATCCAATAATAATAAAAAAAATAGATATATGCTTACCATTTTCTATGCTTAACAAATTACAGATAGGTATCTCTTCATGATAGTCCCATATAAATGCTTGATTTAAATTCGAACAACATAAAACTCTTCTGTCAAGGATTTTCTTTGAAAACATAGAATGAAGTGGGGTTTTTGAAATAGTTGAACTTTTAAATTGGTTAAATGGTACACTTAGATTCCGTATATCATATGTTAAGATAGTACTATCTATTAGTCCACAATGTAATTTATTTGAATCTAAAGAATCAAAACTACATGACCATCCTGCAGTAGGTAGCATCACAGATTTCTCTACTGTATTCGTAATGGTCGATATTAATTGCAATGATTTATCTATGCCAGTAGATAAAATCAAATTTGGCTTTTCACTATTATATTGTATATCTCGCACTAAACCATTATGTGTTGATATAAATTCTGTCGTCTCAACATTGGTTAAATTAAGTTTAAGTATTCCATGTCCATCCTTAGAAGATTTAAATGATATATATGCGGTATTAGATTGCTGATCTAACGCCATTACGCGTGCCACATGTCTATTCTCAGATAGTCTTTTCGATTTACATATTGAATAGCGATATGAGTTTTTTATATATGGTATATTTGTATGATCCATCTTATTGATAAAATTATCGGGTATTTTGTTGTAGTTTTCCTTATCTTCATGACTGACATTGCTGAAAGTAGGTTGCAATTTAATATTGTTCTGAGAAGAAGAAGGTGAAAGATAAGATGTATTTACATTTAATGATCTTAACGGATTTTTGATTATCATTGTCTCTTTGATTCTAATTTTTAATAGAAAAAGAAAAAAAAAATACAAGATCAGTTTTGCCTGTTTTTTTTTTTTTCATTATTCAAATTAATCGTTATATTTAATGCTTACTGCGGTAATTGTATTATGTGTCTTTCTCTTGCTCTTTCTAGTTCTTTCTTGTGTAAATTAAGAGACAAGCGAGCTAAATCTAAAGCATTTTTATTTTCTTTTATTTTATTTTTAAGGGCTTCGAGTTCTTTTTTTAATAAATCCATTTGTGAAGTATCTTTTACTGCTATCTTTGATGGTTTTACAACACGAATATCTGTTTCACGTGTAGTTTTCCTACATGTAGTTTTGTAAATAAATTAAAATACATTTCATTTTTTCTAATTTATTTTATTTACATGCACATCGGACATCCAGCTTTTTTTGAATTTGACTTTCTTGACTTATCCAATATCCAGCGCACAATACATCTATGTTTATTTCGGTCAATAAACATTCTTTAGATAACCAAAAATAATATTAGCTTACTTTTTACCAAATAAATGGCCGCATGGTAAACTAACAAGACAATGATCTCCCCTACTTGTCCAAACTTCTGAACAAATAATGCAAGTAGAAGTTTCATCTTCATCTCCCGATACATTTTCATAACTTGAATCAAGCTTTTGTTTTTTATTCTCGATTTTATTTACATTATTAGGTGGATCAGATCCTGAAGCCAAGCACATTTGAAGTGAAAAAAAAAAAGGTTCAAGAAAAAAAAAAAAAAAAAAAGAAAAGGATGTATTACTTTGAGGCCAGTCACATCAAGGATTTAATCTAATTTGAAACTCAAAAATAGACTTCATGTAAAACAATGGATACTTTGACATTTATGAATACAATAAGAAAAAAAAAAGCCGTTACTTATGAATTAGCATATGTTTTCATTTGTTTAAAGTAGTTGTGTAGTTCACAATAATCATTAGTGCCATTTTGAAGCAAAAGTATATGTTATAAATGCTATCCGTACTCAGTTTTCTAAGCCATATTTAACAAGCTTCCTTTTAATACAATTGATATTTTGTAACCACTTTTTCAGACAAAATGATACTTTGTAAATTCATTAATACAAAAAGCTTATTTTTTTTTTTTTTTTGGTTGCATGAAATAGTCCATGCTATTTTTGGTCATACTGAACAATCAATTAATTTAATAGTGCTTAACATAGGGTGTATATAGTATGTTTCTCATTGTCTTTCAAAATTATTCGTTGTTTTATATTTTATTTTATTTTATTTTTTTTTTTTTTCACTACAACTTGCCCAGCATTTTTTTTTTTTTTATTATACATACACACATATTTGCCATTTTCTGGTATATAAAAATAACTTGACTTAGATGGAGCAAGGTAATCTTTATTATTCAATTAAAATTTTATGTCATGTTTTAGCTAATATACATTAATTATTTTTTTGACCTTTTAGAGGTAAATAACAATACATCAACTTTCAATCTAAATCTTATTTTCTAATCTAAAAATAATTCTTTTTTATATACATGTATATTTTTATTTAGCTGTATTACTTGATTGTCAAGTTCCTTGCAGCAGGACCTTGTAAAAAAGCAGCTTGCGTTCTTGAGAACGAGTTAAAAGAGCACAATGAGCTTTTACCTCGCACAATGACATATGAAGGAAAACAAGTACTAATGACGATGGATCGACTTGTAAAAATAAAACAAAACGATTATGCTCATGTATAAAAAATAGAGTAATTAATTCACCATTTTTATTATTATTTTCTCTCTTTTTTATTGTAGTCTAGAGAATATCCAGATGTTGACAACAACTATTTATTAGATCTACTTCGTAAACTTTTAAATCACTTTAGAGAAACAGGTGATCCGACTGTACTTCGAGTGAGTGCATTGAGACATGGTGACAATTCTCTTTTAACTATGCTTTCTGCTTTTGTACCTCATAAAGAAGTAGAACGTTGTAATTATTTAACAATGACCATGAAGCAATTAGGCAAATTATCTATACGTGAGTTACTTTTATTATTATTATTATTATTATTATGTTATTATTATTATTCATAACTTATTTGTATACCCATAAATATAGATCGTATGTTGATTGCAAGAGAAATGAGTGCAAAAATTATGAAAAAGACTCAAATGCCAACTTCAATATCTACATTTTATAGAGAGGTGCATACAATGAATATAAATGTGTATATATTTGGAAAACAACTAAAAAATGATTTCATATTATACATAGCATGTTACTATATCAGGTCATCGTAATCCAGTTTATTCGGTTGTATTCGATAAAACAAATAGAAGATTATTTACAGGCAGTGACGATTTTCTTGTCAAAGTATGGTGTGTACGAACAGGACATCTCATTCATACCATTAGAGGTCATCAAAATGTGATTACAGATATTGCTATTAATCAAGAAAACACGTTAATTGCAACTGCATCTTCAGATGGTACGGTTCGTGTCTGGACAATGGAGGAATATAAGCCGATTATGTGTCTTAGACCTAATTCTAATGCTGTAAGTTGTATAGTTAACATGCGTAAAGGATGACATACTTATGTATACTATTCAAAAAAAAAAATCAGATTAAACCTTTCACAACTGTCAAATTTTCACCATCACCAAGAGCAGAAACACGCTATTTAATGGCAACAAATGAAGATGGTTTTGTTCGTTTATGGAAATGGGATCGCGATACATTACAATTCTTTGATACAGATTCACCAATCACATTTAGCTGTCGATTTAGAGCAAGAGATAGATTAAGATGCTCTTCATTCAATTATACAGGCACAAAGTTTTCTGTAGCAGGTGATGATGGATTTGTGTATGTGTTTTCAACAATCCAAGTGCAGACTACGCATGAAGGCGTAACATCGTCCACACATGTTTCTGGACATACTGACTATAGTAGTCAAGAAAGATCTACAGGAAGAGGAAGAAGAAGATTTGCGAATGCTTTATTTCCAGATAAGAATAACCCAGTACAAACTCAATCAGTAATACCCATTGGTACATTAGAAGGTCATATGGGTAGTGTAACTGATTTAGCATTCAGTCATGATGGACAGCGTATCTTAAGTGGATGTCAAGATGGTACAGCTAGAATTTGGACTTTTGATAAAAATAAAAAACAATGGAACTCAATCGTATTGGATCTTAAACAACCTGTAAATGACACGACAACTATTGTAAAGCCTTCAACTCCCAATTCAACCGTTATGAGTAGGGCTAATTCACGATCATCAGATCATGTACATGATAAAATACAACAGTCAGCATTATCTGATTCCAACGAATTTGGAACGCTTATGCCTCCTTTAGAAGATGAGCTTTCAACTTCTTCTCTTTCGGATATGGATATTGATACACCTAGAGAAGCGGCAGTGCCATCACAATCATCAGATTCACCCAAAGTATCTATGATTGCTTGGAGTGCGGATGATCGATGGTGTGCTGTTGCTTCAAACCAAGGAGAAATCAGAGTTTACTATGCCTTTAATGGAGAACCTGCTTGCGTTCTTAAAGGGCATAATGGAGAGATATATGCTCTTGATAGTCATCCACTTGATTCAAATACTATTCTTTCTGCAGGTTATGACGGTAATGTTATCCTCTGGGATGTTGAGAAAAAAAAAGTGATCAATTGTACAAATCATGTTGGTAGAACATTTACAGATTGTAAATTTTCTAAGGACGGTATGAAATATGCTATTACAGATGAAGAAGGACATTGTACATTATTTGGTATTGGTGGATTAGATAAAGATTATGAACAAGTACGAAGTTGGGGAAGAGGACAATATTTTATGTCAGATTATCAGGCATTACGCCATTATGCAGATGGTTCATTTTTAGATGAAGCAACACAACAAGAACCTTATGCCTTGCCCTTTTCACCTATCATTGATTTACAAGGAGTAGCTTATCCTAACCAAAATAAGCTGGGTTATGGTCGAAGTATTCCGATTACTCCAGAAACATTTGAAATAGAAGACTTGAAACGATCTGCATGTTATAACCATGAAGAGGAAGAGTATGTATATTATGGAATTTAATATTGAGTGTAAAAGTCTAATGAAATTAATTTGTATAATATTTATTTTAGAATTCGTAACATTAAACTTATTGTTCTTCCTACTCTCGATCGTGCTACGATAGCGAAAAGGAGACGAGAGTTTGTTAAAGTGGATGAAGATGAAGAAACAGACATCGCAACTACAGGTAATGTTCAATTTCAATTTCCACCACCCATCTTTCCTGTCTTATTACCAGATGATTCTGAGGACGAAGACTATCATGATGACGAAGCAGGTAATGCAGATTATGTATCAAGTGCAGGCAGTAGTGAAGATGAAGCAGGCTCAGATGATTTTGTTGCCCAAGATGATGATGAAATGATTCCCTCAGGCCATGAAGATGAAGAAGAAGAAGGCCCCATCACACGAAGTCGCGCTGGTCAGTTAGGATCTCAATCTCTGTATCGTCCTTCTACATCCCGTAGCACATCAAGCAGTCAAACACGACGAGGAGTAACGACTCGTAGACGAGGTCGTGGACGAGGACGTGGTGGTGGTGTGGGTCGACCAAGTACACGAGGTAATACTCGATCTACTCGTAAACGTACCCGTGAACGATCCGAGGAGGAGGATGAAGAAGAACAACCAGTACGAGCACGAGCAAGACGAAGAGTGGCTGAGATACCATCCTATGTAGAAAGTGATTTAGAAAGTGAAGAAGAAGAAGAGGAGGAGGAGGAGGAGGAGGAGAGGGAGGAAGAGTTTGTAGATGTGGAAGAGGAAGAAGATGAAAGTGATGATGAACATAGTGATTATCTAGAAGCTGGGCCTTCTAATAGTGCTAAACAAAAGAATCGAAATATAGACTTAAATATAGCATCATCCTCTCAGCAACCCACTACATCTTCTTCAGAGCCTATTGAAGATCGTAAAGGTAAACGCAAACTGCGCTCTTCTACTCTTCTAAATAATGGCGGTGATCCAGATTCCTCATCACAACAATTCTTATATTATCTAAACGACAATGATAATAGTAGCGTTGGATCGAGTAAAAACAAGGATAATCATCATGCGATGGGTCGTACAACAAGAAGCCGCACTAAACAACAAGATACAACACCTGTTATCAAAAACTCTATATCAACCACAGCAAACAAATCATCAGCAACACACAAACGACATGGAAAGCAGCGTGATAGTATTCGTGTATTAACTGAAGAAGAAATTAAAGAATATGAACCTATCCCTTGGATTGTAAAAACAGACCGTTCACTCTCAAAATATTTACCTCAACTAGGAGATACTGTAGTCATCTTAACTGAAGGACACAAGCAATATTTAAGAGCATCTGAAATGAAGCATTTCTTTGATGAAAAACATGGCATTATTGATAAGCATCAACCTGTTTTATTTGGAAGAGTGTCTAATATTAACTGGCAAACAGGACCTCCTACCTATTGTAAATTAAAAGTAACTATGCTTAAACTCTCCAACCTTCAACAAGTACTTGCTCGACAAGAGGAGCCTAATTGGATCTCCTTAAAACAAGATGAAGTCATTGAATATAGTGATGAGGATGGCTGTCCTGAATTTATTATTCTTTGGGAACGGTTTATGGCATCTATGGATATCTTTCAAACACTTAAAGTAGGACAAAAAGTGAGTGCCATATATGATGATGCAGGCCAATATACAGGTACTATATCACATCTTAACCAACAAGGATTACCATGGAAGCAAGCCAATTTGCCGAGTCCATGGGCCTATTTTCATGTTATTTGGGATGATAATACATCCACACCTGAAGACATATGTCCATGGGAATTAGTCCCCTTTGGTGAAGATTTCCGTGTTCGCTATGATGTTCAACCTAGTTTAACAGCAGAACAGATCAAACGGGCCAAGGACACACTGGCATGGCTTTCAAGTGTAGATGATTTCCAATTATATGTACATCAAGTCAATTATTATGAATATCCTGCTTATTTATCCATCATTGCATACCCTATTTGTCTAGACATGGTAAAAGAGAGAATAGACAATAATTTTTATCGATCTGTAGATGTAAGTGTGTTTTTTTTCTCTCTCTTTTTATTTTATCATATATATTAAAGCTATTCAATATTCATAGGGCTTAATTGATGATGTAGAACTGATAAAGAAAAATGCTATGCGATATAATGCTGAATCTTCAGCAGCACATAAAAATGCAGTTCGATTAGCCCATTTTTTTAAATCACGTATATTAAGTAAGTTAAAAAAAAAGGGGGGGCAGAGGAGGGGAAGGAAGGGGAGGGTAAAGGTTTAAATATATACTTTAGAACAAAAGGTATCTAATACTATTAAATTAAAGAACCTTCAATGCCACTTGCTTTAACAAGAGGAGGTGGACGGAAAAGAGTCATAATAGAAGAATCAGATGATGAATATAATAATGATGAAGCACAAAATTATGAAGAATCGGATGAAGAACCTGTTGTTAAGAGATCAATAAGGAATTCATGGACTTATTCTGATGAAGATGATAACTTTATAGCCTATGACGATGATGATGATGATGACTACGAATAAATACATTGACAATATATAAACTACATACATATTTCTTTTCTAATACAAATAGTTTTTTTTTCTTTCCTTGTTAATGCATTTTATAATAGTAAATGTGTTATTTGTATAATATGGTTAGATAAAGGCTTAAAATAATACTGAACTATATATGTATGTATACATGTATATATGTATGTACGTATTTTCTTTTGAATCTATACATCTGGTCTTTACATTATATTTAAAATAATTTATTACAGTTAATGATATATAAAACAATAGCGATACGTAATTTGTATAAAAAAAATAAAATAAAGAATAGATTTTTTTTTCTTGTTAAATATAGGTTTTGAAAGAAAAGATAAAGGGAGAGGGAGGAATGATGGCTTTTTTTTTTTTTTTTTTTTTTTTTTACTTGTTGCCATGAACAAGACGAATTAAAGTAGGGATAACAGATTGATCAGCAAGAGTAGAGGTATCACCAAGAGAATCTTGTTCCCCATTAACAATCTTTCGAAGGATACGACGCATGATCTTTCCAGAACGCGTTTTTGGGTGCTCATTTACGATGTAGATGCGTTTAGGTGTAGCGAAAGGGCCAATAATTTTACGAACGAGTAAGGTAAGTTCCTTTTCTAAACCCTCGGCGGCGTCCACGTTTGGACGAATAGAGACGAAGGCATGAATACACTGACCAGTTAATTCATCATGACCACCGATGACAGCAGCTTCAGCCACGGCCTCATGATGAACGAGTGCAGACTCGATTTCAGCAGTAGACAAACGATGACCAGAGACGTTGATAACATCATCCACACGTCCTTGAATCCAAATGTAACCATCCTTGTCACGATAGGCACCATCCCCGGTAAAATAGTAACCAGGATAAGGCTTAAGATAGGTATCCACAAATCGAGCATGATCGTTATAAATGGTACGTGCCATGGAAGGCCAAGGCTGACGAATAGCGAGGACACCTGTTTCATGAATACCTGTTATCACCTTACCAGTTACAGGATCTAAAATTTCTGGTTGAATACCAAAGAAGGGAAGAGTAGCCGAACCAGGTTTAGTAGGATGAGAACCAGGAAGAGGAGTGATGATGATTGAACCTGTCTCAGTTTGCCAATAGGTATCTACAACAGCGCATTGACAATGACCGACCTTCTCATTATACCATTCCCAAGCTTCAGGATTAATAGGTTCACCTACAGATCCAATGACGCGAAGTGTAGATAAATCATGTTTCGCCACCCATTGATCACCAAGACGACGAAGAGCACGAATGGCAGTAGGAGCAGTATAGAACTGGGTAATCTTATGTTTTTCAATCAATTGCCAGAATCGACTAGGATTAGGATAAGTAGGTGTACTTTCAAATAAGACAGTTGTACCACCTAAAGCAAGAGGACCATAGACAATATATGTATGACCCTATATTTATATATGTATATATTAGTATACATGTTACATTTGTGAAAAAAAAATATAAAGATGTATCGTTATATACTACGTTACCGTGATCCAACCGATATCAGCCATACAAGCATGAATATCACCTTCATGGTAATCAAAAACATATTTAACCGTCATAGCAGCACCCAGGAGATAACCACCTGTTGTATGCAAGATACCTTTTGGTTTACCAGTAGAACCAGAAGTATATAAAAGGAAAAGAGGATCTTCAGCATTCATAGGTTCAGGTGGACAATAAGCTCGAGCCTTAGCCATCTCTTCATGCCACCAAAGATCACGATCCTTAACCCAATCAATAGGGGAACCAGTACGACGGAAGACAATGACATTTTCAACTTGTGTTTGATTTGAACGAAGAGCATCATCTACAATACGTTTAGTAGCCACCGATTTACCACCACGACGACCCTCATCAGAGGTGATGATGATACGAGCTGCACAATCGATAACACGATCACGAAGAGAATCAGAAGAAAACCCAGCAAAGACAACTGAATGAACAGCACCAATACGAGCACAAGCGAGCATAGCGACGATTGCCTCAGGGATCATAGGCATATAGATAGCTACACTATCTCCTTTACGTACACCCAAACTCTTTAATGTATTACCCATTTGACATACTAAACGTAATAATTCACCATAAGTGATATTTCGAACTTGATCAGGCTCATCACCTTCATGAATGATAGCAATTTTATCAGGAGTAGCAAGAGCATGTCTATCAACACAATTATAAGCAACATTAAGCTCGCCATCTAAAAACCAAGATACATCCCCCGTTTCAAAAGAACCATGATGAACAATATTAAAAGGTCTTGACCAAGTGATTAGTTCACGAGCAAGCTATATCATTTATTAAAATATAAATAAATAAGGCATTCTGTCTTTTTGCTTTCCTGATTTACATAATATATTTCAACTTACATTTCCAAAAAATAGATCAGGCTTTTCTACACTTTCTTTCCATAAAGTCTTGTATGTTTCTATTGAATTAACAAAAGGAATTGGATTTTTTGAAGCATCTAAAAGATTTTTAGGAACTGGAAAAGTGGTAACAGGTATTTCTTCAATTGTCATTTTTATTTCAAATAAATAATTAAAAAAAAAAAGAAAAAAGAAAAGAAAAGAAAAAAGAGAATTCAAATTTTGATGGGAAAAAAAATGCCCTTTTTATAGATATTTATTTTTTTTTGGGGGAGGACAATCAGGGCAAACCTCTTTTTATGGAAAAGGAAAAGATTATCATAAATAGTGGAAAGTAAGATTTTTATGAAACACAAAAAAAGACAGTAATTTTGGTATTTCTATAGAAACAAGGATCGTCTAAAATAGATATTATAATAAAGCATATTTGCTTCATTTTATTTTAATTATTAGAAAATTTCTTTATTCGATTTATATAATTTCCTTAAACTGCAAACTATCCGCGGTGCCTATTTCAACCTTACACCCTATTTTATATTGAAACAAAGTCTGACAGCTATCAAATACCCTATTTTCTTTTTGACAGTTTTGCATTACTTTCTTAATCTCTTTCTTTCTTTCTTTTTCCTTTCTACTTTATAATGCTTTTTTTTTTTTTTTTTCCTCTTTCTTTTCAATCTCACACGCTTATGGATTAAATGACCGATAAAGATAAGAATGATTGGTTCCATGTATTACTCAGAACATGTTATTGAAATCATTATTAAAAGGTGAATATCGAGAAAAAAATTACATACTAGAAAAGGGGAAAAAAAAAGAAAAAGAAAAAATAAATAAAAATAAAAATAAATAAAGGAACAAACAAACACACAAGAGAATATAACTTTAGATGACAAGCATTGTTTGTCAAGAAGTAATAAATCCTGGTATTATATAATATAGTTTATTACTTTCCCACTTTATCAGCTTTAATGTGTAACATCTCACACAAATATTTTAGCCCCCCAAAGTGTTTATATTCTTGCATAAAATTATAGCCTTTTTGTGTGTGTGTATGGTTTCAATGTGGGGTAGACGCATAAAAAGTCACATAAGATGAAGTAGAGTGTTCGGAAGAGTTGGAAAAACGTTTCATTAGTTCTGACGAGATATGCACATGTCATTTAATTACTTTGTCTATCGATGTATACACATATACAGTCTAGCTGGTGGATATTGTCGGTTACAGTAATTGTCAGGTCAAATATGAATAAACCATAATAAGAGGAAAAGATACTGCTAGGTTTAATTTATAGCTTTAATTAATAGAATCATATAGTGTTTTGAAATTCCTATTTATTTTTTCCTACACTTATTCTTGATGTATGAAATAATTTGAAGTTGTGCTTATTAAATATGGATGTTGCTGTAAAATAAACCTTTTTTTTGAAATTCAGGACCTTTGAATTTTCCCATTTCATGTATGCTTAAACATTAAAAAGTACTGGAATGACACGTTATGATCTTATCCATTGCCACATTCATGTAAGCATCCATAAAAAACATATAAAATTATTCAAATCATTCATTTCCAAGCTATAATATGTCTTTGTGATACTATTGATAAACAGTAACTTTACTTTATTTAGAAAACAACATTAAACTAATCAGAATGCTAATGCTTAGCCTACTACTTCCATAGAAATAGTAGTTGCCCAGACATGACCACGAGGAGGTGATTAGCAATCCATATCCAAAATGCCTACCACGAAAGTAGACCTAATGCCACCCACGAAAGATGACCAAAAAAAAAAAGAAAATGCCTACCACGAAAGTAGACCTAATGCCACCCACGAAAGATGACCAAAAAGAAAGAAAGAAAAAACGCTTGGTCACGACAAGAATTTTTAAAAAAAATTAATTGAATGACGTCATCACTTATTTGGAGTTATGCTCAAAAAGTCGTATCAATTCTTGATTTTCTATAAAAACGTTTTCTCTTCATGTGCTTGTAGTACGATTAAACATTTTTTTATTATTTTTATAAATTAAAATTTATAAAGCGACCTATGGACACATAATATCTTTATTATATTGGATTGCCCAGGTCAGTTCAAATTATGTGAAAAAAAAAGTACCTAAAAACCCTCTTTACGGGACAAGAGGTAAAAAAGGTAAAGGAAAGGAAGAAGAAGAGAAGGTGTGAAAGAAAGGGGGGAATATTGCTAACAAGTTTAAAGGGACAACCAGTCGAATCATTTCCTGCCTGGATCACGATGTGGAGGGGGTAGTTTATCGTGCATTAAGTAATCCATTTCCTGTAGAATGGTACACATAACTGGCCAGCGATAGAACCAAGCAGAAACATCCTGAGAATTTCGGTGCTTATGCTGAGGGAGATGATTTAAAAGAAAGGAAAAGGGGATCTGCAATTGATCGTGGCAAGAATAAACGAGTGTGCATGTGCAAGCATTCAGTAGCATGTGACTGACTAAAGTGTACATAAGGATGATATGGGTAAGCTTTAGGTATTCCCCTCGGGCAGCCAACCAAGATGCCACTATGTGTCATGAGTAACCAAAGTATCGGGTCAATAATCAGATTGGGGCGGCAAGCGGAAAGCAAAACAGAATGTGTCCCGTCAAGTAGTTGTTGAAAACTCTTTTCAAGAAATTCTTGATGATGTTTCTGAAAGGAGCGTTGGTTGGGAGGAATGGAGTTGGCGGCACAGAGTCTCCAGCATGGTGTTTGAATGAGTTTATACCATTGAGTGTTGAAAGCGGAGGCGTGAAGTTCGGGAAGTAATTTAGCGAGCAAGGTATCATCCGGTAAGTCAATAGCACGGAAAACGAATTGGGCCTGCAGAATGGACACCCTAACCTTCATTGATGGTTAGTTTACCATATGAAGCATCACCTTTACTGACGATCGACTAGAGCCACCAAATATCCGTCTTATGCATGTGTTTTGACAAGATTCTAGTTGTTGGATATCCTTTGCACTGAGTAGACTAATAGCTAGACCATATTCGAGCTGTGGTCGGACTATCTGCGTGTAGAAGCGAGTAGCGAGTAAACGATCAAATCCCTTGGGGTTCACCCCAATAGAAGCCATTTGGTTCATTGTTTGTAAGGCTTTGTTAGTATTATTTTGTACGAGTTGAGTTGTATCTAAGAATACTCCTGTCTTGATAGGGATACCAAGATAAGAAAAACATTTTCGGGTTAGAATGGGGTTATCATATAAAGTGTATGGCTGCTGATTATCAGAAGGATCAAGTATTACACATTTACTAAGATTCCAGCGGTAGCCTAATAAATTACTGTTTTCTTCACATAACGATAATAAAGAGCGCAACTTTTCAGGTGCCATGATGAGGACAACATCGTCAGCATACAACAAGCAATTAATCGATCGTACAAATTGAAGTGGTTGATCACGTATATTTGTTGGAATTGGTGATAGACGTAGAATATTAGGAAGATTGTTTATGTATATTGAGTACAAAAATGGAGAAAGAATTGAGCCTTAAAGAACACCAGTTCCCGTGGAAAACCAAATTCAGAAAATTCTGTCTGATTTAAAAAAGGAGGGAAATAGCAGCAGTGTATTACAATTTTGGATGAGATTATAACGGAAAGAGTATGCTTAGTTAATAGAGGATGATCATGAGGAATATGATGTATAGGTAGGTTAAAAATAGGATTGATTAGGAGGGCTATTCCCATCTGTCGTCTATATGTATTAGGAGAGTTGAGTGGAAGACCATATGCGTGAAATTGTTTCCATTTAGTAGGATATCGATTAGGTGGTAGTAACCATGTTTCTGTAATAAATAGAAGAGAGGAAGTTTGAGCAATTTGTAGAATAGGTGTTATAGCCTGCTTAGGCAGGCCAGTGGCATTAAATAATGATATCTGTAATTTAGAACTCATTGTTGAATATAGTTGTTGAGGGCGTCAGTTTCGTTGTCAAATTCCATAGTGAAGTCGTCGTTAGCTGTTTCAGGTTCATTCGTATCGGCTCTATGGAATATATCAGCAGGTTGAGGGAATCGATTCTGGTTAATATTGTCAATAGTTTCTTTGGAGATCCAACGTTTGTCGTAGAAAAATTTTGCTACGGCATACTTTACGGGTTCTCTGATATGATGTACAGCTTTTTCTAATCGTTGCTGTTGGAGGATTGCGGCTTGAGTGTTGCGTTCCTCATCGGTGTGGTCGGTGTATTTGGGGTCCTTGAGTATAGAACCATCCCAGGGGTTGAAAAGGTCGTTAGTAGTAATTTTGAATTTATGTAAGAGTTCTTTGAATTCAGTGGCATAGTCATTGTGAACTAGTAAGGCTGCAATATTTCTATCAGGGTAGTGGATATCTAAAATTCGTGCATTATTCACTCCGAGTTTTTTGAGAGTTGTTCGGAGCTTACCAATTGGGATTCGTGCTTTGGTAGGGATGTACAAGTATTGAAATCCCTGATTAGCTGAAGGGGGTTGAAAGAAACGGGCAGCTGTTTCTTGTTTTTGAAGCCGATGTTTTTGTTGGGATTGATGAAGTGAATGCTTCATCCTGGCTACCATCTCAGGGTCATGCCAAGGTGTATTTACGGTCTCAGTAGGTTGTTGTGAATCTGGAAGGTTAGGGTGCAATGTAACAGGAGTAGGAGTTATAGTCGCCTGTGATTGTGTATTAATCTGTTCAGTTAAGAGTTTAATTTGTTTACGTGCTTCAGCTAATTCCAAAGTCAAGTTTTGAATCATAGTAAACATCTGTTCCATTGTTAAAGATGGCGTTTGATGAGTTTGGCTATTTGAGGAATCCTGAGATGACAAGGTTAATTCAGGAATGGAAAGAGAGGTTGTGTTTATGTTTTTGTTGGAAACAGATGGTGAGTCTGTAGAATTAGACATAGTTTGTGACAAAGTAAGACGCATTTCATACGCATTAATCGTCTTGTTGCAGGAGGTGCATTTAAATTGAGGTTGTGTCGAGTCGTGAGGACTGGCACCCTTGCGATGAAATGTTGTGATGGCGTGGCAGTTTGGACAGGGAATACGTTCACGCATAACTGAAAAAGTTGCCTGAAGTTCCTCCACTTGCGCTAATGATAAGGCTGGTGGACGGACTTTATTGTAAAGCCCTCTAGTTGCTGGCATGAACTAAAGTAAATGTCGAAATGGTGAGATGCATAGAATGAAAGGAAGTTAATGTGTTGTTTATGCTGTACTGTTGCGCTTTCAAAATATAGTAATAAATTGGGAAGCGGAAGAAAAGCTTAATCGTACTACAAGCACATGAAGAGAAAACGTTTTTATAGAAAATCAAGAATTGATACGACTTTTTGAGCATAACTCCAAATAAGTGATGACGTCATTCAATTAATTTTTTTTAAAAATTCTTGTCGTGACCAAGCGTTTTTTCTTTCTTTCTTTTTGGTCATCTTTCGTGGGTGGCATTAGGTCTACTTTCGTGGTAGGCATTTTCTTTTTTTTTTTGGTCATCTTTCGTGGGTGGCATTAGGTCTACTTTCGTGGTAGGCATTTTGGATATGGATTGCTAATCACCTCCTCGTGGTCATGTCTGGGCAACTACTATTTCTATGGAAGTAGTAGGCTAAGCATTAGCATTCTGATTAGTTTAATGTTGTTTTCTAAATAAAGTAAAGTTACTGTTTATCAATAGTATCACAAAGACATATTATAGCTTGGAAATGAATGATTTGAATAATTTTATATGTTTTTTATGGATGCTTACATGAATGTGGCAATGGATAAGATCATAACGTGTCATTCCAGTACTTTTTAATGTTTAAGCATACATGAAATGGGAAAATTCAAAGGTCCTGAATTTCAAAAAAAAAGGTTTATTTTACAGCAACATCCATATTTAATAAGCACAACTTCAAATTATTTCATACATCAAGAATAAGTGTAGGAAAAAATAAATAGGAATTTCAAAACACTATATGATTCTATTAATTAAAGCTATAAATTAAACCTAGCAGTATCTTTTCCTCTTATTATGCTTTAGTGAAAGTCTATAATAATCTATGCTTTTACTAAATACGAGTATTGTACTTTTATTCCTTTTCAAAGTAGATTATTATTATCTATCGCCCATCATTCTTCTTTATAATATATCTTTTTAAATAACTACTTTGCCTTTAGATTACCACAACATCTTTTCTTTTCCTTCCTTCCTTCCTTCCATCTCATTCATCCTTCTAACATTGATTAATTGTCTAAAATAATAAAAGCCTTAGCTATAATTTCAGTCAGTTGAAGCTGTTAGGGAGAAGGGATGAAATAATAATAAAACTAATAAATATAAAAAAGAAGAAGAAAAAATGTGTCCTATTTATTAATAATTTATGACTATGATTATGATTATTGCTTTTCTTCCAAGCCCTGAAAAATACGAGCTCTTGCTTCTTCATAAGCTGTTTTTCTTTCTTCATAGGTCAAAATTTTTCTATCTGCCTTTGGTTGATCATCACTATTTGAACTACGAGAAGCTGGGCTGCTTGATTCTGCTGAACGACGCATAATTTTAAATTGTGGAGGAGCGTCAGTCAAGTTGTTGTTATTATTATTATTACTATTGTTACTTATGTCTTCATTAATACTTGATTCTATATTTTCATTTTTATTATAGTTTTCTAATTGTATGTCAGGTAATCGAATAGATGGTCTAATTTATACATTAACTATTAGGTTTTTTTTTTTTTGTTCATGTTTGTCATCTCATTCTTAACTTACAATTCTGTTTGATATGTTTTGCAAACGTAGACACCTTTTAGCATAGGGTTATGGTAATGATTTAATTTATAATAAGGAGCTAAACGATGTACCATTAATCTCTGGTATGAATTCATGTTGGGTAAATCAAGTCGAAATCTCCTATAGAATAAATGTAAATATTGAAATACAAGTCATATACATATATATATCTAGAATGCTTACTTTTCATCTTTAATAAATGCTTCTAATTCCAATTCTAATTTCAATAAAAATAGTCTTTCTTGAGGCTTTTTTAATAAATCAATAATGAATTCATCTGGTTCAGTTTGAATAACAGTATCATTAAGCTGTTGTAATATAGGTTGATGAAATGGTTGATGTGGCTGTTGATATGCTGAAGTGTTAATATATGATGGCTGGGGTTGTTGAGGATAGTAAAGAGAAGGATTAACGTTAAATTTAGTACCATAATTAGTATTATACAATTGATTATTGTTATATTGAAAATATGCGTTATTATTGTATTGAGATAAATAAGGTTGTTGTTCAACAGGAACATCTAACATGCGATAATGTTGTTGTTGCTGTTGTTGTTGGAATACATCTTGTTGAATTTGGGATTGTTGTTGTTGTTGCTGATCATCTTGATTATCCATGTTATAAAATGGTATAGTAATTGACTAACAATAAATATTTAATTGACATCATGTTCTCTTAGAAAAATAAAGTTAAATAAATTACCATTAAATTAGTTTGCTTGCTTGTTTCTTTTATTTAATAATATTAAAGCTCTTTATTTGAGACTAAATAAATTAAGCTGTAATAATAAAATAAAAAAGAAGAGAAGAGGGTGAAAAAAAAAATAAGGGAAAATGAATAATTCCTAATAAAATTTATAATAGTATTGATAAGCCACTTTTATTGGTTATATAAATAATAGTAGTATAAATCTATCTCTTGTACAAGTTTATAGCATACTATTTATTTTATTGAATATGAAGACCATTTATCCATAGTTTCGAGGAAAGAGAAACAAAAATATAAGTAATGTCTATTTAAGCTTATTACAAGAGGAAGGAACTTTATTCCTAGTAAAAGACAAGAAGTTATTATATAGTGTAAATAGATTCTAATAAAGTAATACTTTAAAAAAGATATACAAGTTACCATTAAATAATACACGCGTAAAATGACTGTATTTAAGTATGTGTATATGTATAATATGTCCATTAAACATACTACAAATATATAAAATAGCTGCTACAATATGAAGTCATTTTTTTTTTTTTTGGCTTGTTTATCATGTAAGTCGGACTTGTATTATTCTTGTTGTTGTATTCACCTCCCTCTTAAACTTGGTTTTTTTTTTTCTATCTATCTATCTATCTATCCTTCTTTCTTTTTTTCTTTCTTTCTTTCTTACCTTTGATTGTTTTAAAATATGGCAGACGAAGAAGTTCAAGATAAGCCCATAAAGAGATGGGTTCCTCTTGAGGCTAATCCTGAAGTAAGCTTATAATGTGCATGTCACAATTATTATTTGAACGTTCTAATTAATTCCCATTTCTGCATAAAATAAAAGATTTGGAATAAGGTAAATAAACTTATTTTACTCTCCTTAAGTATTATACGCCATAATGTATATGAATGCATATATATATATAGATTATTCATAAATGTGGTGTTGATTCATCATACAACTATGTTGATGTTTATGGTAAATTGTATATGTTTATGCTTTATTGAAGTTTAACGTGAAGATATTAGGATTTGAGCCTGAATTATTGGCCATGATTCCTACACCTGTTGAGGCTATGATATTTTTATTTCCTATTACAGAAGCATATGAAAAGTTTAAGAGCGAAGAAGAAGCTCATATTATTAAATGTGAACAAAGTATCAGTCCTGATGTTATTTTTTTTAAACAAACGATTGAGAATGCGTGTGGTATGATTGCCTTATTGCATTCTGTTGCCAGTAATGATGATGAAATTGTTGGTAATACTTTACAAGTGTTTGTTGTTTTATTGATAACTATTTAACTGATTGATTGATTGAATACATATATATGTGTGTGTACATATTTGTGTCTTTTATATACATATATCTAATTATAGGTCCAGGCCTGTTTTATGACATTATTGAACAAGCAAAGAATATGACTGTTGATGAGCGTGTAGAACTTTTAGAGAATTCAAAGGAATTAGCAAATATACATCAATCTGCTGCTAATGAAGGTCAAACAGAGGTAGTTAAGAAGATTGTTTTAAAGTAGAAATAGACACAAAATAGTTAATTTTTTTTTTAAAAAAAAGGCGCCTGATAGGGATGAAGAAGTTGACCTTCATTTCATTTGTTTTATTGAAATTGATCAGCATCTTTATGAATTGGATGGTAGAAAGCTATTTCCTATTAACCATGGAAAATGTACTAATTTTGTTGAGGTTTGTTTGTTTGAAAAAAAAAAACTCCTCTTTTTACCTTTTATATAACACATTCATTATAGAGCTCGGTTAAAGTTATGAAGCAATATATCGCAAGAGATCCTGAACAAACTAATTTCAGTGCAATGGCTTTATGTAAAACAGAGGAATAAAATATTAAATAGGATGGGAGGACCTTGTAATTAGTTACAAGAATGTTATATAATTCATTTTATCTTTACCATCAAGTTGGCAGAATTGTATTTTCCTTAATAAACAGATATTTATCATGTAATTGATTTATTCAAAGTATGCTATTGAATCTACTTCAATTACTTTTTTAAACAAATATGTGCGTGTTCTCTTTATTTATAGCGAATATAAATTACGCTTTGTTAAGACAAGTTGTGATGTTTTCCATTCAAACCTGACTGTAACTAACTAATTCGATCTCATATATTTATATAAACTGAAATATGTAACCACCTAACGAATGCACTTTATATAATTAAGGAGAAAGGAGCTTCATATTACTTTAAAAAGATTTGAACTATACTGCAGATAAAACTATATACATATAAATATATACCGTAGATTATGTAATAGCAGATAAAAATGACAATATACACAATGAGCAGATAATAGACGTAATTGGGTGAAATATAGTATTATAAGCAATAAAAATAATTTATATATTTAACTTTTATTAACACTCAACACACTTGTAAGGAACTTTAACCTGAAATAAGCAAAATGCATTGTATCTGCAAAACAATTAGAATGATATGAAGACTCAAGTAAAGGTGTTGTAATCAATTTGTTATTACTCTATAGATCTGTTTGTATTTACACCTTTTGCCAAAACGATGTCGCGCTTTTTTCTTAAAAAAAAAAAAAAAAAAAAAAAAAAAAAAAAAAAAAAAAGATGTCGTACTGTACAGTGCTCACGGCTGTCTTAAATGAAGCTCAATAAGACTTATGGCTAAACAGTGAAAATTATGGATGATTGTAAAATATCTTTATCATCAATACAAATTTTATAAAGTCGATATAGAAAAAAGTGAGCTTTTTAATATTTAATGATTTTGTGAGAAGCTATTAAATATATATTTTAATACTACCCAGCATTATACCATACATATTATCAGAAAAAAGGGCTATTTAATTAGTTTATACTTTGTAAAAAGATTTTATTTAAAGATTACATTTGAAGATTACATTTGTTCAAGTATTCTTAATCGTTTTTGTAAATTAGCAATCCCTTCTGATTTTCTTTTGATTGAATTTCTTATTTTCAACTTTGCCCTTTCAATATCATCGCGCCAATCATCAACCGTTGATTCAGTTGCATTAGCATTAGTAGTGTTAGAAGTTGGTATATTTAAATTACTATAGTTTTGGTTTGTGATAGATGCAGGGTTGCTATTGGTATTGTCAGTGTTATTTGGAGGGTAACGGCACAGAATTCTTGTCGAGGAAACAATTCTTGGTTGCACCTGAAAGGAACTCTAATAAGTGTGTTGATTATGCGCGTTAATATATTCTCATTGATACAAGCTATAAAAAACTTACGTATATAACAGGCTGATTTCCTATTAGATTTGAGTTGACCATTACTGCTTCTAACCTCGGACACACAACCTTTTTTTTTTGAAGACAATAAATATGGTAAAATGTAGAAGCATCGATCTCCGTTGCGAAATGAATGAGTGCAAAGCTACCAAAAATTATATGTTTGTAAAATTTTATGAGATTCACCTTATTGCTTCTTACCCATCAGCTTCCTTTTTGACCACATGAATAGGTTTAATGACAGAGCATTCAATCATATACCTTTTTATAATTTCATTGCTCGTTTCTTTTAGACAACGATCTGACATTTGGACGTGACATTTTCTGTTATTGCAAGTTATGCACATGCAAAAAAGATTCTTTTTTTTTTTTTTTTTTTTACGCATTGAACAGAAAATAAGGATTTTTTTTTTTTCAAGAAAATAAGGATTTTTTTTCAAGAAAATAAACTAAGGGTGATGATGAAATGCCTCAGAATAGGCTGGCTTTTAAAATAAAATTCGCTATCAAATTTTATATTGATAACTCTGTACTTTGTAATAGAGCCTTCAATGATATCTTCCTATTTGGTAACAGAAGCTGTGATACTTATAAGAATAGGCTGTTAGGTATTAATAAAGTAAGTATTGCTCGATTTATTTATTTTAAAGTAAAGTCATATTCTGTAGCTCAGAATTATTTCTTCACTGGTAGTGCGACCCTATATTTATTTTGCAAATCAGCTTATTCTGAGAGGAAATATTTTGCTTTTGTTATTTCTTTGGTTCAAACTTTTTTTTTTTATTTGGTCATCTTTCGTGGAGGACCTTTGGTTTGCTCTTGTGGCAGGCATTTTGGATGTGGATTGCTAACCACCTCCCTGTGGTCACATCTGGACAATCGCTATCTCTATGGTAGTGGGCTAGGTGTTAGCAGTGTCATATTAGCAAAGATCGTACAGGTATAAATGATACAAGCGTGCGACTAAATGAAAAAAAAAATAAATCTACGATTCAACATCTATCGGGTTCTATCCAGTTTAGGAAGCACATTCATAGTAACAAAGATTATTATGGTATATTTCCCCCCTAGGTCGTCGCTCTATTAACAAACAATGTCTTCATTCACTTTCAAAAAGTGTAAATAAAATCTCACAAAATCATTAAATGTTAAAAAGCTCACTTTTTTCTATATCGACTTTATAAAATTTGTATTGATGATAAAGACATTTTACGATCATTCATAATTTTCACTGTTTAACCATAAGTTTTATTGAGCTTCAAAAATCTTTTATTTAAAACAGCCGTGAGCACTGTACAGTACGACATCTTTTTTTTTTTTAAAAAAAAAAAAAAAGCGCAACATTGTTTTGGCAAAAGGTGTATTTCTTCTTGTAATCCTTTTAAAGACAAGCTATTTGAAATAAAAAGCTGTGTGTATAAAAACCAACATATGAATGAGTCTTTCGATCAGAATTCGACTTTTGTTGGGAAAATGTTTCATTTAAGAAAGCTCTAAAATAACAAAACATGACCATTCTAATAAAGTTAGAAACTTGTTATTTATAATCAAATATTCATTTTAGATAAGTAAATTTTTTTTCTGTATTTATTAGTTAAAATAATGTAGGATAGGGTAATAACTCGAATCTAATTAATTATAAAATACAGGTTAATAAAACTTGATTGCTTTATTATCTATATGAAAAGGAAAAAAAAAGGTAGGCTTTATACAGTATCTTGTTTCATGAGTATATCTATATGTATGTATATATGCTCTATCTTTAAGCATAAATATATTGTCAGATATATATATTCTGTTTGTCTACTATTTCTAAAGCTCTTTATAATTCAATGATATGCACTCTGTCAGCTATTTTGTTTTCAAATCAAGAACAAATCAAATAGGAATATAATAAACAAAAAAAAAACACAGTTATAAGAAAGATACCTGTTCGTCATTTAAACTTTTTACTATGATATCTATTCCTTTCCTTTTGATTCAAAATAAAGAGGATTAGAAATAATACTTGTATAACTTTTTTTTTTTAATTTCAAATCATCGTGTATATTTACCGTTGTTGTTTTTTTTTATTTTGATGTACCTTTAAAAAGAAAGGCTTTTTGTATCACAGGTATAGTCATTATAGCATTGAAAGAGAGAGAGAGATTGTGTGTGTGTATTCGCATGTGCATGTAACAATGATTACCTTGTTAAAATGAGATAACAATGGTATTATTCGGGTGGTAGCAGAAGAATCTTATTGAAATGTCTCCGCGTTAATTCTATAAACTATCTTCATGAGTAAAAGAAAAAAAAACCAGTGAAACCGATTTTAACAGATGATATTACCAAGCGAATCATAATAAATAAACCACGCCATATATCAGAAGTTATATGATCAAGCTTCTTCATAACCATTTTATATGACCTAATAAAGTAACTTGATATAATACACTTGAAATCTTCCTTTTTAACAATTCATTATTATTAAAAGGAAGATTGTATATTTATATCCTATAAACTTAAAGACCTTCAAACACAGTACAAAATACGACTCTATCGGTTAGAATCCGACGCTATTGTCTCGACTATAACTTTTATAGTATTTCGTGTTTAAATTTTTTTCTTGTGATCGTTCAAATTTTGCGGGGTCGTTCGACTTTTTTTTTTTTCCCTCCATCATGAATAATGCAAAGTGTTATTGTTTGCTTTGACCGATACATCTTTCCCCATTACCATAAGAATAGATTAAAGGATGTCAAGAGGGACTCATTTCTTATTTTTCGTCTTATTCTTTAAATATAACATATTTTACCATAGCTTCAAGTACAAATTAGGAATTTGAAAAAAAAAAGAAAAAGTAGTCTGATTGTGGTTGTAACTTGGATTTGGCAAAAGGAGACCAGTTTATAAGTTTGATAATTATTACCAGCGTTCTCTGGTTGACAAGGTGTTTGTATTGCCATGTACTAATGCATATTCTTCTCTCTCAGAAAGAGATTTGATAAATCAAAATGAATTGTTTAATCAGCAAGAAAACATTTATGGAATTATGAAAGGTAAACTAATAACAACTATTTGATTTATTTTCATTTTAAACCAACGTGTTTATTTTAATGTTAATAATGCTTATCTTGTTTTATTTCAACCAATAATGTTGCTGATTTAAAACAATTTCTCAGTTAATAAGAAACAAAAAAAAAATGAATATCAATGCAATGCCTAACAAACTTTCCCCTCCCACCCCTCCCCCAATTATTTAGGAACAATAAGAGCATAAAGAAAACAAAATAACTTCAAAACATTAGAAAGAGATCAGCTGTTAAATAATGAAGAAGTGACCAAGTTATTTGTTGATCGAAACCCATGCAAACAAAGATCAAAAGAATAGCCTTGTTTTATTTAATGTGTTTATTATATTAACTTCTTACAAAAAAAAAGAGAGTGAAAGCTAAGAGGACATACTTTCTAAATTGGCTTTCATTTATTTCAATATGTCTTTTCTGCAAAATTTGTTCCTGGAAGATTATGTGTGTGTATGTGTCTTATAGTTTAAAGATTCAGAATCTATTCGTACATACACTAGTAAATAAAATAAGCTTTAATAAATCTTTATTGAAACAAATGCTGATATCTTTAAAAGTCCCGCTCTATTCAACTGAGTGTATTTTTCAGCAAAAAAAAAAAAAAAAAAAAAAAAAAAAAAAAAAAAAAATTGTGTAGCTTGCTCACAAATGTAAATTATAAACAAAGGTTCAATTGTGCTGTTGAAAGCATGTACCAGTCCTTTTTTCTTATAGACTGTAGACTTTGAACAGGTCGATTCTCTCTCTCTCCCTTTTTTAATTACCAATTTAGGTTAAAATATTTTTCATTGGAACTAAAACCTTGTTTATTATTATTATTATTATTATTATTCAGCTTCTTCTATCTGCCTTTATAAACAGGTAGGAGTTGCCTAACATTTTTTTTTCCCGCAAAATATTATCCCCCATAAAAAAAAAAGAGGAGATGTATTACAATTCTGTAATTTTACGTTTTTGGAATCAAAAAAAAAAAATTAACGGATCATTTTAATATTCAGATCGACATCTTAACTGTTATTGGTTTTATAGTAGGTAAAGGATGCACAAGAAAAAGGCTCTTATCAGATGGTGACTAATAGTTACGATGAAGAATAACATATTTTCATCTTAAAAAAAAAGGGGTAAGAAAGAGAAAAGAAAAAGAAACATGCGATGTACCTTATTTTTAACTTCATTACTGCTTTTCTTAAGAATGAAAAAAAAAAAAATAGACTGAGATTTACATGTTCTACAAAAAAAAAAAAAAAAAAAAAAAAATTGTTTCATTATATTTTATTTCATCTGAAGATAATTTGTCATTGTATTATTCACTGATAATGGAATCTTCTTTATTTTCTTATTTGGGTATGATTTATTCGTGTATCCCAATTGTAATCGGACATTTTTTTAGTCTAATTCGCGTCATTACAATGTAGATTTTATAGTAAGTTTTAATCTATTTTAATACATTGTTATGAATTTGTTATTAGAAGGACTTCATTTTAAGGACGAACAAAAAAAAAAGATAAAAAAGGAGAAAATGATGTTAGTAATGCAATTGCAAAGGTATAGATGTACACAAAGTTAGTTTATGTTTACAAATGATAAACAGACCTTAACGGATCTTTAAATTAAAAAAAAAATCTGATAATATTTTTTAGTTAAAATCAGATACCGATTATATTGTTGTACAGCTTCGGAATTAAACAAAGTGGAGTACCCATGTTACCGGTTAATCAATAATGATCTTGGGGTGCAACAAAAAAAAAAAGGATCTTCAAAACAATTATATATAAAAAGGGTCTTTGGATTGTCAATTTTTCATATATCCACACACATTTACGTTTATTTTATCAATTTTTAAAGATGCGTTTCTCTATTATTGCACTTGCATTTTTATTCACTATTTTAAGTATTGTTCGCGCAGAGGTGGCTATGAGCTATCCCTCTACTCAATTGGTAAAGAATAGATAGATTGTTTTTTAATGCTTTGTATAGATTTAAATATTTTCAAAGTATTAACCCTAATATTATAATATCCCTTCTTTTAGTTAACCGGTGATAATATTGAAGAAGAACTAACTCGTCGAATTACTTTTATGCGACGTACTGATGAAGAAAATGGACACACAAAAGCATCTGGTAGTCAATCTGAAAATGCTAGTTCCCCAACTGTTAGTTCAGGAAATGATGGTGATCATGCTACTGGTAGCAAAAAAGAAAAAGAAACTCATTCCTCTCCAGCTAATGAACCAGCAGCTAAAAAGACAACTACTACTGCCAAAAATAATAAGAATGGTAGTTTCAATAGCCCTACTATCTTGCAAGGTGGTACCTTCTTTTACATTGCCATTAGTGTTACTACTTTCCTTTGGATTACTGGTAAAGCCATTGATATCCAAATGAATCGTCAAGAGCGTTATGCTGAAAAAATAGCCAATAGTATCTAAATCTTTCCTATTTGACATATCCATCATACATATCTATAACATGCATACATACACTTATTACTTTCCCTCCCTCTTATATATATATATATACCTTTAGAAGAGCGAACTATATTATTCATTTCCCTCAAAGATAACAAACAAACTTGTATTGACTTCAAATTATCCCAATTTTATTATTATCTCTAATGTACGCATATTCCCTAACTCTATCAGTCTCGCTTTACTCCACTTTTCTATATATATTTATTATACACATTATTGATTATTAACTGTATAATTTCTTATTTTCTATCATATCAATCAAAAATAAATAAACGCTGTAATATAAAATCAAATGTCTTTCTAATTAATTCAGTTAATATTATAATTTATATACATTTAAGCCATAAAGTTCCTTTTATCTACTTTATGCAAGACTTTTATTATTTGTAATTAGTTTAATGCCACCCCCTCCCCCTTTTTAGTAATAATATATGTAATAAATATACTAATAGAGTAAATAAAACACATTTATTCCCTTATGATATCAATAGTAAATGACTACAAAAAAAAAAAAAAAAAAAAAAAAAAAAAAAAAAATACATGGAAAAATGCATGTATTTAACCAGCTGAATAGAAAAAGAAAATTGGATTTATACTTGTAGCAAATATAGAAATTATTAAAAATAATTCTTCAGTCAGATAACCCCACAATTTTTGATTGGCAAAAATTGATTATTTTATTTTATTTTATTCCATTGTATTTCATTGCGTTTCATTGCATTTTATTTTATTTATTTACTTTTTTAATTTTATTTAGTTGATTTTTTTTTTTCATTTAGAACCGAGAGTCATCATCATCATTCTTAACATTGAACTTTATTATACATCATGGCACTGTTGTCATTGACACAGATTGCACATCAGTTACGAAATGCTTTACTTAATAAAGCCAATATAAGGAAATCTTCTACAGATAGTAATAAGAAATCAGTTGTACTTTATCCTCGTCTTATAAAATCGGGTCATGATGCCATAGTTGTAACAGCAACAACAACAACAACAACAGCAAATGGCTTAAATATTCCAGTTACATCCTATTATATACCTCCTCGAGCACCTATTGTTTTATGTCATGGTCTTTATGGATTTGATAAACTTGGACCTGATGCCTTCCCTTTATTGCAAATACATTATTGGGGAGGAATAGAGAATGCATTAGCCAAACTAGGTGCAAAAGTGATTGTGACAAAGGTGCCATCTACAGGAAGTATTTGGCTTCGAGCGTATACTTTACATCAAATTTTAAAGTCTATTTTAAAAGAGGACATTAATTTTGTAGCTCATTCAATGGTATATTGTAAATAAATAAATTAAATATACATACATACCATACCATACCATACAAATATGTATATTTATATGAATAATAGATCTATTTATGGATACATAGACTTATACATTAAAGTCATAAAATAGGGTGGTTTAGACTGTCGATATTTAATTACACACATGTTAGATCGACCTTATAAAATTAAATCTTTAACAACCATTTCGACTCCTCACCGAGGTTCTCCTGTAATGGATTGGTTTAGAGATCATATTGGTGTAGGCACCATGACGAGTGATGCAGCTTTAGTAGCAGCTGGATTGACCAGTAAGAATAAAAACAAATTTTTAAATCAATTCATTCGACTGGTAGATACAGAGGCTTATGCTAACTTGAGTACAGATTATTGTAAGCATCATTTTAATCCTCACACCCCGAATGATCCAAAGGTTGCTTATTATTCTTATGGTGCCAATGCTTCTTTCCCTCCTTGGTCCTTACTCAATCTACCTTCAAAATGGATCAGAGAAAAGGAAGGTGAAAATGATGGTCTTGTTAGTGTAGAAAGTGCAAAATGGGGACACTATATCAAGACCTTGGACGCTGATCATTGGGATCTAAATGGTCAAAGGTATATTCTATATATTTATTATACTTGGATTGTATTATGTAATACTCATACTAGTTAGTAAAAAAAAGATATAGATGGAGACATACTCGCAGTAATTTCTTTTCGAATAATACTAATAGATTCAATACTATCGATTTCTACATGGAACTAGCCACTCGTCTATATCAAGAAGGACACTAATAAATAACTGAGTTATAATTTATGTAGTAACCCCAACCCCTCCCCTCCCCTCTTTCATAATATAATAATAATAATATAATATATTATATTATATTAATAAAACTAAAACTTCTATAGCCCTTTACTCTCTTTTATATTTATTTATTTATCTACTTATTTATTTATTTTTATTTGAATTCCACATTAAGCATGTCTTTACATTTTAAAAAAAAGAATGGTAAAGAAAGACAAGACACAATTTCACAAAGTACACCTCAGACATTTGAAGATGCTGAATACAACAAAGTCCTTGAAGGAATTAAACGAATCTATAAACATAAAATAAAACCTTTAGAAGTTACATATAATTTTGAAGGTATATACTAATAAACAAACAATTTGATTTTATATGTCTGAAACAATTCTCTTTGATAAATACTTGATTTAGGTTTTCATTCAGCTCCTTTAACTGACTCAGATATTGAGGCAAAACCAATCGTGCTTCTTATTGGTCAATATTCTACAGTAAAACACAATGTCATTCATATTAGGTCTATTGCATACTCAAACAGTATTATTATTTTAGGGTAAAACAACTTTTATTCGTTTCTTATTAGATAAAGCCTATCCTGGTGAACATATCGGTGTTGAACCAACAACAGATCGATTTGTTTCGGTCATGTATGGAGCAGAGGAACGTGTTATTCCAGGAAATGCTGCTGCTGTCAATCAAGACTTACCCTTTCAAGGTCTTAATCGATTTGGTCAAGCCTTCTTATCACGATTTCAGGTATAATACATTATATTTCCTCAAGGAAGGAAAACAACAATAACAACAATATCAACAACAACAACTTAAAAAAAAAAACTTATGCGCTACTCTAGGTCTCTCAAACAAACTCAAATGTATTAGAAAATATGACGATTATTGACACACCAGGAATTTTAGCAGGGGATAAACAGTTGGTTGAGCGAGGATATGATTTTACAAAAGTGATTGAATGGTTCGCAGAGAGATCAGATTTGATTCTTTTAATGTTTGATTCGCACAAGCTAGATATCTCAAATGAATTCAAGTTAGCCATCCATTGTCTTAGAGGACAAGAAGAAAAAGTCCGGGTGGTGCTTAATAAGAGTGACATGGTAAGTCAACAACAACTCATGCGTGTTTATGGTGCGATGATGTGGTCCCTTGGTAAAGTCGTGCAGACACCTGAAGTGATGCGTGTCTATTTAAGTTCCTTTTGGACTGAGAAACCCCCCAACTGTTTTGAGGATTGTCGTGACCTCATTGAGGCGGAATCAAAAGATTTGTTGAAGGATTTAAGAGAACTTAAAAGAAATGCTGCGATCAGAAAGATCAATGAGATTGTAAAACGTGCTCGTTTAGCACGTGTGCATGCCCTCATCATAAGCCATTTTAAGAAAGAAATGCCTGCAATGTTTGGTAAGAAAAAGAAACAAGAAGCACTTTTAAAGAATATTGAAGCTGAATTTGGCAAGATTCAACAAAAATACCATTTACCATCAGGAGATTTTCCTAATCCAGATCGGTTTAGACAAAGTTTAGCCCTTTATGATATGGACAAATTCAAATCATTGAAAGATGACTTGCTGGAAAAAGTAGATGAGGTAGGTATACGCGATGATAATGATAATAGAAACAGGTGTGTGGAGGAGAGGGAGGGAGGGAGGGAGTGAAGAAAGAAAGGAACTAGCTGTATATAATACTATATATCTAGGCTTTATCTAATGATCTTCCTAAACTCATGTCACAATTTCCAACTATAAATCCAGAGTTAACTCAGAGTGAAAGAAATCCGTTCCAAGCAGAGATGATACCTGGAACAGGCGAATTCCCACCTTCTTACTGGGACTTTGATTCTATCGATAAAAATGTTTATTTACCTCGATTTCAATCCTTAGGTCCTCGTCATGGTAAAGTAGCTGGTGCTGATGTGAAGCCTGTGTTGATGGAAAGTCGATTGCCCAACGATCAACTAGCACATATCTGGCGACTAGCTGATTTTGATAACGATGGGTACATGGATATTGATGAATTTTCTATTGCCATGCATTTGATACAAGCAGCTCGAAATGGGGCCACTCAGTTACCTGAAAGATTACCTCCTACTTTAATGCCAAAAAGGAAGTTTTGATAAAATATTCAAGGGAATTGCTTTTTTTCTTCTTCTTCCTTTTTTGTTGTTATTGTTGAATTATATAATAGATTAGGATAATAGGTTTCACGTATATTTTATAAATCGTTGATCAAAGTAATAATTTTAAATTTAGTTACTCATTGAAATGTCGAGCTTTTTTCATTTTATTTTTTTTTTTCTTCATAATAGCAATAGCAGGTACATGTCAAAAACATGAACCTTGTCATGGCTGCAAATTTGCATAAGATAATAATGACAACACATAATATAATGTAGTTCATGAAAAATATCAGCTATTATTGATTGATAAATAAAGATTAGTTTTCGAATTCATATAATCCGTGAAATCTGATCATGTATATATTCCTTTTGACAAAAAAAAAATAAGTTAAAATATTAATATTTTAATTCTTTTAATACAAGTGCTATTTGTTAAAAATATACATGTAATATAACTATTATTAATAAGAATTCAAATAAAACAATGACATTAACTTTTTTCAATAAAAGAAGAAAAAAGAAAAAAGTTCGAGACGCCGAAAAAAATAAAGTAAAATAAAATATAAACCCTGCAATTTATTATAGTAATTTTTTCTTTTTTTTATTACTAGTTCTTTTTTTTTTTTACCATTTTCCTTTATAACTCATTAGCTGTTCAATGTCTACATAATGAGCATTGTAACAAAAGCAGTGAGGCTAAATAAGAAATTATTATTCTATAGAGCAAATAGATTATATACAACACAACAAGTTACAAGACAAAAGAAGAAATATTTGTATTTAGGAGGTACAACAGCAGCTGTATGTTCAGTTGCAGGGTTTCAATGGTATGAATCTGACTATCAACATCGAGTACGACATTTTGCTATAGCCATGCAACGCATCAGTATAGCGACTAAAGTGGGTATTAACGTTGCTCTCGACTATAAAAGGACACAAATGAAAAAATATGAAACAGAAGAAAAACGACTAGAAGCTAGGCAACAATGTCATCAACGATGTGCAGAACGAGTTTTAGATGGATTGCAAAGACTTGGAGGCATTTATGTTAAGCTTGGCCAACATGTTTCGGCCATGACATATATTCTACCTTTAGAATGGACAACAACCTTAGCAGTACTACAGGATCGATGTGACCCATCCTCTGCGGAAGACATTCGTCAACTCTTTTTGTCAGATTATGGACAACCCTTAGATGAAGTATTTGATGAATTTGATTGGACGCCTCTTGGTGTAGCATCCCTAGCACAGGTTCATAAAGCCCGGCTACGGCAGAAGCATGAATGGGTAGCTGTCAAATTTCAACATCCGCGTCTCGATGAATTCTCCCAAATTGATCTCACTACTGTGACATTCTTAGTGGATACCATAAAACGTATATTCCCCGACTTTGGTTTTGAATGGATCTTACAGGAAATGAAGGAATCATTACCTCAAGAGATGAATTTTGAACATGAAGCAGACAATAGTTACCGAGTAAAAAAAAATTTTGAATATGAAAGGAAACATCATACTACAGCATTAGTTGTGCCTGATATTGTTTGGGCCAAAAGAAGAATTCTTTGTATGGAATGTAAGTTTATTTTAAATACCTTACCTTTTTATTATTATTTGAATGAATACTTACTTGTTGTGGTGTTTTTTTTTGTGTTGTTATTATAGTTATTGAAGGAGCCCGTATAGATAATATGGAATATATGAAGACGCATGGTATTGATCCATCACAAGTATCGACGGAGATAACACAGGTGTTTTCTAAAATGATGTTCCTTGATGGGTTTGTACATTGTGATCCACATCCAGGCAATATACTGATTCGACCTGCTAAGGATCCTAAATCGAAATTTAAATTTGACCTTGTTCTATTAGATCATGGTCTCTATCGTACATTAACTGATGAGCTTCGTACAGACTATGCACATTTATGGACATCTTTGATTCGTGGAGATGAAGAGGGTATTCGTAAATACTCATTACGTGTTGGTTGTCGTCCTGAATCTCATCGTTTATTTGCATCTCTTTTGACTGGACGTGAATGGTCTACGATCGAAGCAGCTGATCTCTCTTCAGATCGTACAATTACTGAGGTCAAGCGTGTCTCTGGACGTGCAAAGAATTTTGTTACACGTATTTATGATATTCTAGAAACATTACCGCGGATTGTATTATTATTGTTAAAGACATGTGATCTCTTGAGAGGACTTGATGAGACATTAAGGCAGTCTGGAGATAAATATATGACCTATGCTTTGATGGGTAAATTTTGTGCAGAAGCTGTTTGGTTAGATGCTAAATCACACCTCTTGAGCCGTATACGAGAATCAAGCCAGTTTATGAATAGCCTACAATTAATTAAAAGTTTAATCGTATCTTGGTGGGAATATCAAAGCCTAGAATATGGTTTATGGTTCTATCGATTACAAGCAAATGCTCGTACTCAATGGTCTTTGATATGGCATCGTAGTATATTTGAAGAAGAAAAACGAAAATATAAGCATAAGCCAACAGATATTGCAGCCTTGATAGCGCCTTTAAAATAAGAATAGAACTTTGTATAGTATACCTCTTTTTTTTTTGTTATATTTTGTTATATTTTGTTTGTTTTTGATACAAAGAAAAAGTTAATATACGATGGATAGTATTTGTGTAAAATGTTAAATAGACCAATGGTATCAATATCTAAACTATATATCTTTATATTATGCTTAGTATATAGGAAAGTGAATTGATATATGCTATATTCCATTAAGCTAGCATCCTATTTCCTTTTTGTTGACCTAATAATTAAGCTTGTTCATATAAGTATAATAATAATAACCAGAGAATTTTTTTTATTTATTATTAACAGAGTGTTAACCTATGGAGTTTAGCGAAATACAGCAATAGATATTCTTGTATAAAATTGAAATTCATAGGAATATTTTGAAAAGCTATTATAAACACTTTTGTAAGGAGAAGAAAAAAAAAAGGAATGTATTGGATTTTAAGAAAGATTGTTTTAAAACATTGACCTCTTTTTTTTTTTTTTTCTAAAGTAAAGCATATATTCTAATAAGGTTTAGAATAGGTTAACCCAACATGAACTGTATTCTGGGGGGGGGAGATTACTGGAATACTAACTTTCGATCATGCACAATTTATCAGTTGAGAAAAATGAAAGCGAGTCTTGTTAACAAAAATATGCATACACATACACACACACACACACACACACACACATGTATATATATCTGTCTATTTTGGAGATTAATTCCTGTTGATTTCCCATAACCGAGGATATCAAAAGGTAGTTCAAGTATTTGTGTCCAAAAAAAAAAAAAAAAAAAAAAAAAAAAAAAAAAAAACTATAAAAGCAGCCGTTTTGCATTTATATTTCTGATTAAATTGTACTAATAAAATGATTACAGGTGAACACATTTTCGGAAATAATTTTAAAGACAAAGTTGCAGTAATTACAGGTGGTAGTCGTGGTATTGGTAAGGCTGTTGCAGATGCTTTAATTAAAAGAGGCGCCAAAGTTGTTATTGGTGATATCCTTGAAGCGGAAGGTCAAGTACTTGTGAATACCTATAATGAGTTGTAAAGAATAAAAAAAGAAAAAGAATAGTATTAATTACTAGACTCATATGGTTTATAATAGAGCTAACGAAAAAGTGGCTATATTTATCCGTACAGACGTAACAAAGTATGCAGACAATCAAGCTCTTTTTAAGTTAGCTGAACATGAATTTGGAGGTGTTGATGTAAAGTTATTCTTTAAACATATACTTTAAAATGATATTTATTATGTTGCTTATTCATAGCTTGCTTTACTGAATGCTGGTATTGGTTCCAATGCTAACTCTACTTTTTCACCAATGGATGGTAAATAATGATACTCTTAAAAATAGGATTTTTTTTTAATTGATTCAAATTAATTTTATAGACCAGTTAGATGAGAGGATTATTGACATTAATACAACAGCTGTTATTAAAGGGACTAAAGTCGCAGTCTTACATATGGCTAAAAGAGGTGGTGGCTCTATTGTTCATCTCGCTTCAGTAGCAGGCTTTTATTCTTCTTTGTAATTTAATGCACAGTTTAAAAAAAAATTGAAAGAAAAAAAGAAAATGACAGAATATTTTTTTTTATTGTTGCATTGTAGTGAGTTTGCAAGCTATAATGCATCTAAACATGCAGTTATTGGTTATACTCGTTCATTTGATTTCTTACCACGCATTTGTAATGTTCGCGTGAATGCTTTATGTCCTTATTGGGTTGGTAAGTCAACAACAACAACAACAAAAAAAAGGGGGAGAGGTCCAAATCCAATTAACATAACAAATATTAATTATTTATATAACATGCTTAATAGAAACTGATTTAATCCAGTCTATTACTAATCTAGAGACACCCTTACAAACATATGTTAAACTTTGCCCTAGGACACCTATGCAAACAGTTGTAGATGGTGTTTTAACCTTATTTGCAGATGAATCTATGAATAGTAAGTATATCTTCTTTTACACAACATAATAGTCCTTTTATAAAGTGTATATATTAAATGGGTTTCTACATAAATATAGTCCAGACTTTGATGGCACTTCCAAAGGGTCTTGAGATTATGGAACCTATAAGACCTTTAGGTAAGTTAAGTGAGTTACCAAGGAGGCCTAATACACTAATTGATCAATTTATATGACAGATTTATCTAGTTCTGTTAACAAAGGTTCTGAAATGAAAGCATATGCAGATGAAGTCATTCCTAAACTGAAGGCACAACTTAAAGCTGCTATCACAAAATATAATATTTAATAAATAGCTAATCTTTTCATATTTATCCAATACTAATACATGTTCCCTTCTTGTTACTACTCAATAAAGTAACTAGAAAGCAATTTCTTTGTTTTGAGAGTATTTTAACTATTCTCATTATAGCTTATTTCCTTTAATCTTTTATTATTTTTTATATATAAATTTAGAATAATGCAAATATTTAATCTATTCTATCATCTGCCATGTTTGGCAGTCATTCCTCTTAGAGGATTTTATAAAGACTCCAGAATAATTGTAGTCGTCATCACTTAGTTCATAATAACAGTCTTTTCAATCCTATATTTTGTTCTATTATGTGAATTGTATATGTATTGCTTCGAAATTACATCAAAATTTTTCAGTAGGTACACTGTCTCTAGTTATTATAGACAAAATGAACTATGTTATATAACAAGGAAGTATAGTTTTACATGCTTCTAATTATAATGTAATCAAGCATGTATGCTTCATTAAATAAGGGGTTTTCTTTTAAAAAAAGCATATTTTATTATCTCCGAATCAATCTTTACAGAAGATTTTCACCTGCCAAATTTGGCGAAGATGGATAATCTAATCTTTTTTATTTTATTTGTTTATTTGATTTAAGATACTTGGTATATCCTTTTTCCTCCTACATTTTATTCCAACTCTGCTTTAATAATGATTTTATCTTTCTCATCTAGAATTGCTTATCGTTCACGTATTCAAACTACATTAATACCCTATCAACGTATTATACCCTCTCTTCATCGAAATTATGCAAGTAATTCTTCAGTGACCGATACTCAAAACTTGATAGAAAAAATTGTACAAAAATATGCAGTAGACCTTCCTGAAGGTTATAAAGTTAAAAGTGGTGATTATGTCACCATATGTCCTCATCACGTATTAACCCATGATAATACTGGTGCCGTTATTCCCAAGTAAAAAATAAAATATAATATTATATAACATGCATGCATAGATTAATATTATGTTTGTATGTAGGTTCAAGTCGATTGGTGCTACCAAAATATATAATAATAAGCAACCTGTATATGCCTTGGATCATGATGTCCAAAATAAATCGGAAAAGAATCTCCAAAAGTACGCTAATATTGAAAGTTGGGCTAAACTACATGGTGTTGACTTTTATCCAGCAGGTCGTGGTATTGGACATCAAGTGATGATTGAAGAAGGCTATGCATTTCCTAATACTTTAACAGTGGCTTCTGATTCACATTCCAACATGTATGGTGGGATTGGTGCATTAGGTACACCTATTGTTCGAACAGATGCTGCTGCAATTTGGGCTACAGGACGAACATGGTGGCAAATTCCACCTGTTGTCAAATTAGAATTAACCGGTAAATTACCTCAAGGAGTTACAGGTAAAGATGTGATTATCACACTCTGTGGATTATTCAACAAGGATCAAGTGTTAAATACAGCTATTGAATTTCATGGTTCTCAAGAAGCGCTTTCTAGTATTTCGGTAGAGGATCGTTTGGCTATTGCAAATATGACAACTGAATGGGGAGCTTTAGCAGGTGTCTTTCCTGTAGATCAACTTACAATTGATTACCTTCGCAAACGTCAAAAGCGTATCGAATATGTTTTAAACAAACTTTATCCTGATAGTGAAAAGCGTATACATCCTCGTATTAATGATAATACCATTCAAGCTTTAATTGAGAATCCTATTACACCATCACCTAATGCTAATTATACGAAAATCTTAACTCTTGATCTTTCAACATTATCTCCTCATGTATCTGGTCCTAATAGCGTGAAGGTTGCAACACCTATTGCTGAATTAGAAAGTCAAAATATTAAAATTAATAAAGCATATCTAGTATCTTGTGTTAATTCACGTGCAAGTGATCTAAAGCAAGCCGCTCAAATTCTAAAGGATAAGAAAGTCAAGGAAGGAGTTGAGTTTTATGTAGCAGCAGCAAGTTCTGAAGTACAAAAGGAAGCAGAAGAAGCAGGTGATTGGCAGACATTAATAGATGCAGGAGCCAAGGTATTACCTGCAGGCTGTGGACCTTGTGTGGGACTTGGTAAAGGTTTATTAAAGGAAGGTGAAGTTGGAATCTCAGCTACAAATAGAAACTTCAAGGGACGTATGGGTTCCCCTAACGCCCTGGCCTATTTGGCTTCCCCTGCTGTTGTAGCAGCTTCTGCGTTGGCAGGTAAAATTGCAGGTCCTAGCGATATTGCGCAGAAGTATCAAGAACCTAAATTTACTATCAAACATATCTCAAATGATATCAAACAAGATACATCAACAAAAACTGAAGTCCTTCCTAATTTCCCTTCTATTATTCAAGGAGAAATTCTTTTCTGTCCAGCCGATAACTTGAACACAGACGGTATTTATCCCGGAAAATATACTTATAATGATGATTTAACAGCCGATGATATGAAGAAGGTTGTTATGGAAAACTATGACCCCAATTTTGTGAATATTGCTAAATCTGGTGATGTACTTGTCGGTGGATTTAACTTTGGTACAGGATCTTCTCGAGAACAAGCTGCCACAGCCATTAAATCTCGAGATATTCAAATAATGGTAGCTGGTTCTTATTCTGATATTTTCAAGAGAAATTCAGTTAATAATGCATTATTATTAATTGAATCACCTGAATTAGTAAATGATTTGAAGGCAGAGATAGGTACAGCAGATTTGACAAAGCGAACAGGATGGCATATCACAATTCATGTAGCTGAAGGAAAAATGATTGTTCGTAAAGAAAACAAGGAAGAGAAATTATATAATGTTGGTGCTCTTGGAAAGAGTGTTCAAGAAATTTGGTTAGCCAATGGTCTCGAAGGTTGGGTTAAGGAAAGATTATAAATAAATAAATAAATAAATTATTATAGATTAAAAAGAATACATGTTCTTTATTTTATGTTATTTTTTATAATGTTTTTCCCAGTTCTACTTTCTTTTTATATGCTCTCTCTGCTCTATAAACAATTCGGTCAATTAATCCAGCTACAGTGAATACACCTCCAACAATAGCCAAGACACCAGTTAGGAAACTATTAAATGAAGTACGTGTCTCATTGTAAGTAATTTGCATTGGTGATATTTCCATCATAAAGAAGACACCAGGTAGTCCATTTACTATGTTCTTTTTTTCGTTTTGCGTCACAGAATATTGGTTTGTTAAAGTAGGGATGCCATGAATGGGAACAAGCTTTGTAGATACAATTTTTAAAAAATATTGATACATAGAGTTACCTAAAAGAAAAATAAATAAATAAATCTGATATGATAGGTAGATTAATTTCGCCTATTACTTTCACTTGTAGATTTAGATACACCAGCTAAAGCATTAGTAACAGCTAAAATATCTTCAGTTTCATCCTTTGTATCAGGTCCAAATTTTAATTTATGAATTGTATGACTAAAATCATATTTATGTCCATCTGGAGCACCAGCAGCAAACTCCCTAAGATCATGTATATGCATTGAACTAGATTGAAAGGCCTCACCAGGGGCAATATGAAAATTGCCTCTTACCTTATTGACCAATAAATGACCATGGATATTACATCCTTCTTTTGACTGTTTTTCAAGTTTCTCTAACCAGCCTTCTCGTATACATTGATCAATTTTTTTCATATCTACCCTACCCCAACCCATCTTGACATACGCTTCGCGTACATCCTGACATGTATTACAGCAACCATCCTCACGCAAAGATCTAGCGCCATAACAACTTCCACATTCCTCTGCTGGCTGCAATGCTTTTGAAGCATCTCCTGTTTGATCTCCCAAAGCTAAAAGAAGAAAAAAAAAATTAATGATTAAATATAGATGATCGTTAACAAAAACTTACGAACAGTTTCTCCAACTTCCAGCGGAATGCCATCTAAACTGAGTCTAACTTTAGTAATATCTTGAGAATAACTAGAAGAATGTTCCCCAGTATCATCCATAATGTCCACATTCAACACTAAATTATAAGTAAGATGAGTTAAGTTGGATAAATATAGTATTTGATTTTCTTTCATTTTCTTTACTATGACAAGGAATGTTATGAAAGGTGATGTTAAAGTTGATTGGCATTTTTTCTTTTCTACTTTTATCTACCACTAGACTTGGTTTCCAAATAGGTGTTCTATATGCAATTAATTCAGAGAAAACGAGAGTAAGAATAATAAGTGTACTTATAATAGTGACTACATGCAAGAAGATTAATTGTCATTATTATTATTATTATTATTATTGAATGAAGAAAAAATACAATTTCAAAAATGCTAGCATGAAGATGATGTACCTGATGCGCCTGTCACTGTTTTAACACGGAAATCGTCTAAAGTTTTTGCATAACCATCTAGTTGTCGTAGATTGCCAAATAAAAAACCTTTCTTGGCCATCTTTATAACAAAGTAAAAAAAAAAAGTAAGAAAAGATTATTTGCTCATTGCAAATATTAAAAAATAAAATAAAATAAAAATAAAAATAAATAAAAATGTATAATAATTTTATGAATCTCCTATTCAATCTTGAGCAAAATCTTAATCGCATTATTCTTGTATAAGTAAATATTTTTATAAAAAAAAAGGCCATAACTAAAGGAATCTACAGTTTAAACGATCAGTAGACTTTAAAGTAAAGTATTCAGACAATTAGCATAGAATAGAGTGATTGATAAAGATTAAATATTATTGTTTGTTATCAGAATTCTTCTTGTATAAAAATTGATGTTTGCTTCTGCGAATAGACACAAATTGATCAATAAAGTTGGGCTGTAATAAATATTATAGTTAAAGATGGATGCAGTCATATCTATAACATTTAACAATATATTCTTAAACATATTGTTTGCTTGCTATTGGACAGATGTATTTAATTCAGATCAAGAAATATATGAAGAAGCTCAAATCATTTCTGTAACGACTTTGAATTATTCAAGTAAAATATTCCTTTAATAAGTATAATTACAATACCACGCAATAAAATCTTAACAAAAATAGTATTTATTTTTGTTTTTTTTTGTTTTTAGCACTTACATAGCAACACAGACTCCTTTTTAAGCGTAAACTAACTGATAATAACATGATTTCTAAACATATTTAAATGACACTTTGAAGATTACATTTCTTTAATAGAAGAGACTGCGCTTATATATCAGAGTTAAAAATATAATAATTAAAAACTAGGCTACTCTGATAGACTATATATTAAGAAGCTTTAAATATTCGTTAACCAGCCAGACTATGAAGCCGCCAGTTTTACATTATTCTTTTCACCCAAGATATGAGCCTTCTTATTCGTATTTTTATTTTAATTTTATAATTTCAAGTTTCTCAACTAAAGCATTCATAATTGAACAAATTTTTAAGACTGAGCTACCTGAGCAACAGGAGGGAATGGATTATCTTTACTGAGTACGAGAAACATTTTTTCGTGTGATAAATAGCCTTTCATATATCCCTAATACATAATAGTAAAAAATCTAATAGCATTTTCTCCTTCATTCTTTCTTTCTTACTTTATATATCATATTGGCTAACATCCATTCAGCTTCTTCAATTTCTACCTGTAACCCTTCAAAATCTAATGCTTGTTTAAATGTACCAATAGGAATTCTTGTATTATTATTCAAAATAAGGTATCTAATATAAGATTTGGTTTAGAAGTTATTTTGAGATAAACTTACTATATAATCTTACACTTTTCTAAATAATTGTCTTATGGCAATGCTTTCGGATTTTTCAATTGCAAAGTAAGTTCCTTGTCGAATTAACATTGATTCCGATTGAGCCAATGCAACATTGAATGATTTAACATTACCCCTCTTTATCGAAATAGCCAAATTCTCATACAATTGTTTTGCTTTTGGAAACTTTTTAAATAATACGGTGGTTGGTAAAATACCTCTCATTAATTTGATGGGTAATAATGTCTGTAAAATCAGCCTAATAAAATAATCCAAGTTAGTATTATTAACAATACATTTTATGTAAACATGTGTATATGTACTCTTTGTTTTTAATGCTTTTATTTGTACATTCTCTAAATGCTAAATTCAATTCATGTTCTGCTTTAGCATAATCTTCTTCCAAAAAATAAAGTCGACCTAAATAATATCTGAATGTTACTCGGTCACTCTTTGGAAATTCCTCAAGAGGTGGCATATCTGCTGCTTTCACAGCACGCAAAATATTTTTACAAAGATTTTGTTGCTTCAACTATATATCCAAATGTAAATAACATAACTATTAATCTATTATAGAGTTACCTTGAAATAAATACGAAATAAAATACCAATAATTGAATAAGTTCCATATTTCTTTGAAGTTGCCAACATGCCTCTATCTGTAATGCAATAAGTAAATGATTTACTAATTACATTGGCTGCCTCTTCTAATTTTTTACGCTGTCCTTCAACAGCTGTATCTAATGACATATCTGCTTGTGTTGCAATTATTCGCAAGTCATTGTTGATAACATAAAGAATAGGTAAACACCATCGCGTCATATTTGGCATACCTCTTTGAAAGGCTCTAATAATAAAAAAAATTAATAAAGACTGAATATTTTATCCATAACAACACATTACTGAACAAGCTCCTTCTGCGATTCAAAAGCTGCTTCGTATTCGCCTTGATCATAATAGATTACAGTTTTCAAATGATTAATAGTAACTTCATTCCAAGGCGATTCTAGTTTAGGTCGCATATTTATGCCTAACTGATCAATCTATACTAAAAGATTATAATCGTTTTTTTTTTTAACAATCTTTTTTACATGATAGTATTACCTCCAAGTTTTGATGAATTATCATGTTAACATGACTATCATTAATAGAATATAAACAGGCCAACTTTTTCCCATTTTCATTTCCAATATGACTAAAAATTTTGTTTAGATAAGAACTTAAGCCTGTATTCTTCATTCTATCAAAGTAAAGTCTTTTTGTTCAAAGAAGTTAATTTTTATAATTACTGCTGATTTTTTATACGTGTCAAACCTTCAGTCCAATCAAAATCGCGGAGGCTTTTTACTTTTATTATTATTATTTTAGCGAACCTTGCTCAATCTTAAATTGTATGATAGATAAACCAAAAAGTTAAAAATAAAAATGATACAGGAGTAAATGTATTGTTTAAAAAATGTATGTGTGTACTCTTCGTTATTAATGAAAAAAATATCTGTAAAAGAACTCCTCTTATTGCTTTGTTTGTGTTGTACGGGAACAACTACATTTTACTATGCATGGTTTTAGATTCAATTTGTGAAGTAATACCTGAATATATAGAATGCCTATAACACATATAACGTATACAAATGTATATTCAGAATTAGTATTTAAAGCATACAGTTGTATTTTGTCTTTTTGTAAGAAGCAAATAATATTGTAATTATTACTGATTTTGACAAACAGTTAGGATAGGTTTCACTGATGTAGTTTATTATATACCTTAATTCTTTTTTTTTTTTTTTTTTTTTTTTTTTTTTTTTTTTTTTTTTTTTTTTTTTTTTTTAATTAAAATTGCATATAACGAGAGGCTTCAATGGCCTATGATAAGGGATGTTTTGATAATGAATAATATTTATTTATATTATGGTATCTTGTTTCTTCATCTTCAAATTTTTTGCTAGAAATTATTATTCATACGAGAATAAGTAGGTAATAAGTATAACAAAAATGCTTAATGTCACTGAAAGTAGATACGTATCAGCTATAAAAAATAAGCATAATGAAGACAATATAGATAATAAGTAAAATATCGAATAGAAATAGTATTCCGTATACTTGGTTGAATAAATATCTCATTTTATTTATACTTAATTTTGATATAATCTTTATCAAATATATAATTGTATTAGAAAATAGAGAATTAAACATAGAGATGATTATAATAGCATTTTGTTCACTATTTTCTAGAGTGAGTTTACGATGTACATTATGAAGGAATGGTACGAAAACTATTCAATAAAGCGATAGTATAACATATATCGTTTATCTCAATGATATTGTTTGCTATTATTATTCAATACAAACTATTTACTTATTTGTCATGACCAATATGCTTTAATGGAAATAATATCGAAAGAATATAAGCAAGTGATACTGTGCAATTGAGTGTCATAGTTAAATCAAATCAATTATATATATATATAGCATTTAGCTAATAATTCTATTGTGAACATTACACTATTAATAATCATCTCACCACATCTTTTTTTTATCACACTAATCTTAGAGCATTTTTACATATTCTAGTAAAATAGGATTACTGATAATTATAGACAATGATGCCTGAAGGAACCATTTGTGTCAAATAATATTGCATTCTGATAAGAGTCAATTGAGCTAAAATCAAAGTTATGTCTTGGGTATTTTTAATTTTTGACTGGATACTACCATAGCCTTTGGATCAGATACTTTTAATACAGGGGCAACATATTGGTAAAATGTTCTTAATAACAAAGAAAAAACTATAAAAAGAATAAGAGTTAGTACTCAACCAATAAAGGTATTTCCCTTAAATAATTAATGTCAAATTTTAAAACGATACTGTAGAAAAGAAATACCATTCATTTTAATATTAAATTACAAGCGTTTAATCACAAGCCCAGTTGACTTGTAAGTTTAAAGCACTATTCGGAAAACTATTATTGACGTAAAAGTCGTACTCATATGCTGAGCTTTATATTTTCAAACAAACGAACATGTATATAAATATGAGGGCAAATAGTTATAGCGAAAAATAATATATTCAGCTGAAGACAATGTATTTCGAAATGAGGCATAGTCAAAGAGTCAATAAATTAGTTTTAGTCTTCCTTTCAGTTAACAACGTAGAATTATATTACTAACACAAAATCAAAAGATTGTCATTGATTATCGGAGGCCTATACCCCAAGCGAAAAAGGATGAAGAAGAGTCAAAGTAAAGCGGGGGCCATGAAGTTTAAATTCACGGTTAAAAAGAAGTTAAAGCATTTTTATTCGAAACCTTTTACAAGTAATAATGCGCAATATAATGGTCATATGGAAAATAATTCAAGTATTCAGTTGTAGAATACACTTTTGCTTATTTTCTTGTTATTACATGAACACTTATAATCCAAATTAAGTTGATTCCTTCCCTTTCTCAAATTGAGCTTGAATATTATATGGTGCACACCTAATCAGGTTCTACTTGTTAGGATCACTCCCATGCTTTAGAAATCTTTACACTTTTTATTTTTTTATTTTTTTGACAGGTAATGGGAAAAATCATTTATCTTTATCATCCTTAAACAACTTCACATAATGCAGTGCTAATCCTGTTTTCTTTACAGACACTCCTTGTTCAACTACAAGATCAAGCAATTTTTGTATTTGAAAAGTAGAAATATAGAAACGGTATAAACGTCTGGCATATGTTTTGGGTTTTAAACAATTTAAGCTTTTGACTGTTAATCTATATCTATTTTGAGAATCT